GGAGAGATGAGTTCATCCGTGGTTCTCCATCCAATGACTGGCCAGGTGTTTTCAAGGAGTTCTCCGGCAAGATCCGGGACCACATCGGAGCTAATACTCATGATCTGCTTGTTCCGACTTTCTCCACCACCACACCAGTGTCAGCCGCAGCTGCAGAGATTGTGCTTATGGAGGCCATGCAATCCTACTTCAGGTATGATGTCCCCACAAAGTGTGCAATTCCATCATTCACCATTTTGGGCACACCCGAGGATTGGAAATCGATACGCGACCGGGTGCTTGGCTTCCTTAAGATCGACCCCGACCTCTCATGGTGGACGGATGTGCTGGTGACAGTTATTGAGCATTTCATTCGTGCTGCAGAGGGCAACGCAGATCTGAGCTTTTGGAAAAGCTGGTACAAGTCTGAGTCCATTTCGGGTGGGGCAGTGGTCACAGGCGCGATTCTTTCCCTTTTCCCCTACATAGAGTTAACACGAAACAAATTTGTTGATTACCGGAGACCGCCATCCAAGAGAGAGTTTTATGCCGCGCGAGGTGGCGTGATATTATGCAGTTTCCCATCGTCACTGGCCAAAGCACCATTCACCTGGCAGTACCTGGGCACAACACTTCCGATGGCGTACGTCTCTGGCCTTATGGCCATGTCGTATGACGAAGGGCAAGGCGTGAAGCCAGTTGTGGGCTGGGCAGTGCTGCAGGACGAAGCTCTTGAAGAAGCTGAGCGCGAGCCCAAGCGCAAACGCTGGTACTGATGCCTCAATAGGGCACTATGGGCCTGGTGGCGAAATCTTGCAAGTAAATTGTTCAGTACATCTGATAAAATATTACAGGGTGCGACTGAGCTCTCGGTCATTGAAGAACATGTTGACTATCACCTCCACCACTACACTGTGCTCGTAGAGCCTCCTGCATACAACCAGCATCACTCTGAGGACACTTCCGTCGATGATATTGATAACTCCTTCAGACAGCTGTTTCGCTGATATATAGCTCATCAGTGAAGTTGGATGTTGAATGATAAATATATAAGAGGGAGGGATGGAGGGACAGACAGATAAAGAGAGAGAGAGAGAGAGAGAGAGAGAGAGAGAGAGAGAGAGAGAGAGAGAGAGAGAGAGAGAGAGAGAGAGAGAGAGAGAGAGGGAGAGAGAGAGAGAGAGAGCGAGAGAGAGAGAGAGAGAGAAAGAGAGAGAGAGAGAGAGAGAGAGAGAGAGAGAGAGAGAGAGAGAGAGGGAGAGGGAGGGAGAGGGAGGGAGGGAGAGAGAGAGAGAGAGAGATGGAGAGAGAGTCTACGGAGATGTGTACATGTACATGTGTGTGTGTATCCTTACAAAGAAAGATTCCCAGCATTCAATGATCTTCCTTCTTCTCCTTCCGACTGCAATCTCGCCGCCCACTCTATTCTTGCCTGGTTTTGCCATGGCCGCCTTCCACGCGGCCTATCTATAACTTTAGTTGTGTCCCAGTGTGAGGACTTCAGGACTCTATGTGCTGCTGGTGGTTGGCTAGCCTTTGGATCGTTTTGACATTTACACCGGCTTTTTTTGTTTTGTTCGACGGGCTCCATGGTCGAGACATTCATTTTCTTTTAAATAGAATTTGCTTAAAGTATTTGTAATTCCTGCAGGATAAGGACGATTGGTCTCACATGCCCTCGTAATTGTGGTACCAGTATGGAATGTTGAAATTGCACATGTAATCCCTGTACAATGTCCATTTCTGGTCAAGTACTCCATTTGGCCGCACCCGGGTGACCTGAAATTGTGGCATCAGTGTGTCGCGGGATTGGGTTCACTCAGAACTATTACTTGTCCATGCATTTCTATTTGAGGGTGTGCTTATACCCGGATGTAGGCACATGCGCTTTTATGCCCATCGCGACAGTCATAACTCTCTCTCTCCTCTGAAATAGGGTTTTTTTCCCATGTGAACTGCAGGCTGTTTAAAAATACTAGTACAGTCAACTTGGCTAATAACGACTGCGGATATAACGACAATTCGCGAATAACGACTGCGGATATAACGACAATTCGCGAATAACGACAGAGTTTCCATGCCCAGAGCACAGTCCATTCTACCTGAATATATAATGAGACTTCGGGTATAACGACACTTCGCGAATAACGACACTTTTCTGATGCCCCGCCGAGTGTCGTTATACGCAACGTTGACTGTAGATGGACTTCAGTATATATAATATACACACGAAGAGACGAGGCCAGTTGAAAATCTGATGAGGCCTCAAATCAGTACATGTTGTCTTTTGGTGATAATGTGACGAAGCACAACGATGTCAATTTATACAGCATATTGGCGGAACAATTGTGATGAAACGTACACAGGCCGAATGAGCTGCTGCTGAATGGTGGTGTGAGTTGCGCCAAAGAGTACAAGAACTAGAACAGGGAGGTGGGAAGTCAAAAGCTGAGCACCGGGTTCCTAACAAAAATTCCTTCTGTCTGCAAAGCTCAGGCTGTAGCTTGGCTATGTAAACAGCCAGCCGCAATGCGAGAGGGTCAACTGAAACGACTGAAAACCGCGCAAAACAAAGCCATCCGCTGCATCGATGGCAACTCGCCCCGGACAGCCATGCAGCCGCTGCTCACTGCTCACTCCCTGTACCGGTCCGTGTCAGCGAGCTCTACACTACAGGCAGAAAATATTGATCACCATCTCATCTGGCGGTGCATCCACGCCCGCACCAGCCCTGTGCTCGCCCAGCTTCTGACCCTGGCACAAGGCACCCCTACCCGCCATCAGCAGTCAAATGGCCTTAGCCAGGCAAACCGTAGCCGCCGCGGTCAGCGGAGATTTTCTGTTGCTGGTGCTCTGCTAGCTGTGGAACGCTCTCCCTGGCTGTAGGGAGTAGTTCGAGTTGCTGCTGATCGCTCTGCTCTCCCTCCCCGTGCAGTTCAGTAATCCTCACGTAGTATCACAGATACATCATATTCTCTCTCCCCCCCCCCCTCCCCCCGTTTACTCGCAGCTAATATTAGTATCCTATTCTCTTACTATGTGCTTCCATAGCTTTTACTATGTTCTTCCATAGCCACTTCTAGGCTAAGCCTTCGCCGTCATTTTATTGGGTCGTCATCCCGTTTGAATGTGCGAAGTGAAATAAAAAAGCCAACCAACCAACCTCTAGCACATCTACTGTAGGTGGCATTTTGCTGCGCACCCGCACGTGAATCACATTATCACGGTGTCAGCCTTTTCGCTGACGACACAGCTCTGCTTTGCTCCAATGCTTGCCCGATACGACTGCACGAAGCCATGCAAGATAGCATTGGCAAGGTTATAACCTGGATGCATGATTGGAAATTGCAGCCAAACGTTGATAAAACGGCAGCTATGTACATTTCCCCTTCTCCTCCTTCCCTGCCACTTTGTTTTCCTTCTTCAAGTGTTGCTATTCGTATTGTTGAAGAGCATAAGCATCTTGGCGTTGTTATTGACTCTAAATTGTCGTGGTCACCCCATGTGCAGTATGTCTGCAAGCGCACAAGCTCCATCCTTGGGGCTCTTCAAGCCCACTGTAGACATCTTCCTCTTTCTTGCAAACGCTTGTTTTATTGTTGCTATATATTGCCCTTACTTGACTACTGTGATACTGCTTGGTCTGGCATAATTACTACTGTATTGAACAAGCTAGAAACCCATAACCGCATGCTCCTTAAAACTTATTTAGCAAAGATCGTCGCTTTCCCTCCGCTAGTCTTTACGAAATTGCCAAGATCAGTCCCCTTTCCACTCGACATAAGTACCACCTCTGTGTTGTCATACATAAAATATTACTAAATAAAATACCCTTGCATATGCAGGCTTATAATTGGTTCTCCGAAACACGGAATACCCGGAACTCATTCAGTCTCCCGCGCGCTGCCTCCACCCTATTCACTAGATCCCCGATCTTTGCTGGCTATGTGTTTTGGGCAACATTAATTTACCAACGCAGGCCAAGACCAGCACGTCGATAGATAATTTTGTTGCTAAAATCTCTGCTCAATAATAAAGATTTCATGTATATCCTGCTGGTTTGTCTCCTTTGCCTTTTATTTGTATTCTTTTATCTGTTTTACTGCTGTGGTTGGCTTTCACCCTTGTCTCACTTTTACTGGCCGTCATCATGATGTGCCATGAGATAATGATATAAATACAAATACAAAATACAAATCACCATGGAAGTCACTTGTCCCATTTGCCCCAAAATTGCCGGATTAATTTTTATAAATCATACATTCTTCCCCTCTTCACGTACGGCTTCCCTGCCTGGTCCACCATTAACAAAACCCACATAGGTAAATAGGTAAATTAGAAGTTCTCCATCGCCGTATACTGCGCATCATATTTCGTACTGATCGTTATATCTCAAAACTAGACTTGTATGCTGCTGCATCCACTACCATTCTGCAACACTACCTTGATGCTTCCAAGTGCACCCTGGCACATTCATTTTTTCTTGACCAGCACCCTGCTCCATTTACAGTCCCTTAATTGGTTTAAGTCAGGTGCCACCACCCGAAGCTGCGTTCGTCTCCCCCTAGCTAGGTCTACCCTATTCGTAAATTCCCCTTTCTTTTCCTCCAACTCCACGTGGCTCCAACTGCCTCCCAGTGTTAGACAAGCTCCAGATATGCCCAAATTCCGTACCCTCGTCAGACAGCACTTCAGTATCTCCCAGTAAACAAAATCACAGTCACCACTTCCGCTGCATAGCTCGCTGAGCATCCCATTGCTTTGTAAGTTGCTAATCCCTTCCCACTTTGTGTACGTGCTCTTCATTTCTTTTCTTTTTTTCTCTTCTTCCGTGGTTGGTCTCACCCTCTCCTCAATTCAATTGGCTGTCTTGACATGCCACGAGGTGCAGAAATAAATAAATAAATAAATAAAAATGGCTTGCATGACAGCATACTAATGTACTAGTTCAGCATGCCTATGGTACCGGTCCGGTGGTAGCCGAATACCAATACGAAGCGGTGTATGTTCACACTGCGCACTCACAGCTTGGAGACTTCAGCTTTGCCCATTCTATCCAGACGCAGACGAGCTCTTCTGTGGATCTGTTGGAAGGCGTTGGAGAACTCGGTGTTCGCATCGTTCTCGATTCGCGCGGCAAACTTCTCCAGGACTTCAGTGCGGGTCAAGCCACGCACAGCCAGGAGGAACGGATGGCCAAACTTGGCCCGGTACCTGGCGTTAAGGCGTTGGAACTCGGCGAATTCTTCAGGTGAGCAGTTATACAATCCGGCACTGGCTTGCTCGGATGCCGAATCCGCTGACAGTTTACCAGCCAACGTCAGCCTTCCCTGCAGTTCGGGATGCGAACGAAGTAGGGCCAGTCGCGTGTCATACCCAGCCTCGTTAACGACTTTCTTCATTCTGCTAGCTAAGCGATCGATTGACGTATCCGCTTCAGATATTCCTTCCAACAGAACCTTCTCCGCTACCCATGTCCCATGTTCGTAGATACCGCTAAACTTGGCCTTAAACTCATTGCTGCTCAGCCTACACGGTGGCGCCTTGAAAGTCAGCGCTTGCTCACGCTCTTCTGTTTGCGGGACCAGAATAGACTGCATGTTATCGATGATGGCGTTGAGCTTTGTTTTCACCCGTGCTCGATAAAATTTAATATAATTATGACCCCGGGGTAAAGGGTTAAAACTAACGTCACAACACAAACGGCCGAGCGGCCCGAGCCTTCTTCCTAGCCTTCTTTCACACATGTGCATGTGAGGGACAGAATGGGAAGAATATACAGTAGTGCGGAAAGCAGAAAAGAGAGAAGAGCAAGGGAAGGAGACCTGGCTCTTATAGTCTTGCCGCTGAATACAAGTATGAGTAGTTATCATGTAGTCTTATTTGAAGAGCAATATAAAGGCTGCAATGCAAGTGAGCATGTTCCATCATCCATGGATCATAAAAGCCTTGGGGACATTTCATCATGAACAGCCAGCATTGCTTTGTTCTGGATTTAACGCGGTATATCACCAAGTTATTTTAAACATCTCTGGTGATTTATAGAAAAGAAAAAGGACCAAGGAACTACAAGTTACGCTATAATGTCCACTGCCCACCAGTTAGCTCATGCGATAACATTGCACGACACTGACCAACGGTACTGACGTTCTACAACTAACTGGCTACCAGCTCTAGCACATCTTGGATGCGCACTCCAACAGCCTTCCAACTTGGAACTGAGGTGCTAAGTTAAAATTAGCTGATGCGCTGATTGTTTAGTAACTGGTGGTGTTAGAGAGAGAGAGAGTCCATCGCTTGAATAGATCAGCAGTCTCTATTATAGCCGGGATTCCAACCATAATATAACAATGTATACGACTTGATATGACTGCGAAACAATGCCAAACGTGTCCCTAGTAATTATAATGCACCCTCCCAGCTGATTTACAGTAGCTCAGGTGCACCTCTTAAAACTTTAAAGCAGAGGCGCAAGTCCTTTAGCTTGGGTCAATTCTCTTCTTTGTTCAACGAGAACAGCCACTCACCCAACATACACACACAGCACACACAGTTCAGAGCTGTGGCAAGTCTTTCAAGCTTTCTCTTGCAAGCTTTCTCTTGCAAGCTTTTTGCTGCAAGCGTTATCCTAGCCGGAACTACTAGCCTCAGTGCAGGCCAATGGACACCCTACTCCCTAGCTGCGGGTCCGTATGAGCTCAGCTGGTATTCCTTTCAATGCAACAAGGAACTGATGTGCGCCAGGTCAGACCAGAGGTCTGGATGGTCATGCATGTGATCGGGATGCGTTGGCTGGGCAGAGAAGGGAGCATTGAAGAGTGCAGCCATCCAAAGGGAACATCAGGACATAATCATTGTCTGCCTGATGATCTCTTGGCAGTGATTGATGTGCGGCTAGTCAACGATAAGTGGCTCCAAGTATAAATAATAGAATGTTTGTTTTTCTTACTTTTAGCAGATCCACATGACAACTACTTGTACATCATGATAACAGTAGTACTCAGAGCTTGAGTTGACCTCTAGTAGAGGTCAAACTAACTTCATAGTTTTGACACTTCAGTTCTGGCTAGCATGTGCAGGCGCAGACGAGCTATTTTATGTACCTGTTGCAACGCTTTAGAAAACTCTGTGTGCGCATCGTTGTTGATACGCGAGGTGAACATATCCAGGATATCGGCGCGTGAGAGGCCGCGCACAGCTACGATAAACGGATGGTCAAACTTGTCCACGTACAGGGCGTTCAGCCGTTGGAACTCAGAGAATTCTTTAGCAGAGCATTTATCCAGGCCGGCACTAGCCTGCTCTGCAGTGGACTCCGCCGTCAGTTTGCCTGCAATAGCCAGCTTTCCAACCAGCTGGGGGTGCGATCGTAGCAGTGCCAGCCGCGTGTCGTACCCAGCCTCGTCAACGACTTTCTTCATTCTACTGGCCAAGTGATTGATTGACGTATCCGCTTCAGATATTCCTTTCGACAGAACCTTCTCCGCTACCCACTCGCCATGCTCGTATATACCGCAGAACTTGGCCATAAATTCATCGCTGCTCAGGCTACAAGGTGGAACATTGAAAGACAACGCTGGCTCAACTTCAAGCCTTCTTGCCTGCATGGCCACGACCTTTTGCATCTTACTACACTGTACTTCAATCTACACCACTGCCACGATGGCTGTGAAACTGGCAAAATGAAAACGGAACTGCTTTTTGAAATGGCAAGGAGTGAGGATTTGCGCAGTTCACGCTGATATGATTAGTGCCGCTCATGCCTGAGCTGAGGCCTGGTAGACCTACACGTCAGTGTAAATCTTCAACAAGATTATTTTAGTATAGTACTGTCTGTATACTGACTGTAACACTGCTGTAAACACAGTTGCAAAAAAGTAAAAGTAGCGACTTCTGCGGCGTAGACCTCTACCACTACAAAGTACAATACAAGACAATAGTAGTTCAAGTACTTGCACTCATGACTCAGGGGCGTCGGCCACGGTACGGTCACTACGGTATTGACCGTACCACTATTTGCCCCAAGTACTCTGTGAATCAATAAAATGCACTGAGTTGGGCTCTAATTTCCCAAAAATTTCGGCTCAGCCATCCCTCCCACACGAGTGAATTGTACTTCAGATGGCTGACCGTACCACACTAATTACCTTCCGACGCCCCTGCATGATGTACTAGTAGTAGATGTAGAGTCAGTAGTACTGCCAGTAGCACTTACCTCAACACCTGTAAGTTTAACTGACTCAGGTTTCACTCTGTACTCCATTTCACTTGGAGCCAGCGCCTGCCTCAATCATTCCCCACCCGGTACCCGTTCCACGGAACATCCAAAAGTTAGTAAATTGTTAGCTTTAATTCTAGACAGCAGCTTATCACCATCTCCTCAGAGCGAACTGCACTGTCACTAGTCACTGGGCCACTTACAGCTGACGCGATGGTGCGAGCCGACGGTAAGACGACACAGTCAGTGTATACATGTAATATTAAATTTTTATTTTCACAGTGTACTTCGCAAAGTCAAACGGGATCATTGCCCAAAGTCAAGAAGTGTCTAACCTGCTTGGACATCATCTCTCCTCCCAGCTACAAGTACAAGACAGTCTCCTCTTGAATGAAGAGTCATTGTCTGTAACGAACAAAGTACTAGTAGACTGGACATGACCAAATGTTTCGATTTCGCTCAATGTTGGCTCCTCTCATCCCTTGGTAGACCTCGCTCAAACACTATCACTCAGCGGTGGCGACAGCATCAGCGCGAGAAGGAGGAGGAACAGGAGCAACATCATCACAGGTAGTAGCGACGACTACTACTTGAATGAAGAGTCATTGTCTGTAACGAACGAAGTACTAGTAGACTGGACATGACCAAATGTTTCGATTTCGCTCAATGTTGGCTCCTCTCATCCCTTGGTAGACCTCGCTCAAACACTATCACTCAGCGGTGGCGACAGCATCAGCGCGAGAAGGAGGAGGAACAGGAGCAACATCATCACAGGTAGTAGCGACGACTACTACTTCAGTACTAGTACTAGCGAGTCTAGTCAGTACAGTACTCGAGTCATGGTACTAGCAAAAGTCCATAACTATTACTTACTACATACTACATCTTTTCTCGACCAATGTCGCCTTCTGTCCATGTAACCGCCTTCGGTATTCATATGTTGGCCTATTTAACATTGGCATGCTCTGCGGATTTGTAGGCATGCTAGGCAATTTAAATATTATTATCCTGCAAAGTATTTTGTAGGTGCGTGACTACTACGTCATGTACTACAATTGGTACATGACTTAATAATAGCCGTCTGGCATGGTACAATAACCTTTTTTATTTGCTTTCTCTTCTTCCTCGGATGGTTTACAATCTGTATCACAATTATTTGTGGGTTAACTATTACTTACTACCGGTAGTAGTAGTACTACCGGTATGTTACTTGCATAATAGCCATGTTAACCCCCGTATGGCCATGTCATGGACTGACTGTTGGCAGTGTAACCAGTGTTGCCTTGGTACTACACCAGTACCATGTACCATGTATACGCCCGTCGCAAGAGAAGCATGCAAATCTGCAAATGCACTGGATGTGCACCCACAGATTTTCTATAGCAACGATAGCGGATCTGATTCTGATTGAAACAGATCAAGACAAGCGCCAGATAACTGTCTAATCCACACAACTGGCGAAGCCATGTGAATCGACCCCCCAATGCACACCTGGTCTACACCACACGGAGTACATCGGAATAGGACGGCCAAGACAGATACCTATGCACACCCTACACTTGCTGGGGTAACCAATAGACAGCACGCTGCTTTGATCAAAGCAGACACTAGATGCACTGGTACCTTGGAGTGGAATTGGAGTTATTTTACCAACCAGCCTCGGCAACTGGGTACTGGGAACCCAGGGCCAACAGACGTACCAACAACCTTAGCCATGAAAGCTATATAGTAACGACACACTGGATTGTGGACCCGAAACTAGTCCAACTTCCAAAATGCTTTGGCAAGAGGGTAGCCTTCCGACACCAGTACACGAGTACATGTAGTCTGCGAAGCCCAGAGACTCAATGACGACTACTTCGGACTAGTACAGCTACAGTAGATCTACGAGGGCTGGTTCCCTGTCAGGTTCTTCAACTCCTACTAATTATTATTTCCTAGGTTCCTTCTGGAAGTACATGTATGCCAGGAGCCAAGATACCCATTCTGCACCCTCACCGCACAAGAAGACCAAAGCTTCACTGTGACTTCAGGACCAAGTTTCAAGCACAAGTCACTTTTTTTAGTGACAAGACACAATAAATATTATACATGTACTTGAAGTAATTCGTATACGGTAACTATTTACTTGATGCCAAGCAGAAAGCTACATGTACATGTACATGTACATGACATTGTACAATCATGTAGATCTACAACTATACATATTATTATTAGATAAACCTTGTTTTAGTTCACACATGTTGTTGCTTGACAGCATGAAACAAGTAAAAGGTGGAGGACACCGTGTTCGAAAACAGTGACCGATCTACAACCATACACAGTTGGTAGAGCCCCGGTTCGTTGAGACCATCCCAACCGTATGGGTCTCAGACCCGGTTCTGACCCTCTTTGTTCCAGGGAGTTTTTTATAGAGTTCTCCGAACGTCAGCCGTGTATTCTGTGATCCCACCTGGATGTCTTCTTGATAGTCGTCAGCTGACAACAGTCACTGTCACCACCATGACACGGTCGTGAGAAGGTGCTCTCTGTAGACGAGGTTGGTGATGGCCCGACGCGCCCATTTCAGGTTAAAATAGCTTCTATTTTGTATCAGTATGACTACTTAGTATCAAGAAGAATCCAGGTGGGATCACAGAATACACGACTGGCGTTAAGAGAAGTCTATAAAAAAAACTCCCCTAGAATAAAGAGGGTCAGAACCGCGTCTAAGACCCATACGGTTCAGATGGTCTCAACGGACTGGGGCTCTACCAACCGGGGATGGTTGTAGAAAAGGCCACTGTTTCCGAACACGGTGTCCTCCACTTTGTTTTATGCTGTCAACCAACAACAATCATGACTGTAGTCATGTACATGTACATGTACGGTTGAAATGCAGCAGCTACAAAAAAAACTGAAGCGCATCAGAAAGCGCACCTACTTGTATGGATTATTGTTCTTCTAAAACCATTATATTTATAATCCCGGCCGTTATGAAGGTTCTACAATAACAATATGCATAGGCGAAACACATCCACCCCACGGCCAACACCATTCAGCCAGTAGCAACAGAATACAACCATGTACCCAGATTGTGGATACGAATAATGGTTGCATGGTAGATCTACTACTAGTACTACTAGTACTAACTCACTGTACTGCCACTGGTGCACTGGAACATGGTAGCCTACTACTTACCAGGTCTCCGACCTTGGTGGACAAGACGGCATGGCAAGAGACGCTCAGACAGGTCCCCAGCCTCCGAGTCCCATTGTACGTATACCATGTATACGAGTCATACTCGTAGACCCTACTGGCACTGAGAGGCCCCCAGAAAAAGTCAGGAGTCAGTTCACTTCCTGCTAGCATGCTGCTGACCATTTTGAGTATTTTGTTCATATTATTAATTTATGGCGGTAACATGCACCTGGCAATATGGCGGTAAATACACGCCGGATAGTAATTATACAACAGGAAGAATAAAAATGGCTGTGAATACAGTCTAATGTCGAGCCAGACGAGCCTCAGCCTGGACGAGGTCGACAGGCGCTAGCCTACATGTAGGTGGAAGTGACGGCGGCGAACAGAGCGTGATCTGCGGACACAACGGATGGCAGACCTGGCGAGAGAAAATGCCAAGCAGCACCGCAGCCACTGAGCTACAACCCGGCTATAGGCAGTATTGGGTTTGGTGGCCAAGCCGTGCACCAGCCTCTTGATTACCATGGCTGCTTCTGGGCCCTTGCCACCACAGGAGGAGCACACTAACGGTGTGAAGGAGCCATGCTCGACTTCATTGACACGTTCACCGTAGACACGCTTCTTCTCGCCTATAAACCTTCGGTAGAGGGAGGGGAGGGACTTGGCACGATAGCTTGACGCGTGGGGATAAAACACCCTTGTATCGAAGACTGCGTTACGGCTATCGGTCCAGAATCCCTTCACCCGCAGGTCGGCACGGGCATCAGGATCAGTGTTGGCTGACCGATGGTAAAAGGTTTCACCAGTTAGGGGCTGCAGTGGTGGCTCCACCTCCACATCATGATGGAACTCCTTCATGCAATGAAGTCGGTGGGGTCATTGTGTCCCATGTGGATGAACCCCGACAGCTTGCAAATTTGAGCATGGTCGACTGAAAACCTTGAGCCACAGGGACAGGATACTGGCAGCAGTGACAAATTTGAGCATGGTCGACTGAAAACCTTGAGCCACAGGGACAGGATACTGGCAGCAGTGACAGGTTGTCCAGGGGCCAACAATAGTACCGGAGCCGGATATGGTCGTGAAAGTCAGCTTTCACATCAAAGCTGAAACCGTGCTCAGCCGCAGGGACGGTGGTCAGGGTACTGGACCCACCCTTCTCGTGTGCCAAGGACATAGTCATTGCTCGCTGTTGTGGCTGCGGCAGTGGGTCTTGGATGGTGGTACATGTAGCTGTTGCGTCCAGTACTGCGGCAGCGCGGTGGCGAATCCGTACTGCCGAATTGGCTGCCTGGTCCAGCCGAATGGTCTCCAGCAACCCCGATCCGCCGGTAGCAATCTGAGCTGCGAGGTGGGTGGTGCACTCTAAAGACACAGCATGCTTGGGTGGAGAGTCCGCAACAGGGTTGGCGAAAAGACAAGTATTAGTAAAGCCTCCATGTCGAGCAGGCAGAGCCTCCATCTCCAAATCGCTCACTTCATGCTTGGTCAGAGCTGGCAGTAGACGGCTGCAAATAGCATCCTGTAGAGGCTGCATGTGATCACCAACAGTGGTGGGCATACATGTAGTGCGTTGGAGGAATGATTATGTCCACCGGTGACCATGGTGACGCAAACCGAAGACGAAGGCAGCAAAATTTAATGCAGTGTGAGGATGTGTAGCTGCTACGTTGGCAAGCCGCTCAATCTGGTTTTTTTGTTTGTTTGTTTTTTTACGAGCAAGCACAGCCCTAGTAATAATCAGGGAAAGAGGACAACTGGAGTGACACTGGACAACAAGACAAAGGGGAGTAGGGGCGATGTGCTGATGATCATGTGGTTGGCGATGCTCATCCGACCGGAGGTCTCGGAATCATAGCCTACGACCAAGCATCGATAGCAGCTAGTAGGTCTACTACTAGGGACTAGTAGTGGTCCATGCTTGAACTTTTGCTTCCACTACGCCGCTGGCTCCAGTATACTACAATTGTAGTACTCGTACTGCAGTCCAGACTGTTCGACGAGTGTTCGTACAGCGACAATTCAACGCCGACAAACTCCTCTGATCCGATGACGTACACGATTATGTCATAATAGTAATTCATAAAATTTTCTGAACATTTGAACACACAACATTTCGAACACACTTCACAAAAAAATAGTTCTGTTGCTGTTTCGTATGGTCGTACTTGTATAGTTGTGGATCTTCATCATGAAAGGAGGCTGAATCTTCAGAAATAATCCTGTGCTTAGCGCTACCAAGTAATCTGAATGCTACACTGCACCAGTGGTGATCGCGTCGGGCAATTTGTTCGCACACACGATCCAGTTTTCTAAAAAATATAAAAGAGATAGTTGTACATGTGCTTAAATTGTAGTACTACTAATACTATACTAGTAATTCTACCTCAGTGCGTGTACCTGTACCCGTAGAGAATAGAAAGCTCGTGAGTCGCATCGACACATACGGAACGTCTGCGGAGTAGTTGAACTACGTGGAACTTCAGAGTCGTCCTACCGGCGTGGGAGAAAGATCTTCTTATAATATTGCTAGCTAGCCTCATCGTGCCTGGGCTTGTAATCTTGGACAGCAGCAAGCCCACTGTACAGTTACTGCTTCAACCTATGCACTCTTGCTAGTATACCTGGCATACCACAAGGTACACCAATGGCCACGGATTGAAGAGCGCATGCAATCGACTGTCAGTAGCAGGCATGGAGCGACCATCGAACACCACAGCAGCCGCGAGCTTGGACTCGGATGAGGAGATGCCGGATGCCCTATCCTCCAGCAGCAAGCAGGCCGAGCAGGGGACAAGCAATCGCCAGGAGATGACGACGTTTGTGTATGTGCTGACGTTCTTCGCGGCCATCGGCGGTTTTCTGTTCGGCTATGACACTGGTGTTGTGTCGGGCGCCATGCTGAAGCTGGCGCAGGACTTTGACTTGGCCACATGGCAGAAGGAGCTGCTTGTCAGTATCACCATAGCCGGTGCGGCTGTGTCAAGTGCTGCCGGTGGCGTGCTCAATGACTACCTGGGACGTAAGCCGGTGCTGCTAGGTGCGTCACTCGTCTTCACAGCCGGTGCTGGCCTGATGGCTGTGTCGACACATTGGATTGAGCTGCTCATGGGTCGTCTCATCGTCGGCATTGGAATCGGTATGTCTTACAGACTAAAAACACAGCTGTATGAGTCACGACTGTGTTGGGATCGCATGTCTGCTGCTGCTGCTGATGATACTGATGATGCTCTTGCTCTTGCTGTTTCTGCTGCTACTATTGCTGCTGCTGTTGCTGCTGCTGCTGCTATAATGCTGCACATGTCTACAGCCACTGTGTTGGTATTTAAAATTACAGTGTGATGTCTGTGTCTGTGTCTGTGTCTGTGCTTAGGCTTTGCCTCCATGACGGTGCCAATGTACATCAGCGAAGCAGCCCCGATCCATGTGCGTGGCAGCTTGATCACGGTCAACAACATGTTCATTACAGGTGGCCAGTTTGTTGCGAGTGCTGTCGACGGTTTGCTGGCTGACGTGCCGCATGGCTGGAGGTAAGGCATTCACCACACTCACAGAGTCCGAGGCGCGTAGCCCGCATGGGGCACTGGGGGGGGGGGGGGGGGGGGGGGTTCACGTGAACCCCCTAAATATTTCGACCAAGGTTCAGTGCACATAATGACCATTAATGACATGCACCAGCCATCCTACACATATGTGGCCGTGCACCCCCTAAAAGGGGGACCAGTTGCGCCCCTGCAGACCTGTGCAGAGCCCCTGTAAGCCATGTGGGAAATAGGTCCCTATATATACTCACGATCAGTCCGCTGATGATTGCAGTAGCATGAAACGTTGAGTTGTGGTAAATTCAAACTGGCCCTCTTTCTCTTTTTCAGTTTTAGTCACTTTGTTTCCTTCATTCGTGTTGCTACAGTCACATTCAGTGCGAGTAGCTAGTGTGCTCTGTACGTGTGCTGCCTTGCAAGTGTGGAATACAGTTCCCCACTGTGTGTAGTCAGTGACAGTCACACAGCTACTTTGTCCAGGTTAGGTCGGGCTGTGGCTTCATTCGTCTTCCTTAATCTCCGCCATTTCTCTGGCCTTTCTCCCCACTCTAATGCTGCATCCGCACACCCATTTGTGTTGTGTGTTTGTACAGATACATGCTTGGTATCGGTGGCATTCCCAGTCTCGTTCAGTTTGTCGGGTTCCTGTTCCTGCCGGAGAGCCCTCGCTATCTGGTCAAAAGGCGCAAGTTTGGCCTGGCCAGGAGCGTTCTGCAGAGAATACGCGGCAGCAATGCCAACATTGACGAAGAGTTTGAATCGATTCAGGAGGAATGCTTGTCATCAGTAGTTGAAGATCAAGGTGGGTGCGTAACTGGAAAAAGGACCATAATTATGTCGAGTGATGAATCGTCCAATCATTTGATACCAGTAGAGAGACTGGACAACTTGTCCGATGTGCTTTATATGACATGGAAGCGAACATGTTAGAATACAGTGTTGTGGTTTGTTGGCTTGTGCCGAATCAACTGCGTTTGCAACGTCTGTTGTCGCTGGTGTTGATATTGTTGCTGCAGGTACGTTTGGCACACTTGTGCGTATGTTCCGGTCCGGCCCGGTGCGGCGAGCTCTCATAGTCGGCTGTTTGCTACAGGCCTGCCAGCAGCTAACCGGTATCAATACACTGATGTAAGTTGCACTTGCTGCCTTGAGTGAGTGACTGTTGCAGCTAGTCTGGCTGGGCCGCCTGCTTCGGTTACAGCAGCGTGTGTGTGCAGTGGGCTCGCTGAGCTACAGTGGTCGCCAGGTGTGCTGTTGTATCATGGTACTGACTACTGAGTAGTACAGTGGTCTGTTCATAATCTGGCACCATTTCCATCTGTGCGAAAGAACTTCTAGTAGATTAGGGCTCGGCTATCAAATCAGATTTTCAGCGGTAAGTCTAAGATACAAGAATGGGACATGTTGACTGCTGAAAACGGTGCTGGTTCATCGAGCGTGCTGGTGTGTAAAGTGCTGGGTTAAAACATGCAGATGGCCTTTCACCGTGTTCACATACAGCGCTGCTCAATGAAATCCGATTGCGCAAGTCTAGTTTGCACCCTGGGCCAGTTCATATCCCAATATTCGCAGGGTCTGCGCAGCACCCGGCGTGGCATTGACTTCCTTGATCGCATTGTATTGAGCTGCGACGTACATGTACTTGCACACATGCACACTGTATCATGTAACGCTACCATGAGTCACGGTGTACTGCTGGTGACTGTATTGTTACTTGACAGGTACTACAGTGCATCAATCATCAAGATGGCAGGGGTGGAGGACGACACCAAGGCCATCTGGCTTGCAGCGGCCGTGGCTGCTGGCAATCTTGTCTTCACCGCCGTCGGCGTTTACCTGGTGGAGCGCTCTGGCCGCCGCAAACTGATGCTGGGCAGCCTGGCAGGTGTGACCCTGTCCCTGGCTGTGCTAGGCGTGGGATTTCTCATGGCCAGATTGCAGTCACCCGTGGCTCTGGTAGACGGCAGCCTGCCTCCATCCACCTGCAACACGCACAGCACGTGCAACTGGTGTGTGCACGATGCCAACTGTGGCTACTGCTACTTGAAGCACGGCAGTCACGGCGTTCTGAACGGGACGTGCCAGCCGGTGTGGAGCGTCAACGGGACAAAGGCGACGAACCGCTCCTCGCTGTGGGACAGCAATTACACGGACTGCAACCCGAGTGTGGCATGCTCGCCGGCCTTTGCTGGCGACACTATGCACGCCAACAGCACTGTTGACTCCACCGAGTGGGCGTACGACTACTGCCCGACGCAGTACGCATGGCTGATCGTCCTCGCTCTCATCCTGTACATAGCCATGTTTGCTCCCGGCATGGGACCCATGCCGTGGACGATCAACGCTGAGCTGTACCCGCTGTGGGCACGCAGCACGGGTAACTCGGCCGCCACCTTTGTCAACTGGGCGTGCAATCTGGTCATTTCTATGACATTCCTCTCGATCTCGGAAACTCACGTTCTCGGTCGCGCCGGAGCGTTCTGGATCTACATGATCATTGCCATGATCTCCTTTGTGATCTTCTATCGAATCCTGCCGGAGACTAAGGACCGGCCGTTAGAAGAAGCAGAGAAACTCTTTGCCAAGCCCTGGTTTGGTGCTGGTTGTGTTGAACATGGAGTGGAAGAGCATTCTCCCCTCATGACTGTACAAGCATAGTGGACGACGGTGTGGAAAGCTTCTAGTCTATATGATATTATAGTTACTCAAACATTTGTGCCATGCTGTCTTCCATTTGTTTTGTTTGGTTGACTTTTGATTTGTGTTCAAGCTGCTGGACGGCGCCATGTATTCTGTGATAACCTTTTGCGGTGAGCAAGTAAGAATGACAACTGCATGCTGCTGCTTGGGACTTGTATCCGTTGTCTGCTGAGCTTTAAATTGAATCCAACTGCGCAACCTTCAGGGTGAATCTTTATCCGTTTTAAGCCATCATTTTTTGTTGAGAAAGAACGTTAATGTAGTGGCGCATGCATTTCTTTGACAATTTTGTACTTCGAAGTAATTGCTTTACAGCCGCGGCGGCGCCAGAGTGTATTCCTATATCCATTTTAGAACTATTTTATTTGACTTGCTTTTATTGATAAATAATACTTCAGATCTAGTGGATTGTGCCATTCATTGTCGTTACGTTGTTGGTGGTGTTGGCGGCGGTGGTAGTGTAGTTTTTTTTTGTAATTGTCGTCGTGACTTGTGCTTTGTCGAAGCACAGTGCACAATGTACTTGGATCTGTATTGGACCTTTTTCAAAGTTTTTGGTAGGTTTTCTTCCAGCAGATCACCTGCTGTAGCATTCTCAAGACATGTCGTCCGTGAGATTACTGGAGGGGGCGACCTACTGTAGCGGACATGGAAATCCAGTCGATTGACCAGGGCCGGCGCCCTCAGCGCGTACAGAACGCTGCGTGCAGTGCACATGTTGATCCGATGCGACCAGCGAGCTACAGCGCATAACTGCATGTGTGTACCGCTTATCCACGGCTGCATGGCTAGCGACCTGGGGCCGCTAGACGTGCGACCGGATGTCCATGTCCATAACAGTAGTTTTGGAAATCACTGACGAAACTTCCAGCGAGCCACAACCTAACTTGCTACTATAACTGTAAATCAACAAATACTCGGCGCATATTTATTTTCGGCTTGACGCCTTAAGGCTTAAAATTATTTGCAGCTGATTTTTTTAACTTCATGATGCAGTATGACAGTGCATAGCGGCAGGAGCTGTACTGGTTAATGCGGCCGAAAACGATTTTGTCCGATGGAGGCTGAAACACGCCGAAAATGTGGAGACTTTTGTACTCTTGCTGCAAGTAGGCCGGAAATTCGCGCTACATGCAGCTCGCTCAGAAACGCTGCACAAGAATGTGGATCAAATAATGCATCTGGCTTACAAAGCCCGGGAGTATTCTTTCAGGCAGGGAGCCGTACCCAAACCACGGTTTGAGTATGACTCCCTGCTTTCAGGTGATCAAACAGTACTCTTTCTGTGTGCTCAAGCAGTACTCATTCAGGTGATCCAACAGTACTCTTTCATGTGCTCAAACAGTACTCATTCAGGTGATCCAACAGTACTCTCTCAGGTACTTCAGTACTAGTAATCAAACGGTGCTGTGTTATTGATGTCGAAACGGATTTTATTAGCGTAAATACAAAATTTTAAAGAGCTAACAAGTTAAAAACTGGACATGTAACTCGGGGGGGGGGGGGGGATACGTCAGAATGGTGAGTATTCGTGTTGATTTTTCATTATGCCTGTTTGTCCTGTAATAATAATTATATCATAATTATGATGAAAATCTGAGCATGATCCAAGTCACATGGATGACACTTTCATCGTACCGGAACATGCAGTGTTCAGCACAGTGTCCTATATACAAGTACTAGTACACGTGCTGGGTGGTGTGATCCCACACACACTTCTCATCAGATCGGCAGCCTCGTCACTTTCTCTCTCGGGATACTGCCAATGCAATGGCATTGGGCACAAGGAACAGCTTAGCAGCTGGGCTGAGGCCACACTTGACCAGTGTTGCGCCGTCGTCGCTGAAATACGTCCTGCTTACGCTCGATAGGATGCGATAGGTGATTGACTCGTTTTTCCTGGACAGCACACAGCACGCAATCCAATGGATGCAAGTTTCATCTTCGCATTCTAAATTGCTTCGTGCCATGTGCTGCCTATTACAGTATCAGTCCCAATCCCCAGCACCACCAACAACACCACTATTCTTTGACCCCATTCACCAGGGAGTAGTAAAATTACTAAAATAATCAGTTGAAAGTATTTTACTACTCCCTGCCATTCACCGAGGTACTGTAAATGTGTGGTGCTGCATGCATCCAACATGGACGAATGAACAACCGTAATGCTATGTGTTCTATGCAATGCCATAGTATTAGCACAATATACCCAAGGATGTGCAAGTCAATTAGGCATCCTGCACATGTATGTCCAGTCAATTGAGAGCACGACAACATTTCGCAATCCGTTGCAACCTACCTGTGCATGTTGATGTAGAAACGCAGGCGACCAATAGTTTCTGTAGGAAGCATCTTCAACAGGTACATCTGCAGCGAGGGAACGCACACATCCACAAAAAGAACACTCCTCTTTGTCAGTGTGCTGTGCTACTTGTCGTTAGGATATCACCTTGGTGGTGGCGTTGTACGTACTTTCATGCCGTCTTCAGATTGAATTCGAAGGCTGATGAAATCCTTTGATGGCTCGCATTGCTTGCTACTGGACAATCCTGACCGTGTGCAGTCTGTCGAAATAACCTCCGTACTGATTGGACGTGCTGCTGCAGTCACCGTCATCTACACAGCAATGAATGTAAAAATAAAATAATAAGTGATCAGTTACCTATCTCCATGAGAAAGAGAGAAAGAGAGAGTATGTGCAGAAGAAAGGAGGAAAGAAGAATGTGCACTACTCATGTGGCTGAGTAGCAGCTTCCCACTGCGTGTGAGTCATAACTCATAACTACTGCGAAAAATAGTATTGCATATAAATATGGTCCTCATTGTTGGTGCACCTCTTGAAATTGAGTAGCACTCCACTCTTCCTCTCCTCTCCCGTCTCTCTCTCTCTCTCTCTCTCTCTCTCAGGCTCTCTCTCTCGGCTCTGCCGGCTCTCTCTCTCTCTCAATCTCAATTTGCTTACTGTACGGAGCTTATCAAAGCCCGTGGGGTTTTCAACGTGGAGCTGTCCATCCTTCACAGTCATCTTCTGCATCGGATTACGTGGAAGGGTTCTCTCCGGCTCTGAATAATGCACAAAACAAAATATTCAAGCAAATCGTTACTTCTCCTGTGACTAAAACAGTAGACTTACTACGGAATTGAAAAATGCATGAGTATGGTTAAGTCATGCCGTCGACTTGTCTAACACGCTACCACAAGAACCTTTACTACTACTACACAGACAGGTACATGTAGATGGTAAGTCAATGGCGTGAAGCCGCAGAGCATGTAAAGTTGACATACCGGTAGAGTGAATTGGTGGGATTCAATTGCATGTATTAGGGTACATGCAAGCACTGTAGCAACTAGCCGTGACAATTCTCAACACCAAATGTTACACGAGCCTCGGAAACACACAGTGTGTTGCCTGGTGACTTGAATTCAGGTTACCACGCGAAAATCCAACCATTTGAAAATTCTCACCTGGCCTATCACCGTGATTCTGACTCAACGCCTGTTCACCGGTAACCCAGTCTGGCTTGCCCGTCTTGATGCCAACCCCAGGGAATACCGGGGTCTGATACTGGTCGTATAGCAGGTCACGCTGGTCGGACAGGGCAATCTTGCCGCCTGCTGGGTACTGTGCTATCAGGTCCTCCGGCCACTCTCTTTCACCCAGGTTCTTGATAATACGGCTGCCACCTCGACTCTCGTACGCGTGGAATCTGTTGTTGAGGATGAATCCATTCTTGAAAATTACCATGTCAACCACATCCGGAGCCTTAAACAACATATTAAAGAATAGGAAAATCACAGGCTATTTGGGTTCAATCAGATTGAGTTAAATGGCAACAGATCTTCTTCTGTGTTGTACAGTGGAGGTACAAGAAAAAACACTGGCACCGCACTGGTCAACAATATGGGTGAATTTACCGCTGTGTTGCCCAGTTTACGCTGCGTACTGCCAACAATGGTCCTCACCCTGAATTTGGCTTGATTTTCGTGGAAGTTACGGCGAATCATCTTCTCCGGCACTTGCATGTTGATAGCCTGACAGCAGCACGACAAGAGCAGAGCAATCCAATCAATATGGCCCGTATCCATGTGCACACAGATATGCCTGTACTGCAAGTTCTAAAATAAATGTTCTAGTCCGGAACTTGCACCGGAAGCAACAAGTAAGTTTTTTCCGATATACAAAAGCCCAGATGTGCAGTGCAGGTCTTGTATCAAGTTGTACGTGATGACGCACGACCGCTGGACTCGGAGGTGCCAGCCATACCAGTAACCAACGACCCTTCATTCCTGACAGCACTTGGCCGTGCATCACTAATTTTGAAACCGACAATCACACAGTGTACCAGCACAAGTCACTTGGACCTCTCACTAACTCCTTATCATCACGACTTCGAGCCGGCGTATAGACCTTGGATATCATGATTCATGTGCATAATCGAGCAATGCCATTCCATGCATTTAATACCGACCAGATCAAACAGACCCTCATGCCGAACGTGTGGTGGGAACAATCAGACCTATGTACCTATCACAACAGAAGACTAGCCAACTGATTGCAGGAGATGAAAGAATGGTTGTAGGTCAGCATAGTGACCACCCCCCACCCCCACCTCACGTACGGTCCCCGCCCGCAACACAGGCCTACGACATAGTAAGATAAGATACTTATATGGCAATCACCTACCCAAACAGCTCGAACTATGCCGTCAAAGTCGACATCGAGGGGTTGCGGTGACGTGGGCAGGTACGAAAGGTCTGCATGGTGGAGAATGGTGAAAACATAAGCATTGATAGAGCATGAACGCCTGACTCTACATCAACTACTTCGAAGTATGCATAGCACTAAATTGCAACAGGTGATCGGACTACACTCTGTAACAAGCTTGGATGCACTAGATGGCAACTGCTACGACGTGGCCCCCACGCAAGGCACATCCACTGTAGAATGTGAATGAAACCTGTATTTCCAGAAGCACATAGAACTGTAAACGGCTCTTTGCCAGCACACGCCAGCTTAGAGAGTGTTGTGTGGGTAGGCGTGTATTTACCACCATTTTGCCAAGTATAATTTACTGTAATTTCTCTACTATGTCCTTATGCGGACCTGTTTATAGGCATCCTCTGTAGGCTAGCAACAGCTGCTAAGGTTGATCATCATCGCAGCCTAAGGTATACATGTATGTATATTATTGGGTTGAAAATCTAAGGATCACCACTGAGTCTTTCTCATACTTCTCAGCCACAATTGATAAGGAAAAACAACAGGAAAGGACACAGTTCTGACTTGAGCCGTTCAGTATGTTTATATCATGGCATGGATCGAGGTGCGATGACGTCTATACGGAAAGAGGCAGTCTAGTCATGTGAAATACCTGCAGGTATCCATAGCCTTACCTGGCATCCACACATCACCAAATATTGTAGCACCGGCATCACCAATTTCGGCTGCATCAGTTTCATCATCATCATCATCAGAAGGTAGACTGTCACCGCCAGCGTTGATGCTAGCATCACTCAATATAGCTATAGATGCTGCCTTGTTGTGTGATTTCCCCTTCACCTAGCCCGTGGCAACGCAACAGAAATCAAACATGTTGATCGTAGCTCGTAGATGGAAAGTAGCAAAACACAGTTTTTGCCCCAAACCTAGAAGCTTGTCTTACACTGTGTGGCTGTTACCATTGGCTACCGGCTTTGTCCCGTAACCATGGTAGCATGACACCATGACATGCAACAGCGCATAGTCTGATTCTCGAGCTTGAGATACACTACAATTGAGTCGTGAGAACGCAATCCATCAGCTACATCCCTGATACCAACTCTTAGGGACTTCTGCAAGCATGTCAAGCAAACAGCAGCACATTCATGTCATACCCTATCAGGGTCTTGTCCTGCAACCCTTCTCAGGTTTTCCTCAGCTCCAGCTGTACATGTAGTACAGGACAAATGAGGAAAGCACCAAACATGTCAGCAGCCGCGATATAATGTGATCCGTGTAGGGCCCATTATGGAAAATGCTAGGTCATGTGATGATCCATGTTTCATGTTACAGGTCATGTGATCCATGGCCCGCAATGCTAGCTAAAGTGAGGTCTGGGCATGGAAGTGGGCAAAGCTAGGTCACGTGATCCACGTACAATGCTAGGTCGTTTGATCCATGTACAGTGTTAAGTCATGTGACCCTAGGGCAAGGCCAGATCAAATGACCAGGGTGCCGGGTACCCTTCATAGGGGGGGGGGGGCACGGGCGCTTCACCAAAGTATTGTATCATCTGTATTACACGTGTAGGATTGCCGGTGCATGCCATCATGGTCATTGTGCATGCTGAACCTCGGTCGAACTTTTTAGGGAGTGCACGTTGCCCCCCCCCCTCCCCCCCCCCCCCCTTCCCGTGCCCCATGCGAGCTACACGCCTGCAGTGATACTGAGAGTGTACTCGCCACACATTCCAAATCTCAAACATCTCCAACACTCCCGGAGGCTTTGGCTGGACTTCAATCAACTTGAGCTCACCTCCTGATCCTTGCCTTGCATCTCCAAAGGATCTCACAAGATGTGTGTTTATATCTATCTGTGAAAACAGGAGGAGCAGCAGATGATAACGCATCATGCTAGTAGCTAGCTCCACATAGAACGAGAGGTTCAGAACAATGACAAGGAGAGCCGGAAATATCACTCGCTGCTACCTGTTGTTACAAGAACTTGGTTGAGTACAAAAGATCAGGTGCTTTGTTGTTGTGGCTCAACACGCACGCACGCACACACACACCACACACACACACACACATACACACACACACACACACACACACACACACACACACACAAGCGCACACACAAACACACACACAAACACGCGCACGCACACACACACCGAAAGAAAGACAATGTAGAAAGCACCTACCAGCTCATTGCATTGACTATTCAGTTGCGAGCAGCGGACCCTCAACGACTCCACTTCCTTGTTCTTTGCCTCCAATGCCAGCTTCAGAGCTCGATATTCTGGCGTGTCAAAGACACTACTGGATTTGGCGGATTTGTTGGGATAGCAGTTGAATACTGGAGTACTTTTACTGGGGTAGAGCAGGGCAGGATTATATGTCCCAGTCTCAGACTTAGGCCTGTTCTCCTGTACCTTCTTTGCATTACTGTTCACCGGCCGTGTGTAACCGAGAGATGGGACACTACTGGATGCTTTATTCCTTGTTCCGGAGGCCGTACTATCCATCACCCGACTTTCACTATTGGTATTGCCTCTGTTCTCATTTCGACTTGAAGACCTGCTTGTCAATACGTCAGTATTGTGGCTAGAGTGACTCCTCGAGGCTGAAGGTGGACGGCGATCGGCGATGGGTGTCAGCGTGCGCTGGATTGCTTGCCGTGTGCCGTGTAGGGCTCTGCCATCGCTCCTGGCAGCAGTCAGCGTAGAGTGACCGTCGACATCGGCCATGGCATAGTCACGTTGTCTGTCGGATGTCTGACGTGACGGGCGCTCCGCAGTGTACTGACTCTGATCTCTGCCGCTCGCACGGGATGTTCCGCTTGCTTTCTTGAGCGGTGGCAGCGTGGAGGTCTGAGGCTTGGACGTACCATGATTACTACCAGGCTGTGAAGAGTGGCTTACTTTGGACGCTGTCCTTGCCATCGGAAGAAAGTACTGATCTCTAGATTGTGATGTTCTTGTTGCAATAAACATGCTTGGAATCTCCATGGCTGGTGGGCCTGAAGAACAAACACAGATTACAGGCTCACAGTTGATATAAACCTCATCTTATGGTCTGTGTGCAATTCAGACTTGTAGTAGACGGACTTCCCCCTACACAAATCACTATGTATTACTATGTAGCGTAGTAGACAGACTTCCCCCTACACAAATCACTATGTATTACTATGTATAGGGCTTGAAAGTGATGACGTCAAAAACGGCCAGGGAGTACTAAGTTGACATCAGATTTTTATTTTGGATCCACTAAGGTGTGACTTTGCTATTGCCTCAGTATGTGGGTGCATAGCAACCCACTCATGTCGTATGCAGGGGTGATTTTTACTTCGACACCAGTTGTAACCCCGCCCCCAGTAGCCAAATCAGTCAGTTTCACTGGTAACATCACCTTGCTGTGAGTAAGACGGCTTGAAATGTGCTTGGATCCATACAAAAACTGGATCCAAGTGGATCCAATTTTTGAATTTTTGAAATTGTTGCTATGCTGTGACGTAGCACTTTCAAGCCCTATTGCACTATGCATTGCTGACACCATCAGATCCCTTGCTTTCATTCGCTAGCTAGCGCTCGGAGCTGTAACTGGCAATCTCGTACCATATATATAGATCCGTGTGTCAGTTGCCCAGCTCAGTTGTTGCAGAGTCTTTGCCTCCGTTGTTTCTGTCGTCTTCCCTTCCCTTATTGAGTCTTTCAATATACTATAAGTAATTCTGTGTCACCTACGTTTGTCGTTCCGTGTGTGCAATATTGTTCCCTGAGAATACTACCTGTGTTTTGCCGGAGAGACTGAACCAGTTTTGCCTTGTCACTCGGTCGCGTATTACATTTGGTGGCAGCGGTGTTAGCTCTGCGTTCGTCAGTCGCAGTATTCCGGACCACGCCTCGTTATTTCGCCGTGCAGTGAACGTTGCCGTTGCCGTTCTCGTCTCAACTCAAGCTGAGTAACTTTGTTCCGTGCCAACTTACGATTTTAATATTTACATTTTTGTAGTGCTAGTATTTTCTAGGCTTACTTTGTTGGATCTATTCGTAGTCTTGCCCCCTAAGTAAGCTAGCTCTTCGTTGCCAGTTTTTCTTGCACTGCTCGCCGTACTTGAACTGTTGCTATAGCGTAGGCTTAGTCCTCAAACGCGTCCCGTGTTGCTTGCGAAGTCCTATAGGCCTACTTGTTTGTTTGTTATCCTTATACAAGACACCGAAAATGGCACAGAATCCTCAAGCTGCTGCTGCCGCTGCCGCTGCTGCTCCCGCTGCACCAGCTCTGGCTCCGGGTCAGGTTCCGGCTCCTCGACAGGCACCACTTGCTCGGCCGGTAGTTGTACCGCCGACGTTTGGGGGTGCCAGCCAAGACGATTGGCACTGCTTCATCGCCAGGTTCGACGCAGCGTGCGTGGTAAATGGGTACCGGGATGCGGAAAGGCTGCAGTTTTTACCTTGTTGTTTCAAGGAGAGTGCTTTTACAACTTACCAGACCATTCTGGCGGCACACCCGCAGTATACGTATGTAGAAATGTGCACCGAATTAGGGCTACGGTTCGCACCGCCACAGCAAAGTCGCCTCCTTGAGGCCGAGTTTCGAGCTCGCCTGAAACGATCCACTGAGTCCCAGGCCGAGTTCGCCGCAGCTCTTCAGCGCCTTGCGGCACGCGCCTTTCCAGGTCAACAGGGTCCGCTGTTAGATCGCCTGACGCTCAATCAATTTATTGACGGCCAGGTCAATAGTGACCTGCGCTTGCACATCAGGACATCCAGCCCTGCAGCCCTCGATGCCGCCGTTCGACGGGCGTACGAAGTTGCAGCGATCTTAGAGGTCGAGAATCGCCGCAGTCTTCCAGTTCCTACACCAGCCTGCGCTGCCCTGACCGCCTCTATGCCTCAGGCACACTCCGTAGGTCCACTCGCGGATCCGACTCCTACGTCCAGTGCCACCGTGGCCCACGTAGCTCCGAGTTCGACTTCGAGCTCCACCGACCCGCTCGTACTATCGTTGTTGAGCAAAATTTCGGACCAGCTAGCTGATCTACAGGTCTTCTCCGCAACCTCCGCTCCGTCGCCACGGGCGTATAGTGACGACACTCGAGCTCCACGCGGCCGTGGTCACAGCGTCTTCCCTCGAAGCGCGCCCATGTCGGGCCCAACTCGATTTCCTGGCAGCTCGAATCGTAACCCGCCTCCGTACAACGGCACAGGCCGCGGACTTTACGATGGCGCGCGTGATCGCGGGTGCTTCACGTGTGGCGATCAGTCCCACTTCCGTCGTGATTGTCCCCACTCGACGCGTGGGGGTCGTCCGTCGGGAAACCGCTATTGACTGGTGCTGCTCGGCAAGCTCCAGTCTTCGATACTAGTGTTCCTAGCTCGACTGTGCCGACTTGTACTGGTTGTGAATGTCGTCCCTGTTATTGTACTGTTGATGTGCGTTGCCCTACGTCTGCACCTGTGACTGTGTGTCCTGTTACGCATGTTCAGTCGTCTTCTGCAGTTTCTCCGTCTGTCTATGTTGCGGTTAGTCTCCAAGAGACGAAATGCCATGCTCTAGTTGGCACTGGGTCTAGTGTTTCCCTTGTGTCTACTGCATTGTGGCGTAGTCTGTGCACGACCTCCTCTGTCCCTGTGTCTGCTGCTCCTGTTGTGTCTGGTGTGACGGGCCGTCCCCTCTCCACTACGGGTACCGTGTCCCTCTCTGTTTGTACACCCTCGTTCGTAGCTGTTCAGAATTTTATCGTTGCTGCTGATATCACGTCTGATGTAATCCTCGGTGCTGACTTCCTACAGCAGCACAATGTCCTGCTTGATTTCTCCCGGGCTCAGTTGGTCCTGGATGATGTTAAATTGCCGCTTGTACCCCTTCCCCGTGTGCGTTCGCTTTCTGCTGCTGTTGCTGCCGCGCCCACACCAGCCCATGTTACGACTGTCGTGCCCGACCTGAGTGCTCCGACTGTTCCTGCTGCCGTCGCTGCCTCCGTACCTGCTGCCGTCCCTGCCTCCGTGCTTGCTGCTGCTGCTCCGCCTGCTGCTGCTGCCAATGCTGTTGAATCTCTGGTGTCTCGTGTTGCTTCCTCGTTCCGTGTGTGCATCACACAGTCTGTTTCAGTTCCGCCCTGTCATGAAGTTATTCTTCCGGTTGCCCCGTCGGTATGTGCTGCTGGCTCTCCTGCTGCTGATACTTCGTATCTAATCGAGCCCCTTGATTCGTTCTCAGAGAAACACCCGACATTGGATGTCGGAACGTCTGTCACGTCCCCGGATAACTTGGTTATCAATGTGGTTAACCGTGGTACCACCCAGATTACCTTGCATGCAAATACTCATATTGCTGTATGTGAACCTGTCCCTGAGTGTGCTGACACTTGTGCTGCTGTTGATGATTCGCCGTTCATGCCGCCGCCGCCTGTACCAGTAGAGAAGATTGATGCGTATATCGAAAAGAATTGTTGTCACCTGTCACCAACGGACCGTTCTACCTTGCGTGACCTTCTCCTGCAGTACCACGATGTATTTGCTCTTCATCCCGACGACCATGGGTACTGTGATCTTGCGCCACATAAGATAGACACAGGTGATCATTCGCCTATTAAACAACAACCTTACCGTGTTCCATTCCGTCATCGTGAGCAGCTCCAGAATATTATCAATGACCTTCTGCAGAAAGGTGTCATTATTCCCTCTGCGAGCCCGTGGGCTTCGCCTGTTGTCCTCGTGCCTAAGAAAGATGGCTCTCTGCGTCTCTGTGTTGACTATCGCCGGCTCAACAAGATCACCACAGCTGATGCTTATCCTCTTCCTCGGGTCGACGATACCCTAGACGCGTTCTCTGGCTCTAAGGTATTCTCGACACTTGACCTTGCTAGTGGCTACTGGCAAATCGCAATCCACCCTCAAGACCAAGCTAAAACAGCCTTCGTGACGCCCCTTGGGTTGTACGAGTTCACGGTTCTTCCTATGGGTTGCTGCAATGGGCCTGCCACATTTCAGCGCTTGATGCAAACGATCCTCAATAATCTCCTTACCAGTCCTGATCCCGTCTGCCGTGTGTTTTTTGATGACATTGGCCTTGGGTCAGCCACTGTTAGTCTTGGCTTGGATGGCCTCCGGTCCGTTTTCACGTGTCTTCGTCGGTACAATCTCAAGCTTCGGCTTGAGAAATGCGCTTTCCTGCAGCCCCGCACTAAGTTCCTTGGTGTGGACATCAGTGCCGATGGCCTTCACACCTCAGCTTCGAAGGTTCACGATATTGTTCACTGGCGTACGCCGACATCCGTTCGTGAAGTGCGTGGTTTTCTCGGCCTCGCTGGGTATTACCGGAAATTTGTTCCGCACTTCGCGCAAGCTGCCGCCCCACTGGCCGCACTCACTAAGAAAAATGCGAAGTTTTCCTGGGGTCCTGCTTGTCAGGCTGCTTTCTGTGTACTAAAAAAACGCCTCTCATCTGCGCCTGTGCTTGCTCAGCCTGACTACACGTCTGCCGCCGCTCCCTTCATCCTTGATGTTGATGCCAGTGATTTTGGTATGGGCGGTGTGCTCTCTCAGGTACAAGATGGCCATGAGTGTGTGATTTCCTACGGTAGTGCTATTCTCAACACCGCCCAACGTAACTACTCCACTACAGAGAAGGAACTCCTTGCATTTGTTCACTTCGCTGATGTGTTCCGCTACTACCTCGTTGGTCGAGCATTTGTTGTGCGCACTGATCATGCTGCTCTCAAATGGCTCCATTCGCTCAAGGAACCACGCGGTCGTCGTGCCCGTTGGTTAGAACAACTTGCTGAACTCGAGTTCACGGTTATTCATCGCCCTGGCCGTCAACATTGCAATGCCGATGCTCTGTCTCGCCGTCCTCCTGAGTCTGTTGCCGCCACTACCCGTCAGTCACCGCCTGACCAGTCGTCACCAGCCGCACCAGCAGCTCCTGCTCCTGCTTGTGATCCGGTACCCACTGTACCGAAACCTGCACCTGACTCCTGGCTGCCGCGCTTTACTGCTGCTGAGCTGCTTGCTGCGCAAAAAGAGGATCCTGATGTGTCCATTGTGTTAGGCTGGCATGATTCTAGTCATGATGTGTTTAATTCTCCCCCTGCACACACATTAACTGCCTCTAGCCGGGCTGTTCGCCGCTATGCTTCTGAAATTCATTTGCTTTCCCTACGTGATGGTGTTTTGTATCGCACAGACCCATCGGCTGATTCTGTTTTGCAATTAGCTGTTCCGTTCTCTTTCCAAGCTGATATCTTAGCTGCAGTGCACGCCGATGTTAGTGGTGGTCATCTCGGTGCTACAAAGACCATTGACAAGGCCAAATGCCGTTTCTTCTGGCCAGGTATGTCAGCTGATTTGCGCACATTTGTAGCTAATTGCCAAGAGTGCATGTCCCGTAAGAGCGCTACGACTGGCCGAGCACCATTGCAGTCCATGCGAGCTGGCTTCCCTAACGAGATCGTAGCCATGGATCTCGTTGGACCACTGCCTACCAGTCGCCATGGCAACCGTTACCTACTGGTATGTAGTGACTACTTCTCACGTTGGCCTGAAGCGTACCCTCTACCCACTATGACTGCTGCTGCCGTTGCGGATGTGTTCTTTCGGAACTGGATCTGTCGGTTTGGTGCCCCAGAACAACTCCACACCGATCAGGGCACACAATTTGAGTCTGAACTCTTCAGTGAACTGTGTCGCCTCATGCATATCCGAAAGACTCGGACCACCGCGTATCATCCCCAGGGCGATGGGCTCGTGGAACGCCTCAACCGCACCATAGTTTCAACGTTGCGAGTGTATGTAGCGGATCTGCCCACCTTCTGGGATCAGTATGTTTCAACCGTCCTGCTTGCATACCGTACAGCCAAGCATTCTTCTACCCAATTCACCCCAGCTCAGCTTATGTTTGGTCGCCAACTCCGTCTGCCTATCGACCTTGTCTATGGGTCACCCCCGACAGAGTTTGTGTCGCCCGCCGAATATGTCACACAACTGTCCAAGTCCCTCCACCATAGCTTCGATACTGCCCGTCGTAATGATAATGCTGCGCACCACAGCCAGAAGGACCACTACGACCTTCGTCAACGTGGCACTGCATTCCAAGTCGGTGATAGTGTGTGGCTCCTTGAACCTGGAATGCGTCGCAAACTCCAGCCACCGTGGACCGGACCATACCGGATTGTCCATGTGTCGCCGCCAACGTCATACGACATTCAATTGATCAACGAACCCTCCAGCACCAGTAAGCGTGTACATTTCAACCGCCTCAAGCTACACGCCCGCTCAAACGCCAAGTCGTCAGTCTCTCAGTCCGGCCCAGATGTCCCGCTGTCTGAAGCGCCACTGGCTCCTACTTCTCCATGTCTGCCGCCTGTTCCGCTATTCTCCTGGCCTGATGCTGATGATGCCCCACCCCAACCTGTTCCTCCTCCGCCGCCGGTTTTGCTGCAGCCAGCACCACCAGCACCTGGTCCGCGTGCCCATCTGCACCGCAACGCCGGTCGTCCTGTTCGTTACAGGAACAACTATGTGTTCCCACAATGAGTTCCAAACTCGCACTTGCCTTGCCTTTCTGCTCCACTCTGTTTCCATTGTGTGCTTGTGTATGATTTTCTTTTTCTTGCTGATGTATTTTGCTGCTTGAGCCTCGTTTAGGTCTACGTTAATTCTGTATTATGTTCTTGTTTGTTTTCCGAGGACGGAAAATTATTTGAGGGGGGAGCAGTGTAGTAGACGGACTTCCCCCTACACAAATCACTATGTATTACTATGTAGCGTAGTAGACAGACTTCCCCCTACACAAATCACTATGTATTACTATGTATTGCACTATGCATTGCTGACACCATCAGATCCCTTGCTTTCATTCGCTAGCTAGCGCTCGGAGCTGTAACTGGCAATCTCGTACCATATATATAGATCCGTGTGTCAGTTGCCCAGCTCAGTTGTTGCAGAGTCTTTGCCTCCGTTGTTTCTGTCGTCTTCCCTTCCCTTATTGAGTCTTTCAATATACTATAAGTAATTCTGTGTCACCTACGTTTGTCGTTCCGTGTGTGCAATATTGTTCCCTGAGAATACTACCTGTGTTTTGCCGGAGAGACTGAACCAGTTTTGCCTTGTCACTCGGTCGCGTATTACAAGACTGAAAAGAAATAGTGAATCCATACTGCATGGTGGTGCCACCGGAATTTCAGGTGGCCCAGTCAAACGGGATACTCGACCAGAAATGTACATTATTGAATTTTAAGGAGCAGCTATTCAGCATATTCAGCATGGCTTTTTACAATGGCTACATCACTGCCCATACAAGTACTTCACAAGTCTGCAAATAGCGGCGACAATGGTGATCGGGAAAATACTCGTATACCAAGCTTATTAGCTTGGTATACTATGCTAGCACCTGAACTCGGAGCCTCACCGGCTCTCTCCCTCTCCCTCTCCTCTCTCTCTCTCTCTCTCTCTCTCTCTCTCTCTCTCTCTCTCTCTCTCTCTCTCTCTCTCTCTCTCTCTCTCAGGTATCAATGACTTTGCAGCTAGATCTCAGTCACAACAGCTGAAACAGACGTCCCGGATGATACAATTATAAGGGCATTGCCGCCGAGAGAAAGCAGGATCGTAGTCAGAGATACAAGTTGCAACCTTGCCCTATACCATTTTTGTAGGCCCGAAAGGGATATATGAACACTGCATGCTACACCATAGAAGCTGGGTCAAATAGAGCACAAGATACTCGTGATCATCTTCACTTTGTAATCTGACTCTACTGTATGAGCACTTTTCAAATAAGCTTACCAGTACCATTGCGGGCAGCCAGGCTGTCTTGGCTTAGGACTGCATGGCGGAGTCCTACATTGCTGGCCAGCTCTCGTTCAATAGATGACTGAACTTCCTCTGCGAACCAGACAAGGACAGCAGGATAAGACAGTTTATAAGCTGATTCATCATGGTATGGTGGTGGTGGGGGGGGGGGGGGGGGGTAGCTTTTGATGTACACATACCCGGCATTTATCATCATCCTGGGAATATTAACATGATTGTGTCCCACATCCCCAGCAGGGTACCATAATATGCATTCATCTGCATTCACGGCAAGGAAAATCAGAAAGACACTCTGCTCCGTACAAGCTGGTGAGGTACCTTAGTGCCTTCATTGAACATACCACCCAAATGTTCTTGATAGAGGAGAGCTGAATCACATTTCGCCTCTCCGATGATAATTAATCATAAACCCAAGACAAGTCGCGCACTTTTGCAATTTGGAGGGCATATACTGAGGGCATATACTGAGGGCATATACTGAGGGCATATACTGAGGGCATATACTGAGGGCATATACTGAGGGCATATACTGAGGGCATATACTGAGGGCATATACTGAGGGCATATACTGACGGCATATACTGACGGCATATACTGACGGCATATACTGACGGCATATACTGACGGCATATACTGTTGTATACATACATACTATTGCGTAAGTCGCGCACTCGCGATGAGTCATGCATTTTTTTCTTCAACACAGGGTGCGCGACTTATCGTGAGTAGACAGTACTGTTTGGGTTGCTAGTCTTGGTGTTTGGGTGTTTGCATGGATAAAAGGCGATGCATGGACGTCAACAAACACGTGTGACATCCAGTAATACTGTGCGTCAGGTATCATAGTTTTTAAATTTTATTACGACCATAATGTCTAACACTCACCAGCTGTGGCATTCAAATCGTGACCAGTGCTGGGGTCAGACGGCACCGGCAGATCGTCCCAAACATGATCTGGCCTGCAACCATGACAGAATGAACAAAACCCGGAATGATAACATCCGAGTGCAAAATGATGGAGTACATGTATGTCCAGCATGCGTACAGACCTGTGGGCAAATGGGTGTTGCACTGCTTTTAAAACTTTAAAGATCCGCAGAGCACACATTTCATCCAGAAAATATGTACAGATGATATCACAACGGCGTTCTGCATGTGGTTTTCACTTGATCAATTCAAGCTGCACGCATGCCAGATCTTTGCTTCAAATTTACAAGTGTGTATTGTTTTACTGGAGTACCCTAGGATCAGTGATTATCACGGTCTGCTTCGATGAGTATGTACGGGTCTTTGCGCTGCACTTGAAAAAGAAAGTCAACCAATGTTTCGGCCCTGGGTCACCCGATCAGGAATGTTTGTTTTAGTTTCTTCACTTTCCTGATGGTGGCACTGGGCCGAAATACTGGCAAGTTGATTTATCTTTTTGTCTTTTTCAAAAGCAGGTCAGAGACCGGTTCAACGGAACATTGGTGACTGACATAATTTACAGCATTGCTGATAGCAAAACGTTATTACAGCGAAACCTGTCAAAGACAACCGCTCAGGGGACCTTCAAAATGTGGTCTCTGTTACCCGAGGTGGTCTCCTTATCCAGGGCCATTTGACTGGAAATAGCATCCCTTGGTTCTGGTTGCAGTGGTCTTCTGGGACAGGTGGTTGCCTCATCACAGTGGTCTTCTGGGACAGGTGGTTGCCTCATCACAGTGGTCGTGTTGACAGGTTTACTGTACCTCCTCCATCTTATAATGTCAATAGAACCATGATGGTAAGTACTCTACATACAAAAACCCAATAGAACCATGATGGTAAGTACTCTACATACAAAAAGTGCACAAGTTCTGCACTGGCAGTCAAGAAACTTCAAAGAGGTGAATCGTGAGGCATTGTGACATATCCGGCAAGTATCCTGGCGACGTGCAAGTTTCTTTGAGCCAGTTGTGCTGTTGATCCATATCTTCGCATGCGCCTCGGAAAGTCAGATCATTTCCGTTAATCGTTTTTCTTTGTAATTTTCCATTCATTTTCTGCTTTAATTCATATTTGCTTTGTTTTCCTAGCTTACTATTGCCGTGGCTGGCTCAACGCCCTTGTCTCAGGGGATTATGTCCCTGCATTAGCTATGCTTGTCACATGCTATGAGATTGTGTCTAATAATAATAATAAATAATTGAACTGATGCCCAACTGACTCTACCATTCTTATCAGTTTCCATGCCGGCACGCCTGGTCTCTTTGTGTCCTTCCGCGCTCCCACCTGCGGCCTTTGTATTGCTCCCGCCCTACTACAGAGCGCACACAATCATGTATGTGCATTGTATAAATTCCGACTACTTGTACATGTAGTGGCGAGTGTTAGCCTATCCATACTGGAATGAGGCATACAATAGTCATGCAGTCTCGTACTTTAGTCTACAAGTTCATGTACATTGGAATGGCTTCCTGTCTGAAGCCTTTCCATACTGGTACTCGATGTTCCAGTTTTGTGACACGAGAATGGCACGAGAATTAGTGTACCGCTGAGTGTACCGCTATACACGTGGTCGACACTTAGTCGACACGTTGTTGATACTTTTTTGACACGTGACCCCGTCAACGGTCTGCTTTGTGCCAATGACACTCGGTAAACGCCGATGTCGCGTACGACAAAGACGACTATCCCGTACGCGAAATAGTTGAGAACTGCATGACGTGGACCTACCTAGTACCTGACGGCAAGGACAACTGCGAGGAGGCCCCTTTCGGTACCCCTGACGGGAAGGAGAACTGCAGAAGTCGAACGAGGAGGCCCCTTTTCCGTACCCCATACTGCAAAGTGCCATTGATGGATACCTTTTGCACCTGGAACGACCCCTTAAACGCTGTCGCGGCGACTATCCCGTACGCGAAATAGTTGAGAACTGCTGACGTGGACCTTTTGCACCTGGAACGGCCCCGTAAACGCTGTCGTGTCGGCGGAGTGAATGTGCAGGGTACTACATTGTAGGGTGAAAAGAATTGCTGCAAAGACGTCCCCTCTACTAGGCTCTAGCCAGTCTAGGCCTTTGCCTTTGGAGACATCGTCGGCGAACTGAATGCGCAGGGCGAAAAGAATTGCTGCAAAGACGTCCGCTCTAGGCCTTTGGAGACATCGTGGGAACTCCTTCCGGTACTATACAAACTGCTGACGTGGCCGTGGACATGTACATGGAGAGTCATGGTGGGACTTCATGTACATGGATACATGGTGGGAATTCCTTCCGGCACCCCCGTACCGCAAAGCCAACGGTGGGGAAGGAGAAGTGCAGACGTGCAGGAAGACGAACGAGGAGGAACCAGGACGAGCGAGCAATGGCAGGACTAGCTGGACCGTAAGTAATAGCTGAATTGTGCATGACAACTTGACATCCATGCGGCACTCGCCACTTGCCACTGCATATTTCTTGTCCACTAACAATGTCTCTCCTCTGCCCCCTGTGAGTCCACGGCCCTGTTGCTGAATTGGCCCGATGAATCGAATGTCTTCCGCAACTGGAACGGCCCCGTGAACGCTGTCGCGTCGGCGACTGAATGCGCAGGAGGGAAAATATTGCTGCGAAGACGTCTCCTCCAGACGACGGTAAGGCACCCCATTGATATGTTGCCAGTGTGTGCCAGGGTATCGCGCGATGGTGAATGAGGAATGATGAAGGGTACGGTGGGACTGTAGACCTGTTACCTTCTACTAACACGTTATCAGGTGGAGAGTGTCTTGTACTCACGTTATCAGGTCGAGAGCGTATTGTAGTCACTCTCTCTATTCCTGTACTTCATTACGTTTAAGGTGTACGTATAACTTCTCAAAAAAATTTAATGGTCTACAGTCGTGTCGGAAGGGTACGGTGGGACTGTAGACATGTTACCTTCTAACACGTTATCAGGTGGAGAGTGTCTTGTACTCACGTTATCACTATATCAGGTCGAGAGCGTATTGTAGTCACTCTCTCTATTCCTGTACTTCATTACGTTTCAGGTGTACGTATAACTTTTCCAAAAAATTTAATGGTTCACGTCTTCAGATAGAGAGCGTATTGCACCCACTGTCTAGTCTCTGTAGTGCATTGAGATTTTGTTGATCGAACATGAAATGGATACACAGACAAAGCCAGGCCAAGTACATGGCGAGATGTCGCCAGAAGAACGTCTTCAGGTAGAGAGCGTATTGCACCCACTGTCTAGTCGATTTTGTGGATCGCACATGAAATGGATACACAGACAAAGCAGGCCAAGTACATGAGAGAGTGGACGATGTGCAGATCGACACGGCCTGCGGGTACTTCATTAAAGTTACCCGTGACATAACTAGGATAAAAGTTAATCACTGCAAAAACATTGCCAAGTATGTGAGCACTTTGGACTTGACAGAAGAGTGCACGGGCGACGTTGACAAAACATACCGCGGTGACTGTCACTATCATGACAGCAGGGCACATCGCACGCAGCATCGCAGATCGTGTCGAATTGCGCATCATAATATTGCAAAATTGCTCCTGTGCATGCAAGTGGATTTCATTGCACTTCTCAGTTTGGGAAATGCTCGATTATGACAATTCTCCGTGTGAGTGCACTAGCCCTGAACAGACATGTAGGTGAACCGTTTGTGGTGTCTCATAGCCTACCTCACGACCTTCTGCTTTCTTTCTTCATCACTTGTATCTTGCAGGTATATCATCCCGTGACGACCACACTGAAGTCTGAATTTGAAGTGTGAAGATGCTTCAGCAACCACATCGTACTTTTCCATTGCTTTCATTGTGCTTCTACTGTGCATGTGTGTAACTTGTGGGGTAAACATGTGATGACATTGTACGCTGGCGACACGGTCAGATGTTCATGCGTCTAAAGTACACCTGCATGTTATGCATTGAAAAGGGTTTGCCACTTGCGATCCTGGGACGAGTATCAGGTCCGCTTTTTCCTGTGTGGGCTGTATCAGATTGCTGTTCACTTCTCTATCTGTTGGATATGTGACTTTCTGCAAGTTTCTGGTGTATGATGGCCACGTCCTTGCTTGTCACTTTGTATGATATTACATTCTGTATTCGCTGCTTCCATGGCATGGTCTGCAAACTGCAATCCTTGGGCAAATGTCATGTTTGCTATGTTGTGCTTTGGCCGTCAGCTTGTCTACACGCTGTAGTTGAATTATTTTTGTTTCACAACTGACTTCCTCAAGTACGGTGGCCACTGCTTTGCATGGCACCACTGCTTTGCATGGCATTATACATGAAGAATTTCCTGTTTGTGTCGTGTGCATGTGCGTATGTGTGCGTGGCCACGTGTGTGTGCCGTGTGCATACACATGTTTGTGTATCTGAGTGCGGGGTAGCGAGGCGGGGAGGGCTGGTATGCATCCGTGTGTTATTGCAGTCGCATGGCTACATACAGTACATCGCGCGCGTGGTCATCGTGTTTACCTTCGGGGTTGGGGTGGGGAGGGAACGGAAAAAGAGCTGAAATTATCCATATAAAAATCGCTCTGTGAGCGGTTCTGAAAAACCTTTACTGGTACTGCCCCGTCGTAAAAGTAAGAAATTAGAACTGGCCCATTGTCCCCCCAAATGCGAACTGATCCACCTAAATCGCGAATGACGGGACCCGAACGCACCAGTAGCACGAGGTTCCAACCTGTGGATGCAGATGGGGACGTTGGTCCGGACCATAGGCCATGTACTGTACTAGCGGTAGGCTTCCCTATCAAAATAATAAATTCTACTGCTACTACTGGTGTTACCCTATGATAATTGCCGTGATCCTGTGCCCTCCCGACCTCGTGCTACTGGTGCGTTCGGGTCCCGTCATTCGCGATTTAGGTGGATCAGTTCGCATTTGGGGGGACAATGGGCCAGTTCTAATTTCTTACTTTTACGACGGGGCAGTACCAGTAAAGGTTTTTCAGAACCGCTCACAGAGCGATTTTTATATGGATAATGTACATGCATTGAACAGTCGTATACTTTAGTCGATTGATTGAATTATTGAAGTGATCAGTTCCGTACCTTTTGCTCAGGTCCCGCCGTCGTTTGCTATTCGCTTCATGGCCGTTCATATTCGCTAAATCTGAGACCGCGAAGTGATCGTGACTGAAGGTCTGTAAAATCTAAGCGAGATTGACTCGGACTGCAGCTAGGTTGATACGAGAATGTGACTATTTTGACTGACTGCACTCAACTCTGTCGACCAGTTCGCTACAACACGCTTCACAATAATTATTGTTACGTCCTCAGCACACCGATATCAACTGACACACACTGTCCGCGGCTCGTGCAGTGTTTCATCGTCATTTTGGAGAACGCTTGAGAAACATTGCAGATTTCATTGGCAGTTCATTCGCCCCTAATCCTATCGTCATTCACAAAACGACAGTCATGGTAGACCATCATGACATAATTGTAATTTGTACTCTTGCCTGACTCCAAGTCCAAGTCCAACTGAGTCTCGACTCTTGCCTTGGACTGTTGGACCTAACTAATACTTACTGTAACTATTGTTACTTAGTAACCATGGTAACAGTAATAATTACTACTTCCAAGAGTACATGAACTCTTGCTACTTCCTTAGTAACTCCCCTTGGCAACAGAACTCGCCTAGGCTAGCAGAGTCACCATGATAACAAGAGTACACACACAGGTTTATGTACTCTTGATGATAAAATAACCTAATAACTCCCGCCTATGCAGTGTAGCTCCTGTCTAGTACCGCGTCGGTACTAACCTACGGCAAGGAGTAGCGCCAGTAGTCAGTACGAGTCTATTCATTGCCGAATTAATATTTGGGTTGTCTTTTTGTTTGGGTTCTTACTTCGTGGCTTCACGCTTTGTGGATAAACTTGTTAGCTGTTCTCAAGTAGATCTACATCAACATGTCTAAAAACTATTCCATGATTACTACTAATCCATTCCCTGCTGCTATTACTAACTGGTGAGAGAGAGAGAGAGAGAGAGAGAGAGAGAGAGAGAGAGAGAGAGAGAGAGAGAGAGAGAGAGAGAGACAGAGAGAGAGAGAGAGAGAGAGAGAGAGAGAGAGAGATCAGAATAGAGAGAGAGAGAGAGAGAGAGAGAGAGAGAGAGAGAGAGAGAGAGAGAGAGAGAGAGAGAGAGAGATCAGAATAGAATGACCGAGCAAAGCGGACAAACACCACAGTGTGGAAAAAAAAAGAATAAACATGTATTTATATTTTCGAATCTAGGATAGAGCTCAAGACAATAACATGACGTTGAGAATTGGGCAGGCAACAACAGCCCCTAAGGCAGCATACAGTGGTCTAATACTAATAATATGTACAGAACATTCCGCAAAATGCGGAATACGAAAGAACAAGGAGGTAGAGCAGTGATTGTCTAGATGTATTCATAATAAATAAACAACGGTTGGTCTGAGCAAATAGACGTTAGCAGCAGAAGCAGTAGCAGAAGGCTAGTGACAGCCTTTTCGAGAGTTAGCTCCATACTCTGGTGTTGTTGACTGGGTCTGCCAAAAATGATTAGCAAAAGAGTACGGAATAATTTAGGAAGGTTTCTGTTCGTCAAGCGGCAGAGCTCAGATAGGAAACACTACCGAGACGATGACATAACACATACGATCGTCACCATCAACCTGGCTGGATAGCGGTACCAGATAGGTAACAGAACACACAAACATACACATGCACACACACACACACGGACAAGAATGGACAACATCGAAGCTATTAGCAGCCAGATGAGACAATCCACTCGACAAGAGTGCGACAATCAAACAGGAGAAGACTTAACGAACTATAAGAACTTAGTGTGTGAGGTCTGAGCAATGCTGATGCATTGTCCAGAAACGGGCAAGGTTAGCAGAAGCAAACAGAAAAAGTAGGACAAATACCACGATTGGACACATATTGGTCAATGTAGGCAGACAGAAGTCGGAAGGTCTTGCTTGCACTGCTTTTGCTGCTGCCTCAGCTAAACACACTGGAGCTGGAACCAAGGTACTTCCCGTTGGACATGGACTTGTCCAACAATCCCCTCTCGGACTGCCGCGTAGCTTGTGGTACATTGGGGCACGACCTCCCCCACGCTGCTTTCTGCGAGCCGAGGGATGCAGGACCAAAAGAATCTGAACTGCTGGAACTTCCTGCCTTTGTGGAGTTCACATTGGTGAGAGACGTGCTACGTGAGACACCGCTTTGTGCACCAGTGGGTGTGGAGACCTGAGCGTGGAAGGAGTAGCCTTGGAAGTGGCGCTCAACAGACACCATGAGTCGCCTGCAGTGGTTTCGAATGTCACCATCCACATCTGCACAGTAACATTATACAGAGAGAGAGAGAGAGAGAGAGAGAGAGAGAGAGAGAGAGAGAGAGAGAGAGAGAGAGAGAGAGAGAGAGAGAGAGAGAGAGAGAGCACATCCAGTCTTACAACAGTAGTCAGCTCACCAAAAAGAAAGCACAAAGCCCAGTGAAATACAGACAACAACCAAACAAGCAATGCTGGTTGCCTATACCTATCACAATCAACAGCAACAGGAGAGGAAGCGCATGTTCTCAAAAATTGTGTGGGTAGAGATCATCAAGATACACCCTCCAAGGAGGGTAGAATACTATCAAGAAGATTAGGGAACCGGCTGCTCGTCAGGGCAAAGAACGTGCTACCTCAGGGACATGCTGCCTTAGAACTGCAAAATGAATCAGGCTTGGCTAGAATATATCTTGCCCCCCCCCCCCCCCCAACCAACAAACCCACAGTTATCAACACAAGCCTTACCAGCGAGCACAGCCGTGACATCAGGGGTGGCAGTTGCACTTTGGCTGCAGAGAGGGAGAGAGAGAGAGAGAAATTACCACAATGAAACAATCTAGAACAGCATTGACACAAGAATGGAAGGGACACAAGCGTGTAGATATACATGTGGAATGATCGATCAAACTGAGACCGTGTAATGCTGCATACGTACGTTGTACAACTCAGCCATGAATTCTGCATTACTTGTACAGTCAATGAGTCAAGTTTCCTTTGCACAAAGTGCGTGAGACGGCATTTCAAAAAAGCTGTACTGTAAGACATGTTATAATAACGATTCGAAAATTTAAGAATTGTCCTAAATTGATAGGTTAACGAGAATATACGTCAACGATCTTGCGGTCTTCAGGCATATCCGCACATAACACATGTGAGGCATACATGTCTTACAGCACTTTGACGGCATGGATGAATCCTTAAAAGGTTACCTTGATGCTACACGCACACTACCATCAGCACCCCCCCCCCCCCCTCACTGCCCCCAATGACCGCTACCAGGTGTATTAGTAAATCGACTCAAAGAAATTATGTGTGAAACTAAACAGCACAGTTAATGCACACGCCATTACACACTTACAATAATTCGTAGAACTTCAGCAGGGCACCGGCGTAGAGGTCGTTAAGCACGCCAAAAATCTGTTGCCGCTGATTGCAAATCCTGGCCAAGTGGGATAGACAAACACAGCAATACGATGAGTAAGGAATCCAACATTTCTGCATCTTTTCCAAATAGCCAAACACGAAGCAGTCGAAATGGGGTCAGAGTGTTGACAAGGAGAAATAACGAAATGGTCCATCAGCTACACTGTCAATCTATCAATCAAGGTGCATGCACAACACGGCAGTGACTGCCATCCCGAGCTACAACAGATTTGCATTGCCTTGTACAATGAACACATTGCAGGCATATCATTAGTTCATGCAACCAATTACTATCGGTAGTTTTAGGACCCCAGTCCTCCTCAGTATCCACACAAACACACACACACCACACCACACACACAACTCTGCTTCAGTTGACTACATGCCCTCCTTCACCAACTCACTTTTGAAAGTACGATGTGTGTAAGGCTAAAAGCACGGAGTTGGTGATCTTTGCTGACACCTCAATGAAGTTGAAATTCTGCATGGAGAAAGACACGGGCCAGAAGACGTTAGAAGTTCGTTGCCAGAATTGAAAATGAAAAGACAGTGTGGAAAAGTTCGAAAATTAGAGTATGAAAGAGAGAGAGAGAGAGAGAGAGAGAGAGAGAGAGAGAGAGAGAGAGAGAGAGAAAGGCATGCACACAAATGTCAAGAAAGCCCGTCACATGCCCTCGCACGCTCTCGCACAAGCAAACATTCTGCATACATACCTTGCCTCCCTCGGACAGATGGAATATATCAACGACAAGGCCCTGCAGTCCATCGGTGTTGATAAGGTGGAGCAGATGCATGTAGGCTACCAAACCACCGCCATCAACTCCAGTCGACCCATCATCTGAGAATGGAAAGGAAAGGCAGCACAAGCAAAGAAAATATCACTGCAAAGTGCTTTGCAGATCCAAAAAGAACAGTATTACACCTATTTCAGTATACAGGTTCATACACACTTTGCGCACTTTTCCTCATTGTTCATCTGGTATATTTACCGAGGGTTGGTTCACTTCACCTAAGCCAAATTGGCGATGAGCAATTACTACAAAGCAGTACAAAAATGAACCCAAGTGCTATGACAGGATTGCCCAGTAGAGCGGGAATTCTTGCTTCTTCAGAAATTCACCGGAAAGCAATGGTCTAGGCGTGATGGCGCAGGCCTTGCAGCCATGTATATGCATACGGTACACCGGGTTTTAAGGGGGTAGGTATGCCTGGGGATGAACTGTGCACAATCCAGCATTGCAAGTCTGATCTATTGTGTTGGTGTACAGTCTGGATCTATCTACCGCCCCCTGCAGAACAAGCAGCCAGGAAGTGACTCAGCGTGGCAGGCGGATCAACCATATTCAAGGCTACATGTACTTCCGAAGCATGTCCGACATACAACAACACACGGTACTGTGGTGGGCAGTCAATCCGACCACTCACTCGAGAAGTGAGCTGCGGGTTACATGGTGGACGTGTGAGCTGAGCTGGGTTGGATTTGCAGCGCTATAGGGCATCAAAGGCTGCTTACTCGGGGCGTAGAAAGGGTGCCCGTGGTTGGATTTCACTCGCCAGCACTGTATAGTACATGTAGGTATGTCTGAAAGTACCCAAAATTATGTCCTGAGGGCAGTGAAAGTACAGTGGCTTGTGGCGCGTTTGCATTTCTACGAATGCAAGGCCAAGCACAAATCACGGCCCAGGCAATGCACGGCTTTCACACCTCAGCCGTGCTTCGGTAGTGTACGAGTTGCCCTATCGTGTGCCTGCAAACACTCCAGAGGTATGCATAGTGCTAGCCTAGGGCAGCTTGCCACGGCATGAGATGAGCAGGCATACACTATTTGTATGTACAGAGTGTGTGCGGTCCGAGCTCATTTGTTCATGTACACATGGAGAACATCCATGAGTCCGAAGTCTTTCCCACGCCAGTGATTATTCACCAGAGAAGGACTACGTGAGATCAACTGCACACAAAATAATGGTTAAAGACAAATCAGTATGTGAGAACACACATACCTTTGCAACCGATTTTACTCCAATGTTTGCCAGTGGTTGGACAGCTACCACCGAGTTCTGACACAAAGGGAAATAAACGATACACATGTGCATACAGTCAGCAAAATTAATGTCATGAATACAAATCTGCCTATAAAAGGATGCTACTCGAAAAGCACACCATATATGGATTTTAACCTGCAGCTACCCCTCCCCTGCCTACCAAATATGGGATTTGTCCTCCAGTCACCTGATAAAAATAATGTGATAAAACCATCTACTGACCAAGATCTAGTATCATTCATATCTCTTTGTCTGTCACCAGTTAATCCTATATGTAGGATTAGACTTCAAGACGCACTTGCAGTCTCGAAAATGGTCGAAATGGATTCAATGTTATTGAGGATACATTTCGATCTTTCCCACAATGCATCTCTTTCTTTAAAATGAATGAATAGAGGTTACCCAATGGCTAAGACCCCCAGGAAAGGTCTCTGTGTGCAATTATTGCTGATGAATTGCAATTACAAGTGGCAGAGATAGACTAGGAGTGGAATAGATGAATATTAGCACCATCCTAGCATTGAAGTAGTGTTGTAAAGTGCTCGCAGATCAAAATATATGAACTAAAGACACTACAGTCAACTTTGCGTATAACGACACTCGGCGGGGCATCAGAAAAGTGTCGTTATTCGCGAAGTGTCGTTATACCCGAAGTCTCATTATATGTATTCAGGTAGAATGGACTGTGCTCTGGGCATGGAAACTCTGTCGTTATTCGCGAATTGTCGTTATATCCGCAGTCGTTATTAGCGAAGTTGACTGTACATGCATGGGGCATTTACTAAATCAGTTGTGTTCAAGTATGTACACATATTAATAGTGGAATACTCTTTTGGTACTAGCCTAGGAGGTGCTTCTTCTTTAGCCATAGATGCATAGAATTTTGTTCTTAGCTCCATATGGGCCATATCTAGGTTTGGATATTGCCAACTAGGGTTTTTGTTGGCAGGGGAAACTGGGAAGAACAAAACCAATTTTTGAAGAGACCAAATCCTATATATATTATAGGATTTTGAAATTTCTGGACAACTTTGCACGGCAGGGCCGGTTACAGAAAAAGTAGAGCCCTTGTGCAGGTGAAAGTTGGCTGACATCATCTCTGTTAACGCACTCTCCACATACAGGCATGCACCCGGCTCAGAACACATTGTTTTCTGGTTGGCATATCAGGGATATTGGGCGGAGCAGCTGGCGTGCATGAGAAAGACAGGTCGGCCTGCTCTGCGCAGGAGCTGAGACCCGGTGCACACATACTGTGTGTGAGAGAGAGAGAGAGACAGACAGGTCGGCCTGCTCTGCGCAGGAGCTGTGACCTGGAGCACACAGAGTGTGAACGAGAGACGGTCGGCCTGCCGTGGGCAGGAGCTGCGACCGGTAGTGATTGAAATGAGCCAGCTGCGGAGATAGACTGCCCTCACCCGATATAAGTATATTGACAAGAGTTGTACTGACACTGTTATTGAGGAAATTATGGTGACAGTGACGGAGAGATAGTGATCCCCAGTCGAATGGGGTTGGGAGGGAAGGGGAAATTGACAACTGACAGACAAACCAGTGAACAGTCAAGTCGTCGGAAAGCAAAAGCGACAAAGGAGTCTCTCTTTTCTCTTTCTCTCTCTCTAAAGCAAGATTTGGAAAGCACGCGTGGGAGAGTGGCGTGCGCTGCGCATGCGCATGTATAGCAATGACATCATAATCAGATGCATGATCATCAGACTAAGTATGAGTGGTAGATGTTCCACGTTCGTTAACAGGGCTTAGCGCACACGCTAAACCACCAATAAACACGGAATGCACTCCAACAGGTTTTTGAAGAAAGAACTTTACTTTTAAGGTATGATCTACCCTTTCCCAAAAATTGTCAAAAATCCTATACTAGTATATATAGGATTTGACAGACAAAGAGATAGTGCTTATTAGTAGTCTTTCTGCATGCTCCTTCATACCCAAATTATCACCTGAACCACCAAAATATGCCATTTGATGCTGCATTACTGCAGGTCCAGACTTACTGGTCAGTTTGGCGTACAACGTGCGGGATATGCACAGGTGGAATGGATCTTCTGCATTGTAGCCACCTGAACAGCAACACACACACACACACACACACACACCCACACACACACACACCCACACACACACACAAGACAATACAGAAGATAGAATATCTTGCACTCTTCACCTATTTTTCGTCTTCATAGTATACAGTGGGTAGAACGTGGCAAGCCTTTTGCAGCACATGGATATAGTGCGGATTCTTTCTGTTCAAGCATCTCCTACCCCCACCCCTACATGCACATGACCCTATCCAGTCGTCACTAACTGATGGGTCTGAAACTCTGAATGTTCACTGTACAACTGGAAAGCTATTTCAAGATACGACTACCCTGGTACAAAACAGGAACACTGTGAATACTGAATACCTACATCGTGGTGTGAATATAAGTGGTTACATTAGAGTTTACGAACAAGTCAAAAGGCACGACGGAAGGGAATCGAAATGATTGTCATAGTATCCAAACCGCCCAGCCTGCTCCGAGGCAGCAGCACTTTCAAATGCGTCGTGTACCAAGGTGAGGGCAAGCATACTGTGAACCGGAAAACCATTGTGATCTGGAAAAGTTTGTCGCAATGTTTGCGACGGGCAGGAAATTGAAAAACTAAGTAGAAGTGAAGTGTAGAACAGTGGTAAAAGAAACAAATGAAATTCACTCCAAATAGCAAACATTTCCAGGTGCGAATTTGTCTGTGCTCGCAAACCGTGAACTGAAACCGGCGCAAACGTTTCCCGGTTTACGGCACCCAACTATCTCCCATCATACTGAAGACACAGCGGCCAGAGCACTTACATCCAGCTACGGTCACGACAAGGTCCTTCTCAGGCTTGAGACACCGGTCAACGCGGATTTTACTGGCAGTCAGCATCGAGGGTTCTCCCACTCCGCCCTCCTAACAAAAGGAATCACAAGACCACAACAAAGGTGAGAATGGATTCACCTATACACATTTATATCATTGGTGGCAAGAGTAGCTGCTATTTGCCCAATAAACACCAGCCATAGAAATCAGTAGGATTCCCCTTTCACAGAAAATGAGATTCTCAGGCAAAACTCAAATTGATAGCGTAACTTGAAGTTCAGAAGAAGAAGTAGCGACGACCCGGCCATTATGGAATCCAATACACCACACCACCACCACATTGTGCTCTTGGCCAGTCCAAACTCTGCACTCACATCACCATCACCACAGCGAGGACAATTCCGGTATATAGATTGATATTGACAATGACCCTCCAGATTTAGCCCTTATAAAGATCAGTCTATTCTTATTATTCATCATACAGTGAAGCTTGGTTATAACGACATTGGTTATAACGACAGATCAGCTACAACGACGAAAAATCCATGGCAGCAGCAATTTTGTATTGATTTGTGTACAAAAAAGATCGGTTGCAACGACAACTCGAGAATAACGACCAAATTGTCATGCACCGTAGTGTGAAAATGGGTCAATATAACAACATTCTCACGACTGCGACGTACGATTGATTCTGGCTTTCACAGCTGCCGCGAGTGCAAGACTTGCCGCTGGCCGGGTGCACAAGATCGTACAGTGCAGTGCACATCGACTGTGCACTGCACTGCACACTCGTACACGCCCGGAAACTTTGAAGGAGTGTCGACATGTCGTAGATCTACTGACGGTAAAATAAGTGTACTGTGTACAGGTGTAGTGCACACTTACCCTCCCTCCGTACCTTCCGTATCTTCTGCGACGGATTTTCGCAACATTTGCCATGCTTCTTTCTCCGAGAAATCACTTTGATAATTATGATAACGTGTACATAGCTATGCAATAGACAGCAGATAGGGCTTGCTCTTTGTTGTGTTCAGTTGAAAAAAGCACCATTGTGCAGAAAATTAATTTTGCCGCGTTTGGGTGTGCATATTGTGTTGGAAATCCCAAGATCGGATATAATGACAGATCGCAAATAAGGACTTTTTTGGCGTTCCATCTCGGGTGTCGTTATAACCAAGCTTCACTGTATGCCTCCACTGATGAGCTCAGGAGCGATACAGCTGTCTGGAGGGTCATTGTCAATATCAAGCTATATTCCGGAATTGTCCTCGCTGTGGTGATGGTGATGTGAGTGCAGAGTTTGGATCGGCCAAGAGCGCAACGTGGTGGTGGTGGTGTGGTGTATTGAACTTGAAGTTCCTTGGTCCTTTTCTTTACTATAAACACTCAAAAATTGTCCGAATTTTGCCTGAGGATAGCATAGCATGAAACTCGAGCAACAATAAAGCCTCGTTCTACCTTCTGTGTAAGAAAGCACTGCCCATTGTGTGGAAAGAGGAAAAACTCTACCACAACGTGTGATCCTTAAAATGTAAAAAAGGAAAAGGGACAAAATGTTAAGAGTTATGACTAACTGTCCACTAGGGCTGAAAGGAATATTCGAAATGTGCAGATCGGAAAAAGAATATTCTTCGTTAGAGTAGAATAAGAATGTTCGTAAATGTACAGAAACTCGCCTTTTTGATATCGAACAGGTTTATTTGGTGCAGAAAGTGGGTGAGATTGCCACCTTCCATGTGTTGTCATCAGCAAGACAAATGATAACATTGTCCTTTTCAAATGTCCCTCCTGTAATTGGGGTATACACCAGTTGATGGTCTATGGTTACCATGGATACAACTAGGTATCCATGGATATTGTATGGTTTAGAATATTCGGAATATTCTTCGTTTCACACGTATTCGGAAAGAGAATATTCGTTCGCTTCATTGAGCATTCGTTTCAGCCCTACTGTCCACCAACGTAACCAGATCATATACAGACAGCGAGTGCGACAAAATGGCACAAAACTGACAAGGAGTACTGACATTCAGACATTCAGCGACCTGACACTTGGGTCCAACACTTCTCCAAGGCGCAAACTAACAACCTTCCAACTTGGAAGGCTCAGGTTCGGAACGGTCCAAGAGGGGAAGGAAGCGCAATGAAGAAGAGCACGAGCTACACCCCTCCATAATTAAATTGGCTCACCACCCGAGTTCAACTTGAAATGTAGTAGGGATTTTTTTAAATACTTGCACTGCATAACACCAAGCCTCTGAATACAAATACTGAGTCAGTTTGAACCTGTTCCTCGTTGGTCTAACAGGTGAAACCCAAGTGAAAAGCTGGCACCTGGATCAGTTCCCATTCCATCTGTGTGCACATGTGTGTGTATGTGTGTGTGTGTGTGTGTGTGTGTGTGTGTGTGTGTGTGTGTGTGTGTGTGTGTATCAACTTAGCCGTTTAACGACAGCTGTATGTAAAGGTCAAGGTGTGTGTGTGTGTGTGTGTGTGTGTGTGTGCGCGTGTGTGTATCAGTTAAGCCGTTTATCGGCAGCTGTATGTCAAGGTCAAGGTCAAGGTGTGTGTGTGTCAGCAGCATTTGCACCACTTCTGGGTCGTCAAGGACCGTGCAAGTCTGGGGCACCAAAAACTATATGACCAGTGCTCTGCGAAAACCGACCTTAGGTGCTATTTTGGCGAAATTGAGTTTGTGCTGGATTGTTGACCCAGGACCCTTTCTTCAACTTCTGGTGAAGTTTTAGGTGGATTGCATACATATTCAGTTAGATACAATGACAATTTCTTTGCACTTTTCTTGCAATTTTTGGAGGAAAAATAGCAAAAAATCCAGGGTTTTATGCTACTTTTTGGAACCAATGCAGCGAGAATTCAAGCAGGATGATTGCAACCAAACTTTGCAGAATAAATCTGTATGTCATAATGCTCAAAAGGAAAGGTTTATGATGGCATTGGATCTTCCTGTTGTGGAGATAGACACATTCTATCTCTGTTCTGTGGATGGTGTTGCTCACGAATCTGGTGGAAGAGAAATTTGGCTCTGTTTGAGGATATGCCAGCCGGAGTGATGCGTAGAGGCAGGTGCAAAGTAGTGAAGAAGCTAGGATCAATACCGGATTAAAGGATATTGATAGTTTTATCTGGTACTGGTAGTTAGAACATCTAGTTATGTCTACATCAGCCGCACACATTGTTTCGTAATCGGTGATATCATGGCAGTCTCTTTTCCAAATCTTGCCAAACGTACTGTATGCAGCTTTGCAACCAGGATTTGTGAACGCCTGGTGAACAAGCTTCTTCGTAGTGATGCTGGGCAAATACATGTAGGTTGGTACTGGCTTGTTGTGTCCATGTCGAGCCGCAGGTTAAGGGAGGCCATGAACTATAGCATAATACTAGCATAGCATAACGCTCTATAAAATGCTTCAGCTCCACAACATCTTCTACAGGCAGTGCATTCCAGAGTTCTGTGTTGGGCTGATTACACTTGCACTGACAGCAGCCTGTAGATTTCAGCACCCAGGGCTTGATCCTGGAGGCACACACAAAGACTTCCTGACATGCATGTACCGATGACTTCCACACCAGCCACTGACTCTGTACTTCAGTAGTTCAGAGTAGTGTTGTTGAGCCCCATCTATCACATCTCCCAGCATGCTGGACGCGCTGGGTAGCCTCACCACGTCTCCTGAGCACGTCTAGCTTTCCGCCTACACACAAGCAGCGATCTCAGTGTCTTGATCAGGACCTGCGCTGCGTGTGCTGTAAGTGCAAGCAAGGTTTCAAGTGTCACGCTCTTGAAACAGCACCAGTGCGGAACACCTACAGCGCTTGTCAAACTTGTCACGCGCCTCCTGGATTGTAGACAGTACTTGAACCGATTTTTCTTGGTGTGCACTCTGTATATTGCCGGCATTGAGGGGCTGGGCTGGTGGCAGAACCGACGCCTGATCGAAATTCTCCTCCGCATCACCGTCCAGCTCGATCAGCGTTACGTCCTGCGATTCCACATCCGACTCTCCTCGGCACTGCTGTCATCAGAACTGCGATTGGACCAGGCCAAAAAATGACTATTCATCGTGAAGGAGTTCGGCTAAAACCTCTGGGGAGAAGCCCGCAGCAATTTGAGCTAGCGACTGTCTTCTGCTTCGTTCCGCCATGACTCTCACCTTGTAATCTTCAAAAATCGACAGATCGTGACGTTTTGTTCTTTTTCTCGAAAAAATTACGAAGCACCTAAGGTCGGTTTTCGCAGAGCGCGGGTCATATACCAGTTGGGTCTGGTTTCATTTGGCACACCTGCACGATTGTGGAGTATTCAACTACAAACACGATGTATGGCTAAAACGAGAGAGCTTGGAAGCTCAGGGCCCTACGCTATGCTTTTTTGCCTTGATGACCTTGACAAAAAAAGCATAGGGATGTTATAAATTCTTAGAAGTTTCTATTTTTTGTTTTTAGACATAACCTGGGATTCGAACCCGCACTATTGCCCTGCACGCATCCCCGGTACACTTCGCATACATACTAATTCTTCCAAGTTGCTTTACGTTATGATCTTGTATTTGAAAGCCCTATTTGAATATGCATTGTGGCCAGCCGTCTTTGATTGTACAGTACGGTACGGGATAGGTACGGTACAGGTACGGGACAGATACGGGACAGGTATGGTCGAGGGTAATACGACACCGTCTACCGCCTTGATGAAAAAAAGAAAAGGAATGTTATAAATTTTTCAATTCTCCTTTTTTTCAGGCATTACCTGGGATTCGAACCCGCACTATCGCCCCTACATGCATTCCCCCATACACTTCGCATTCATACTCATTCTTCCAAGTTGCTTCACGTTATGATCTTGCGTTTGAAAGCCCTATTTGAATATTGCGGCCAGCTCTATGTGGCCAGCTGTGTTTGATGGTACGTACGGTACAGATACGGGATAGCGCCAGGCGTGACACAAACACACAAACACCAAATTAAAGTTGTGTGGACCCTGGCTAACGCCAGACGTTACTGAAGTAACGTCTTCTGCATAGCTACGGGAATAAAGTCTCAGTATAAACAGGCTTCACCAAGGCTTACCGCTGCAGTTTTACGCTCCAGAAGGAACTGCCGAGATTGGAAATATGCCAGAGCCTCCACGTAGGTGATTTTGTCAAATTTCTGTGCTTGGGCGACTGCACGGGAGCAGAGGGCAAATCACAACAATGAACAAAGGCCGCTACCAGCAGGGCTTGTACTAACACAGGCTGACATCAGCTGACTAAAATCCAAAGCAAGTTACTTATGAACAAATCACAGAAAAAAGGTGAAACCAAGATGTTGGACAACCCCCCCCCCCCCCCCCCCACAAATCTCAGGAAAACTTACCCATGTCATAAGTGGCATGCAGAAGATTGATAGAATCACTGCTGGCATCCGTCAGGAGTGAGTGCTCCGATCGAAGCAGTCTGGCAGTAATACGTTTCTAATCAAAGAAGAAAAATGGAGAACCATACGCAAAGTTCAGTGATGAGTATTAGTAATTGAGAAAGTTGACAACGCAGCACCAAATGTGTTATCCTATTGACAATTGCTATCCGTTCATATTTCACTTCTTAGTATAATAGAGAAGTGGTGAAAAACACCCGCCGAAATGGCGGTAACTACACGCTTGCCCACACAACGCTCTCTAAGGTGCAATGTTCTGGCAAAGAGCGGTCCTTCTCTCACCACCACCGACCAGCCATGCATCAACTAGGCACCTCACACAAACTGATGATGGTGGCGACAGAATGAGCGCTCTTTGCCAGAACTCTGCAGCTTAGAGAGTGTTGTATGGACAGGCGAGTATTTGCTATTTACCGCCATTTTGCCAGGCATATTTACTACCATTCCTCTGCTATTTCACTTCACGATTGTGCCTAAATAGTTACAATATCGTAAACGTCCTGTACGAGGTAGGTGACATCTATGCATCACGATGCTTACCTCATAGCAGGCTACGAATGCATTGGGAAACTTGCCGCGACTCCAGGAGAGCAGCTGCTGTGCGGCGATGTAAGGGAGAAGCAGCATGACAACACCTCCGCTCGGGTCCTGGAAAGCTTCGTGCAATGCTCGTCGCGTGATTCCAAAGTAGAATGTGTGGCGCAGCGAGGATATGGAGCCAGCCACACAGCTGATCCCACCAGGAGCAGAGCGCCGTTCAGCCAGCGGTGGGTGAGCCATGCGAGCAGACGCACTCCGCTGGAAGGTGTGCGGCGATAGCTGAGCGCCTTGTGTGTTGATCGTTGGCACAGAGGTACGATGCATGTCCGTCACACTGTTCGCGGAGTCACTCCGTGGCCGCTCCTCACATTCTGCATCCTCAATGCAGATGGCGGTGGCTGATGGCACTTTGCTCAATGAACTCGCCGTGGAGGCACATTCAGCATTGGGCACGGCACTCTGCCGAGTGTCTTCAGTGGCACTGGCTGCTGTGCACTCCCCTTCAGTAGCAGGGAGCAGATCGGGGCTAAATGCGGAGTCAAACACATGATAGTAGCAGACCAGATCCCCTTCCGAGACCATTTTCTCGAACAGGCGCGCGTCCACGTGCTGCAGACGATGACCTATCGTACTCATGGCCGGCCCTGTGTTGTCACTCGGCAGTGTGGTTACTACAGAATGAAACAATGCACACACGAGCCGGGCACAGCAATGTAAAGCAGGTGCAGGTGCCCAGTGGGAATGGAAAACAAACAAGCAAAAACAATCACGTGTGTAGTGTACATGTACATGCATGGTATTATGAAGGACCTCTCAGCTGTCCCAGGAAAACAGCCTGTACAGTGTTGGGTCCATAGCAAGCAATATGGTCCACGTACACGAACTCCAGTCTACAACCTTCCCTTCTCATTCACTATGTGCTTGTGCTACGGATAGTCTAAGATCCTACAAAGCCCACATTTCAGGTGGATTTGGAGAGAGTTCATCCTTCTCATCAACCGGATGTAACGAATATTCAGGCCAGGCTGAGTGTTCGCCACAAGTTCAAGCACTTGACTGGAACATACCTACTGGCGGATAATGGACATTGTCATGATACTCCTCCGCAAACTTGTCAGCTACCTCCTTTCGCAAGCCCATGTTTGGGCCGTACAGCACCATCAAGCGCTCCAAACGTCTCCGCTTCCTCTTTGTACCGGATGGTCCACATTTTTTTAGTTTCTGCGGCTGGAGACAATCAGAGCCGGAACGCATTGTTAGTTCCAGTCTTACTTACCTGCACCTTCTCCATCACTAGTACAACACATGGCAGGTGGAAATTAGGTTTGTCGGTATTACCTGTCGAACGCTCTGAGAGCGTGAACTCCTATCCATTCCGGGAGTTTCCATTTTGCTTTCACGGGCCGGGTCGGCCAAACCTCAACGAGGCAACTCAGGTTCTGGACAAAGTGCTTTGGAAGCCAGATGAATCGGCCATCATCCACTTCCTCCAACCAACCGGGGTTGTTGATAAAGTTGTCCGACAATCAACCCGGGCACCAACACCACTGTTATCTATCTCCAAATCCACGACCTGAGAAACTTCACGAACCCTTGGCTTTGTCAACAGAGATACTAGTAGGTAGGTGTTGCTCCGGCCGAGCGGAAAGACGACCAGTCAGTCAATACAACGGCCTCGGTACAACATGGGCAAGTGTCGAGTCCACTCCGAAGTCCGCAAGTTTGTGATGTCACGAGCACGTACTTGCATATTTGGCATGCAAGATCGTAGGTCGCACGTGCTTGCGTGCGGACGCGCGTACTACTACTACTAGATATACTCGGGGTTTGTAAAAAATACTAAAAATGCAAAAAAAGGAGGAAAAAAGCCATTCAAAACTGCTACATGTAGTCTAGTAGCATGTGCAGATAAAGATTGGAAATTCGAAACATACGTGCATGACTGTCCTCGTACAAAGAATAGCAGGCAGTTTATTATCCTGCGAAGCGATAGTCTATTTCCAGCTAGAAGAAGGGTAGATCAAGTGTCATGTCAGGAGGAGCGTCCAGCATGGAGTCAGTACAGGCTCTGATAATTCAACGGGATGACATGGAGGAGAAAGTCAAGAGCAATTTGGAGTTGCTCAATGGCTACGGAGTGGGCATGGATGCACCCCTGGTCGACCGGGAAGGTTATCCACGCCAGGACCTGGACCTACCTGCCATTCGCGCTGCACGTAACACAGTTCACTGCCTGCGTAATGATATCAGACACATCACCTTAGAAATAGAAAAGGGCCTGTTGGTTGTTCACCAGCGTGCAAGGGAGGCAAAGGAGGAACTTGCTAGAGCGGGTGCATCAGCTGAGGAACAAACACAACTGGTGAAGAAGGCAGAACTTCTTCCTTTTGCCGATATTCAAATAATTTCTGATGGTTCTCCTGCAAAGAGAGCCGGCCTCGCAGAAAATGACTTGCTCCTAAAATTTGGCAGCATTACTGCCACTAACTTCTCTGGCATGCAAAGTATTGCAAAGCTGGTTAGCGAGAGTGAAGATAGGCCGTTGCAGGTGGCTCTGCTGCGACACGGATCACGGAAAGATGTCATCCTTAAGCCGCAGCGCTGGCGCGGGCAGGGTTTGCTCGGCTGTAAGATTGCCCCTCTGCCGAAGAAATAGACAACGGGTAGTCGTAATCTGGCCACTGGTCAGTTCAGGTACCTTCTGCCTGAAATCAGCAGCATACCTCCAAGAGTTTCCACCGCTACCGGTACTAGTACGTATACACGCACGTGATCTGCGGAGAACCTGAACAAGGCTCACCTGCTGGCTTCATGCTTATCCTGATCTGGGCGTGGCTGATTTGCCCATACCATCGCCATGTTTCCGACTTGAATCGGAGCCGACTCTCTGTTGCCATCGGCCCGGCGCGTTGCAAATATGGCAACAGGCTCTGTGTTCACTGCACCGCCCCTGCTCGCATGGGGTGTGTGTGTTCACTGCACCGCCCCTGCTCGCATGGGGTGTGTGCATTTGTGCACACCACTCGCGCTGCCCTTCAGCTATGACTGTACTCAGTGGCTGTGACCATAGCACAGGTACTAGCAGCCGATGTGAGTATCCTTGCATGTGTGTGTGTGTGTGTGTGTGTGTGTGTGTGTGCGTACTGGTGGCACGAATATGTTCCACAGCGATTCTTCATCTTGGAGATGGGCTGCACTGGTTAGTACTGTCTGCTGTTCAACATGTTGGAATGCGCACTGCTAGCCAGTCGACATGGTACTGCAGGATATGCCAGGACATACTCCCTATGTAGTGCAGTGCGGCTGATGAACTGTGGAAAGAATCCATGCATGACGCGGACAGTATCACACTGGTGAGGTGTACTGTGTTGCACAACTAGATTTTGGAGATTGGACTGGCAATGGTGGTGCCTCCGCAGTAGCTATACTTTCTGTTTCTTCTTCTTTAGGCGATTACTTTCTACGCCAATCAGTGACTCCTGGCTGGATAGAACACTCTCAACCTGATGTGTTTGGAAAGCATCTTGGAAACCTGGCATTTTTGATTTTTTTCATGAAGGCGCAGCTGTGCTGCTCAATGGAATGACAGGGAATTATCCGCACAATGTTTTACCTGTATGCAGTGTACATGTAGGTAACTGGCTGGCCTAGAATACCTTCTTTGGAATATTCACGTACGTTACAGCAAGAGTACATGACACCATGCTTCATGGTTATGTACTCTTGATGACAGTCATATATTTGCTGAATTTACTTTTTAGATTGGATCTGCAAAGGATTTTAGTGGAAAATGGACTCTGATTTTAGATGTTCATTGCATTTTTTCACTAGAAACTGGAGTTGGCAGTAACTTTTTTTGACTAGATTCATACATTACCTACCTTTCTGTGGCTTGCTCTCCTGCCAACTTTACGAAATATCCCTACTTTGATATTCTTTTTAAAGATGTGATCTGCCTCATGTACATCGAAACTGCGGTGTAACTTACCTTGCCTATCCTATAGCGTACACTTTTTTTTCTTTTCTTTTTTACTGCAAAGCACTGGCCAGCAACATAAAAGGGGAGGTAGACAAAAGTGGACAAGCGAACATTGACAACACAGAGGAGCGTGGCATGCGTGCCGATGAGGTAGGTCAACCTCCCCCGACCTAGTGGTCTCGGGTTCAACAGTTGGTCTACGCATCAGGAAGGGGAGATGGACAGAGAAAGGGAGAATGAGCATGAGGAGCTTCCCAGGAGAGGAAGAGTGAGAGAGAGAGAGACAGAAAATGATAATAATAGAGACAACCGGTTATTCTCAGTGCTGGTGGACTTCAGTGGCCCATAGCCACACTTGGACATCTGTATGTTACTGTTACTCTGTGAAACCTCTGATGCTTCTCTTGCAACGGGCGTACATGGTATGTGCGCGTGTGTATGTGGGTGGGGTGGTACATGACGCGTGTGTGTGGCGTGTGCTCTCTCTCTTTCTCTCTCGATAATGTTTGCTCGCTCTAGATCTGAAGCGACCCGAGTACACAACGGATCAGCTCAAATATGTATGCTTAGTTGAATACCTGGTGCAAGGAACAAACTCATAAGCATAGATCATGGGTACAGACATCTACCAGGCGATGCCCGACTGCGAATTACATCATGATGAAGGTGAGACTCCGGGTCTATTGGCAGTATTGCCGATGCGTGGCTGTTGTGCTGCATGCAGCGTTTTCGTGGTCAGAGCATAGCCGTGGCTGGATGTGCGCCCCTCGTGGCTTCCGGCAATCAGCTCATTCGCATTGGAGGTGCATTGCTGTCCATCTACTCCGTTAACCAGACACACACTAGTCGTATAACAACGAGTATCAACAAAGGACGGTTGAACTGTGCACACATATTGTGCTGATACAGAGACATCTGCAGCAGTGGAGGAGAACTGGTGGCACTTTCTAGACGACATGTTTGACGCTGCGGCCAGTGTTCCCAGCCATTCCAGCCGTAAACAAACGGATTGGTTCATGGAGAGCCAACACACTGCACTCATAAGGAGGCACACGGGGGGCTGCTCTCGAATGATGACATTGGGTCAAGTCGCAAGAGCTTTCGAGAATCCCAGAGGGTCATCGCTTGCAGTGCATGATGCTAAGACTGAGTGGCTGGAGGATGTGGTGCAGCAAGGTTGAGGATGCTGGAAAGAATGGAACTTGCGGTGTGTGCATGGTGGCAGTGCATCCAGACCACGGCTTGCAATCGGTTATCACTGGCCGTCGCTCGGTCAACACCTCTCAGCTTTGAACAAGAATGGAACCCTGGCATTTCCCTTTGAATATACAGAGCTTGCTGGACCCAGGCAGGATGGAGGATATAACATTAGATTGGAGGCGTGTGAACCTGAGCTGTGCCTATCTCAATGAGTCACCCACGTCGGGAGAGGTGGAAGCTGCCCTCTGCCATATTATATCACTTTGGGAGGGATGGAAGCTGCCCTCCGCCATATATCACGTCGGGAGAGGAGGAACCTGCCCCCCCCCCCCACCCCACACACACACACCATATAATATATCATGCCGGGAGAGGTGGAAGCTGCCCTCCACCATATATTATCATGCCGGGAGAGGTGGCAGCTGCCCTCTGCCATACACACAGCTGTGCAGTGGTCACACTGGGATGTATCCTTTCTGGCATGATCTCATGTGGTGGTCCTCCCCGTTGTTCAGCATCTTCATGCTCTGGTGGTCGTTTTGTGGTCAAGTAGTTCTGTTCCTAGCGACTGGCGTAATGCTGAGATCAGTAGTGCCAGTGCCCAAGAAAGGAGATCATGGCTACGTCACATGGTCACATGGTGTGGCAACAGTTTGTTGGATGTGGCTGACAAACTTTTTCCTCGTCTGATGCAGGATCGCCTCAGGAAATAGCGGAGGACATTCTGCCGGACACGCGGTGTGTTGTTCGGCAAGGTAGAGGATGTGTTGACATGATCTTTCTGGCAAGGCGACTTACAGTAACTGCTAGTAGTCGATAGCAAGCAATCGAACGCGATACTGCCGTTTTGTCTACTGTTCGTTGACCTCAAGAAGGCAAGTGGCCCGCTGGTGGGTCCTTGCCTAGCTCGGTGTTCAATAGTGTTGAACAGTTCATGCTCCTCGATCTTTTGCTACGGAAATCGTGGACTCTGCATTGTGGGAATAAAGGCTGTCCTGTCTCCAGGTAGGTCAGGCGCAGGCAGCCCAGTCTTGTACAGCATTGTGTCATGCATTGTAGGCTGCATGGAGCATGCCCCATCTTTTCACTGCATCAGCCAGTTAGCTGTCACCTATTTTCAGCTTGGGTAATCGACATGGTTACCCCTCTGACCTCCGATATTGTGTCCAGCCTTCCGCTTTCAAGGTTGCCGCTTTTCGAATCAAACCAATTCGCTTACACATCAGAAGTAACTCGTACAGCAGACTCCCCTTTCACTGTTTGAACAGGTTCAGAAAAGAATGAATCCACTATCCTGTGAGTGTGAGCGTCCATCTGCCTCTACTGGCTCTACCTCTCTGAGTCTCAGTCTCACCTTCATCACTTCGGTCATAGTGAAACTGGGTGTGCATCGGTGCCAGTTTTCGCACCCTTCACGAGTCCTCCACCATGTACCACCACATGAGCTGAGTGATGTGGCAAAGCGGGGGGCAAGTGTCACGATGACCTTGCGCAGTTGCCTATCACCACACTCGGCGGGACCACAGTTGCTGTAAAGACGTGCAGGCTGCTCAGTGGCAGTGCAACTAACTTACTTGTAGTAACATTGACGGCTTACTGTATCTGTGTGGACAGAGAGCCTGGGGGGTATCCCTGTAATTTAGTGTAAAGGCTATACTAGCTACTTTCAAGTGGCGAGCAGCTCACTCCTTCCGGTCACAACGCTACATTTACTGGTATGCCTGTTCAATAATGGTGAAGGAAAACAACAACACCCCCGACCAGTGTGTCGTTAGCGCTATGTTTGTAGTTGTAGCACTCGATTGTATCCAGAAGCACAGGAATAGGCATCTCAACTTCTCAAGCCATGACACGTCTGTATGCAGCTTATCATATCAAAGCACAAGAACAATAATGTAGCCGCTACTATTACTAGTATTAGGCTTCGTGCTGCAGAAGTTCATTTTTTTATAACACATCGCACTCTTGCAGTCTTGGAGAGCGGTAAACTACTACTGTACTACTAGTATCTTGTCTCACACTCACAGCCGCGGAGCAGATACTGGTATCCTGGCACATGTATGACTCTGACAGTATGAGGTGTGATTGAGATTTGAGGAGACTGTAGACTGTAGATTTACACTCCCTATCCAGGGCAGGGTCCTTTCAGTTTCACACTGTCTGGCACGCAACGCGGTTGGTGTGACTTGGTGTGACTGTGTAGACCATGGCAGACGCCTCGTCCGTGTTTGTACTCGACTCGTACTGCGCTACATAGCTACATCAAGTACATACTCATTGTAGATCTACATCGGTGTTAGCATGTTGCATCGATGATAATGATGATTATACGAGTACAATCATAATGTCCAGAGGTAAGGCAGATGTAGCGTTTCCGGATGATGTCGAGACTTCTGAAGTAACTAATACTTAGTTACTCCCTCGGTTACCCGGTGCGTTTCCTCCCGGATATTGTTTGTTGCTACTGTAGCTAACTTCATCCACACTACTCGATATCCGGTACGTGCGTCTACTAGCATGCCAAGGGTGTTGGGAGGTTCTTGTAGGTAGCGGTATCACCATGTTTGAATGGCCTTGGAAGCACCCCGACTAATGTTGACATGGGCGGATGACAGATTGACCGTTGCCACTGCATTCCTCTCTCTTGTTTGACGCACTTGGAGTCGACTCGGCTGCTGAGACTTTGAGCAGCAGCCTTGTATCCGCCTGGCCGCTACCCGCCCCCTAGCTAGAATAAGAAAATCTTTCGAACACACCTTGACTTTGAGTTGTCACAGGCAGGACCAACTACTACAGACTCTGTGTTATGTAGCAGATCAAGCTTGCGCGTGCGGGCCCACCACGTGCATTTTCCGAGACTGCATGCGAGAGGTGCGTCTGCTACGTTCTATGCCAATGGTGAATGGGCTTGCGTTTGTTGCGCGCCGAGTGTCCTTGCAGCACGCTTTGCAGTGGCGTTCTTTGCCACGCGGGACAAGCTGCGAGCGCAGTTGTAGAGAGTGGTTGCAAATAATTCTTCTCTGCTGGTAATCTCCGCTCCGTGTTTTTCGTCGTGATCTGGTGACTCCGGAGTACTGCAGGTAAGGACATTTTTAGGGATTATGGTTTTCAATCATGAATGGGTAGATAATGTGCAGAAAGACTGGCGGGCATTCGCCTGGTCGTGTACTATAAAATAGTATTATAATGTTGCTAAGTATATAGCGTGCCTATGTAGCATTGCCCGCTAGCCTTTAGTGAAATGCTAAGCGTGATGGAATTGGCTGAAATGTATGTTTGCCGCTCATGTACTAGTGACGGTACATGTACATGCACCGCATTTATACTGTGCCGCGTGCGTTGTAATTCTAAGGGGCTGTTCTGCTGTGAGTTGAGGTACCGACGAAAGTCAGAAGTTCGATCATTGTCATCGTGTGGCTGTGTACTGTTCGCACTCAGTAATTGTACATGAGTCATTCACTAATGCCGTAATGATTGCTGTAGAGGAGAAGGCAACCACAAAGCTGTAACAGAATGAAATGATTGTGTCATGAACAGATATGAGGATTGAGGACCTTGCACTGTGTCAATGATGCCTACATTGTATTCTAAGGGATTTATGTGTGTCTGTCTGTGTACATGTGTGTTTGTGCATGCATACATCTCCGTGTATGCTTGTCTTTCTCGGTCTGTCTATCTGCACATGTAACTCCGTGTGTATCTGTGTGTGTGTGCGAGTGTGTGTGTGTGTGTGTGTGTGTGTGTGTGAATTTATGTACGTGACTGCAACCACCAAGTAGGCCACATTGGCTGGTGGCCTCACTCCGTGATTCGTCATGGTGGACATCGTGGAAACCGACGCGGCTGGTCAGGCGCTAGCGCAGACGGCACGCATCGACGACTACCTCACACTATTCTGTGACGATGGGCCGGGATTTGTGTTTGCGCAAGTCACCAGGTAATAACAACATCGGCAGAAGACATTGCCGCACTCTTTAAACACACATGCACAGACACGAACACATACACGCACTCGGTGTTTGACGTGTTTTCACATTGTTCCCGCGTAGTTGTGGTCGTGAATCAAACTACCGTGATCACGGTCAGTGTAATCCGAGCACTGTGATACAGCTAACTTTAGTACCAGGTGCTGTGCAGTCCCAGGCCTACCAGCACTGGGCTGTTCATGATCCTGGATATCATTGTGCACAAATGCACTGTAGGAAACGAGCGTCAAGGAGAATGTTGGTAACCCAACACATAGTGTGTACCAGGTACCTAGGCTCTGATATTCACTGCGCATTGCTCAAGATCACTTTTTCCAGTGTGGAGTTGAGAATACTATATCCTCTAGGCTTATGCGGCTGTGCCTCAGGTCTTATCCGGCCTTGACTTGTGCCTTTGAAAACCTCGCATCATTGTGCTGTGTAGAAGTCCATCTACTGTGGCACAAGTAACGTTAGGTAAGCACATCACTATGTGGCATACCGAATGAATTGACATGGCCGTTGTGTTTTGTTGTGTACCTTGCAGTAAAGCTCATGCCAAATTGTCGGTGGCCCGGCAAGGTGACAAGGATGTTCAGAATGCTAACCTACCCGACATCCATGGTCAGTGCTGGCGATACTTCATTGTTAGATATAATGTTTACTCTCTCTCTCTCTCTCTCTCTCTCTCTCTCTCTCTCTCTCTCTCTCTCTCTCTCTCTCTCTCTCTCTCTCTCTCTCTCTCTCTCTCTCTCTCTCTCTCTCTCTCTCTCTCTATTTCTCTCTCTCTCTCCATCTCTCTCTCTCTCTCTCTCTCTCTCTCTCTCTCTCTCTCTCTCTCTCTCTCTCTCTCTATTTCTCTCTCTCTCTCCATCTCTCTCTCTCTCTCTCTCTCTCTCTCTCTCTCTCTCTCTCTCTCTCTCTCCCCCTCTATCCGGTCCATCTCAGTGTAACTTTGTTGTTGTAGCTGGACTAGTCACTTGAGTGGAATGGTTGAGTTTTAGTCCATCAAAAGAGCAGCGCTATTCATTGTGTTCTCACGTCTCAGAGGTGTTTGGAACAGTGGCATCGTGGAGTATCAAGAAGGCGGAAAATTCCTTCTTAGATCACTCATGAGTCATTACACTCTAGGATCAGTAAAACCACTAGAAGTAGATCTGCCAGGATTTTTTGTTGATTTTACCGGTTTCCTATTTTGCTTACAGCTGCTACTTTTCAGGTCATGGGACCAACCAAGTACAAGGCTATCAAGAGTCTTCGCAAGGTCCAAAAGAAGCTGAGGTAAGCTCACCATTCCTTTACCAAAACTGGTCCTCCCCTTCAATGGCGTAGCTCGTTCACCTGTTAGAGGGTGCACAGCTGATTCTTGAATCAGTTGAAATGATATTGTACTGATGAGCAGTACAATAGTAGGTTTATTAGTAACCAGGGGCGTCGGAAGGTATTCAACATTGGCACGGCTATGAAAAGGTGTGGAGGGGGGGGGGGCTCCACCCGGTGATTTTTTTAAACTGGGTCCGAATAGCCCATATTTCTTTGCTTCAAAAATCACGAAATGAAATTATTGGCGGCGGCTTTGGCCGCGCCTGTCTCATCGGTAACCCTGGTAACGTAGTCTACATTATCTTACTGCTGTTATTCTTTCCGCAGTAAGAAGCCTGCAGATGAGTACACACCAGAGGAACACAAGGCATTGGCAAAGGAAGTGGTAAGTACCAGTGGGCATATGGCGTCATCTCCTAGCCCGGCGGCAACTGACCAACCAAACATGTTAGTTTCATGTCTTACTAGAGTAGCGTTGGATATGTTAGTTTGTCCATGGTGGGTTCCTAGAAGAATATGATGATTGCATTACATTGTCAAACATTAGTATAATTGGGGGCATTGGCTATGTTGAAGTATGTCCTTTGATCTTCATTCTGTTCCAGCAACGCTTGCGCATAGAGACAGAAGAGAACAAACAGGAGAGGGCGCGACAGAGTGGAAAAGCGATCGTCTATGGACAAATCATTCAGGTGAGACCCGGCAATGTTTACTACGTGCACGTGTGCCGTTTGAATAGTGGTTACCATAAGGCTTGAGCACACACTATGTGTGCATATACTTTCATCCGATGGAGAGTTTGTATTATGGTATCACGGTCTCACTGTGGCAGTGCACATCATCATTGCACTGCAGAATCCCATGCAATGCATGGTGGTAAGCCACACATCAACAATACGAAACAGTGAAACCTGTCTAAGACGACCGCTCAAGGGACCGTCAAAACGTGGTCTCCATTACCAGGTGGTCTCCTTATCCAGGGTCATTTGACTGGAAATAGCATTCCTTGATCCTGGTTTCAGTGGTCTTCTAGGACAGGTGGTCGTCTTATCCGAGTGGTTGCCTTGCCGGGTTTTACTGTATATTTTATTCCCACACCCCGGCACTAATACCATTCACTGGCTGGAGGGAAAGCCCCACACCCCACTAATACCATTCACTGGCTGGAGGGAAAGATGCAAATGGGAAAAGTCTGACGAAGAAAAAACCACTTATAACATTCATGCTTTGACCCAGCCTACACTCGGAGTACCCTAAATATAATAGAACCCTCTGCACAATTGCTTACTCAGTATCTCAAACCAACGTTCTTCCCTATTTTGTCTTGCATCTCAATCCGTAGATGCAACACACACTGTCAAAGTGCTTTCTGGCAGTGAGCACCACGCAAACATCTACGCTAGAGCCGTCCAACATGCAGGTAAGTGCAGAATGATAGCATTACAATGCTAAATATTGATCTCTGGCAGTTCAGTTCAGGGTTTTAGGGTGTTTACATCTATACTGCATACTAGTAGGTGAGGATCAATATCACCTAAACTAGTCACACAGCCTCCACCTGCTTCAGTGAAGGTGTTGACTGTAGCCTGATTGCAACCAACATTGAACCACTGCTCCTGTGCTCTGTGCATTCAACCCTAGCTCGACCTTGCCGAAGACGTCAGTCGCAAGAGCCAGTTTCGAGTATTGCCGCGCTACAAGGTGCGATCTGTCGGCGATCAAGTTCGCGTCGGTGATCAGATCCAGCTGGAAAGTGTGAAAACCGAAGGCCAGTTCCTTCACTGCAGCCGAAGCAGCTTTGGTGCGCAGTACGTGGAGAGTAACAGGTAAGATGTTTGTTGCAGCGGATGATGGTTCGTGGATCTTGCCTATGTTGTCATCACATTGTTTTCTGCCACCATACGGCTGATGAAATCGACCTGACAACCTACGTTGAGGATTCACTCTTCTCAGAATCGGAATCCATTCCACTTTATCTCCGGAATGGGAAGAATCGTTTCCAACCCCATTCCATTTTGAATGAAATATAAAGTGTTGAAGCATGGTCAGAAGGGAGAACCAATGCTCGTCAGATTCCCAATTACGGCTATGGAATGGCACTGAACGAACACAACCAAAGATAGGTGTCCTTCTTGCAAAATCTCTATTTCCACATCTTTCTGCAGCCGTGAACTGAACTTGTCAGCCACGCAGTCGGCACTAACCATCCACATGCAATTCTCACCGTTTGGAAAGGTCAATGTTGAGCGTATGCTGCGGGTAAGTTGTTTAATAGAACGTTCCAAACTTCCATCAGGTATCCACGAAAACTGCACACATAGACCCATTACGATGGGAGGTGATAATCCGTGAGTCTTTGTAGCAGATAAGCCTTAGCCGCACTCAACTTTAAGAGTCACGGTGCATGGGTACACATCCTGGTTTTGGCCGTTATACACGGGTACCTGCACAATAGAAGTGATTGTATCAGATGGTATGATTATATGCCTGGTGTATGCCTGGTGTCTCGGGCCTATTATGTATTGATGCTTCAATACAGGGAGGTTCAGTGATCCGTCTGTTCCACCGTGAACTGGAAGCCTACCTGACTGCGGAAGGATCTTTTTACTTGGACGAGCCAACGCAAGATGGTATGTCATGAGTGGCTAGGCCAGTGTGCGATGGTCGCAAGTACATGTTCTGTGTCCGTTACTATTGTTGTAATTCTCTGCACTGTCGGGACAGTCATGAACTGATAATGCATTATGATGGAACAAATATGTGACGCAGAAACAGTAATTTAATTTTTAAGGTTCTGAATAAGATGAGATGTGCCGTCATCACCAAACACGCATCACAAGGAAGCGCACCGTAGTGTATCAGAATGTTTTCTCGTGAACATCTTCAGTAGTTTCCATCACAAGGATCATCTCATTTTTGTCTCCTTTTTCTTCCCTTGCAGTTCACCTGCGTGTTCGGCCACAAGTTCAAGAGCGACCTCGCTCTCTGGAACCACCATCTTCTGGCATAACTTACTGGCAGGTGGAACTGGATGAGAACCCAACCAGTGGTGAGTGCCGAGTGTATCCTTGGTATAGCCTGTACATGTCTGATGGTCTGAACTCCAACAGCGTGCTATTCGGATGTACAAGTACATGTATAACAGTTCCCACACCAGGCCCATTCTATTAAACTTTTGTATGTACATGTACATGTTGTTACTGTGCTGACAACCAACTCGTAATGTATTCAGGGGCATTGGTGGGGATGCATTCGAAGTGATTACAGGCTATCTAGACTTCACACACATGCACCGGCTATCAGCCCTGCACACTAGTTAAACACTGTGCTCCGTCAATCTTGTTCCTGGGCATGTCATGAAACAGCCTGCCAATATCCATGTGTATGGTGTGGTATGGGGTTGTCACTTGTCACATTGAAAAACTCTGCACAGTTGTTCTCTGCTTGTTCACATTGAAAAACTCCCGCGTACATAGTGGTATGGCAAATTGCTTGCACTGCTTTCGAGTATGCAACCCGCATGGCCCTGACATCTGTTTTCTCTTGGTTTTCTAAAAGGTTCTCTGATCCAGTGGGGACAGCGTGTTCGCTTGAAGCACATGGCAACGCGCAAGTACCTCGGCCTTGTAACCCTGGAAAGCGAACCAGGCACAAAAGAGCGTTATCAGGTATGGTGGAATACAAGTTTGTCCCTTTCTTGCAGCCGTGACCTTGTCATTGTACCAACTATAAATTTCATTTTTTGAATTTTTCACTTTATGCCTCCATGGGTTTGAATCCCATCTTCGTCACCATTTGTTATGTAGTATCCAAAACCAACCTACTAGTATGCATGACATTCACCAGACACGAAATACCGTGTTGTTACTCATGCGCAATATGAAAGAGAATAGCAAACGAGTGACTTAGTCGTAATAGTATAGCTACATATTACTTCAGTGAACATGGCGAAATGCATATACATAAGTCACATGTAGCTGCATGTTCTTATCCTGAGCTGTGATTTTGATGTAATGTGCTGTGTGGTGCTTTTGTCTTCAGCTAACTCTCTCCGACTGCGAGACCAAAACTGAACGTCTTCAATCGGCGTTTCGCCTGCATCCCGTCATTCAGGTCAGATCCGTGATCAACATTACCAGAATGCTGCATTATAAAATACCATGCGTGACTATGTGGAATACGTACACGGGAAAATACAGGGTTTGAACGCCATTGCCACTACAGTACATGCAGCGTGCACACTCATGTACCCTGTTGTGATGCCCATTATCGCTATGGCAACCATGTTGCAGGGCAGGGAGTGCCCACATGCATGCCAGCATGGGCAGATGTCCTTAGCACCTCTTTGTATTGTAGTGGAGTATTAGCATGCCACTATAGCAAAAAGCCCTGCAGTAAGATCGGATGCCGAAGACGGGGGATGGGGTCTCCAGTCCAGGCTAGCGATTTCCTATTTTCGAGTTTTCAGCAGTTCTTTACCCATTCCGTTCTTGCACATTCACACAGTGCAGGTACACTGTGCATGCACTGCATGTGTGCCGTGTGTGTGTGTGTTCCTAATTGTTTGCTTCCAACTTGGCACTTTCTAACATTTTGGTGACTTTCTAGCCGGGATATTCTTCGGTGCCCAATGTTACTAAAGAGACGCAGTCAGACTTCGGTATTTATCTCAGAATGTACCGATCTTGTCATGTTTGTATTTTACTGTGACCACTGGGGTTAACACGTGTGTGCAATGGATGTGTTCATTTAACAGGAGGCTGGTGCAGTCAAGCTCGAGTCTTACTGTCGCATTGATCATCCACGCAGCAAACAATGGCTGCATGCATTGCCTGGTAAGAGAGGGAGAAAGGGAGAGACAGACAACGAGAGAGAGAGACTGCTTTGCCTTTATAACGTGCTATAAATTTTACATCATACAGATGTTGTATGTTGGACACTGCAAGAAGCAGGACTACTGATATCACGTGACGTGGCTAAGGATTAGCTAGTATGGCCTCTGCTGGCAGGTGACGGTGAAAGTGTATGCTCTTGAGATTGTTATGTATTTATGTATTGTCCACCTGTTGCTGAACAGACAGTGCACCGGACAGTGAGGTGCGGCGCACGGAAAGCAAAGCTAGCTCTCAAACTGACAGCATGTCCTTGACAGGCCTACAGTGGGACAAGGCGAAGCTGAGAAAGGTACTAGCGACTGTACTAATCAGCTCTGTAATGATTCATGTCCTCCTCTTTGATGGATGAGATCAAGTAATCACAACGCCCCCCCCCCCCTACCTACACACATATGCGCAAACTATCCCCTCCACTGCCTTCGTTGTCACAGTGGAAACTGGTATTGTCAGTTTCAAAATGTCGTGTGATTACTGTATGTGTTGTTTCCTTTGCGGATCAGATCCATGTGTCAGAGGAGATGAACTACAACGATGCATTCACTTTGCAGGAGGTAAGTTTATTTTAAGTCACGCTTACCGGTACATGTTTCACCAAAAGTCATCTTCGAAGTCCTTTCACTATGTTTTTGAGATATTGTTTATCCTACGCAAGGCACGCCTTGATGGCATTTGCACTACTGTTGGCTTGCAGATGCATTCAATCAGCCTACCTTTCCATGAGTTTCATTTCTATAGTTCCATGTTTCAAATGGTGCTATTTTGCCCTCCAGGTAACGCCAGATTTTGCTGACAAGTTCAACTTTGTCGCTGGCATGGTTCCCATCATCAGAGATTTCCGAGACAAGGTGAGCAAGCTTCCGATGGGCTTCGACTGGCATGTTCTGAGCTTTCCCTTTAGCAGACTGTCACGATCTTTGCATGAATTATATGCTGAGAAAATCCGGAAGCAATCATCATCATCCTCAGCCTTTTCGCGTTGACATCGCCAAGCAAGCTTGGCTAGTCTTCACTTAGGCCAAATCACACTGGCTATATAGGGCAGTTAGAGAAAATGGCAGGCTATTTGGCAGTGCACATTTTCCTCTTTGGGCCTCCCTGCCGGCTGCAGAGAAGTGTACTTACTAGGCACTGATTGTGCACAATGCATGGTGTGTGTGTTTGCCCTATGGTTTGTTGCAGCTGAGGAAAGGAGTGCAACTGAATGCCAAAGTTTCAGATCGCTTCAAGAAGGTAAGCATGGCCTATTCTAGCATGAATACACACACACACACACACGCGCACGCGCGCACACACACGCGCGTGCACACACACACGCGCGCGCACACACACACACACACACACACGTGCGCGCGCACACGCTCACGCACACACATACACACACACACACATACACACACACACACACATACACACACACACACATACACACACAGGGTGAATACTATATGCTCCAAGAAAATGCACACTATGTACACCATCACGTTACAGATGAGCATAACATGTCGATGTGAAATTGACCACCTGACAATATTCTTCTATTCTGTACTACCCGCCTGCAGTTGTTGGAGCAGCTCTCCAACTTTCAGGTCGTGAATGGTGAGCCGGTGAAAGACCATCAGAAATTGCTGCGCAACCTCCAGGTAAGAATGCCTTGTGCAGATCAACGCCACCATCATGTTCAAACCTCATTGTCAGTATGTGGTGCTTGCATAGGTTATAACTGGCATGCAAGGTGTTTACCACATATGCTGTGCAGCAGCCCAATGACGCTAACAGCTAGCTCCTACAATCCACACAGTTCTTCTGCCCACTGGGATGCTCCAACTTCTAGGCTTTTTATTATAATTTTAAGTTCTTAAAACCCATACATAGCCTATCAAAAATGACAGCCACCAGTCCAGAAATGTTGACTCCCAGCCACTCAGTTCTCCAGCCTTGGTACTGAGTGCCCAGGCACTGAATAATCCCCAGTGTGGTATGCCGTGTGTTTCCATGGTGTCCGTCAGGTCATTGATATTCTGGTGGAAATCCTCAAGCTGCATGGAATGTCCTTCATCGTCCAGGCTGGTGGCAAAGAGTAAGTGACTCCTGTGCCCTGCTCTAGATGTGATTGCTATGAATATCTACGTCAGTCTGAGGACATGACTGTACTCTCTGTTCACATTGCATGTATTGTATGCGATTATGTTACCAGGGATATCGATGATTCGAATGATTTTGATAAGCAGCTCATTCGATGAACCAGTGTTTTATATAGACTATGTAAGGGCATCTAATGCCACCTATGTTATGACTGTGGAAGAGTTCGACCACAACATGTATTGACTGGCATTAAAATACCCTTGAAAGTGTTGTGCAATCCTCTCATCTCTGACCTTGGTAAATACATGTACATGTACATGTACATGCATGTGTGTAGCGCAGCCAGCATACGGAGTTGTATTTCAAAAATAATGAAACTGATCAAGTTAGTTGGCTGTCAAGGCGTTATTGTTGACTTCACCTGCCTGTCTTCAAAGTATATGCATGTAAGAAGTCTGAACTCAATAACCGTTGTGATTCTGGTGTTTACCATGTGTTTGCCTCGCAGTCACTTGGGTGACGTGTGTGCAGAGATCTACAACTGTCTGGAGACCTATTTGCTCGGAAATAGCAGGTCAGTCGCCCAGTTCATGCACAATGTACATGCAAGCTTGCGTCATATTATGCGGTTTTTGTTCCTCCTCCTCCTCCTCTTCCTCCTCCTCCTCCTCCTCTTCCTCCTCCTCCTCCTACTCCTCCTCTTCCTCCTCCTCCTCCTCCTCCTCCTACTCCTCCTCTTCCTCCTCCTCCTCCTCCTCCTCCTCCTCCTCTTCCTCCTCCTCTTCCTCCTCCTCCTCCTCCTCCTCCTCCTCCTCCTCCTCCTCCTCCTCCTTCTCCTCCTTCTCCTCCTTCTCCTCCTTCTCCTCCTTCTCCTCCTTCTCCTCCTTCTCCTCCTTCTCCTCTTCCTCCTCTTTCTCCTCCTTCTCCTCTTTCTCCTCCTTCTCCTCCTTCTCCTCCTTCTCCTCCTTCTCCTCTTTCTCCTCTTTCTCCTCCTTCTCCTCCTTCTCCTCCTCCTGCTACTTCTGCTACTTCTGCTCCGCCTCTTCAGTGAAATGATTTCTCCACCTGTTGTGTGTTTGCTTTGTTTGGGTACAGAAAGAATGAGTTGTATGCTGCCGGCTATATCCCATTTTTCCAAAGCCAGGTAAGTTTTAGAATTGTGTGTTCTCACTACTCTTTGGTCGTTTGATTTCTATATTTTGCCTGTGCTGTGTGTGCAACAACATGACATTTCGCAGTGTGTACAGTCAAACTACAGCGTGACAGGGTCATATCACCTGTCAAAAAGGTCACTTCCGGGTCAACGTTGTGCTTGAACAAAGCCCCCCCCCTGTCCCTCATCTCTACTATTTAGAACATAGGTCTACTTAGCACTGCGGTGGGACACTTGTTGTTGTGAAGCCCAGTGGTGTGATCCTGCACGGGGGTCTGTGACATGCCGAAGCATTGATATACCTTTCATGGTTGCTCTATACCCTTCTGTGTAGATTGGAAAAGGTTTGAATGCAGAGAGAATGGCTATGGAGCTGGCTCGTGACAACCGGTAAGTTACTCACCCTAGCGGAAACACGCTTTTCTTGGCGGCAGTTGTTCGTAATTGAGGAGCAAGAGAAGACCAATACATCTGGCAGTGGCCAACTACCCCTCAATTTGTGTGCTGTTGCCATTGTTGTCTATGTTTCTCTGTATGCCAGTATATGCGGAGCAAGAATGCCATTAGATACATGCATGCATACATGTACAGGCCTATCCTCGTTAGTACGACACCGGTTATGTTATAGATTGCATTCATGTAATCTTAACTGTGATGTTGCACATAACATACATGTAATCTATTACAGGTTACAAGACAAACCTCATTAGTAGACAACGATTCAAAATCCCCTGACAACTAAAACACGTACACTCACGTCCGGATAGTAGATACTACTCGCCATAAGACAAACAAGTTGAACCCCCGGCGTTATCTACTAACGAGGATAGACCTGTAGTTGCATGTACAGTAAAACCTGGTTTAAGCGACCACCCCACGGTGCAAGCAAAAGCTGTCGTTAAAGCCAGGTGGTCTTTAGAACCAGGTCCCACCGTGTCCGTGTAGAGTTGTCGGTGCATGGAAAAAACGGTCGTTAAGAGCAGGTGGTCGCTAAACCCAGAGGTTGCTTACACCGGGTTTTACTGTAGTTACCATTTCGGGAAATTCCCCGGTAGTCACATGATGTACAGTCATTCTAGTATTCAGGTCTTATGTCATTCAGCACTGTCCTCTACTTTCCACTCACTCATCTATCTATTTGTGCACAGTGACATCATTGATCGGCTACCTCACAGTCAGATTGACTCATTTGTAAAATTGCTCATGGAGAGGAAGGTAAGGAGCGCTGTATGTAGTCGTTGCGCACTCAGTGCTGGCCATTTGGACATCTTGATCCAGGATTTCCTCGACATGACCGTTGCCGTTGACTCATGGAAACTATGCATTGGTCATATTGAATACAAGATAGTGGTAATGACTTCGGCAATGGTTACACAGGAAAAGTGTTCGCTCCCCACACCTGAGCTAGCGCTTTCTGCCGACTTGACTTGACACTTTACTGACTCACGAGTCACGACATATTGAATTTGGTCATATTGAGTTTCCTAATAACAGAATAGGATGTATGACATACTACCCCATCCCAATCCAATGCACTTTTTCTATGATGTTGAATCGCTGTGTGTTTTCTTTCTGGTTAACAGGATGGGCGGTACCTGGACTTTCTCGGTGTTCTTTGCGTATGTGACGGCATCGCTATTCCAGAAAACCAGGGTAAGTACGTCAATCACACATTGAGAGCATGATATTCCGGTGCTTCAACACACTCGATACAAGTGATTTGTGCGGTAACTTATGTGACTGAGGATGCCCTTTAAAACACTGACCTAGACACATAATATTCTATAGGCACATTGGGCACTCTGACCTGTCGGCTTCAAGGCTATCCTAACATGTTATTATTGCTACCATCTGCATGGAATCACCTGCCTGCCAAAAGGGCCAAATTCCCAAGAGTTCAGGCTTGCACGTCAGGCGAAATTACTGGTCAGTCGGCGACACGCATTTTTCACAAAAATTTGCGTTTCACCTGCTGGGAGAGTATGCGTGTACTCGAGTCTCATCCTGAGCACGTTTTTTTCTTCTTTTTTTCAGCTCCAGTATAGCTGTATTTTTCATTGCAAAGCCGTCCTCGATTGTTGTGTTCGTTGTTCAAACGAAGTGGACATTCAATCATGAAGGCAGAGGACATAGGAGCCTGATTGGAGTTTCTCGTGGCATAGGACGGCCACACAGAGACACTTTGGGATTTTCTGAATATAAAATACCGTACGCACGATGCTGAGATCAATTTGTGCGATATCAAATTGTTTTGTGATCTACCACATCAAGCAGAACGGGATCCAAACACAAGCTTACCGACGGTTAGGCTGCCGACCTGACTGGACAAATGATCCCTGGCTTCACCAGACGCCAGAAGTCGGACACCATGTCCTTTGCCGCGACGTCCATCTCCAAAAAGAACTCCATCTTCGTCGTGAAAAGGCTTGCAATACTCAATATTCAACCGAGATTCGCGGTCTCACCCTTTCTCAGATCGTATCATTTTTTGTTGTAGCAGTTGCAGGGCAGATCCCCGCCACTACTTCAACAGAAGATGGCTCCAAAGCATGCCTGGAACAAGCCATATCGAGGTTGCAAGCCACCCCTCTCAGCGAAAAATTCGAAGAAATTCGAAATTTCAATGGTGGAAGATATACTATGAAGAGAATTTCAAAAAGTATGTTTCGCGGAGCGATCGCTCAACCTACGTCATTCAAACTTTGCAGGATGATTCAGACGTACATGCTAGGCATGGAACCACAGAAGATGATATAGCTGACACACAGAGTCACACACACAGCAGATTCGTGTGCACAGACACTAAATTAGTGGACGTCGTCATCTTCTTCCCGCTGATCTCAAATGTACTATGACGTGCTATTTCGCCTGACGGTTGAACAGAGAGGTCATACATGTAGATTTTGCTTGAACGTAGTAGGTGTTCACAGTGTGCTAAGGAATTCAAGTTTTGCTTTGGACTTGGGAGACCCTCCAACTTTGCCGTCCAGTAAGTGTGTTAGGCATTTAGATGTTGGTATGACAACCAGTCCGGTTTGATCATCCTTGTTTGTATTGCAAGCAGTTGTCTGGTCATCTTTAGGTAATATTCATCCTTGCCCTTTGTGCATGTTTGTTCATCCTTGCAGTGTACATTTGCCAAAAGCTTCTGGAGGAGCACAAGGACTCAGTAAGTTCTATCCTAACCTCGTCTACCGTGTTTTAAACAGTTGTCTAACTTGGGAATTTCCATCCATTGTACTGGGCCTCGAATTACAACACGATCCTGTTGTAGCTACTTTGCAGTGTGTGTATGTGCACCTGCCAGGTATGCATACCAGTATGGGTCAGTTTGGCTTCAACCCACAGTCGCCTCATGTTTCCACTGTTCTCTAAGTGTTGCCATCTCTCTTGTTCTGTGATTGTGTACAGAAAATCGTGTACTTGACTGAGCCCACAAAGGACAAGAAGAGAATGGAGGTCTCAGTGGACGGTGGTGCATCATGGAAGCCGCTGGCAAAGTTTGCCTCCAAGGTAATGCGTCACCTAGTCCGAACTTATACAATGTACATGTAGCTGCCCACCCCTGTGCTAAGCGGCTTCTCAACTGTCGATATGACTGTACTGTTTCCATCCTGGTGACAAAGCATCCTTACTTGTTCTACCAGCCTTGTGGTGACTGACTGTCAGCAGTGATATTCTGCAACCAGTTATTAGCCACCCATCAAACTAACAGTGATCGTGTTTATATCCATGGGACCAAAACGGAAATGCGCTACGATTAGTTTGTACAAGCAGAAACAGCTTGGGCCAAAGAAATCCGACACCCCCACCCCTCCCGTACCATGCGGCCGCCGCATGGAAAAGGAAAAGGTGCTGATGAATGCCCTTTGTGTGGGTGTACATGTGGATTGATGCTGCATCTGGGCCTGGATACAGCGCGGTTTGCTATGAAGGTGTCGGATTTCTTAAGCCTAAACTGTAGATGGTGATGTGCATGGCACTGGATTCATTTAATACGATTCTCTTCCATGTGATCCCTGCAGGGTGGAGATGACGAAAGGAATCCGTACATTTACCTAGAGCACCAACTGGACCTATTTGGAAAGATGTGTTATGTGAGTATCGCATGTACGGTCGATGGGTGGCAGTGAGCACGATGCATCTGTACATGTACAGTGTCAGTATTTCCACCGGGCTGAATATGCCATTGTCGCTGTGCGTGAAGATGATGTCATGGTGGTGAGTCATCGGATTTGCTTATGGGCGTCAAGTGTTTAGTGGCAAGGCAGTAGTAGCGCATCGCTATGCCTTGGCCTTGCAACTTTATACTGTGCATCTCAACTGATAATGTACTTGTGTAACCTCTATTTTGAATACAAGTGTAGTGCATGCCTGTTGATTGTATTTGCTGAGAAGTTCTTCTGCTTCTTTGTGTCTACAGGGTCGCAACGAGTATGTGATCGATGTCATTACAAATGTAAGGAGTAGGCCATTTAGTCGTTTACTTTGGGCTGTTGGTTCGTCAAGGAAGCCTCCCATGCAATTGTGGATTACATGGCATTCGGAAACGAGCCAAGCCAGCTTACTTACTTATCCACCGTGGCGTTTAACATTCTCTTCTTTTCCATAGAAACTGCGCTATCTCACCTGGGCGGAAGTTTTCATTTGCCTGAAGGACGAAGACCTTCCTGACCACCTGCGAGCCAAATACTGCGAACTCATTGTTGGTAAGTCTTGCCTTTGTGTACGATACCGATCGAAGACTGGACTACTAGCGTACAAGCCCATTCTCGGCTTGCTCTTGGTGTTTGACTCAGGCGTATCATGCCTGTGTCAAGGAAGGCTATGGATTGCACTAGAGCATTGCAGCTATGAATGGTTGAGTGCGCGTGTGTGCTTGTGTTTGATACAGGAATGTGTGTGTGTGTGTGTGTATGTGTGTGTGTGTGTGTGTGTGCTTGGGTGCTCGTGTGCCCATGTGTTTGTGTGCTTGTGTGCGATGCAGGAATGTTCGTAGACGTCTCTCCAAACTACTCTGCTCTGGAGACTCTGGAGCTGTCGTTTGTAAGTGCAAGTCCTATGATATCAGCAATGCCCAGTTCTACAGTGCATGGTGCTGTCATTCCTCGTACATCAACACACTTACTTGTACAGGCGCATGTGTTAACCAGCCCTGCGACTAGAGAATAATCCACTTCTGTCATGCCTAGCACTCTTGTGAACCCAAATGTATGTATGTATGTATGTATGTATGTATGTATGTATGTATGTATGTATGTATGTATGTATGTATGTATGAACCTTGTTTTAGCACAGTATTTGTGTATGCCTCATGTTCTTCTGCCACCGCCACCCTCTAGATCTTTAACGAGGTCCGTGAAGAGCCTGCCGGTGACAGCATTCAGGTTGCTGACCAAGTAAGTGATCTTGTGTGCTGCTTACTTTACTATAAGTACATACTGCTTAGCCCCATCAACGACACACTACTTGCATGCCGGTGCTGGTCAGCACAATGGAATTATAACGGCACACGGCTCCAGAACATGTTGCTATAGCCGCAGTGCAGTTCTTTGCTGACTTGGCACTGCCAATACGAACACTATATGACCACATGCATAGCATATCTACTGGAACTGGAGTATCGTGCACACTTTAGATACCCTATTTGAGGCACTTGATTCCACTACTACTAGCATATATGTACTCGTGATGTGAAAGGCTTGTACCAAATACATATGGCTTCGATCCTATTAAAGATGGATTCAACGTTGTGTGATATGTTTTGTTTGATCAGAGCATCACTGGTGCCACTTTGCCATTCTTCCCTGAGCTGCGCAAGTGGATTGCCAGCTTCATGGCGAAGAACACAGTAAGTTCACTGCTACTGGTATTCAATAGGAGCAGGATTAATGATCATGTGCATGGCATTGGAGGCGTGCAGGAATGAACACAGTTGCGTCGTAACTTTAGGTTCCAAAGTGACTAGGCGGGGCACTGGATGTTGTTGAATATTGTCTTCCTTTTTTCAAGAGAAGACAACAAGACTTCAGGCAGTGCACAGAAGCTATCCCATGAATAAATGGAACGCCTGAGAGTCGGGACACAGTGGAAGGGGTGCGACAAATCCAGCCATTGTTTTCAATTAAGCTGACTCCCCAACACCACAGTATGCTACCTACATGACTTTCCCACCACCTACACGATAAGGGTGCGTCTGTATTAAAAGGGAACTTCAAGACATCCACGTTCACTCCGTTGAAGCTCACCAGTAGTTATAGATAGATATGTAGATGGTTTGAAGGACATGGACAATTAGCCCAGCGAGTAATATGGTTGGGTGGAGTGAGCAAGCATCGCAGTGTATTGCATACTGTGTGTATCTAAAAGGACACTTGCATCTGTTATCATTGTCTTTGCCCACTAGGACATGACAGCATCAAACATTGGCGAAAATGAGCTGCTTGGTGAAGTGTTCCGCTTGCTCTACTATCTTGTTAGCTTCGGCTATTACTCGGCAGCCACCGATATCGAGGAGTTGCTGAAGCCTCTGCTTGGTGTGCTGGATGGCCGTAATGACAAGCCATTTGACAAAGGTACAGGAGGGCAACTCCCAGCCGTTCAGTGTATATATGCACACAGCATAATGCAGTGAATACACTGTTCTGCTTTATACACTCGGTAGTAGTGCTGCTCGTTGACCAGTCAATGGTGAAATGCAGTGTAATCCCATCTTGTCTAACTTGTTGCAGATGTTCTCTTCTGTTGGTGTGCACATTATAATGAACACATCACTGAAAGACCCATCATGGCGGTGCACAAAGACAAAGCGCATAGTATGGTAGAAAGAGAACATGGCAAATCCTCGTGAAAGTGTCTGACTGTTAGCCTATGGTTTCCAGCGGCAAGGTGCCTTCGCAATGCGAAAACCGGATCTCCACTTTGCCACACAACCTGCGGGATGATGCAAAGACATTACAAAACCTTAGGTACGAGCAGGTGTACCTGTTCATATTCGTTGTCGGCTTTTGTGACTTTACCCATTTCTTTGCAGCTCGAGGCGATCCTCTAAAGGACTTCCGACAGCGCGGCCGCTATGAGCAAAGCCCCCAGAACAAAGCCATAATTGATGCCAAATTCCGGTAAGGAGAATTTAGACGAACTTGGTATGTTAATTCTCACGTGACTGCCCGGTTAGCTCAGTTGGTAGAGCATCAGACTTTTAATCTGAGGGTCAAGGGTTCAAGTCCCTTATCGGGCGTCTTCCTTTTTTCTTTTCTTTTCTCTTTTTCTTTTAGTTTTACCATCAAGATTGAAGAGCGCCCACTACATGTGATCAAGAGTACATAACCCTCAAGAGTGTGCAACTCATGCGTACCCTACCTAGCAGAATTTTATGGTGACGTCGTTTTTTATAATGCAATGCTCCTCGCGCCAGTGATTTTCGACGCTTGTACTGGGTATCGAAGCATCACACGTGTTTTCTTGCGCAAGTTGGTACAGGATCAAGTGGAGATTTTTACACCACAGGTCCAGAATACCAGTATGTCTGATAATACATTTCAAAGTGCTTTGCGGCATCGTTAAAATGTCACAGTATTGACTTGAAATTCTGCCGGGACAACACTGATCGTGGAGCTGCACAGTGTTGGGTTTTATGTACTCTTGGTTTGAGCACGCACACATGCAATGCAGAGCCTACAGTACAGAGAGACAATGCTGTGACAATCACTATACACTACACTCTTGATGTGATTGATCTGTGCTAGCGACATGGTTGGGGTTGGGGATCCTAGATCAGTGGCATTGATTTTGTTTTGCAACTACTTTTCCTGTGGCAACATGATGTGATATTTTATCCTCCTTTTTTCGGTGCTTGCAGTGCGATGGAAGTGCTGGATGTCTTTTTCAATTTTGGCTTCAACGTCCGTCTGGAGGTAAGGGAGGCCCCGTATTGGGCATGCCAGGGGATAGGCGCTGTATGATATTCCACTACCACTCAAGAATCCAGCTCCCTTTTCTGACCCACTAGGGTACTTGTCCTAAAGAATGCCATGGTGTGAAGCACAAATATTTTTTTCCTTGGCTCATGTTAGTGTCAAGCAGCCTGACTGCTTCACATCCGCCTAGGTAACAGTTACACCGCTATCTTCAACAATCTAGACACTTTTAAAACTGCTAGAAGCCAGCCAACCATTTCCGTACGTGACATATATCCATACCACTGGATCATTGCTGCAGGTGGACTGGTGCGGACGAGTTGTCTCGCAAGTGTTAGCCAATCTCTCGTGGTTACTCGTCTGAACACCTTCTCAGTGCACGCACACATCCAGAGGTACCTTGTCTGTGCAGCCTCAGCTTGGGAGTCTAGGGTTGCTTTGTAGTTGAAAGCCTTGATAGGGCTAGATTCATTCACATGGCTCTGTAACATAGTGCATGTATACGCATGGGGTCGTATGTTATGTTTGATGACTGCAGTCGCTGATCTACGAATTCAAGGCCACCGTCGAAGGAATGAACCGTGATGGGCCCTCCGGCCCAACGTCATCATTCCACCACCTGCAGAGTAAAATCAAAGGCGGATTAACCAGTGTCAGGATGGGCGGCAACGTTGGAATTGACCCGGTAATGCTCTACGGTTCCTCTCTGATCATCATTATCTGCTGTTGTGCATGGAAGGATACTTGAAAGTGTGACTGTATGTCGATGCATCATTGAAAGTGTGACTGTATGTCGATGCATCATTGAAAGTGTGACTGTATGTCGATGCATCATTGAAAGTGTGACTGTATGTCAGTGTTACCAACCGCCCGTATTTGTCCGTATTTTTACGGAAATACAGCCATTTGTCCGCAGCACGGAAGTGATCCAGATTCTCCCGGAAAATCCAAAAAAAATCGGTAGCACCAAGAACGGCAGATTCGGTAGTATACAGAGTAGAATCTGGTCCCTGGATCTACGTAACTCTCCAGAGTGCGCCGCGACTTTATCAGATCTGGGACGCGTCGATCGACGGCGCAATCCGTGATACACGTTTGACATTTTCATGATTATTTTTTGTTTTGTTTCCTCGTGGTGCGCAGGTCGATTTTCACAACAAGTAATTTTTAGTTGACTGTTGACATCAGTTGAGCGGTTCACTTCACTTTCAATGTTGGATTTCATTTGACGATTATCAAAATTATAGTGACTATGGCGGATTCTGACCCAGATTCTGCTTCTGACCCTCGGCCGCTTGTGGGGGCGAAGAAGAAACCGAAGTCCCTTGCCCAATTCAAGGCGACATGGGTGTTGCCACCTGGAATTGCTGCGAGTAAGAAGAAGGGCATTCACTTTGCTTTCTGTAAATACTGCAACATCGATTTTAGCGTCTCCCATGGTGGATTCAACGATGTCACCAGGCACGTGGATAATCAAACCCACAAAAAGAATGCTCGAGTAGTAGCTGGCAATACATGTACCAGTTTGGAATCGTTTGGCCCGGTTGTTCGAGACAGTTGGCGACGAAAGTAATTACTGCTGAGATTGCCGTGTCTCTAGGTGACCTTATAATAAGTATTACGAATATGTTATGCTGGAAATCATTCTGCCCTTGCGGCAATTCATCAAAAACTCGAACGAAAATGACCGAAAAAATGTGGAACATTTGGATGAGGGGATACCAAAAAATGGTTGGAGTACGCAACAGAGCAAAATATTCCGCAAAATGAGATCTGGTTGCACGCTTTCCAGGTAGAAGCAGTTGGTAACACTGGTATGTCGATGCATCATTGAAAGTGTGACTGTATGTCGATGCATCATTGAAAGTGTGACTGTATGTCGATGCATCATTGAAAGTGTGACTGTATGTCGATGCATCATTGAAAGTGTGACTGTATGTCGATGCATCATTGAAAGTGTGACTGTATGTCGATGCATCATTGAAAGTGTGACTGTATGTCGATGCATCATTGAAAGTGTGACTGTATGTCGATGACATCATTGAAAGTGTGGCTGTATGTCGATGACATCATTGAAAGTGTGGCTGTATGTCGATGACATTCCTGCCTGGATTGAGATGTGTGTGATTACTGATTAGGAAATCTTGACAACAGTTCATGGTTGAGGGACTGGGTGGCCTGTGTGTTCTGCCCATTCTTCATTGTACTCCTGCTTGACTCGGATTTGCTGTGAATACAGCTTATGCGAGGCGTGTGCGTGTGTGTGTGTGTTAGACTCACGTCACATCGTTGGTGCATGCTCAGGGACGTGTCACACAGTTGGAGATATGCTTTATTTGAAAGTAGTCTTAACAGGAAGCACTCATTTGTGACAACTGACGAAAGAACCGATGTCTGTCTAGAGCATGCGCTCTGCAGTTCTGCCCAACTTGCCATCCGTTTGTGGTAGCTCAACAGCGTAGTCTGATATGTGGTCCCGCCCGTTTGTGACCATGGCGTGCCTCGACTTATTCTAGGACTTTTCTGGTGTGCGCAAACAGAGATACAATGTGGCTGGAGTGGGCGACAGCAGCGATGGAATCGTGAGTTGGATCTGGCATAGTGCCTAATTGTTATTACTCACTTTAGTGTGTATACACTGGTCTTGGTCTTACCCAAGTGTGTTTGAATACTCTGATTACCCAGGTGTGTCTGCGCGCGCATGTTCACGTGAAAATACTGGCGAGGTTCAATTGCTTGCTGCATTGTTAACATTGAGTATGCATGACATCCAATCCTGCCGAGCTTGATGCTGACATTGTCTAGCCTACACTACTGGTCTCTGTCAATAGTAGATTTGCTTTGCTCTGTACACAAAGGTCTAATGTCTATTATCCTCCTGTGTGCTACTCTTTCCCCCAGGTTCAAATCCTCATGGGCAGAGCTTCTGATGAAACCATCTTCTCTAGCGATGCGTAAGTACCATCAAGAAGAGATACTGTGCGATTTGGACTGTTCAATACTGTGAAGTGGTGGCAGTGTCAGTCATTGCAAGCTGGTTTTTTTCTGAACTTTCCATCCTGTTAACTCGGCGCCATGCCAAACACATTACTGTGTTTTTGTCTAATCCAGTTTGGACTATGCCCGCTATCGGCTGCAAGAGCATGTCTTCAAGAAAGTGAGGCTGTTCCGAGGCACGAACCTGGAGAAGATTCTTCTTGTAAGCACATTTTATAAAGGTTGTTGGCCAGTCAAAACGTCCGCAGTAGCTGGAGTATAGTAGGACCTGTCCTATCCGCGCACCTCGGGTCCGAAGGGTGTCCGTATCTCAGAATCTTCCTTAACTCGGACATGAAATGTACACTACATCCATACCGGACGTGACATATTATCTTCAACAGTACCGACTGAAACTAGAGTCCCAGACTGATACCCCCGCTCCCAAGCATGCATACTAATAGCTAAGGAAAAGGATTATTGCTGGGTTGAAGTGCCGGTAGTAGTCAGCTGACTGCTATGGAAAGGAAGATCATTTCCAGAATTGACTACATGTACATGCAGGCGCGTCGCACCGACTTTGGAGGTGGGGCGGCCATGGAAGGGGGGTCGTCCCCCGGGAAAAATTTCAAAAATTGAAGCCAATTGCAAGCATTTCCGGGCATTTGGTGCCATTTCAGTGTACGGTAACTACAATGAAAGACTTTTTGATTCTGCAAAAAAAACCAAGAAGATGCTACGATCGGGGACAAACATTACCCTCCCCCGGGAAACAAATTCAAAAATTGAAGCCAATTGCAAGCATTCCCAGGCATTTGGTGCCATTTCAGTGTACATGGACTTTTGATTCTGCAACAAACCACGATCGGGGACAAGGATTTACCACGTTTGCGCTGAGATCATCGCGCTTTGTTGCAGTGTGCTCAAAAAACAAAAACAAAAAAAAACAGCCGAAAAAGTGGGGCGGCCATGCGGTTCCGACACCCTTGACATGCCCTTGACATGTATATGTCTGCAGAGGATGCCAAGCTGAGTAAGGTGTTCTGGTGTAAGAAGTCACTGAATAAGAGAGGTTCAACTGTTTTGCCAACCCTTTTAAAACTCGGGCTGTCAACTTCCATCATGTGCCGAGTATTGATGAGGTAGTTCATGTCCACCTGATTCAGATACTTTGTGTGGATAACAGAGCATGAAACGGCTGACGATTGTTGGCGTGTGAGCTTCTAACGTTACTTGACGTGGGATCTCTAACATTCTTCCTGGCCATTTGGTGTGACTAATGTGTGTCCTACTGTCAATGTGTTCTGTTCACACTGGCGCACAGGATCTTGGTGAATACCAGTATGACAAAATGGTGGTGAAGTCAGTGTACCTACTCGACCGCTACTACAGTACCCATGCAACCCTGTTCGAGAAGGCAGTCCAGGGTCAGGTATGTTGTCACCCGGTTTCTGTATGGGTGTGTGGGTGGTCGGGGGGGGGGGGGGGGGTGTTGCAGGACAGCTGAACATCAGTGTTTGTATGGGTGTGTGGGTGGTCGGAGGGGGGGGGGGGGTGTTGCAGGACAGCTGAACATCAGTGTTTGTATGGGTGTGTGGGTGGTCGGGGGGGGGGGGGGATGTTGCAGGACAGCTGAACATCAGTGTTTGTATGGGTGTGTGGGTGGTCGGGGGGGGGGGGGGGTGTTGCAGGACAGCTGAACATCAGTGTTTGTATGGGTGTGTGGGTGGTCGGGGGGGGGGGGGGGGTGTTGCAGGACAGCTGAACATCAGAAGCATCCCCGGTTTGTGGTTGCTCCAACAAATACGGTCGACTTTGCCGTTTTCTCACAACATAGACATGGTGTGGTAGGGTTCACAATCATGCATGGTCAGACCCAGGTTTTTGGTTCCTAGATGCCCAACACATGGGAGAGAGAAGTTCTCCTCTGAATTCTGAATTCATCTCAGACTCAGTGACAGCGTTCTTTCTCCGGCTTGCATTGTGTTGTAACGTTACTGGTGATGTGTGTGTGTGTGTGTGTGTGTGTGTGTGTGTGTGTGTGTATGTGTGTGTGTGTGTGTGTATGTGTGTGTGTGTGTGTGTATGTGTGTGTGTTCTTCCAGGTGCTGATTACTGACTCCTCTGTAGAAACCTTCAAGAGAGTGAGTGCAAGACCTAGTGACATTGGGCAATGTAGTCACTTGTGTGCTGACCTGTATCACACTGTGCGTGTTGTGGAGGAGACTAGCAGCTTGTCGTTTCCTAGTTGAGGCAGTGCCACTTTCCTGTTCCATTGTTATGTCAGGTAGCAGGTGGATAAAGAGAGTGGGGGTAGGAGTTATACAGCAAAGTGAACACGCATGCGTTGAGTGAAGGCAGCATGCTAGTTATTTGTAAAAGGGGGACATGTGTGTCTGTGTTTGGTGCCATGCAGGTGAGGAAACTTGTTCCTGAGCTACGGCGCTTGACAACTGCCAAGCTGACCCCAGACATGGAGGCACGCATGAGCGAGATTATCACGGTCTTGTCTAAGTGAGTCTAGCGCCACCACAGTCAAAGTATAAAGGCAACGGTGGTTGTTAGTAAGCCCTAATAAGGGGTATAGTCATCGTTTTCAAGCCCGTTTTACACTTCACTCCATGCACGGCAAACAAGTCACACGTCTGTCGTAATCCATAACACGAATCTGATAAATCACCCTAGGCTATTCGGCGCTTTTTCACCGCATTTTCACATTTAGCACGGCACAAGCTCCAGCGATTTGTCGGAATTTTGTTGGTATTGACCGCATTGAATCGGCTTTCAACTTGGCAGTGAAAGGTGTCATTTAAACTAGGGTGTGCACGGGTAGTCTGGTACTCGTGCTACCCGTGAGGACCTCGGGTAGACGGGTACCGAATAGTACCCGAAAACCCGAAGACGCAGATGACATCATGCACAGTGCACGTGTACAAATTCATGTAATACCCCGCATGTCGGTCCACCCAGTGTGTAAGGGAAGGGGTGCAGTGTGGCATTAACATGGAAACATTACCCGATCGGGTACCCGTGCTACCCGTGGAAACCTACCCGAACCCGATACCCGAAGAAAACGCTACCCGACTCAGCACTAATTTAAACCTGTCTTCTGCCAAGCGTTGAACCCCGCCAGGCATGGTTTATTGCACCGTCCTGAACTTAATCAAAACATAAAGATCACCTTGGCTGTCCTGTCATTGTATGTCACAGTTGTCACTCCACAGGCCGTGGCTGTGAGCAGAGAAGACTTTAATAGCACGAAACTTTTCATCACCTGCTCGTGTGTTGGTTTCTGTGCAGTTATTGCAGTCTGTCACGGCGCGTCAGTGGAGAGCAGACTGAGGAGCCACATCCCATGAACCAGAAGATTCTGCTGAATTTTGGTAAGGGACCATTCAAGATCGTATCTGCCTTTGCCGACCATTTCGATGTAGTCAAAGTACTTGTAGCAATGTTAGAATAGGTACTTGCTGGGACGATATTGCCAACTCTGTGTCCGTTTGCTGATAGGTATTGTGGATGACATCTTCAATGTTTTGGACAAGCGTATCGACGTGAAGTTAATTGATGTAAGCCTATACGATACACATGACTGGAGACCTTAGTGCGTGTACTCGTCCATCACCTTGGCGCTATTCATGTATTTTTGGTTTGTGCCTCCATACCTAAGCTCATTTTTGTCACTTTCTCTCTTTCCTGCTTGCTTGCTTTTTTTCTTGTGTTAATACTATCATACTTTCAAGTGTCACTAGAATTTTGTTGAATGAGGCCTCACTATTAGGTAATTGCTTTTCTTTTCCCTTGTGAAATAATTTCTTTTCCCTTGTGAAATAATTGCTTTTCCCTTGTGAAATAATTTCTTTTCCCTTGTGAAATAATTTCTTTTCCCTTGTGAAATAATTTCCGCTGCAGACTCAGTACGCTGGTCTCAGAGCTATCTTTCAGAAGTGTTTCTGCTTCTTACAAGTCATGGCGAGGTAAGTGTAGTGTGGTGTAGTGCAGTGCAGTGTAGTGTTTACAGAATTGTCCATGCTGTGCATCCGGTGTGTTGTTTGATATGTTTTACTATGCTGTTGTTTGTGCCCTCCTTTCGTTTTACAGAGCTAATGCTCCAGTTCAAGAAAGGATCTTTGAGAGAATGGACAAGCTGTTGGAGGTGCCTGGCTGTCCGCAGGAGCTTGGTATCTGCATGGCGGAAGTAAGGTTCCCTGTGCATACATATTCATGCCTGCATACATTCTGCCCAAGCTGTGGATGTATAGCTGTTGTTTGCTTTTTAACATGTGTGCTTCTGTACCTGTACAACTCAAGCAGTGTTTGGAACGATTCAATGTGATTCAGCATGTGCTCTTCATGTTATACTATGTGACGAGGATAAGTTGGTATATTGCAAGATATTGCCTGCTGGCGACTATGGCATAGCTGAAAGACAGAGGGGAGCGAGTAACATGGACTTGCAGGAACTAGAATCGCAAGTCTGATAGTGTCTTTTGTCATTCTGGGAATGTGCAAAGTGAGTTCAGGTTGCGGGAATGGAACTGGTGCAGCACATCTATCACATGACCATACACGGCAGCCATGTTGGCTCCAGTGTCCACTCAACCCGTGTATCAATGGGTCACATGATGTCGGCCATGTTGGTTCCACTGTCCACAGTACACGCTATGATCATGTGCTGCACACAATTTAGTCACATAACAAAGATGTGACACCACTTTATTCCTTACCAATGATTTCCTGCTTTCTTGCTCACGTACCATTGATTTCCTGCTTTCTTGCTTCCAGGTGTTCACTGGAAACCAGTCGCTTTGCTTGGCAATCAAACCTGCTCAAGTAAGCGGACATGGCGGCATCGGATTGTGACTGAGTTGTTTCCTAGTGATGTAATCCAGCGAGGTCATCGAATACCCGCAGGGGTGTCACAGGATAGTGGGGAGTGGCACATCCAGGGAGGGGGGGGGGGGGTGTTCCCTGGAGAAGCAAAGTTGGATTTTTTCGACCAACAGGGCGCGTTTTAGCGCTCTTTTTATTTATTGCCTTTGGACGAATTGGGCGGACCATTGATATAACCTGGATGAAAAGTGGTACGACCATGGCCGTACCGTATGTGTGATGCCCCTGAACCAAATAGTCGAATTGCTGTGCTTCAGGCATGGATCAGGCCCTTAGCTCTTGACTTGTACAATCCTGTGCATGCTCAGTGTTGGACACATGTTATTCTCACATGGCACCTCTCACTGTGCGCCCGTCCTTCCCTTGTGCTGACAGGTCAAGCATATAGTGGAGCTAGTTGCTACGCATCGCGAGGAGGGCAGTGAGCTGCTCGAAGCACTCAATGCGATTGTCAAGGTAGGTCTGGCTACACAAGTCTTTTAAGACCCTGTAACCAGCTGTGGTAGCGATACGCCTCATTGAATGTAATAATTATCATAACCACTATTTTGAACATCCTAGTTGAGATAGTGTGGAGTAATGATACTTTCCAAGGCATTCCGCAAGATATATTATATGTCCACGTGGCGGTTTAACCTGTGCGGCTTCTGTACACTGTGCAGGTCGAGGAGCTTGACTTGCCTCTGAAGCGCAACCAAGCGGCGGTCGTTACGTACATCAACCAGAACCGCTCCCGTGTTGCTTGGATATTGGAACCCGGCAAGAAGAGGGACAGGTAACAGTGCTACTTGAGGCATGACGACACATATTCCCAACGAGCTATTTCTATAAGATTATAGTTGTCAAATAAAAAGGGGTTTGTCAACTGACAACCGCTCTATTTAGTTGCTATTCACTCTTTAGATGAAAATTCTTTTATTAATGATGTTGAAAAATTATCGATGCTTCGGGCCAGTCACCCATTGTCAGAATAGTTTTCAGGCATTGTATTGTACCATTTCCCCTAGTATCCGATTCATAAAGTAAGTCGGCTGTGCACATGGCTGCCACTGTGGTAGCAAGTGTGGTTCTTAGGCTGGTAGACCACTACCCCATGTGCTGAACAGTTGCTCTAGACCACTACCCCATGTGCTGAACAGTTGCTCTAGACCACTACCCCATGTGCTGAACAGTTGCTCTGTCGGTGAAAAGGCTACATTTCAAGTGTTGATGTTGTGTGGCTTTGTTGCACGGTTTCTCTCACAGAATGGATCTTCTACATGACGGGCAGGAGAGCAATGCAATGCTGGTCTACCTGGTCAAACTTGTCGATGTGCTTGCCACTTGTGCTGAGGTATGGAGTAACTGCATCGCACAGGGTACCAAGGTGTAGGATGAATCATTGGCTAGTTTTGGGATTTTAATCTCCGAATTGCACGAGGGTTAGAGAGATTCAGGCCATGGCGTTCTCAGGGTTCTCAACATGGTGTGCTGTGATATGCTTGGTCTTGTCTGTGGCTCAGGGTGAGAATCGCTTTATTGAGTCGATGTGCCAGAACATCTTCAGCCTTGAGGAGATCATCGAGGTAGGTGTTGATACATTGTCAGGAATAAGTACTTGCTCCGTTGTTTCAGTTGGTTTGGCAATACCTGTCCTTATGCATTGGCATTATGTTTCCACATCCTGATAGTAAGTCCCTGGACATGATCTTGTTCTCTGCTCAGGTTATCAATGACGAGATGATTCCGATTTGGTGCAAGCGACCGTACCTGCGATTCTTTGTCTGGTGCTATCTGAACACGGCCGGTGGACCAATTGAGAGTGGCTGCGGTGATTTGGACCATGACGAGTTAGTAGAGAAATTTCCCCATGCATACATCCTTCTTCACACAAACTGAGTGCTTTGTTCCCAACATCTAGGTATTAGTAAATTAATGGGAGGGGGGGGGGGGTATGCTTCTTATACTTGACATCTGAGCATATGACTAAGATTTTAAGGGGAGGATTACGTTGCTAGTCAATTTATGGTACACCTGTGCCATATTGTGTGGAAGCCGCATGCACTGCCATTGGTTGTACTTGCCGGCTTCATTATCTACACCAAGCGGCAGCAGCTCTAGTGCAGCTCCTCTTTTAGTGCGATGCCAGCCATAGCGTAAACAGCTGTATGTGTTGTGAATACAGATTTGTTGGGATGAAAGCTGTGTGTTTCTTTCTGTGTGCTCCTGCAGCGAGATGTGGCGTTTCATGGCCTCGTCCCGAGACACCCTCAAGTCATTGTGCCACGGATTCAACAGCTTCAACCGTAGCCGTGCTGCAGATCTGCGACAGACCATGCAAAGGCGGCGTGGAACCACCAGTGCAAAGTAAGTCACATTGGACTGTAGCATTGGCTGATTTTTTTAAGAAACATGCTGCACTCTTGACAAGGAGCTACTGAACGGAAGGATTGCTTGTACAGTATTCCTTTAGCGCCGGTAAAGCCTGTGTTATGTGTGCAGTACAATAAGGGACCGGCCATCTCAGACTACTGACTATGTTAGCATGATTCCACCATACCTGTGCAGAAATACCACGTTTCTCTCAAGACTAACTTTAGTTTCTCTTCATAGGGGCATGATCGCAGAAGGCCCATTCCACTGTGTCGGCTACCATTCAAGCGTTCCCACCCGATTGTTGGATATCATTCAGGTCAATGCAAGCTGGTCATGGTCATCTTCTCTTCCACAATGAGCGCTAAAATCTTGTTTTAAGCCGTGCACGCTGTTATCTTCCTCTATCTCTTGCTGTGTGATCAGGTCACGAGTTGCGGCGGAAAAGTCTAAAGAGGTCACTCTAAGCACTCCTGGAGTTTTGAAGTATGTGTTTGAAGGACTTCTACCATTCCTACAGGTAAGCGCATGCCGCAACCAGTCAACCAGTCTAATCTGTTCATTGCAAACAACTTCAAGCTAGCTAGTCCGCAATGGGTGGGTGTGGATAATTCGTGTACGGTCTAGATTCTGGGCCCGTGGCGAGAGGTGTCGTTCACTGCAGGCGTTGCGTGCTACGAGGCATTGAACCGACTCGCACACATTATGTCCTATGTTCTACTATGTAGCAGTGCATGGTGCATGCTTGTTGCTGTGCTGCTGTGTGCAAGTACATTTGTATGTCTTTTATAAACAAGGAATCAGGCAAACTAAATAAACTAGTAACAATATGTTTATGTTTTTAAGTGTACATCTGTTTGTTTGGATAAGTGATAACTTGAATGACATCTGCCTTTTCTTGCTGTTCTTTTGATGTGATGTGCTCATGTCTACAGGTGTTCTACTCATCATTCTTCAAGCCAGACAGCAGGCTGTCCAAATATGACAACGAGATTCAAACGTCACAGCTGATAGCCGTCCCACTGCTGGTGAGAATCAGCATCAGCCCTGGCTACACTAGCTCTGTTCTTCATGCAGTGTGTGTGGGTGGGTGGGTGCGTGCGTGCGTGCGCGTGCGTGTGTGTGCGTGTGTGCATGTGTGTGTGTGTGTGTGTGTGTGTGTGTGTGTGTGTGTGTGTGTGTGTGTGCATGTGTGTGTGTGTGTGTGCGTGTGTGCGTGCGTGCGTGCATGTGCGTGCGAGCGTGCAGCAACCAGCGTTTGTTTCATCAGAGAAGCAGGTCCTTTTCCTGACCAAACTACATGTATTAGGTGCACTGTAATGCAGACTCCGTCAGCGTAGTGACCGGTGAGAGATAGGTGCTCTGTTCACTAGTTGTTGATGATCCGCTATTGTGTGTGTGTGTGCGTGATGAGCCTGGTCCCCCTTCCTGAATCCCTGCTCTCTGCCTTGTACAGACGCTGTATGATTCGATAACAACGGTCATCTCCAACGTCAACCAGTACACACTGCTGAAGAGCACCATTGCAACCATCATCTCCTTCACCGAGATCACTGTGCCGGAACAGGTATGTGTCTTGTAGTCTAGCATCACAATCACCCTTGTGTGTGTGTGTGTGTGTGTGTGTGTGTGTGTGTGTGTGTGTGTGTGTGTGTGTGTGTGTGTGTGTGTGTGTGTGTGTGTGTGTGTCATGGCCACAATCCTTGCTGGCATGTCATTGCCTGAACTGCCGCCATGCGTGTTAGGATGACACCACCGTTTGCAGAACAGTTTCAAGATCATTTCATTCAGCAGCCAGAGGTGTTCACAAATTATGCATACCGCCTCTCTTGTGTGATATATGCAGCTTGTGACCAAGTTCGAGAGAGATGCTTTCCAAGTCAGTCCAGACCTGCGCTCTGATGCACAGAAGGTAAGCATAGCTCAATCTTTATTCGCCATCCTAATTGAATGACTTCAAATTATACCACATTGTACTGTGAAGTACTGCCCGAGCGATCCACCTTGATGTATAGCCAGTGTGTATGACCGGGGAAAGAATAGCTGTGGCCAGGTGCAACACACAGCACGAACCTGTGTGCACCAGCGTAACACAAGCCACACACCAGCTCCCTGTTCTTGTTTGGAGCTTACTGCCGCTTGAAGGAGAAACGCATATAGATTGACTGCACGCGGCGGTGCTGTGTGCGCAGATATAATGTACATGTTGTACTGCCTACTGCCAGGACTAACTCATCCGTCCTACCTCAAAAAAACACAACCATGAAGAGGTCCATCCAGGTTGTAGGGCACAAGGTTTGCTCTTCTTTTATCAACTTGCATTTTCACTCGTCATTGGGTGGTGTGATTACCATGAGCCATCTGTTTTCCTGTCCCTTTCAGGAGTATACAGAAGATTTCTTCGAAGAGGAAGATCTGAACAGCCGGCTCAACCTGTTTGTGGGAAACTTTGAAACAGCGTATGAAGGCAGGAACACACTCAGGGAGCAGATCAATGAGCCATATGATATGGGTATGTGAGCTATGGTGTGGAGGTGATACCAGCTAGAGTTGTTGTTTTTTAATCTGCAGGTCTCATTCACAGAGTAACTAGCCGCTTCATGTTTTTACCGCATAAATAGAGCAATCTGAATTCCCTGACTCGTTTCCTCTCTTCTGTCGTGTGATGAGTTGGACCGAAAGCATTTTTCAAAGGATGTTTTGCAACAAACCCATGATCGTTATTGTGAATTTGCAAATTGCTCTACTTGTTGTGTTGATTTCTTCAAAGTTTCATGATAAAAAAATCCCCAGACCTCATCATTGTAGTCTGATGATTGTCCTAAACTGCACGGTGCACCGTAATGGGTTTGCTGTTCTGTTTCACAGCTTATTCTGAAGATGGTGGAGACGAAGATCTGCCCCGAGGCCGGGAATTTCAGCGCTTCCTTCTTCTGTTGTAAGCATGTTTGAAATGTTTATACCCGAGGTATTAGCTACATAAATTCACTGGGGTTCGCACAGTCTGTTAGGGATAAGATTGAAACTTACAGGCAACGGATACATACATGTACGTGTGATGCATACTATCTTCAACAATATGGAAGGGGGTTCTGTCGACGATGCAGATTCGTTGACTTTAGTTATTAATTGATGCACCAGTGCTGCGTTATGGTCGTTAGTGGTGCCAAAGGAACCACGTTTTGTGTGTGTGTGTGTGTGTGTGTGCTGGAGGGTGGTGGCCGTACAGTAGTTGATAGTTATCACACTACCTTAGACCTGTGTATTCAATCTGTTGGTGTATCTCGGTCTTTCCTTGCAGCCAAGATGGTGATGGAGTGTCTGAGCAACACGTGTCCAAGCTCATTGGCCACATCTAGTGAGTCGTCCATTGTCAACCTCCTTGGAGAATACACACTGGTATATGTGCAGGGCCCCGATCCAGTTGGTGTTGCTTTCAGCCAAGCAGGTTTCATTATACCATGCCAAATTATTTGTCATGCTGATGTAACCCCGACCTGGAGACTGGCAAGATCTGTAGCTGCCATGCCCATGAAGTTCGTAATCCAAGCCATCTAGGATGTGTTGCACACCTATTGCAGTTGAGGAGTATCCGAAACACACTGCCACTTTTAAAGGTACTGTCCATCAATGTGTGAGTGTGCACAATTCAGTGGTTGATCTTCTGTTGTCTTTGCTGGATGGTTGTCTGTGCACAGCATCTCGTTTCACAGTCCCGAGTATCGATCCGTGTCCTCGGTGGAACGCATTGCTCTTGACAATGTCAACGTCAAGTGCCTGCAGGTGAGTTTTGCTAGACCTTACCAGGACTAACCGCATTACCACTGAATTCTACTTTAGTCCTGATTTACTCTGGTGTACAGTCAAACTATGCTTGTTCCCACTAAGAGTTGATCATCAGCACGACTTTGAAGATTCCAAAAAGCCTTCTAGTATGCATACAGTATTGTCGGTCGCCGAAGAACTGGGGTCAGCATCCTAGCCTAGACCGTTCCTATTTTCATGTATTAACATCTATGCGCAGTTGAGTCACCGTGTATACATTGGTATGCTGTGCTTGATTAAATTCTAGCCTGGTCGTTCTTCGGCACCCGACAGTACTGTACTTCTTCAAAAAATGTTATCAGTTTAATGGGACCCACCACACTTGTTTTGATGCAGCGCTTTTGAAACTTTTTGTTGAAACCAAGACAAAGTAGGCAGGAGGACAGATCCCTCAACCAAGATTCAAGAACGCTGAAGTCTTAGGAATCATTCAAGTAGAGTGGGAAGCCGACTTTCAGTTTGTGGAGCGGCGCCTGATGATGCCAAAGGAATGTGTGTGGAGCTTGGGACATCAATGAGACAGGCACTGCCTTGCGTTCACTGGGCGCTATAATGCTCTATCGCATGTAACATTACTCTATGGTGTGTGCTCTATGGTGTGTGCTATTGCAGCTTTTACGTGCCCTGATCCACAACAAAGTGGTCACTCGCGCGGCCCTGGAGCTAACTGGTGGCACCACCGCTGCAATTCAAAGGTATGTTTTTACTGTGCCACAACCTGTTCTGTTGTCAAACATTGGTAGTGTTTTGAAGCGCACATTGCATCATATCAGAGAACCTTGCTCATTGCCATTCTAAACTTCAAGCCAGCGGATCACGAGCACGGACCTGTGTGTGTGTGTGTGTGTGCACGTGCATGCGTGTGTACGTGAGGAAGAAGGAAAGAGAAGATAAGCAGGGGTCTTGACTGTAATACTTCACACTAGAACGGCAGACACTGTCCACCTGAAGCAGATAATGTTTCTGCGGCAACTTAAGAGAGCATGTCTGAGAATACCAAAGTATGTGTGCAAGTGGATCTCTCCGATTTCGCTCAAAATTTGCAGGTAGGTTCCCTTTGGGGTGTGGATCGCTCGTGCAAAGCCCTTGAAAAAGTTTCTGAAGGGAACCTTGAAATTTGCATACCCCTCAAAAATGGCCGAAATATCACATTATTTATGGGTCTAGAAACGAGTCACGCCACAGCGTATACGAACAAGCTATGAACAAAACTCCATCAAGCCAACATTGCCTCACCTTAGAAGAGTTCCTGGAGCAGTACCGCTTAGCCACGCCAGCATCCCAGAAGACGAGGTCCATCACCCCCTGACGCCACAAATGATCGTCTTGAAAATAGCCAATTTACAAGCGCTGGCAAAACAGCCAGCTACGTCCTCAATTGGCCAGAACTATACACCGGCAGATAGTAGAACACCTCTTCTAGCGCTGAGGACATGTCCCCCATCTTCCTTTTGGGGTTTTCTTGAAATAAACTTTTTTGAATTTTTCCACTCGACCATGCTGAAATACGGCCAAAGTCATACCTGCGCAGGAAAGCTCGCCCCTCCGCGACGTCTCCTCAGCAATTTCTACTCCAACACTACTCCCAAGGCCGCAGAACAAAGTGTAGTGTTGACTCTGATAAGGAAAAGCAGCGGTGATCACTTGTCACTCCAAACGACAAGCTTCTCCTTGCGCCACCAATAAATTTTTGTGCGACTGTTGATGCAAAAGTGACTGAAGGCCTGAGCGCAGTTTTTGAATCTTATTGCAAGATGCACGATGAGATCGCGTGCTCTGTGACGTAGGATGACGCTTCCTGCATCACGATACGCGGCCATCGATCGCGAATGTGCCTGGAACGCTACTCGGAACAGACCATGGTGGCAGAGGTAAGATGAGCTTCATTTCCTGCTTGAACTGCTGAGAACCCCCACAAACTGTCCTAGGAGTGTTGCAATGGCAGCAAGCCGTTGAAATATGCCCCTCGTACAGCATGGAGAGTTATTCGTCTTTCACACTTACCTCCTGCAATCCCGAATATAGTCCAACAGTAAAGTCCCTTGTTTTCATGTCGATGCTCGACAAAAGCGGCTAGCTCGGTCCCTTTGTGTTGACTGGCACGCGAGTAGCACTGGCTGCACGCACTTGTTGCGTGAACTGCATGAGAGATTTCTTACGTCATAAAGAATGTGATATCATCATCATTTCACTGGTCTTCGACCTACATGGTCAGGGAAAGTCCCGGTTCGTAGGCCTACAACACGGTCAGCGTGTTCTTGAGCGCAGTAACAACACAAGTGTGATCACTTCCAGACCAACGGGCGTTCAAGGCGAGTAACAAGCGCACTTGACAAAGGTGACTCTGAAATCTCGTGAGCCGTGATCCACGCGACTTGGCATTCTTGCGTCACAAGGCACGTGATTTCACCGTGCATCTTGCAATAAAATTCAAAAACTGCGCTCAGGCCTTCAGTCACTTTTGCATCAACAGTCGCACAAAAATTTATTGGTGGCGCAAGGAGAAGCTTGTCGTTTGGAGTGACAAGTGATCACCGCTGCTTTTCCTTGTCAGAGTCAACACTACACTTTGTTCTGCGGCCTTGGGAGTAGTGTTGGAGTAGAAATTGCTGAGGAGACGTCGCGGAGGGGCGAGCTTTCCTGCGCAGGTATGACTTTGGCCGTAGTTCAGCATGGTCGAGTGGAAAAATTCAAAAAAGTTTATTTCAAGAAAACCCCAAAAGGAAGATGGGGGACATGTCCTCAGCGCTAGAAGAGGTGTTCTACTATCTGCCGGTGTATAGTTCTGGCCAATTGAGGACGTAGCTGGCTGTTTGCCAGCGCTTGTAAATTGGCTATTTTCAAGACGATCATTTGTGGCGTCAGGGGGTGATGGACCTCGTCTTCTGGGATGCTGGCGTGGCTAAGCGGTACTGCTCCAGGAACTCTTCTAAGGTGAGGCAATGTTGGCTTGATGGAGTTTTGTTCATAGCTTGTTCGTATACGCTGTGGCGTGACTCGTTTCTAGACCCATAAATAATGTGATATTTCGGCCATTTTTGAGGGGTATGCAAATTTCAAGGTTCCCTTCAGAAACTTTTTCAAGGGCTTTGCACGAGCGATCCACACCCCAAAGGGAACCTACCTGCAAATTTTGAGTGAAATCGGAGAGATCCACTTGCACACATACTTTGGTATTCTCAGACATGCTCTCTTAATGTTTGTTCCGCTTCTGTACTTCTAGATATGATACCATGATTGATGAAGTTCAGCGACAAATCAATGGCCACGGCACAACAGAGAAGGTAAGAGAACATGCATACGCCTTGCACACAGCATAATCTGCCAGGGGAAGTGGACATGATAATCACATGTATCCACGACTAGTAGTGTAGTGGTTTGGGCTCAGTTTATGTGCAGCAGCAGCTAACCAAAATCCTCCATTTTTAGCTGCACTCATACCTGTCAACCCTCCCTCAGTCACGTGAGTGACTGCATTAGAGTTCGGGTATGTTCCCGCAAAACGTTTGCCGATACCTGTTTTTGTTGTACTCTGCAAATGCCTGTGTACATGTGTTGTAGGTGGTTCCGATGCTCTCTCACCCGTGCGATGAAGTGGTGCGCGAGACCCTGGCATTGCTGGGACTACTGGTCTTCAACGCACAGAAAGATGTGCAGGTTAGTGACCACTAGTCCGGTTTGGACTGGCGTGATTGTGTTGCATCCTCGTTTATCAGTGCCACACTGGTGTAGTCCACGTTGTCAAGTAGAGTACTTGCTACACTCTTCCAGCGTCCGGTAAGGCAACCACTTTCTGCGGAATGTGTGCCTACCTTGACCCTGTTATGGTAGTACCTAAAACTGGAGGGGTGCTATCGATACAACATGTAGTATTCAAGTTCGTACTTGATGCGTATCGTGTCGGAGAAAGGTCTTCTGGGGTGTCGTCGAGATCTCGTTGCGACCGTGACTCCTGCTTGTCTCCCTGGCTAGGTGCTGCTTGCTTTGCTTTTGTGCGTAGTGTTTTTGATTATTGTTTACTATTGCGTATTGTTAGTGTTCGTTGTGATTTGGTACAGTACTTGTTACGAGATACGACACATTGTGTAGTGTGTGTTTGCAGCACGAAGAAGACTGCTCACCAGAACGGTTAGCTCAGGAGCTTGGGCTTACCTTGTGCAATCACAGTTCATCAGCTTGGACATTGCGCTTGGTCCCATGCGAATAACCGACTAGAATAGTAATTATTTCTTCGTTGCATTTTTGAATTGTGTTCTTGCTAGCTCGTTGATTTATTTAGTTGATGTGTTGATTTGTGTTTGATTACTTATTTATTTGATGCGCGATTTATGTGCGCTGATTGCGTGATGGCATGCAATTATGATCATGCTTGCGCCAGCTAGCTAGATGCCTGCGCCGCGCACTGATGTTGAATGAGTTAGCATGCGCCCCGCGCTGTTCATGCATATATGGTACATGGTGTGTAATGTTTGCCGCACACGCGTATAGGTGCCGCGCCTCGTACTGCTCATGTGCCTCGCGCCGTACTATTGCTGTCGCTTTGCCAAATTTAGCTTCCGCTTTCCGAGCGCTGTACGCTCTTCTGTACGCTCATGCCAAAGTTGGACGCACGTTGTGGCTGGCCAGCGCTTTACCCCTCATGCGTTGTTCTTTTCCTTGATGCTGTGGTTTGTTTTCTTTAGTGTTCTAGAGTTCTCTTTCCGATGTAGTTCGTATTTTTCCAGTCTCTTCTTCTCAATGTATTCTACTGTTCATTCATTATAGTCCGTAAAGAATTACGTGACCTTTTGTCTTGTGGCGTCTGTGCGATCCTGAAACTTTTGAGGTGTTAGTAGTGAACACAACATTTTGGCGACCACGCCAGGATAGAGACGCGTGAACATGGATGAGGTAGAAGCGAAGCTGATCGAAAATGGTCAAGCTTATGGCTACACTGGAGAGGCATTGCGTACTTACGTAGAGGAGCGTATCGAGAAGCACGAGGAGAAAGTGCGTGCAGACAGAGAGCGCGACGAACGAGCAGGAAGTAGATTGGAAAGGAAAGATGACGAGCAGCTGCTTGCGAGGATTGCAGATTTGGAGTTGCAAGTCCAGCACACACGAGAGACTCAGAGTGATGAGAGCACTTTGTTGAATACGACGAATGGCAGTTTAGGGAGCAAGAGGGCTGCCATCAAGATGCCGAAGTTCGACGGTAAGCAGACTGTTGAGACCTATCTCGAACTGTTCGAGGATGTGGCAAAGCAAAATGAGTTCAGCGACGACGAGTACCTGATCCGCTTGCGCGTGGCTGTTGCTGGCAGCAAGTTGGAAGGTGCATGCTATGGCTGCAACACCTTTGCCGAAGCGAAGCGCGAGCTGCTGATGGCGCATGGGAAGACCGCCGACAAAGCGTGGCAAGCCCTGATGGCCATACAGCAGAAAAGTGATGAGAGTTTCTACCAGTTTGTGGTACGAGTGACGCGCGAGACGGAGAAGTGGGCAAAACTCGCCAGGCCTAGCCGTACCTCTAGCCGCGGACAAATCGGTGAGCTGGACGACACTGAATTGTTCGGATGTGTCGTACGTCAAGTCCTGCTAGAAGCTGTGTCGGCAGAAACTAAGGCCTTCTTGATCGAGAAGAGATGTTACACGAAGGACTTGAAGGCGTTTGCGGAGGATGGTATGGCTTACCAAACAGCCCACGGACGTAGCAAGCTGAAGCCTGCCAAGTCTAGCACCAGCGACAAACGTATACCGTTTGCGTCGGCAGAGTGTTTGACGGTCAGCGTTGATGAGGCTAACAAGAAATTGTCAGCTATGGCGTCTGAGCACCGAAACGCGTACGTCAAGGCAGAGGGACTGTGTTTCAACTGCCTGAGACCAGGACATCGAGTGATGAATTGTCAGAACAAGGGTCGTTGCAAGCACTGCAACAAGCGACACCACAGTCTACTGCACAGAGAGGACAAACAGGTAACATCCGAACCGATAGCCGAATCGAAAGTCGGTACGTATGAATGTAGTGCAAACAGCGTGCACTTGATGACCGGCGTGGCTGAGGTACAAGGACCTAGCCGAAAGGCCAGTGTACGCATATTCATCGACCCAGGTGCGCAGGCATCGTTCATCACCGCACCACTGGTGAACTCGCTGCAACCGGCACACCTTGGATCGCAAACTGTCAGGCTGAAGGCGTTTGACGTGGAGCCGAAGTTTGAAAAGATGGACAGGTACCGTGTCACCATCAAGGGTGCAACGAAGTCCATTTCCGTCAATGCCTGGCAAAAGAAGTCGCTAGGTCTCCGATTCGATCCGCTAGCAGACAGCACAATTGCACGTTGGCAGTCACAGGGATTGCAGCTGTCTGATGACTCGACAAAGGCCGGATCAAGCGAAGTGCACATGCTGATTGGAGCTGACTACTGCAATGAGTTCCTTCTCCGCAAGGAGCAAATCAATGGAGAGACGGCCTGGCACACTGAAATAGGCTGGGTGCTGTCAGGACCGGCTAATAGTGAAACCAAGTCAGCGACCGTCAGTGTGAGTTGTATTGAACTTGACCGACTGTGGAAGATGGAAGAGGTGCCGGAAATAGCTGAGACGTTACCGGACTTCCCGATAGAACGGCAAGGCCCTCATTACCAAGTGGGATTGCTATGGCGATCTGAGAAGCGTCCGCCAGCCAACCTCAACCAAGCGATGGCAGCGGCACAATCACTGCTGAAGCAGCTACAGAGACGAGGTCAACGTCCAGCGTATGATGACGTCCTCATCACTGAGTACTTGAAGCTGGATGCCATTGAAAAGGAACCGCATCCGGAGGAAGCCGGCTATTACATGCCGCATCATGCCGTATTCCGTAGCGACGCCTCAACGACAAAGACACGGGTCGTCTTCAATGCATCCGCCGCCTGCACCGGAGCACCATCCCTAAACGACATGGTCGATCCCGGGCCATCACTCCTACCGGATCTCACTGGTATCCTCCTCAGGTTCCGTGAGTATGAATGTGCTGTACAAGCCGATATTCGCAAGGCTTTTTTTATGATCGGAATGCGTGAAGAAGATAGGCCATATCTGCGTTTTGTTTGGCCTGAGATAGGTAGCGAAGAAATGTGTATCTGGCGTTTAAAGAAGCTGCCTTTTGGAGTGAATTGTTCTCCTTTCATACTTAGTGCTGTGCTGCGCTTTCATCTCGATAGTGCATTCGAGTCTGCTTCTGCTGCTGAGCGTGATATCATAGAGCTGCTGCTGCGTAGTTTTTATGTTGATGATTGCGTTTCTAGCTTGCCATGCTGTGCGGATGCTGAAAAGCTGCAGGAGTATAGCGTTAATGTTTTGCAGGGAGCAGGCATGGAGTTGCGGAAGTGGCGAGGGAACACGATGACCTCAGACCCCGAGGCTGGTTCCAAGGCACTGGGTATTGTGTGGAACACCGAGTCAGATTGTATTTCGGTGGCTGCGCTCGGTGATGTTGAGTGTCCCAAGGAAGTGTCTGGTTGGTCTCGTCGTGCGTTGTTGCGTTGTGTTGCCGCTGTGTTCGATCCGCTAGGTTGGGCGTCACCCGCAGTTGTGCCAGGCAAGATGATGTTGCAAGAGAGTTGGAAGCTCGGCGGTGGTTGGGATGACTCATTCCCTATTGATTTGGCTGTCCGATGTGCTTCATGGTGGGGAGAGCTCGCAGCGCTTTCTTCCGTTAAAATCCCCAGATGGATCGGGTGTACTCCAGATGCTCCAGTCACGTTGCATGTATTCTCAGATGCATCCGAGAAGGGCTATGGCTGTTGTTTCTATGTTGTGTCCGGTTTGACGTCTTCTTTGTTGTGTGCGAAGGCGAAGGTTGCACCTGTTGTACGTCCCACTCTTGCGCGTCTGGAATTGTCGGCTGTGTGTCTTGGCGTGAAGATGTTGTCCTTTGTCGTCAATGAATTGAGAGTGCCAATTGAAAGGATTGTGGGGTGGACAGACAGCCTAACCACATGGCACTGGATCTCAAAGCCGTCGTATCACTGGAAGACGTATGTTGCTAATCGAGTTGCTGCAGTGCAAGAAGTTTTGCAGAAGCTGCAAGTAGAATGGCGTCACTGTCCAGGAGTTAGCAACCCTGCAGATCTTGTCTCGCGTGGTGTCTCAGTGTGTGACTTGCAGAAGGAGATGTGGCTGCATGGTCCGTCATGGTTGAGCGATGAGTCTCAGTGGCCACCAGTCATCTCGTTTCAGAGCACCAATGAGTCCGTCACCGAAGCACGCGTGTCGGCTGTGGAGGTTGACACTCCAGTTGTTTGGCCGTGGGAGAAGTTCTCCAAGTGGCAACAAGCTCGCGGTTTGGTCGCAAGTATGCTGTCATGGCGACACAAGGGTGTTTCGCGTGCAGAATTGATTCCATCTGCTGAGTCTGTGATGTTTCGCGCCATCCAAGAGCAATGCTTCCCCAAGGAGTTGTCCCAGTTGCGGAGCAAGGAGCCACTGAAGAAGGGTTCGAAGCTGTTCAAGTTGTCTCCGTTTCTGGATGAAGCTGGTTTGCTCAGAGTTCGTGGTCGTCTGCAGGAGAGCGATCTGTCCTACGAGGTTCAGCATCCGATCATCTTGGGCAGATGTCATCTAAGTGAGTTGTTTCTGCGTGATGCTCACCTTCAGCGAATGCACCAGGGTGTAGAGAGCGTGCTTGCGTTTCTACAACAGCAGTTCTGGATTCTCGGAGCTCGTCGGTTTCTTCGTAGCGTGTCGGAGAAGTGCATTGTTTGCCGCAGATTTCGCGCACAGACTGCTGCTGAGGAGATGCCGCCGTTACCCTCAGACAGGGTGAAGCACCACCAGCCATTCGGTCTCACAGGTATTGATTATGCAGGTCCGTTGTACGTGCGCAGTTCATCAAATGTTCAGAAAGTGTGGGTCGCACTCTTCGTGTGCGGTACTACTCGCGCAGTGCACCTAGAGCTCGTGGATAGCCTGTCGACAGAGGTGTTCCTGCTAGCATTGCGTCGTTTCATCGCCCGTCGTGGGAAGCCGCTGCGTATACGTTCAGATAATGCTACGACGTTCAAGTCCGCCGCAGACAAGGTGGCAATCCCGTGGTTCTTCAATCCGCCATCTGCCCCGTGGCATGGAGGGTTCTATGAGCGTCTGGTGGCATGTGTGAAAGCTCCCTTGAAGAAGGTTCTCGGTCGAGCGTCATTGAGTCGAGACGAGCTGTTCACTGTCTTGACGGAGATCGAGAGAGTCGTCAACTCTCGACCCCTCACTCCGGTTTCTACGGATGTAGCTGACAAGTCGCCGCTGACTCCAGCCATGATGTTGGGAGACATCTTTGCAACCGGTATTGCCTCGTCTGACAGACCACTCGATCCACGGCAGTTGTCCGCTCGAGTCAAGTATGTCCACACCGTCTACGAGCACCTCAACCAGCGTTGGTCGTCTGAGTATCTCATTCGTCTCAGTGAGTATCATCGGTCGAAGTCAACTCCGATTGTCGTGAACGACGTTGTGTTTATTGCCGACGACAACCGGAAGCGGCAATCATGGCGCTTGGGTAGGGTCGCAGAGCTGTATCCTGGAAGAGATGGCAGGTGCAGGGTGGCCAAAGTCCAAGTTGGCCAATCGTCCATGCTACGGCCCATTCAACGCTTGGTTCCGTTGGAAGTAGCGAAGGAGCATGTTGAGCCGCCTGCTGTGGACGCTGAGCCGCAGCCGCAGACACCCGCGAGCGCTGATCCAGTCAACGTCGTCGATGATGTTGAAATACCTTCGACGACCGTTGAACCGCAAGTTACGCGTCGATCTCGTCGTACCGTTCGACCACCACCTCGTCTTGATTTGTGATCAGTGTGGTTGAAGCCCTTTGGTGGGGAGAATGTTGTGTATCGTGTCGGAGAAAGGTCTTCTGGGGTGTCGTCGAGATCTCGTTGCGACCGTGACTCCTGCTTGTCTCCCTGGCTAGGTGCTGCTTGCTTTGCTTTTGTGCGTAGTGTTTTTGATTATTGTTTACTATTGCGTATTGTTAGTGTTCGTTGTGATTTGGTACAGTACTTGTTACGAGATACGACACATTGTGTAGTGTGTGTTTGCAGCACGAAGAAGACTGCTCACCAGAACGGTTAGCTCAGGAGCTTGGGCTTACCTTGTGCAATCACAGTTCATCAGCTTGGACATTGCGCTTGGTCCCATGCGAATAACCGACTAGAATAGTAATTATTTCTTCGTTGCATTTTTGAATTGTGTTCTTGCTAGCTCGTTGATTTATTTAGTTGATGTGTTGATTTGTGTTTGATTACTTATTTATTTGATGCGCGATTTATGTGCGCTGATTGCGTGATGGCATGCAATTATGATCATGCTTGCGCCAGCTAGCTAGATGCCTGCGCCGCGCACTGATGTTGAATGAGTTAGCATGCGCCCCGCGCTGTTCATGCATATATGGTACATGGTGTGTAATGTTTGCCGCACACGCGTATAGGTGCCGCGCCTCGTACTGCTCATGTGCCTCGCGCCGTACTATTGCTGTCGCTTTGCCAAATTTAGCTTCCGCTTTCCGAGCGCTGTACGCTCTTCTGTACGCTCATGCCAAAGTTGGACGCACGTTGTGGCTGGCCAGCGCTTTACCCCTCATGCGTTGTTCTTTTCCTTGATGCTGTGGTTTGTTTTCTTTAGTGTTCTAGAGTTCTCTTTCCGATGTAGTTCGTATTTTTCCAGTCTCTTCTTCTCAATGTATTCTACTGTTCATTCATTATAGTCCGTAAAGAATTACGTGACCTTTTGTCTTGTGGCGTCTGTGCGATCCTGAAACTTTTGAGGTGTTAGTAGTGAACACAACAATGCTCTTTGTGTATTCCTGATAGATGTCATTCGTGGACTACTGCCTTGGCACACGAGAGGAGCAGTTCTTCCGTGACCTCGAGCTGCGCTTGGCCCGCTCTACCGTGGCCCTGCGAGAAAGGTTAGTACTGGCAGTAGTGCTTGCAAGCACATACCTGTCAGAGTGTATGGAGCACAGTTTGAAACTTGGAAACACAGTTTTTATCCTAACCCACAGTGGCAGTAGTGATTCTGCGGCTAAGAGATTGGGTAAATCGATTGCAGTGGAGCCTCTGAATATTGAAGACTGGTGGAATGTGGTGCAGTTGCTTAGTGGGGATTTTTGTGTTTATCTCAGGCGAGCACTTCAGTCTCAGTTCCAAGCCAAGCTGGAAAAGGACAAAGAACTGGTAAGAATTCCTTGCGGTCCGTTTCTGTAGTCACTGTGCAAGGAGATATGCTGTGAATTGTTACTATTAGATGGTTTGCTTACAGCCACTCCATCGCTCTCGTATTCTAGGATAATCCATATCCGTTTATTGAAATTCAACGACGACAACGGCGACATTGACGATGACAACAGGAACAGAAACAGCAGCAACAACAACAGCAAGGAACATCTGTAAAAGAGTGAACATGTGTGCTTATATGCTATTCGTGTGTAGCTGGCCAGCACGGAAACACACAACTGTCGGGTACCATAACATGAAATATTCACTGGTTTGAGGGAGTGATACAAACGGACACCATAACATGCTTTTACTTTTCATGCATTGATCCTGTGCTCAGGCCAAGTCTGTGCGGGCACGGACAACTACTGCAAAGGTAAGGGATGTCCAGTGCATGATGCCTGCTACTTGCTGGAATCATCGGCTGCGTTATTGAGGAGGCAAATGCAATCTTCCAAGTATTGCTTGTTTAATACCGGGTCTGGAATTGGAACCATTATAGAAGTCATGTGACTAGGTCATGTGATTGCATGTATATCATTCGTTTTGTAATAGGCAGCCTGTGTTGTCACGGCCACTACCGATCTTTATCTTGTGGCACAGTATGGCCACTAATCGAGGGACTGTCGTGTTGCATATTCAGGCATGGCTGCAGATGAGTCAAGGAGTTCTTACCTCAGGCATGTTTGCAGTCAACTTGTGTGACGTTCCATGTTTGTGTATCATACTGTGTGTGTGATGTGGAGCAGGGAGAAGGCCAGACTATGCTACGGGCCGGTGGCGCTAGGAATGAGTTTGAAATGCAGGAGATCATGCGGCAGGAGGAAGGGGTAAGATTACACGGAGATTCACAGACAACAGCAGCATATTGTACTCTCAAGTGAAGGTTTTGCCCCAAGCTACATGTACTAGATAGGGGTGGCAACCTCAGCGATACATGACTGTACTAGTTGACAAACTGCTGCAGTGCATGCGCATCTACTTCAACAAGTGTGTACTACATGATCACATGATCACATCACCCGCTGTGCAGTCCACTAATGATAACCATGGCATGAATGCATGCATTGTACACGCACTCACTACAACCGTCATTGGAGGTGCTGGATGTACACGTGTAACTTCCCATGCCGTGCACTACTTGTGCTCGTGTTGTCGTTGCAGACGGAAAGGGACACTAGCGCGGAGGACGGTATCAGCGTAACGAAGGACGATGGCTACATCGAGTTGGTCTTGCGGATTATTGGAGGTCTGTGCAACGGGCAGCAACATACCATACAGGTCAGTGCTCGTATATGTGTGCCTCGCTGCTTGCAATGGACATGCTCTGCCGTAACCAGGACACTGGGGACATGCTCTGCCGTAACCAGGACACTGGGGACATGCTCTGCCGTAACCAGGACACTGTGGCTGTGAAAGGTTGAACTGAATCTTGTGCAACTTAGCTTGTGGATGACGAAAATAAATATGTAAGAATGGACTGGGCCTCCACAAGTTCATGTACATAATTCGGCCAATAGTTGCATGAAGTACCGTGCATACGGAATTGCTTAGTGTCACAGAGCTGCAAAGCCGGATTTCCGAAGGCTATTTTTCACATAGTGCTTGTTGTACTACAGCCATTGCCATAATCTTATTTCGCAATCTGCCTGCCTGGCTTTGCGATGTAACGAAACAAGCCTCAACAATAACAACTGTGATGCTCGAGTCAGTGCTTGCTGCGGGTCTTCTGGATGCCAAGATGTTGGTCACCTGGGTACAGCCGTTGTAATGCATTTCACGCCCAGATTGTGGAGTGTTGCACAAGGATGAAGGTAGTTGTCATATTCTTCGCCAGTTACAGCAGCCATCCTACCACGTGACTAAAATTTAGTTGATTGTGCTTTGCTCTCCCTGCGCTTCTTTGTTCAGAACTACTTGCGTGAGCAGCCGGACAACATCAAGTCAATCAATCTGGTTGCAGCGACTGTCGACTATCTGCAGCTATTCAAGGATGATGTCAATGTGGATAACGTGGAGCTGGTTGTTCAGCTGCTGCAAACCCTGGTGGAGTTCACCGGCGTAAGTCACCAGTTTATGGTCGTTATCACAGTACCATAAAATAACGTTGATTCCGCTCTCCGATTTCCGCCCCATATTGATTTCTACCTGTGAAGCGACTGCAATGTATACGTCTCAAGTACGGTGTTGAACTGGCACATTCATTGCAGTACCCAATGCATGTTAGTGCTGGCATTGCAGTGGATGGAACTGTGCACAATCCAGCACAGCAGATCTGACTTTGTGCGCTTGTGTTCATCGTAACGTACTTGGCAGCCTGGTTCAAATTCCCACCCCGGGCTGAAAAATCCGCTGGGAAGCGACATAGCGTGTGTGTGTGTGGGGGGGGGGGGAGGGGGAACGGTACTTTACAGTATTGCTACAGCACACTTGTCCCACCAGCCCATGTAGCATGTGGAGACTACACACCAGCCCATGTAGGACTTGGAGACTAGACACCGTCCCATGTAGAATGTGGAAACTATACACCAGCCCATGTAGAATGTGGAAACTACACACCAGCCCATGTAGAATGTGGAAACTACACACCAGCCCATGTAGAATGTGGAAACTACACACCAGCCCATGTAGAATGTGGAAACTACACACCAGCCCATGTAGAATGTGGAAACTACACACCAGCCCATGTAGAATGTGGAAACTACACACCAGCCCATGTAGAATGTGGAAACTACACACCAGCCCATGTAGAATGTGGAGACTACGCACACCAGCCCATGTGGAATGTGGAGACTACGCACACCAGCCCATGTAGGATGTGTAGAAGCATCGGGTTGGGCAATGGATTGACAAATTCCAATCTGCTTCCACGGGTCTGGGAGTGTGCAGCTAGTCGGTGTGCCATTGCAGATTGCCGTTGTTGTGTATGACAAACTAACACATAGAGTAGGTGATGTTACAGCATGGGCAACAGACTCACTGTGCTACTCATGCTTGAGCTGGTCAGCTGGACCATGTGCCACATTGCTTGCTCCCTCCCTACTCCAGTTACTATGCTAACAATTATTTTAGTGGTCCAATACTGTAAATTCCGTAAATAAGCCCACCCTAAATAACGCCCATGTCCGATAATAAGCCCAGTTTTAGGCGGTGTACACTTCAAGTCCGTTTTAGCGCCCATGCCCGAAATAAGCCCAGGGCGTAAAGTGGACTCAAAATGACCAGCGCGGGAGCGTGCATTCGCGTACAAACTGTAGAACAGATCAAGTGGTTTACCTATCAAATCTGTAATTTATCGCTACATTCTTTGTTACGACCAAATTTCCAGCTGTGGTTTGATGTACCTGTACCGCGCTCAGTGTGAATGGTGGTTCACTGAAACTAGTGGGTTGCTGATAGATTGATCTTCTGCAGATCTTCTGCAGATTGCGTTCGAAATAACGCCCATGCCCTAAAATAAGCCCATGCCCAAATATACGCCCGGTTTTGACGCTCTGCAAAGTATACGCCCGGGGCTTATTAACGGAATTTTACGGTAGCTAACACATGAACATTCGGGTGCAAACTTATCACTGATTGTGGCTCTCTCTTCTTTTCTCTCTCCGTCTGTTCTATTGCACTTTGGCTATGTCCTATAGGGTAACACGGACAACCAGGCATGTGTGTTTGATGCACAAGTGATCGAGGCACTCAACTCAATCATGCGCACTGACTGGAAGAACGTTGAAATGGTAGGATTACATCCGAGCACCCAATGGCCGTGCTGGACACAGCGCATGCACATATCAAAATACTATGAGTAGTTTGTTGCATGTCTTGGACAAGGTGTGTCTTAGCCAGGGACTCTGTGTGCATGCACGTGGTGTCATTGAGTACTCTTAGCTCCATTGAGTACTCTTAGCTCCATTGGGTGAACACTTTGGTCGTGCAGATCTGTCCCGGCGGATACGTACAATAGCATGTAAGTGATCAGATGAACCGGAATGAGCGCAATTATACAAGGTATTGCAGATTTGCAATGCTCTAGTCTGTAACTGACAGTGTAATGCCTTACGTGATGATGTCCTTGTCATTCTGCTTCCCGGCGCTTCGCAGTTGGTGGCTGTGATGGGCCCGGTTACAGATCTCCTACGCAACATGGTGGAGCTGAGTGTACCGGCTACCAAAGCTTTGGCTCAGGTAAGTAGTTATATTTATTATGACTCTGTTCATTCCACTGGTAACAAAAAGGATTGTGATTGACTTCTAAGTACTGGTGCATCCAAAATTGTTTCAACTGCAGGTTCATTCAGTATGGTAGTCTAGCTGTTCTTGTATTGCCACGTATATGCTAATGATAGCAGACAAAAATTAATATGAGCAAGAAAAGTAGTAGGCTTCACTCTGTCAACTGATGCCATTAGTAAAATGTAAATTGTAGTCCGAGTTAACAGTGGACTTGTCATTGGAAGAATCTTGCTATGGAATGCAGTGCGAGTACCGGAGTCCGCTTTTTTAAGCAGATTTGCACCATGTGTGTGTGCGTGTGTGTGTATGTGTATGTGTGTGTGTGTGTGTGTGTGTGTGTGTGTGTGTGTGTGTGTGTGTGTGTGTGTGTGTATGTATGTGTGTGTGTGTGTCCTATCCCGTAGCTTGTTGGTGATACAATCCACTATGAGAGTCTGTATGTGTGCCTGGAGGAGGTTCACAAGCACCGGCATGATCCGGTAAGACCACCTAGCCACCTTTCTGTTCATGCACTGCACACCGTAGGCTGCGCATTGCTCATTGCTTATGGTTCTGGCATGCACAGTGGATTATGCTTTGGAAGCTAGTACGAATGTGCATATTGAAGATTTTACAGTGCACTCCTTGTGTATTATGTGGGTAATCATCTTTTCTTTGTTTCTGCACGGCAGTCTAGATTACATGATGTACAAGAAGCAAGTTGTCTCCCCTGTCCTTCCTTCTATGCTCCAGGATCCCATGGTCAATGTTGTTGGTTATCGCATTGTGCACTTCCTCATGCGTCTCAATGACTTCCAGCCCAAGACTAGGAAGTGTAAGTGGAAGGATTACATTAGAATTACGCACGAAATCAAGGTCATCTTGTTACCGTGAAAATGGCGCTTTGTATCTGATCTCCACCAACACATCCACCTGCCTTTTTTCAGGGTCAGAGCCCTCAACCCACCCGACCCAGCCTCTTATAGGCAAAGTGTCACATTCCAGTTTGTATGTGTTTGTTTGTATGGCATTGAATGCTCAGGTATAAGTTGCAGGGGCCATTTTGGCCACGCTTTTTGTACAATAGAGAGAGAAGGGAAGAGAGAGAGAGAGAGAGAGAGAGAGAGAGAGAGAGAGAGAGAGAGAGAGAGAGAGAGAGAGAGAGAGAGAGAGAGAGAGAGAGAGAGAGGGGAGAGAGAGAGAGGGAGAGAGAGAGAGAGAGAGAGAGAGAGAGAGAGAGAGAGAGAGAGAGAGAGAGAGAGAGAGAGAGAGAGAGAGAGAGAGAGGGAGAGAACCACGGTTTTGACCCCAGAAAACACGGTGTAATGTTTTCTTCTGGATGTGTCGCAATATGTGCGAATGCCGGAAAGTGAAGTGTTTTACCACAGGATGTACATGTATGCTGTTTGTTCAGGGACTGGCATGCCTGATTTCCGCAGCATTCAAAACAAGCACAGTGAAGACTGGGAAGCTGCATGGAAGTACTACTGCAAGGCTACTCTCAGTGTGGAAGTACTCCATGCTGATGCACTACAGAGGGTCTACTTTGCCGCTGAATTCCAGGTAAACGGATGTCGGATAGAAAGCAAATGTGTTTGCACGAGCCAGGATTGCCAGAAAGACTGTGATCCTGAAACATTCAGTCTTTTCCCCCCGTTTCTTTACCCACACATGCTAATACACAGACTTCCAAGGCAGTGGAACTTGGGGAGGGGATATTTCTAATGGAAACCTAAGTAAACGTGTATGGAGGAGAGTATTGATACTGTGTTACCCTCGCATTGTGCTTATAGGAATAGTGCTGTTCTGGGCTTCAGTGATAATCTTCCTTTGGATACTAAGTTCACCATGCTTAGCCTAGCGCTATATTGTCATTCAGAGTAATCTCTGTGCGGCCTATAGCATGCAGTGATCCGATAGTGGCATTAGTCTCTTTCAATGGAGCCGCAATTGTTTTCTGAAGATTGGCCGGATAGCCATGAAATTCGGAGTAACAACAAAATTATAACTTTAGCCTTGTTGCATTGCAAACTAGAGTCATAGTGGATGTGAATAATGTGAGAGTATTGAGTACTTTTGACTCTGAGTTAGCTCGTGCTGAAGGCCGGTGCGAAATACGTTACTTCATCTCCCGCTGCTGCCCCGGTTTGTGTTCCCCAGGATGACCTGCGCGAGGAAGTCAAGGAGCAGCTGAAGTGGAACATCCAGCGGGACTCAGCCGCCAACAAGCTGCGTGACTTCTTGAAGTGGTCCGAGGATATCCGTGAAGACATGGAATATCAAGTAAGCAGATACAATCGCAATGTCTACCAACAGTTGTACAGGACTGCAAGTCTCAAGTTCAACTTATATTCACCTCTAAAGCTGGTTGGTACAGGGGTGCCATGTAAAACTCAACCCCTGGTAGCGTGTAAAGCTGCGATCCAGGTGTTGGATTTCACCTTGAAACACTGTACGTGTACATGTGTATACAATGGTGCCAGGTATTATCCAGCCCCTCGGAGCTAATATAGCTGAGGTCCAGTTGTTGGATTTCACCTGCCACCACTGTACATGTACATGTATGCAGTGGTACTACATGAAATCCAACCCCTGCGACCTTGTGAAGCTAGGATCAAGGGGTGGGTTTTCACCAGGCAACACTGTACATTACAAGATCACAGTCATATCTTCTCCCCGTTTAATGCTCGTACAATTAAGTCTTGTATGCCCTCTCCCTCTTCCTCTCCCCCTGCTTCAAGTCAATATGGGTAGTCCCCTGGTGGTCTCCAGTGTATTTGCTGGACATATTCTACAGTAACCCGTTTGTCTTTCCTTCTACAATGTGCCTCAGGGGCAGCTAACACGCAACAAAATTGCTAGCTTCTTTGTCAAGAACAGGTAAGTACTCAAAAATCATTGCTGCAGCGCTTAGCAGAAAGTTTGTTCCTGATTGTCATGCTTGTGAATTACGAGTGACTTCGTGTGCAGCGCTTGACCGTGTGTGCATGAGGCAAATGACCAGTGTCAATAATTGTGATGTGCTGCCGCACATAGCTTGGGCTGCTGCGAGATTTCAACGCTTGGTCTTTGCGAAGAGCATACGTTGGTTACTGTAGACAAACCTATTGTCCATATTGGATCTTGTAAGCCACTTCTTGTCCGGAAATAATGCTTTTCTACAAAGCTGCCAGTGTTCCCATGCCCTTACCCCTCACTTCCTTAGCCGGGAATATTTTACCCAGCTGTACACCATGCAGATACTTTCTGTCACACAGTTTTTCCAACGGTGAATTGCTCAATTTGTTCTGCTGCTTGCCTGTGTAGTCGCTGGTGGGCGATCGGCATGCTGCTGCTGACGTTCATACTCAACATCTTCATGCTGGCCACTTGGGACGCTCCTGTCCACCTCTGGGAGTAAGTGCAGCTGTGTAGCCTATAAGAACAGCTGGCAGATGTCTTTTGTTCACCGTGCATGAAGTTAATGCAAACATTCTCACGGCAGGCTAACAGAGAAGTGTGTGCTTCTGGATAAGCATACCATGCCACTGCCCTATGGCTTGTTTATCTACAGCACAGTGGTTTGTTTACCTTTGGATCTGGTGTATCACAGCACAATCCTGGCGGTGTTACCAGGATTGACTAAGACAGGGGCGTAGCAGCCGCTCCGGCCGGTCCGGCTTTGGCCGGACCACTTTTTCGCCCGACCTTGACCACCATAGTCTATGTCATTCGGATCTTCCCAAGTTGTACATTGTACTGTTGAGATACTGAATTCAAATAAATCAATACCATACCATACCATAGTAAAACAATGCCAAAAGTGCCCAGAATGCAGGATTTTGCACCCTAATTTTAAAAAAAGGGAGATCCCCCTTCCCCCCCCCCCCCCCCCCCCCCCGGCCGGACCACCGCCAACGGCGGTGCTACGCGCCTGTAAGAGCATTAAAAAAATCCTTCTTACCCACTATGCTTGCCCGTGGTGTTGACTGTGTGTGTGTGTGCTACAGGGAGCTTCCTGAAACCCCATCCTACTATAATCTGGTCATCTACGTCCTTGGCTCGATACACCTGTTCTTTGCGGTGTGCGTAGCCATCACCTTCTTCATTGCCAACCTGAAGAACTTCACCGTGCCCGGAGTGATAAACCATATTGTGTAAGTGGGTGCAACACCAGCTCATGGTTTATCTCTCTGTTACCCAGTGTAAGCCATGGTGAGCTGGTTGCTACAAAGTGGATGATGGATATCCCTCTATCGTACGGTCTGCTGCAGTTGATGCTGCATTTCCTAACACGTCATGCACCAAGCAACGGTTTCGTTAGGTATACTGGCCGCCTATTCCAGGAGTCAATGTGACAGCACACATTCACAATCGGAGAACTGCTACACTGAATAACGGTCTGATGACTATCTTTACTGTGGCATGAAGCTATGGGCATCTCTAAACCATGCCCACTCATCTATCCACTGCTACATTTCGACTGTATGGCTGTTCAATCTTGGCTGTCACTTCATTGCTGCCTCTGCGTGTGTGCATGCGTGCGTGCATGTATGCATGTGCGCCTACGTGCGTGTATACGTGTGCTGGGTATACGTGTGCTGGGTATACGTGTGCTGGGTATACGTGCTGTGTATACGTGTGCTGGGTATACGTGTGCTGTGTATACGTGTGCTGGGTATACGTGTGCTGGGTATACGTGTGCTGGGTATACGTGTGCTGGGTATACGTGTGCTGGGTATACGTGTGCTGGGTATACGTGTGCTGGGTATACGTGTGCTGGGTATACGTGTGCTGGGTATACGTGTGCTGGGTATACGTGTGCTGGGTATACGTGTGCTGGGTATACGTGTGCTGGGTATACGTGTGCTGGGTATACGTGTGCTGGGTATACGTGTGCTGGGTATACGTGTGCTGGGTATACGTGTGCTGGGTATACGTGTGCTGGGTATACGTGTGCTGGGTATACGTGTGCTGGGTATACGTGTGCTGGGTATACGTGTGCTGGGTATACGTGTGCTGGGTATACGTGTGCTGGGTATACGTGTGCTGGGTATACGTGTGCTGGGTGTACGTGTGCTGGGTGTACGTGTGCTGGGTGTACGTGTGCTGGGTGTACGTGTGCTGGGTGTACGTGTGCTGGGTGTACGTGTGCTGGGTATACGTGTGCTGGGTATACGTGTGCTGGGTATACGTGTGCTGGGTATACGTGTGCTGGGTATACGTGTGCTGGGTATACGTGTGCTGGGTATACGTGTGCTGGGTATACGTGTGCTGGGTGTACGTGTGCTGGGTATACGTGTGCTGGGTATACGTGTGCTGGGTATACGTGTGCTGGGTATACTGCTACAGGTACAAGTTCACTAACTACAGCTTCAACGGCAGTGGGGATATTGAAAAGCACAATCAACTGAATATCGTTGGCTTGGCTTCAATTTATCACCTGGTATGTACATGTTCCACTAGCCAGTGAATAATACCATAGCCGCTAGCTGATTATGATGGAGGCATTAATACGGAAACAGTTGTCACTCTCCCGAAGCATCACTATCACTATGGAGGTGGGAGGGTTGCAGTTTTGGCAGCCACACATACATGTACGTGTGTGCGTGTGTGTGTGTGTGCTCTGTACTTGCATTTACATTGCGGCATATCAGTCCGCGTCACTTTTCAGCATCTTGTGCTAAATTTGTGCGTGTGTGTGTGTGTGTGTGTGTGTGTGTGTGTGTGTGTGTGTGTGTGTGTGTGTGTGTGTATGTGCATGCGTGCGCGCGGGTGAATTTCAGTGCTTGGTGGGGTTCTCTGCCGCATCCATACCGTTCAAAGGCTACTTCTTCTGCTTCCATCTCCTTCACATTGTTGTGAACAATGACACACTGACTCGTGTGCTGCAATCTGTTATCAGACCAGGTAAGCACATGCTTGAAAATAGATCAAAATACACGTTTTTTTAAGTGTCATGGATGTTTCTATTATCAACGCATGCTCCGGACGCGGCCACGCACAGACACAGCAAGTGTTGGTTGGCACTACAGGGTAACTGGGCGAAGGAGCTGGCACTGTGTATAACCATGGAGACGGCCGATCCGACAGGGGCAGGGACTGAGAGTGAGACCGAAATGGCGGCTGACCTGCCAAGGGCAGTAACCGAATAGAGTGATCCGGGAGAGTAGAGAGAATGCTGCCAGCTACTGAGAGTTCAGTGCCCAATCCCTGCTTGTTCGTTTACCAGAGTGAGTTTGGAAGAAGAATGAGGTGAGTAGTATAGACAGAACAGGGTGCTTCAGAATGAGAATTGTAACACATTGAAATCGGTGTGGGTGGGTGAAAGGATGCATCCAGTGATAACATTACGTCACCGCGTTAATGCGGTGGCGTCTTTTGCCGCACTGCGAATCTTCTAATAGCTAAGCGAAACTTGCACTAAATTATTCACAGGTTTGAGGGAAAGATGCAAAATAAAGCCTGAAGAATTTGTTTGACTCATCACCAGGACTCAACCAGTATTAGCCTCACTTTCAGAAAGGAACTGACGAAAATATGCCCAAATATGGAAGTTCTCAGTACTATTGAATGAAATCCGATCTCGTGATGAAGTCATTGAAGATCGCAGTAGTTTCCCTTAGGTGTGCTTCTCGGCTGGTTCGATCTATAGACGCCTATGTTCTGCAGTAGGAGTATGCAATGGGGTAGTGAATTGCTGAATGATAGCCAAGTTGAAAACTCCATGACTGCATGCATGCTGCCATGTGTGCACTGCAGGTCGTCAACTGATCTACGTCACCATCCTGGCACTCTTCATCATCTACATCTACGCCGTGGCGTCCTTTGCCGCGCTGCGAATCTTCTTTGACCGCGACGAGGGCCTGTTTTGCGAGACGCTTGGTGAATGCTATGCCACGAGTATTCGCTTTGGACTACTGGCAACACTAGGCGACGTAAGTGCACACCTAGGCAGGCATGGCAGAGATCTTCAATGAACTGATAATTTTTCTGGCCATTGACATTCTGAAATTGTTATATCATAACTGAATCAGCTTATCAGTGGGACAGTGGGGCTGTGAAGAGAGATGATGGCATTGGATTCACATGTGTGTATGTCGCTTATCCTCTCATGTATTTTTTGTGCACAGGTGATCCCTGGACACAACTACACCTTTCAGGCGGTCGGCATTCGTGTGCTGTTCGACCTCACGTTCTTCATCGTCATCACCACCATCGGCTTGAACATTGTGTTTGGTCTGATTGTCGACTCATTCTCGTCTCTCAGAGATGAAAAGGTAAATGAAAGTATCACTAATCATTACTGGTAGTGGAATTGCATGACCATTCATTATTGAGAGGCTGCTGGCACATTTGTATGAATGTGCCACTGGAGAAACCCAATTTGAACCCATATGATGTCATTGCTGTGACTGCAGTCGAGCGAGGCAGTGCAGGGAGTGACCACATGTCCATTGCGTATTCAATCTGCACATGTGTTTGTGTATGTGTATGTATGTATGCCGAGCCATGTCTCCTTTCCGTGCAAAATCCCGTCCGCATACCGTACATACCACTCGGGGCGGAGGCTCAGGCGCATTGTCAGGCTCTTGGTAGGTGCTGCGCCACTCCGCGCGGGACTCACATGCAACATCATACCATGATGCCTCCACGCCACGGGCACGTAGATCCCGGACAGCACAGTCCTTCTATCTGCGGCGTGGGCCATATGCTGGGGGACGCTGCAAGAAGGAGCCAAACAGTACCTGTTTCGGGATGCGGTTGTCCGGCATCCGCGCCACATGCCCCAACCACTCCAACGGTGGATGCCACAGTGCCACCTGGAGCTACCGGAACGTCGGCACCGGCGGAGGGATGTTGTGCCGTGCATTGTGACAGGTGTGGTCGCTGCTTTCGCGGTGTCCGGGGACGGGGCAGGCATCGCTGTTCAAGGGTGGCGCATAGACCAACAGCAGAGGAGCGCTCAGTCTTCCAGCACGTGTGCATATGCGGCAAGCGGATGCGACTACCCGTGCACCTGGAGCGTCATCGAGCGTCGTGTCCTCTCTCTCTCTCTCTCTCTTCTCAAGTTTCCCAGTGATGGGATCACGTGACCCTTTTGCGGCAGTGACTCTACAGGACAGGACAGGATGTATGTATGTGTGCGTGTGTGTGTGTGTGTGTGTGTGTGTTTGTGTGTGTGTGTGTGTGTGTGTGTGTGTGTGTGTGAGTGTGTGTATGTGTGTTTGTGTGTGCGCGCATGTGTGTGTGTGCCTGTTCTGTAGAATGATGCCCTGGAGGACATGTCCAGCGTGTGCTTCATGTGCTCCTTATCCAGTCATGAGTTTGACAAGTATGCACAGGTAGGCTTCATAATGCCTTTGTAACGACAGGCTCTCCGATGATTACTGGACTGATGCACATAAACAACCTCTACCTTCCCAATATAAGCGGGCTGATCCACCGTGATAGGCCGTGCATCCTCTACTTTGATTTGAACAATGTAGATATTCATCGCTGTTGTTGGAAATGTTCTCAAAGTCAGTTGGGCTATCGATGCCTCGTGCCAAGCAGTATTATTAATATACATGTACAAGTTTGATGCTGTCCGCACTTACTTGGATCTGTGTATTGGTTATAGTTGTGTGTTGAAAGTGCTGAATAGCAGCTCTGGAGTGAAAGTAATGTTGTCTTTCTGATATGTGTCTTGGTTTTACCAGGGTTTTGAGCATCATGTCAAGCATGATCACAATATGTGGTCCTACCTCTTCTACTTCATCTTCCTTCACAAACTGGAGGCTAACGATATGACAGCTACCGAGGACTTTGTGTTCCGCAAGGTAAACACCTGTCAGTAGGGTGTTGCTGAACCACTGTGGCTACTCTGTATGTGGTTATCGTGCATTTGAGAATGTAGTAGATGCCGGCCCTCAACTCGTGCAAGTCTCTTGCATGCCTCCAGTTGTATTACAGGGCAGCTGAGCTAAGCTGGCAGACAGAAACAGTCGACATTGCTGCCCGGTAGTCCAGTACATGCACTAACATCTGATTAGATCAAATGTTTTCGGCTGTCCAGCAAACCTGCCGAATGTTACCTCTGTGTGCTTGTTGCTTGCTGCAGCTCAAGGCACAAGACATTGACTTCTTCCCCACCAACAAAGCGCTGTGCCTGGAGAATGTTGAGGTTGGCAATGAGGAGCAACTGGATAATCTAAAGGAGATGGTGGCACGGCTCGTGCATCGTATTGAAAGAGAGGTACGTAACGATTAAATGTATTCCCCGATTGTAAGCCGCAACCCCATTTTCAGGTCTGAACAAAATTGTTTCAGTACATTCATATCAGTAGGGAGTCACACTCGATTGTAAGTCACACTCTCTTTTTGCCCTTGAATTTTAGTGTATTCAGGGAAACAAGGTATACTAAAACGTATACTAAAACGAATACTAAAACGCCCGGCTTCCATGACACTCAGTGTACTGTGTGCATGGCTCGCATGCCTCAAGGATGCACTACCAGATAGATGTGCAAGATGTGCAGCATGGAAAAACAGATCACATCGGATGGCTTGAAGCAAAGCTCACAGGAAAGCGGGGGCAGTTTAATGCGCCGCTGGAACCACCACCAATATAACAATCATTAGCGGACAGTACTCAACTACATGTACTGGTGACGAAGTCTTGTGTACCGACTGCCTCTACCTTCTTGTGAACATACGAGTAGATGACGTTAAACTCGAGAATGCAAGCACTATACACCTACGCCTCACAGTCTATACACCTACGCCTCACAGTCTTTGGAAGTACTAAGTTAGTACTCAGAGGACTTTGGAAGTACTAAGTTAGTACTCAGGGGACTTTCAGGCGCGTACGCAGGGGGGTTTCCCGTTGCCCGGAAACCCCCCAAATGTTCCAAACGAGCAACGTTTTTGGGCATTTTTGGTAGGGCGCACGATCGATCTGGCAAGAATACAAAACTTCAACAGATCGCAACTCAGTCAAATCTCGCTCAAATCCAACGATCCAAATATCCAGGTCGAATAGAAAACTCTCAGCTGTCGGTTGAAAGAATTTTCGACGCGCTGCGAGCAATGTCTCTTGAGATAAATCGTTCGTGAGTTGAGCCGCGATCTCGCATTTTCAAAAGCGCGCAGTGCGCGCAGTATCGAGAATTTGAGACTTTTCGTCACGCGTACGCGGACTTGCTCAAATCTGCAGGGGCTTCACTTGTGATTTTTCAAGAGTACACAGCAAAAAAAATCGAAACTCTGCAATCAAGAAAACGAAATCGCTGGAGCAGGACGCGTTTGGGCCTTTGGCCCGGTTTGGGGCATTTTTTCGCTCCGTCGCTGCACTCTACAGCAGATAGCGCTGGATATGTACATGGCTGAACTGTGTCCTGGCTATCATGGTCGACCTCATTCTCTCCAGGGTACCTTTCCACTTCCAGGAAGCCCAAGATAATAGACACCCTTTAATAGCAAACAACGGTAACGCTAGTTTTTACGGTACTCGTACCTTGATCACCCAAATAGCGTTGAAGCTGCAGCGTATAAACGTTATGGGGGCTGATTTATCGTTGTGACCAACGGTACGTGTTTTGGCCAAATATTGCATAGTTCGTACGCATTTCACCTTGTATCGCGTATATGGTGACAAAAATGGTTGTACCACGTGATATCAAAGCTCAATAGCGTACTAAAATAGCGTGCATCTTGCTAAAGGTCGAACCCAAATCACGGTATTTTCCCCCTTACGATAATACCGTTACAACATGACGTTTTTTGCTAAGGGTGTCTAATGAAGATTGAGTGAGTAGAACTGAAGTTATGATCCAAAGAACACGAACAAATGCATAATTTTGAAAATTTCCTAGGGCTCTTTACACAAAGGCACACAATGAAAACCTTGGCAAATTTTATTCCGTTGTGACTCAGAGTTTCATGGCTGAACCAATCATCAGACAACGTTGTCTGATGATGCTGAACCAATCATCAGACAACGTTGTCTGATGATTGGTTCAGCCATGAAACTCTGAGTCACAACGGAATAAAATTTGCCAAGGTTTTCATTGTGTGCCTTTGTGGACGCCGCTCTGCCTGAATCAGGCATTGAGCACTCTTGCAGAACCAAAGCATTATTGCCTCTGTCCTAGTGCTCTTTAGAAATACAAAGTATACAAAATACAAAGGGTTAAAACGAGTCATTGTTTGCGATTCGGTTGGAAACCCCCCTAGAGGTGACCCTGCGTACGCGCCTGACTTTATGCAGTTGATGCTTGACTGAATCCTCTCCTCCGTGTGTTGTTATGAATGTACTTTTTCTTTTTGTAAGTGACTGCTAGGTGGTTGACTTCAATGCTGTGTTTGTGTGGGCTTCAATGCAGTATTTGTTTTGACTTCAAAGCAGTGTTGTGTTGACTTCAATGCAGTGGTTGTGTTGAGTGAAGAAGTCATTTGCACACCGAGCCACACCACTGTCTTTCTTTGCTTCTATCCTCTCCGCATGTGTCTGCAGGAAGATGAAGAGAGGCGGAAGAAAGCGCGCGATGAGCAGCGCCAGTGGGAGAAGAGAGCACAAACGTTTGATGCAGGTAAGCACAGCATTGGTCTGGTGTATCCTCTTCTTTCACATCCCACTTAGGTCACGACCATTGTCCATTGTCTGCATTTTATTATGTGCTGTCCTTCTTCAGAGGATCGGCGCGCTAGCGGTGTATCGTATTCTGGACATCGTAAAACAAGTGGAGCTACTGGAGCCACTGGAGCAAGTCCTCCTGCCCTACGGCTCATTGACGATGTACTGGAAGACGAGGACGACGATGATGAACATCGTCGTGGTGTCTAGTTCAGCCATCATGACTGTGTTTCATGGGCTGTACATGTTGTACCTCAGCTGCCTTCATCGTCGTCCCAAGTCTGGTTTTGCTGGAGATTTGGCGTTGAGTAGTCAGTTATCCACCTTGGCCCACAGTACTACGTGGTCAACTATTATTGTATGGAAATATAAAAATAATGTGTATCGACTTTTTCAAGCTCAATGGTGCTGAACAAACTATTTTGCGCTCTTATGGTTATTGAATAACTAGTGTGTTAGTTAGTGGCGACAACAGCTGCTGGAATTGGTTGTACAATGGACAGATAGGCCGTATGTATCAAATTGACTGAATATCAATGTAATGACATAGTGCAAAGTACACTGATATGCAATGTCTTCCCCTGCATTTAATCCTGCATGTTTAGCTGACACGGAATTAGTACTACACGGAATCCACGCATCTCCAAGAGATCACCAGGGTCTCCTTTGGAGCACATGTACACTGTCACCACACATCGAATCCCAATCCTATAGCTAACTTGTATTTGCCATAGGCTATTGTTTTCTTCTTCTAGTGCTGCATTAGGGGCAGGGTTCCCCTAATGCCACTGCAGTATTTCCAGACGTTTTTGAATCATCATTTTGTTTAAAAAGCTGTGTCATCATGTTTAATTACTATCGTATTTTAGTTTGCCTACAATGGTTTTCGATTTGGGATGGATGAATTCATTCTCTAAGGAGGTGTTTCAATTTTGTCTGCCGCCTGTTGTGCATGCAAATGTGCATGTGGGTGATGATCCCGGCTCCTTCCATCGTTGGTCTCACTGTGGCAATAGCTTTAGTGCTAAGAGACCTGCCGCGGGAGTGGGAGTATGATGCTCATGAGCGGAGCTAGAGGGACATCTGCCCTTGTTTTTCGGATGCCATTTTATGCTTGTTCTCAAAAAGGCCCTGATTATGCGAAACATTATGCCGGCATAATCATGATAATCCGCTTATCCCTCTGAGGGAGTGCTATAAAATACGGAACTTGAGTGCCATTTTGATCCACTCCAAGCACAGAGCATGGTAGATCTACCAAGAGTCCGGTGAACTGAAACGTACTACAGTCCATTCCCTATAAGTGCGCACTGTTATTACATGCTCCCATCATACGACTGTGTACAAATACAAGGCAATTTTTTCTGAGTGAATGCACGCTTGCTTGCTGCTCCTTTTAAAAGAAACCGGATCAAAATCTGTCCAAATTTGAGAGAGAAAATAGAAAATTGATTTTTTTTAGCTCGCTTTGCTGCCTGATTTCCGTGCATTTTCTTGCGCCGCTGCTTTGTCTTTGAAGAAGTCATGAACCTTATTGATCTTCTCAACGCATCCACGTGGGGTATTCCCATGTCAGGCTGGCGCTGGCCTACAATGTAGAATCCATGGGGCATACACAATGGCCCTTTGACTGGATGGAAAAGAGGGCACACTTATATTGGCCCTTTGACTGGAAAAGAGTGCACACTTAAGTTATATGGAATGGACATGTAGTAGATCTACTAGTAGAGATATCAACAAAAGTGCGAAAGCCAAGGTTCGTTCATATCATGTAACTACTACATGTACAATTATAGTACTACTACATGACATTGTATTCCTTTTCAATAAAAGGTTTGCTGTCCCCACACTGGAGCTCGCGCTATTCCGCCGACTTGACTTGACACTTGACTGACTCACGACTGCCATCCAGAGCACACGAGAATTCCATCGAACCTTCGACTCGGCAAACCTGCCAGTCAGTCAAGTGTCAAGTCGGCGGAATAGCGCGAGCGGAGCTCCAGTGTGGGGACAGCAAACCTTTTCTTACAAATCATCGCCGAAGTAGCAACCACCATTCCTTTTCACACAATGGTCATGATAATACCATGGTATTATCATTGAGTAACTCTGGGGACCTGGAGAGGCTAAGGAGGATGGCAAGCAATCGGAAGGAGTGGGCTCGAGTCAACCTACCAGATGTATCTTCGGAGATACTCTCAATCACTGTTTTTTTTTTTTTGCTTGGATTAAGAATAAAGGAGGAACGGAGCGTCTCAGCTTCCTCGGACCAAGACCATTCGACTCAGCACCCCGAAGACTACAACTGGTGAAAAATTGATTTTGTAGGCTAAACTTCCTTTTATAACTAAGTTACTTAGAACCTTCCAAGTTCAGTTGGAAGCAGGGAGTAGTACAATACCATTATTGTACTACTCCCTGGTTGGAAGGCTGTCGGAGTGCGCGTCCGAGATGTGCTAGAGCTGATAGCCAGTTAGTTGTAGAACGTCAGTACCGTCGGTCGGTGCAATGTTATCGCATGAGCTGTTTGTTTGGAAACTGGTGGTGTTAGTGTACATTATAGCGCAACTAACTTGTACAATATGTCATGTACGAGTAGTTCCTTGATCCTTTTTCTTTCCTACAAACTTATCCTTGGCTCTCCATCCGAGTCCATACTAACACCACATGTAGTAGTACAAAGTAATGTACCGGTAACAATAACACACGTCAACTGGGGTAGACTGGGGATGTTGGGTGCCCTGCCAGCTAGCTCGGAACCTGTGCATGTGGCTGGTCTAAAGTAGATTCAGCAGGACTGTAATTATGTAGACCTACATGATCGTCATTAAATTTTGTTTCTAGTTTCTACCCTGTTACCAATGCAATGGTTACCGGAAGGTCTCATCAGCGGAGCTCAGACGGAGTCACTGGCCGAACCAAGTCCAGTGCTAGTGAACAAATAAAGCGCTCAAAGCATCAAAGTCAGACAGTTCTCCAGTGTCACTCATGTGATAACTGCGAGAAACCCAGGCCAGACGGCTTTGCCTTTTTTACTTTTAGTTCTACCCTCGGCATCTACGTCACGATACTCTCTATCTCTAGCTCTGGTCAGTCTGGTGTGGGGTGGTATCATATCAACACCAGAGCTAACTGTTACTTGTTAGAGTAGGTGTTGACACTAGGAAATGCAGTAAGGTAACTGTTTGTTAATTTTGTGGCTTCCTAGATCCTGTGACCTGGACGAACCCTTCTCACGCAAGGTGTGGCTGGCGAGACTTGTTCTTTGCAAACCACCCAGCGTCCAGCTCCAGAGCTAGAGTCCAGTTGTTTAGCGATACCGCTTCCCAATCTTCTATCATTGCGACATTACTAGTCAGACTTTGGTGTGAGCCTGGTCTCGTTGGCGGGTGGGCGACTGACATACGTAAATGAACATGTAGTTTATGAAGTGCACAATCAATTTTTCGGCGCTTGGATTCGCGTTAGCACTTTACGCAACGTCAAGGACGCATCGAGTAGCGCGTGCTGTCTGGCAGTACGAGCGTAGGTCTACATGGTCTACGAAGTACAAGAGACCATGTACCATGGTGGACCATGTGGACTGTGCCTTGTCAGCTCGCGTAGACAACGAGTCGGAGAACACCAGTTCTATTCGTCCTTCACTTCAGTCTTCACCACATTGCGTTTGATCTCGGAAGTGTACATCTACAAGACTAATGGATGAACTCGTCAACTGCTGTTGCACATGTACGTCAGGATCGGGACCGTCACTGGCGTCAGCAGCAGGGAGTCTTGAACATCTCCTGGTCGCTACAAGATACAGAAGACTGAATCGGATACACAACTCCCTATCAGTATCAGGCCTAGCGCCTATGATTAGAATCCCTGAGAAAGAGCTATTACAGCCCAAAGGGCCATGTGCGAGGATAATGACTACAGTTGCTTGCCATCACCCTTGCCATCGCCCTTGTTAAAAGTTGCCCTATCCAAAATTTGATATTACTAATAAGAAATAAGATGCTGAAATCGGCGTGCGTGAGATTGGCACGATCCTCCAAAATACCAACACGAGAGAAATTGTACACCAGAACATGTAGCAAGTTCTTGTACTGCCTACGACAGTTTCACGGTGAAGGAACGCCATCATCTTTGGCCTTAGATCGCAGCTTGAAACTGTCATTGTGGAACAGGAATTACACGACACACGCGGCGCTCTCGTCCCCGGCCAGTGCAATCTTTTTGTGTGATATACTTCAAGTAGTAGCGAATCGCAGTGATTGTCCTGGTTCTACCCAACACTTTTAGCACTGATTGCCACTTGAGCAAGTTGAGGAAAGCTCGAGCAGTCGAGGGTTCGGGCCGTCATTCGTCAGGCGTACATGTAGTTCTAGATCAGAGGAGGTTAGTCACTGCAGTGACACCCCTTTGGCTTTGATATACAGTACTTTCTAATAAAGTATTGTCGTGTGATGATTGCACAGTTTGCTCATGAAGCTCATAATCACCACCTACGCAATTGCTTTGGTGCATTGTTTTGCTGTATGACACAGCCTTCTGACTGAGGGAAAAGGATGGGAGTTTGGCAATTGTGTCTGTTTCAACATGAAGACAAGACACAGAAGCATACACTTCCAAACGCAATACCCCATACACAATTCTTCCTTCCTTCTTTTCAAGTCTGTGTTTATTTTGATTGTTTCCTCTCTTCTCTTTCTTCGGACATACATGTACACTGTACAAGTACATGTACATGTGTTTGTTTGCAGAGAGAACAGACCATGCTCCAAGTCAATGTCTGTTTGTTTCTTTTTCTTGCTCAGCCAAAGTACATTGTATTGTATTGTATTGTATTGATCTATTTGAATTCGGTATCTCAGCAGTACAAGTATACAACTTGGGAAGATCCAAACATCGAAGTAAGGGTGAGGCTTCTTGCAGTTTCATTTAATACATCGACTTCGAAGTACTAGTATTCGCCATGCATCATATTAGCAGTGCTATTATTTACTTCAAAGTATGTTTTCCCTTACCACCTCCCTCAAAATAATAATGATGTGTATTCATGTCTTAGATTAAATGAACGTATGGCATCATGCTGAGTCGATTTCATTTTTTTTTCTTTACAAAAACCACACACCATTTGATGGCACAAAGCAGCAAGGCAGCGATGAGACATATGGAATGGCAGGAGTGGGGGAGAGGCAGGGGCAGCTTGACCGACCATAGGGTCTCGGCCTCATTGCAACCCAAGCGCTCCACAAAAACGAAAGATTACAGAAAATACGCAGGGGGGGTCATATGCATGTAAGAAGGCACATTACCTGTTTTTTGTTCGACTCTATGTACACCAATCAAATAAACTAACAACAGCAGCAGCAAAACAAAAGTTACTTCAACTTCAAGGTACACTATATGACAACAATACATAATAATATTATACTGTATGTGTTCAGGTTCAAAGGAAGAAGGAGAAACTCAATACCCTGCGTGTTGAGTTGGAAGCTGGTCTTTCTTGCACGTTTGACGAGTGGAATTTTAATTCCATGCACTTGACAACCCTTCCTGAAAGGCGAGAAGCATGTCGAACCTTAAAAACCTTTTAAAACGGTTCGACATACCATCCGTGTGCTCCCAGGCAGTTTCTTTTATAACAATAGCAATGTGTTGATAGATTTTCTTTCCTCGATTTTTATTGAATACGATCATTAGCTTGATCACATGAGCAAAATACCTCAACGTGTATGACTGTGTTGCAACCAGAACTCTCTATTTGTGTGCTGACTAGGACGATGACTTCGTGAAAGTAGCTCGTTTGTTTTGTTTCCGCTATTTGCTTTCCTCCTCTTTTCCGTGGAATCCAAGTGTTGTGCGTTTCGCATGGCACCCGACAATAAAGTTAGGCAGCCTGACAAAAAAAAGGTGATAAAGTTATGAGTTTCAAACGTCGCTTAGCGATTTCGGCACAGCTCTCCCAGTTGGCTAAGTACACATTCTCATTATATACCGCCTTGATGTCGCTAAGCGTGCCGACCTGGTCTCGTTTCACGCTGCATGATTACTAACGCGCTGCTCTTTTCAACACAGCTCTCTGCTGGCTAGTAGTACCGTCCACTAGCATGCCTTGGTGTCAACTCTGCAATACAATCATGTACAGTACTGGATGGCTTCACTCCACATCTCACACTATTGCATGCACGGCGCTGCCGTTTCACTGTAGGTCTACCACCACCGTACGAGGGCAAGATCATGTCACTTTGTCAGTAAAGGGTTTGGGTGGGGGCTTTTCGGGCTTGGAATCTTGCGACACGATCGTGGGCAATTCGCGTTTGATGTGACCAGGTCGAACCTTGCCAACTCTGCGGCGAGAGCAATGCTGCGGAAAACGAAGTATTCATCTTCTCGCGTCAGCACTGATGGCCAACATGGCGCGTAATGCTAATACTAGTAATAGCGGAGGGGAGGTTAAATATGCTAACACCATTAGTGGATGCTTTCATTCCTCCTGTGACGACGGTGGCCAGCATTTTAGCCAAGTATCCCTTTCGGCGATTCGCCTCTTCTTCTCCTCCGCTTAGCGTTTCCCCACCACACGTAACGTTTGTGATCATTGTTCTAGAATAATTATTACAGTTGTTTGCAACATAGTCTTTATTGTAGTTGTGATAAAAGACCGGAAGAAAGACTGTACAGCAACAGAGGCGGTGGCGGCAACAGGGCAAACTGGTCCTCGCTCTCGGTCCTAGTCTTACAACTGCAGCTGATACTCTATACTCGTGCTCATGGAGCTGGAGGAGCGACAACTACGCGTCACCTCACGGACAGCAAGAGTCAGCATGGTAAGCCACCAAAGTGTACCTATTTTTAGTTCACCGACCCAAGAGGCCACTCGAGCCAAGTGAGTGAGTCTGTTTCAGAGAGAGAGAGAGCGAGTGGGTGAGAAGGCCAAGGCTGCAGAGACGATCGTAAGATTGTAGCGTGTCCTGTGGCTGTCCCTGATCTAAACATCTGTGTTGCCCCAGAATCTTGTTTTTTGCTTATCCCGACTCCTGGTCTCATGATCCGGCGATATGATGAATTAGACTCTTCCCCGGATGTACACATCGATAACAGCAACAGTGCTGGGTGAAACGTTGCGACTGAGCCACATGCACAATGCACGCATTACTGAGCGGCCCACAGCTCTCGCTTTCGATCCCACATGACATACTGATTTGGACCAGGCGCGCCATATTTGGGCAGCTTTCGCTCTCTAGATTTTGCGGCACCCCTCGAACCAAGTTCTTGCCTTGAATTACTGTATTCCCTTGCAACTAACTTACTTGGTGCACAGTTAGTCACTACTAGTATGCCAGTTGTCCTTGGCATGGCAAGAGGAAATGGGATGGTGTCACAGACTATTGTTGACTGTACAGCAGATGTGCAGAAACGGCAAAGTACCAGTACATGTCCGCGGCCATGTATTCAGCACGTTGACTGTCGACATGTCGTGTTGTGAGTCGCGCCCCGCAGTTCGGAAATGAACGGCGAGTGGCCACAGGCCATGTTCGGAAGAGGAGCAGATACACTGGGACACGCGTCCCTCTTCCATGGGGATTTTCCAACTTGACCGTGCATTGTGCTGTATGCGTGAATGGTGGTGACTATAGATCTTTCCAGTCGGGGCAAAAGTGCAGGTGGAGACATGTACTCTTGGTTAAAGGTCGAAAGCAGTTTTCATCATGTTCGATTCCATTCGGGCACATGACTACTGCAGCATACTAAAGTAATCTGGACAATCCAACAACCGTGATCCGTGTCCATACCCGTGACAGTAAAAGAAAAGAAGGCTTGCAACATTGGTGCAGGTCGTATAATACAACTAAGTTACTTACCGGTACAGTCATGTACATGTACATGTTATCAGTGGTAGGAACTGACTGTGCGATATAATCTCATTTCAAGCTTATAGTACTGTTATAGGCAGTTTTTGAGCAGGGAAGACCCCCGGGGCGGCTTTTCAGTGGAGAGACGTGTCCATCTGCTCAGGTTGCTGGGGAGGTCAAATAGTCTCATGCAGACAAAAAGCCCCAGCACATTGCGGGAATGTCTACTTCATGTCTGACGGTAGCACCGTGCTCCGCATGGCGAACAAATCTACGTAAGAGCGGGTCGCATGATGACACCGTGTACTGAAAGGCTTGCGAAGCCAATTGTCCAAACTGATTTGTAGTTACCAGTACACGTGGATCTGTATCGATGTTACAGAGGTCGTGAGCGCCTGCTTAGCGTGATCATGGTACATGGTGATGCTTGTTTCAAAACTGTGAGAAGACATGCAGACGAGGCGTGGCCAGTAACACAAGAACATGATGCACCGAGAAATCCCCCAGACGATTTGCTGGAGTCTGGTGAGAAACTGGCACAGGGCAACCAATTGACCGTTGAGAATGCGGTCCCAATCAGTCCTCGAGGCACACTTTCACTAGGATAACTCCTCGAGCTACATATTATAATTATAAGTCATTGTGCATGTACATGTACATGTAGTTCTGAATGGATTCGAGCCACTCCGTTCGTTAGTGGATCGTACACTGATCTACAATTTAATCTTATGGCAGTAGGTTCTCTTGTGGAGAGGTACAGTATTAGTCTCCTCTAGATACATGTATGTACGGTACAAAGCGTTGGACTTCGAGCTTCTTGTCAACACGTTCGTGACCGCAGCATGTGCTCAGTAGTTCGTGCGACGTTTGCGCACATGGCTGTTGCAAAGGCAAAGTTGGGAGTGGGGGATAAACTCGAGTTGTTTTCTTCCATCGGCGGTATCAAATCCCCAGGAGTCCAAAAGGCGGAGTGTGCAGTCGATTCGCTTTGCGGCTTATTTTCTTTCGTAGTTCTGTGCCAGACCTGGGGCGTAGTTCACTGAACTCTCACCTCTCTTCTCTTTGCCGACATCAGCACGAACGCGAAACCAAGACGTCGACTTCGTCGAATAACACGTCTAAATCTTGCAAGTCACCATTCCAAGATGAAGCGAAATCTTGTCAGCACTCGCCATGCTAGGCTAGCACAAGAGACTTAAAAATAAATAATTGCTTAGGACGACGTGGTTGACTCCCGAGTTGATCTTATCGGCATGCTGTCTACAATGTAGTGTACTATCCGCATTTACACAACCTATGATTTGCACCTGCAACCATCCTACATGTAGCTCAGCATAGCCCAGCCAGTGGATGTAGTGGAAAGATGTTTGTTGTTTGCTTCGTCGTAAGCAACCTGGAGCGCGGCAGGGCACGGGTTGAATTCGATCATTCCTCTCTGACAGGCCGTGAAGAAGTGTGCACTTCGTCTCTCACCGGCATACACGCAATTCTATGCTTGGAGATACTGTAACCCACAGAGCCCGCCCGCTGAGGTATCAGAAATCCAACGACCTACTTCTGTTCGGACATGTTAGGGGTGCGATGTTGTGCTTGCGCGTGTGCAAACGCGACTCTTCAATCACCGGCCAAAATAATGCGGGGTGTTGGGTGAGCCGCAAGATGGCCGACGCGTAATAGTTTCTGTTGCTCACCGCAGGCTGCCAGTCGCGGCGCTTGCGCCCTCCACACGTCACAAAATCCGCAGTCCAACAAAGACAGTGGACAGACTAGACACGCAGCCTAGCCATGCATGACCATCATGACAGCATCGACCAAGCAGAGCATGCTAGGGACACAACATTATAATAATCCAAGACCGCATTACGAATCACACCCATCCATCCATCCATCCATCCATCGTCCACAAAGCCGCATTCTTCGCGTATGTCACATCCACGTTCGGCTGTTACAGACCAAGATTATCGAATGTCTAAAACGACTAGTCCGATCTGGAATATCGAGGGGGGGGGGTGGAGAGGGACCGTAGTACCATAGTGTAGCGTTGGCACGCTTACTGCTTAGTGCTGGCTGCAGTTGTCGATTGGGTCGTCGCTGCGGGATTAGCAGCTGTATTTCCGACTATCAATGGTTTCTCTTCGTAACAAACACGAACACCCCGTCCAGTTTTATCTCACCAGGTGCATGCTTTGCGACGGGAATTGTTGACATGCCTATAAATTCCCGGCTCGTTCTACTTGTCGCAGAATGGATATTTCCTCTAAACGAAGAAATGCTTTGTGCAAAGACTTGTCGCTGATGCCTGTCTGTCCAGTATTCCTGACAGTTTGGATGCGTTTGGCCTTGTGTGTGTTCATTCTCGGCACTTTAGGAGATCGTAATGCGGACGACGTCGCTTTTGCTGGCCTTGTATGTTGTTGCAATACTGACAACGCCGCCTGGCACAACTGCTGCCGTCATCCCTCAATCAGTGCTACCACGACAAGCAACTGGATCAGTCCGTGAGAAGCGCTTCCAGGAAGACAACATCAACAGCAACATGCTTGAGCTGCACAATACTACAGGCGTTGAGCAGCATAGATCTGTGGTGGAGACGACCTTTCGACTTCCCACACTCGAGCCTCGATTGCCACCCGTGCATGAGAATGCCAGCGAGAGGAGAGCAGAACTTGCCACAGAAGACGAACCATCGTCACTGCAACCGCGCACGTCCACCAGTTCAAGGGTCGCCAGTTCAGGGGTCAGAGTTCACAAGTCACTGTTAGCTCGCACAACGAGCGCAAGTGTCAAGGTTCGCTTACCACCCGGGGCCAGCGTACACAGCGATCCATCTCAGATTTCTGTCGACCCAATCACCATGTCCATGACGACTACAAGCAAGCCAAGGACAGGGGCATGCAAACCTGTACCATACAGTCGACTGCTCGGGAAATTCAAGAAAAAACTCCATCGCCAGGCAGAGTTCTTGGATACATTCTGCATGTTCGGCGCTGCCTGCTCAAAAGTTGCACAGAACCGCAAATGCCTGTGCGAATCGACAGGTTTCTGGCAGTACGATCCCAATCGGTTTCCTGCGTACATCTATTCTGTCAAGTGCCACGGTCAGACGTGTCCGCCTGATAAAAGTTGCATGCCCAAGAGGGATCAGCTATGGGTGCTGCGACGAATACCTGGCTCCTGCGGCGGTGCACGTGGCAAACGTGAGAAGTGGAAATGGACGAGAGAGCCAATTTTCGCATCGTGCATGTGTGCATAGAGTCCCGGACCAATCTCCCACCATGTACCGGACCTGAAATCTCAACAATGCCAATGGTCTAAACTGAATCAACGAAGCAACATTGCAATGCTGGTGGTGCCTCGATGTCTGGCCAGTCACTGACTGAGTTTAGACAACCAAGCACCATACTCAACTTGCTACGTCTAACGGCTATCTCAGCCACTTCAGCAGCTTGTGCAAGCCAAGAAGCTCCGAGTGAACACTATCATTCTTGTCAGGACTGTACCATGGCCGTTACTGTGTTTACTGTGACATGTACATGACTGTATAGTTTACTATGTTATACTATGCCATGGCTTGCTTAGTGCGCTATGGCTTACAGCACTACTATGTGCTGTTCAGTACCCTACACACTGTCTTTGTCACATCAAGATATTTTAAAAAACAATTCTTCGAAGTAGAACACTGCAACAGGTGGAGACGAATGATTTCCACATTGAATTGCTCTTGAGGTTTCCCAAATTTTTAAGAACTTTATTCACCTGGATGAAGCATGTAACCGGAGAGATTATTATATCTGTATTCTAATGTTGAACTCAAGTTTTTGAGAGTGTGTGCGTGACTGAGTTTTTCAGCAATACCCGATTACATTTACATGTAGTTTTTAGTTCTTCTAATACCAGCAAGACTATACATGTATAAGCGTATTTTACTCTTGATACAAGTAATGGGCAAAAGAGCGAATTTTTCGAATGCATTTTCTGGGCCGCACACAGAATATAATTTAGATATCTCCTGTCCGGACAAGGTATCATTTAAAAATTGTAAAATATGGCACTAATATGCAAAGATTTTATCTTCTTCTAGTTCTAATTTTAGATATAAAAGGCCAGTAAGCTCATGTTGATGTCTTGAATTGTTATAAAGATGTATTTACAAATTACATGTATACGAGTATGCTATGACAATGACAGCATGTGACAGGGCCTAGCTTATCGAGCAAGGCTTGCAATACTACAAGTACAATCATGTACATACACTGTAGGCTACGTACTCACTGAAACATTGATCCATGCAGCAGGTGGGATTTTCAGTCATTGACCACTTTGCTGGTGCCGTGGTGGGCTTTATCTACTCACCCCCCTCACCCCCCCCCCCACCGCTTTTAGTGGTTGCATCTGCGCCTTGACGGATCTTTGCAGGGTCGTCTACCATCACGGCATCAGGTACCGAAGTAGGCATGAAGTAGGCATACCGATAGAATCTGTTCCATTAGTTTTGCTATGCAGGGGAGAAGGGACATGTACATGTACATGTAGGTCTGTAATTAGCAGGCTCTTTGGCGCAACCTCTATTCTTGTACACTGGTAGACGGATTTCTAAGAGGATGGAAACACACCTTCCTCCAAGGCCGCGGTAGCAATACTGATAGTGAGTGTGAGAGCATTGGCAAGCCAGTATTCCCCGCAACCAGCACTGCGAGTCGATTGATAGCACCACCAGTAATGTACACTGTACATGTAGCTGTTGGTGCTATCAATGATTCTCTAATACATGATTGTACTACACATTGTGTAGTACATACATGTACTTCAATCATATGTAGCCACTAACACAATGCCATTGCAGGGTGGTTTATCGTACAATACAATAATGTCATTGTATTAGTGGCTATTAGTACTTGAAAATATTAGAGAATTTGGAAAGTAGTGTCCATAATCTCCAGAAAGTGCCCCGGGCCAGGCCCAAACATTTGGAGGAATAGAATGTGAAGCTATTCGCAGTGAGTGAAGACTGAAGAGGTCGACTTTTGTAGGTATCCATGGCATCAAGAGTACATAAGGGGTTATGTACTCTTGATGGCAAGGGGAAATGAAGAAAAAAAGCATCTCCGCTGGCCTCAAGCGAAGGTTCCTGGTAATACTCTCATGTAATATTTCTTTCCTTTCTTCGTCTTTTTGTGAGAGCTTGGAAAATCCACTTGTCCAGGCAAGAAGGCAGCAATGCCTGTTCATTCTGGCGAAGTAAAATAAAATATACCAACCAGCCAACCAACCAACCAACATGGTGGTTAGAGTCCTGGTGGTGACAGTCAGCCCGGAGCCAGAGGTGCAGGCATGCATAGTGGGATCAACGGGTCAGAGAAACAAGTCTGTCAGAGGGTGATCTACAAAGACAAGCCACAAGGTTCACCGGCTTCAAGTCCTGCTTGGAAGCGGAACTGGAAGGATTTCGACTTCCTGCAGAAAACCTTTCTTATTCCTCCCACATGGGTAGGGTCCAGCGGATAATGCGCCGAAAATGTTCGTATAATGCTAACCATAATGCTCCAAAAACTGCCTTATAATGCTGATTATAATGCTTCAGCAATGGATATAATGCTCTTGGTTTGGGACAAAAATGGAAAAAAAGTCTGCACATTGTCAAACTTCCAGGAAATTGTGCATATCGTCGATCTGCATCTGAAGTTGCCACCTTATCTCACACGCGCTCCACTGCTTCTTAGCACTATAAGACATGATCGCTTCTCCATTGATTGCTCTCCATTCCAACTTTGATGCAGGGTTGTGGCAGAATAGTCGGTGTATCAAATATCTCCCCTAATTATCCATGTAGTGAGAGATGAAACCATTATTGCAGGTAGTCATTCATTGTTGGGATGAAGTTAATCTTGGCAAACAGTATTCCTGCCCGCAGACAAGCTGTCACTGCGTCCACTCTGTGAATGTCTTCATCTGAAACACCAGACGTGAGGCCAGCTCCTGAGATCCGATCTCGGATGGAGAGCCCTCCCATTTGCGGAAATCCTGAAAACACGTGGGCAGAAGTTATTTTGCCACTCTACATCCTTTGCTTGTGCTCTCATCTTCTCCTTGAGATTGTGTGTAGACGTATGGCTTGCCACAATACTCTTCCTTTCTGATAGCATTTGACTGTAGGCCTGGCATTACAACCGCCCACAACTAACTGTGCGTGCTTCATCAGGAAAGTAAGACAGGCGCTGCTGAGCAATCGACTTGGTACTGAGTCCATGAGAAATTCTAGTTCTTTTCGAGCCTCCTGAGCTGGACTCGGCTTAGGCAGTTCTTTTGGAACGAGCTCTTTCTGTTTATAGCCGCTCCTTCATCCTGGTCCAAATTTAGCAATGCATCAGTGTCTACTTCAGTATCGCTAGAGATGCTATCAAGAGTCCATAACCCTCTTGATGCTATCGCCAGAGCCTCTGGCACAACTAGAAAACTCGTCTTCGTCTGTTTGATATTCACTTCGCGTATGTCTCCTCCATAGCTCTCCATTATTCTAAAAGTAAAAGAAACCTCGTAAATAATTTCTCCGGATTTGTGTCACTTGAACTGCCTCGGCCTCGGTTGGGCATGCTTCCACAATCGTAGTCATTTACCTGACCACAATGCTACAATCATAACGTTTTTATGTAGCAATAGTTATGTAGCGTTAGTGCTAAAGGTGTTACGTGTCTACAAGGTGTTACGTGCTAAAGGTGTTACGTGTCTCCACACAATCACAAAGTCATGCGCCGGTACAATGCATAGTGCTCAAATGCCCGGAATGGGCGGAGCGTACTACGCAAGAGGTACACAAAAGGAGTAAAATAGGGCTGTTTCGTTTTTACTCAGAGTTTCAGGGCAAAAACCAATCATCAGACAACATCTCATGATGATGATCATGATTGTGGCCGATTGTTGCCAAAAACCTGGGATTTCCCGATGATATTATCCACTATGAAACTCGGTATGCCGCTCAAACCTCACCGGTAATGCTCGTTTTGTTCCTAAATGCTCCATAATGCTCTGATGCTCGGATAGTCCAATGCCGAATATAATGCCGGCATTTAAAGGGGAAGTCCGGTGAAAAATTTAAATTTCACAGTCCGTAGAGTTCGGGTCGCTGAGTCGAATGGTCTTTGTCCGATGAGGCTGCGGCTTATGGTTCGTCAGATACGCCCAATCGAACATGTGCGAATTTGAGCGCGCATCACCCAGATCCAGGTGATGACGTCACAGCGTGCAGCCAGGTAGCCACACCATCTAGTTGTGTACAAAAATGGCCATATTCGGAGCGCGTTCGATTGGGGAACCGTTTGTCGCAGCTTCTTCGGACCAAGACCATTCGATTCAGTGTTACAAACACTACGTACCCTGTGATTTTCAGCTCGGTAACCCTGGAGGTTATACCGTATTATAGCCGTTTCCGAGTTGGACTTTTCCGTCAGCCTCTACCGTCTACGCGCTCTGCGCTGCGTGCATGCAGTGCGTGCAGTGTGTTATCTAGCTGTAGTGCAGTCAACAAACTCATCACAGACGGAACTACTCCCGCACTGCCGTGCTGGGGTAGTATGTACAAGACTCGAGTCACAACTGACACAAGACTCAGAAAACTAGTCAACACACGGACTTGTCATGTACTACACTCGTATCAGTCGTATTGTTCGGTCATGTAGTCAGAGAACGATTACGTGCGTTTCTCCTTGCCGGTGCCGGTGGTTGTGCTTTGAGAAAGAAAATTTTAGTTTTCCGCACCCGCCTCATTATTTTATGTTACAGCGATGAGTGCACAACCGTGACAAGTGACAAAACAGCGAACAGCTCTCGGACCTAGAACTTTCAGATTCCATAGCGTTGCGAGCGAAGAGTCGTGCCCGTGGTTCAAAGAGCCTGCACTGTTCTCCAATTGAGTAGTCCGAAATATTCCAAGTTCGCACCAAAACATCACCATGTGGCAGGCTACTGGAGTCTAAGCGAATGTAATCGGTATGGAACAACATTTAGAGCACTCGCATCACTCTTCTCCATTTTGGCGACCCTGCTCTCCAGCGATCTGATCAGCCTCGTCTGCAATAGCTGCTGCTTCTTCATCAGTCGGAAACTCAGTAGCGCTCACTCTTGACCGGCCCGCGTGGCCATTTCTTCAGCTGCCGAGGTTCTCAGCCCCAGACCGAACTCATGAAGGTCAGCCATGGCTGCATCCTCACTCTCACAAGGAGTTACAGGTCTTCGGGGTCGCTTGCACCAAACTATCAGTCGCCAAATCATTTGAAATAGCACTGACACTATTGCTTTCACGCACTCCTTTTGACCTAGCTGCACGCTATGACGTTGCAGAGGGTGTGGCGCGGCCGCATGACGTCATGGCGCAGCCCCCGAAACTCAGTTTTTCAAACGGAAATATCTCGAGAACGCTTTGTCGGAGACACGTGGGACCAACACCATTCGACTCAGCGCCCGAAACTCTACCGACCCTGAAATTTAAATTTTTCACCGGACTTCCCCTTTAAGGTAGCAGTACTGGAAAACGGGTGTCAGATTTAGCCAAAATATCAATTTCACGGGAACTGCTTCAAGTGTGATTTTTCTGAAAGAAGAAATACCAAAGGGTCTACAAATGAAATTTTTTGGCATTCGAACCAGCTTTAGGGTTTTACGTCGGGCCCTACAGTCCATTCATAAAAAAATGGGTCCTGGCTCTGGCGAGCTCCCGTATTTGGCGATTTTTCGTGATTTCATCGTACACAGTGCAGTGCTGCGAACTTTGAAATTTGAAAAGGGTCCAAAAAGGGTGCCTGAACTGGGGTTCGAACCACAGAATGCACTGTTGCAGGCGGGGTCAAACGGCCTGGATTTTGATGGTTTTTCCCAATTCAGTGCTTTTGGGGCAAAACCTGGCCGAAATCCTATTCTTGCTATGGCTTGCTTTTTGGACAAAAAAACTTCAGAAACATAATTGGAAGAGGATTCCATATGGGATTGCAGAAAAAAATTAATAAAAAACTCAACGTTTGACCCATTTATGGCCAAAAGCTAGAAGTTCATTTTTTTTCTGAATGGACTGTAGACGACGGCTACTTTGGCCAACCGGACAACGAAGAAGTTGTGACCAAAGAGAATGATTTTATTTCTTGCGCATGCGTATGTAGAATGACGTAATACTCTGTGAGTCAGGTCGCTACAGTACTCCCCCGCCAGTGGTGAGGTCGGGAGGAGCGAAGCACGATAAACAAGAAACAAGAAAGAGAAGAGAAAGGAAAGCGCAGCATGTACAAGGCGGAAAGGCAAAAATATAATAATATGATACATATGTACAAGCGAGAGCGCTGCGTGTGTGAAATTTGTTAAACAACGTGGCAAAAATGCCGAAACAAAAATCAGAAAAGCAGGAAAGAGAGAGATGCATGACAGAGGCGGGTTAACATGTCAGAGGTGTGTTAACGTGACAGAGGTGGAGAGCATGTCAGAGGCAGAAAGAAAGAAAAGAGGAAATGTACAAGTGACAGAGGAGTGTTATCGTGTCAGAGGCGGCTGCATGTTGCAGGCTTGGCGGGGTACCAGCAGGAGCGCTGCACTGGGGCGAGGCGTGCCGACTGAGGCGGGGACAGATGGAGGCGAGCGCAGCTCCATGGGGTCCGGTGCCGGGCGTGTGCCTGCGTGCACGGTGAGTGAGCTGGTACGACGGGTGGAGGTGGCCAATTTCCAGCTTGAGGCCAGGACGAATATGGACGAATACGAACGACTGGACAATGCCGTGGCAGGATAGCGGGGTATCCAGGTGGGCCGGGGAGGGTGGCAGGGGCCACAGCAGCTCCGAGGCGGATCCAGTGACGAGTGGTGGTGAGGCTCAAGTTTTACGTCAACAGCCGGCGATTGACGGGATCCCGAGAGTTGAGGCGAGCAGGAAACTGCGGCGGGCCGAGCTCAGGGATGGCATGCTCAAAACTCCGAAGAGCGCAGCGTCAGGGGTCACCAATTTAGGGTTTTACGTCGGGCCCTAGACGACGGCTACTTTGGCCAACCGGACAACGAAGAAGTTGTGACCAAAGAGAATGATTTTATTTCTTGCGCATGCGTATGTAGAATGACGTAATACTCTGTGAGTCAGGTCGCTACACAGCCAAAGCAGAGATATGGCCCTTCAAAAACTGAAAATACCCGTCAAAATTTCAAAATTGCACTGATCAGCTGATCGATGTCAATCTATTTCGAGAGGGTTTCTGTACAATATCAGCGCATCCTGGCCAATCTCGGCCTGATTCACACTATCTGTCCAGCTAAAACCAGTTTAGAGCTGGGCTGAGTGTCGCGATCGCCACATGCAGCGCCTGCATGCCTGGCCCTAGCTAGCTGGCCTGACTGGCCTGCACTCAACCCACGCAATTGTATTTTCAAAAATGATAAACTGAAAAATTCTTTGTTCTCAAACTGTTTGCCAATGCGACGAGCGTTTGTCATCGACGTTGGAGCTCTGCGCTTGAGTTGTTGTGCTGGTGCTACTTGGTCAGGAGACGGGTGATGAACACAAACGAAGGTCGCTCAGCAGGCCAAGGAAAAGCAAATTTCCTAGAGTTACGTCCAAGCTCGTTTCAAGTCCCGAAGTATTTGAGCCAATTGAGGGGAGTGAAAGCGAACACGAGTCGCAGGCTGATGGAGCTGGTGAGGGCGTAGAAGATGACTCTGATCTTCCAGCAGATTTTTATCCAGTGATGCCTCGTGTGATAACGATGGAGATTAGTCTGAAGAGGATTGCGATGATATTCCATCAGGAATTCGAATTGTTCACATGGAGAGCTTACAGCAATTGGTGACGTCAGCGTGTGTATGTAGTAATTATCAAGAGGGCAACCTGACTATCAAAGATAATTTTCGTCATGGCCTCGCCTCAACAATTAGTTTGCAGTGCGAATCGTGCTGCTCATCAACCAGTGTAGCCCTGGCAGAAAGACACCCACTTGCTAAATTGTACGATATAAACCGCCGCCGCAGTGTGCTTGCCATGCGCCTTATTGGTAGTGGACGAGAAGGTCTGAACAGTATCTGTGGGATATTGGATATGCCGCCTCCTGTTAGCAAGTCCAATTCTGGGCACAGCGATGCACTACACACTGCTGTGGAAACTGATGCTAGGGACAGCATGAAGAGTGCTGCACAGCGTCTTCTTGTTCGGCGAACAAGAGAACAGCATTCCCACCCGGAGCATGTTGCAGTTAGCACCGATGGAACGTGGATGAAGCGCGGATTCTCATCAATGTTTGGTATGCCAACTGTTGTGTCCTATGAGACAGAAAAGGTTCTGGACGCGGAGGTGCTATCAAAACACTGCAGTGGATGTGAAACTTGGAAGAACAGATGGCAAGCAAGAAAGATTTCTAATGCTGAGTACGAACAATGGAAATGTTTTCGGCTGTGCTGGAAATGATGAGCTGCTCTAAGGGTTCACTTGCCAGCTCTGGTCTTCTCAAGTTGGATGAAGAGAAGCAGTATCACAGGAGGAGAAGGTCCAGTGAGGAGCAATAGTCAGCCAGGAAGAGAAGAAGAGCCATTCGAAAGGGATTTGCTGACACGATACAGCAAGCAGAGGTAGTCACATACATTGCTGGAGGGTTCTCAGAGTGCCAAAAGTTAGTGTTTTTTGGCCTTCCGACCAAACTTTGGTACACTATATCTCCAGACTGGCTCATCACAGCCCAATAAACCTTATATGTAGATTGATCAGTGGAAAATTTCCCAGATGCTGAATATATTTATAAAGCCATAGTTTTTTGTTTGGCGGATGTTAGCTGCCTCAGTAGTAATAATCTTTTTCGACGGTGACGGGCGTCTTCACAGATGATGTTGACTGGGTGGTGCTATTTGTGTCCTATCTCCAATCTGTTCTATTCAGCATCTGCTACTGTTGTAGACTGTCGCTTGTGATGCATTTTTAACACTTCAGCTGATATTATGTTGCTGCTAGCATGTACCAAAAATCTGAGATGACGGCATTTTTTTACTCTCCAGTGCAGTGAACGTTTGGGACGATGCGAAGTAAATAAGTTCAAGGTAGTACTTTTATTAGGTGATGGCGTGAATCATGAATCTGTGTTCAAAATTTTGTGGGAAAAGATTCACAGACACCGAAGTAATACCCGATTTTAGTTGTGTGTATTTGCGAACGGCATATTCCAGTACTGCTACCTTAATATCCGCTGGACCCTACAGCCTAGCCGGCTATTCTTGCGCGCGGCACGGGCATGCCGCGCGCTAGCGCTGCGCGCAATGATGATTGCTGTTTTTTCGTAAAACATGCAAAATAGCAAAACGGCAAAAAAAAGGTTCATTTTCAAGCAAGGGAATCCCTGGTTTCAAAGGAAGGAGGTCTAGCCAATGTCTTGTAATGTGTGGGGAAGTGAAGGTTCTTTTGTGAAATGGAAGCGAAGTAATTGCCGGCATTGTCTGTATTGTACCAAAACTGTGCTACAATTTGGTTGTGGGTTTGCGGAAGGCCACAGAATTTATTAGCTTTGGGATTTGCGGATTCGGCGTTATGAGGCAGCAGTGATTTTCGCAACATCTGACCTTGAATTATGTACTTCTCAGTCGGATGGCCTGATGTTTTCAAGCCCCAAGATAGTGATGGCGGGGATCTCATACTCGTTAGAGCCAATGACTCCCAGTCCCTGTTTGCCGTGTTGTCAGCGCGGTCTCTGTATATCTGGTCTAGCAAGGTGCGTGCTGTTCACTGATTTCTGATTTATTTATCCGGCAATACCGATTCAATCAGCCTTCATATTCTTTCCCCGGCATTTCAAGTACTGCAGCAGAATTTATCACATCTTGGGACCATCACAGTCGTTTAGGTGGTCGAGTTTTGGAGCTTTGATACGTTAATTGTAGCAGCCACAGGAATTGCACTGTGCAACTTGACAAATCTTTAAAAAAAAAAGGATTCTGGACTAAAGTGAAGTACCGTACTGGCAATATATGTTGCCGCGTAACGCGTAACGCAGGGGGGTGCGGCGTAACGCGCGACCAGGCTAGTGCGACAAATTTTCGTTGCGTTCGTAACGCGCGTCCGGCGGGGTGCGGCGATCTTTTCATTGCAAAAAAGGCTGAAAACTGTGAAAGCACGTGTACCGCGTGGTGAAAAGTTCAAAACTGGACGCAGCAGGAAGTCCTGCAATAGCAAAAAAAGGACTGCGGCAATATAGAAACCTGTGTAACGGCTCCTGTGCGACTTTGCATGTAACGCCCTGCGTGCGGTAAACATGTGCCAATGTAACGCTTCATGGCCTCACTGCGACCATATATATTGCCAGTACGGTAGATACACTATGTTAGTATGTACTGAAAATCAGAAATACGTTTCTCTCATTGTTGAAGTGATCATATGGATGTGGCATGGTATGGTTAAATCATAAGGCTCCACAGTGTGTCGTTGACGGTTGGCATTTACAGGTTTGTGGTTTGGGTGGCACGATTGCAAATTATGGGGCTGCGTGAGCAAGAATATGCATGTGTTGTGGCGTAGATATTGTTTGATGCAGTTACGATGCATCTGGAAGTCCGACACACAATTGCTTTTCGCGAACATAGGACGGCTCGATTGTACATGTATATTCTGCTGACCACTGGCAGTTGATGAGCAGATACTGGAGTGAAGAATGCTTCACCCCAATGACACTGCGGTGCACAGCGGGCAGTGCGACTAGTGCATGAAAGTGCGTATCCGCGAACGGTGCAGGCTCGCTGTGTGTATTAGTTTCCTCGTTGCCTTCACTGCATTACAAGTACACATGTGTATACCGGTAAAACCTTTGAAGAATGGAGTTGGGTCAGTTGGGTTACCCCAACCATATGCAGCTTTTGAGTGTGGCTTTCTGCTAGCCCATATTGTAGTAACTAGAATTGCTGCAGGATACAGTAATACAGTGCTAGCAAGTGAAATCCGACACTTGGCATAAGGGAATACACCATGCAGTCTGCAGTCCTGCATACATAGTACAGTCATGACTGTGTCACATACAACTTTTATCTGTCTCATGACAGAACTCCTACTCATCACAGTCAAGGTTCACAAGAAAGGTTCAAAGGTGCTGGCAAAAAAATGAATGGGGACTGGATACCAATACTCCTTAGGGGTCGTCGCAAAAGTTTTCTGTCGTCCCTGAAACGAACATCGTTCATTTCGTACTTGGACCCCTCCCCTCCCTCTGAAACGAACACAGCTTGCTATGCTGGACGACGAAAATCGCATGCATGTACATGTCATATGTACAGTGTCGGTCGACTTGCGATTTTGGCTCTCGCCCCCCCCCAAATGAATCCTGTTCGTTTCAGGGACGACAAAAAACTTTTGCGACGACCCCTTATGTGTACCATGTCGGTGAACCGTGTGTATCTACGCTGTGACCTTTCGACCTGTGTGGGATGCATACGGCTCTAATGTACAAATCAGGTACAGCTCATTACATCATTGATGTCCATTTGTGGCGCTGTCCCCTATGGCAAGTGTCAGATTTCACTTGCCACGACTGTAGCACGTGTACACTCGGAAAGACAGCAGTAGTAAATGTGGGGCCACTTTGTACCTCGCCAACACATGTGCTCTCTGGGCGATCTCGTTCACCGCACCAGCAACACATTTCCGGGGCTCCAAGGTGTAGTAGATGCCGGTATCAACTCCAGCTGTCTCGATTATACAGATCTCATCAGTGAAGGTTATGGGAGTACTGAATGGTTAGAATTTGTGAATAGCACTCATTTATGCAGAGAACTACTGTGAAAATGAAGTGGCGAAATCGCTCTCTTTGAGGTAACATAGGTGCAAACACACGGAGAATACGTGCAAGATCACACTGATACGCTTAAGGTACTGCGGACATACATATCATACTGTAGGCGCAAGAGATCATAACACACAGAACTAATATGCCGAGCAATGTGAGGTGACAGTTCAGGCTTTTTTTGGGAGGCTGCAGCACAGCATTGCCAAGTAGTCGCTCGAGAAGCCCCTGGGGCATTCACTCCGTTCGCTCACTCGCCACCACACTGCGCTGTTGTCACATGTCTACAGTATGACATTGTATCTATGTCCGCAGTGCCTTACGCGTCATCAGCGTGATCTTGCACTTCTTCTGCGTGTGTGTTTCACTATTGTTACCTCAAAGCGCTCGGTTGCGCTGCTTCATCTTCACAGTAGTTCTCACCGTATAAAGGAGTGCTATCCACAAGTTCACCTTCCCAATTGAGACCTGTATGATTGAGACCGCTGTGTGGAGGACTTGCTACTATTGGCACCTTGGAGTCATGTTGTTGGTGTGGTGAACGCCGGACAGCGCATGCGGTGGCAGTTTGGGCTAAGTGATGAACAAGGCGAAAGCCACTCACTGCCTATCCTCCTGACTACAGTACTGACGGGTGCCGAAGAACTGGGGGGGGGGGGGGGGGTCAGGGTTCTAGCCTAGCCCGTTCTGATTTTTAGCGAACACAGCGGTTTCGTTCTTTGATGGTACAGTCTTACATGTACATGTACATTTATGCAGAGTTATACGTCTTGAGTGTACATTATAGTGTACATTACGGTTTCCGTTCTTATCTGCAAAACATCCAGCCTAGACCGTTCTTAAAAATTGGTGAAATTCTAGCCTGGCCGTTCTTCGGCGCCCGGCAGTACTGTGGCACGTTGTAGTACTTCAAGTACTTTTAACCTCTTGCATTTCTGTATTTACAGCCATTTATCTCCTTTCTTCCTGTTTAATTAATGGCCGGCGTGTTTTTACCGCCATATTGCCAGGTGTGTGTTTACCACCATAATTATGAATAAAGTTTTGTGTCTTTGCGTTTCTGTATGTTACACTCCATAGTATTTCCGTATTATAAATGGTACTTGTACTGTACGCACGTGATATCTGGCTGGCACGGGGAGCTACTAGAAAGTCCAGAATTGGCTAGCCGGCACCGATTTCACATCAGCATCTTTGCATAACCCTGAAAGAAGCCGGAGAAAATTCCTCTTTCTACCTTCCTAGTTCGCTGCTAATGAATAGCTTTGCCACTTGCCTTTTCACTCTTCAAGGGTACGTTTGGATGTACGTCCGAAGTATGAACATTGGCAAGTGTGTTTGTATGCGTGCATTTGTCTGTTACTACAGCCGCGCGTATTGTCATCTGTCTACTCGCGTTGTGAGAAGTCAATAAGCGACCATGGCACCAATGCCGATCTTGTGTGGGCTGCCAGTGGAGATCGTCTTGTTGTTTCCGTAAGTTGCCGCTCACGTGAAATTTTCTTGTGGAAATATTCAGTGTGTTTGCCAGGCAGTATGTATGCCTTTGCCTTTCTTTCGACTCTTTGTTGACAGGATTAATGATGCTGGTGTGCACTGGATGTCCACTTTGATGTCATCCATACACATTCTACTGGGTGCATTGGAAATTATTATTTGCCAATAATATTTGGATCTAAAACAGTACAGGCATGCATTCCTGTCCGCATGCTTATTATGCATGCATTCCTGTCCGCATGCTTATAATGCATGTTTCATCGTTGTGCATGCAGCCTATATGATGTCACAGCATGTTGTGTGGAGAGAGGACTTACCCTACTGTGATATCACCGCATCTGGGAACGATCCAGCGTGGCTGTTATCGTACTTGTCGTAAATAGCCGGTGGAGGTATTTTAACCCAAGCAAAGACATTCAGTCAGTCGATTTTGCATGAGTGGCCAGTTTCCTGTGTGCCCTCTTTGTTGTTCTACAATGCAGACGTCCAGTGGACGGTTGCTGTTCTTCCACGTTGAAAACGATACGTCAGAGACAGCGTTCCCCAACGAAGCACACCATGGGTACGTATACACTTATGCCTACATGTAGTACATGATGTGTTGATCTTTTGCGTGTTGTACATGTGTGTCGGTCTTCTATTGCACACTTGTAAAGCAAATTTTGTTTAACCTTTTGAGCACGACGCTACCTGAATGCCGCCCCACGTCAACACCTGCAAAAATCGCGTTTTTCCTATGAAAGTAGTAGCTGTTCAAGGATCTATAACTTTACCTTTCTTTGGACGAATTCCACGATCTTGAGCTTCCTGCAAAGGTCTTGAGGCGAGGAACAAAATAGTTCCAAGCTCAGCTCGGAGCGACACCAAAAGCCCATGCTACAGTCTGGCAAACTTCACGCACGCGCTCGACAGACTTGAGCACGGCCAGAGATCAAATCCTCAGCTGCCATTTCACTCTCCTTGCTCGCATCGAGCTCAAATTTTTTTGAGGACTCCCCAGATCCGCTGCCATCATTTGAATCTAGTTTCCATGGCAGCAGATAGCGCGAAAATGATCGAAAATGGAAAATACGCGTTCTGCAGAGTTCGCAAAAAAATCGATTTGAATTTGCCGTGTCGAGTCGCATATCTCAACAACCCGGGGTCGTATCGCTTCGGCGATTGTTTCTATCGCAAGCTGAGAGTTTTCTCTTGCAGATACATATTTCGATCGTGAGAATCGGCCAAGAATTGACCGAGTTACGATAGTTTGAACTCACGCGGTTCATGCAAATCGCGTTTGTACGCTATGTACACTCACGACGTAATAATACGTCATGCGTGGGTGCAGTGACACTGTACGTGACGTATTAATACGTCATGCGTGCTCAAAGGGTTAACGGCTTGGGTGAATTCAGTCAGACTGAATTTTCCACGTCCGTAGGAATGTCACTACCCTGAGGATCAAGGCGCAGATGCAGCTCCTAAAGCGGTGAGAGGTGAATCGATCAGACCCACCACAAAGTGGTCAAAGATTGAAAATACGAGTTGCTGCATCCATGTTACCCTCGTGGCCTGGTACGAGTTCCTAATTAACTGTGGGTCGCAGCACGGTTGGATACGTCATTCCGCTTACCAAAGCAGGGCTTGAACCGGGTGCCCTCTGTTTCTCAGTCCTTGTCCTCTTCCTACGTTAGCTGCTCAGAGGCGAGTTTCGTATCGTATGCATTTTGTCCTGAAGTGCGAAATGAATGCTTTCAACTTTCTCACAGTCTGATCATCGTTGACGCTAATGCCTACTTCAGATGGAAAAGACTTCCATACTGTACATTCACCATTTTGAGCCGTTGTATTTTCTTTTCTTGTGTCTGGTGTAAAGGTTGCATAGGGCAAGACGGGCAGAACTCTTGCTCCATTGGCTAATGGTCTGTTTGTTGTTTTGTTTGCAGGATTGTGTCTTCTGTTACCCTTACTCACACTAACGTTGTGCCAGTGGCTGGAGAAATAACATGGTGCGTTGTTTTAGTTCTATGGTGTTCGGCTATGGTGGCTCACCTTCTCTCTCTCTCTCTCTCTCTCTCTCTCTCTCTCTCTCTCTCTCTCTCTCTCTCTCTCTCTCTCTCTCTCTCTCTCTCTCTCTGTCTCTCTCTCTCTCTCTCTCTCTCTCTCTCTCTCTCTCTCTCTCTCTCTCTCTCTCTCTCTCTCTCTCTCTCTCTCTCTCTCTCTCACTCACTCACACACACTCACTCACTCACTCTCTTTTCTCTTTCTCGTTCCTTGTCTCTCAGGTTTAGTTGCAAAATCTGTAGCTTAAAACTCTTCCTTTGTGGTTAATCGTTTGTTCTTTGTTGTGTTGCTCCGTATACCATAGCCTTCATCGTATTGATGGTCCATGTGTTGTGACGAAGACGCACATCCTTCGCTACAAGTGGAATGGCTCGCTAATGTATGCTCTGACAATGCCACCTCTAGTTAATCCCGATGGTAGGTGTGAGCTCTTTGCAATGTGCCCTGTTTTCCTGGCCCTTCTTTTTGCATTCTTTGTGTACTTACTATGTTATGTGCGTGCCCCTATCAGCTTCACCACCCAATCACCCTGCCTATAGCCTAATTCTTTTTTCGCGTACGGGAAACACATGGTTTAAGTCTGTCACCGAATGTCTATGTTGTACAGTAAAACCTGGTTTAAGCGACCACCCCACGGTTCAAGGAAAAGCGGTCGTTAAAGTCAGGTGTTCTTTAGAACCAGGTCTCACAGTGTCTGTGTAGAACTGTCCGTGCATGGAAAAACGGTCGTTGAGAGCAGGTGGTCGCTAAAACGAGAGGTCGCTTACACCAGGTTTTACTGTATTTTGGGTATTTTCTGTAATCGTTTTCCATGGATAAAGATCTATAATCACTGCTATCATAGTGTCATGCACCATTTTGGTCATGCCTGTTCGGCTCGCCTGGCTAGTCCAGCAAGCAGACATGCTTCATACATGTACATGAAGTACTTGATTCACTGTATTATTAGTGCCGCACTAATCCCCACCAGTCCATGCCATTCAGTGTTCAGTGTCGAACCGTAGTTGGTACACTATAATCTAGCTCAGCTAAAGGTTAACCAGGTGGATCGGCTGCTTCACCCATGCTTGTATGGGTAAAGGCAGTATCATGGCTGCCCTCCACTGAGTTCATCTGTTCTAATTCTTCCCATTCTCGTATTGCCGTGTCCCGTGTCTTATTTAGCTGCAGCAGCGACCCCTTCCTCGGAAAACGTTGAGAAGTATGTTGTCCACTTGGAATTTCAGCCACTGATGCGTGGCATCGGCCTTGTCTTCAACACTGGCGAAGCAGCTTTCTGGCTGAATCCAGCGAAGAATGTGAGTCCATCAGTCATTGTATCCACCGTCCGCATGCGTATCAGCTAGCTGGCAGTACATGCAGATAGGTATTGTTACGTATTTTACTGTAATTGCTTGTTTTATTCCTACCAGTGGGGGACAACACAGTGACCTTGTGGCATTTCTAGGTCTGTTTAAAGCGACTGCGACTGTATCTGTTAAGGTTGTCTCTGCTTGATGGTGCTATTCTGCTTGGTGTATTATTATGACCAAGTCTGTGCAGTAGGACGCACTGACTTGCCGTCACAATTTCCTGTTCTCCTTGCATCTCATTTAGATGGCAGATGTCTTTATCTAGGGATTTTGATAATTCCTGGGTTGACATGATTGAGCATGTAGTCTAGATTGAGCGGGATGTTGTGTGTACTCTGGAATGCCTCTACAGCACACGGCACTCGCCTGGGCTCCCGGTGTGGAGGCTGCGAACCGGGTGGCGCTAAACGGGAAGTTTAGGCTGATGGCTGTTGGCACGCGGAGGTGAGTGTCCACATGACCAGATAAAGGTGTATCTCGTGTGCCATTGCCTTGTGAAGGGTGCCAGTGGCAGTTTTGTGAGCACGTCCAAGGGCTGTAGTTGGGTGGGGGCGTTGGCAGTGGTAGTTAATCACGGTGGCGGCGGTGGTGTAGTAGGTCTTTCTTCTTTATTTATTTTTATTTCTTCTTCACCAGGTTTGGCTTCAAACCGGTTGCAAGCATTCTTTCCTGGTCAATTAGGGAATGGCTCTTCCTTCACTGGTGGAACCTTTCATCGAATGTGACAGGATGCCTATTGGGCCTGGTCTTTAGCCTCATTTGTGTGTGTGTGTGTGTGTGTGTGCGTGCGCGGGTGTGTGTGTGTGCGCGCGTGTGTGCGTATGTCATTTGCTATTGCTTAGTGGCAAGTGTTTTGTCTTCACACTTGAGGATGAGTTGAACAAGTTGATGCTCTCTCACACACTGTTCCTGGCAAGCACCGACTACCCGAGTAAGTTTGGGGGGGGGGGGGGGGTCTTTTCCGGCTAAAAGTGAGGGTAGGAGCTCGTTCTGGTTTTCACTGGTTTCTGTAAAGGGAAAGCGTATTATGTTTTCTTTGGAAGGAGCTGGGTAACTGAAACATACCAAACCCTTTACTCCTTACTCTAAGAAAGTGCCCATCAGTTGGCGAGGGGACCAGATAAACAAGGTGTGACTGTATTCCTTAACTAGTTGTGCAAGCCTCAATGGGTTTCCCATGATTGTGCCTGGTAGGTACCCGTATCAGCTTGTGTCCTTGGTGTGTATGGCAGTTTTCAGGCATGCTATGTATTGAGCACTTTTCCAGCAGCTGTTACTACCCTCTTTGTTCCTTGTCATAGATACTTTGGCATCTTTCCCTCATGTTCACTATTACATGTACTTTGTTGTGTAGCAGTTACCACACTCTGCTGCCCTGTAACAGATCCAGTGAAGAAACTAATATCATTAGTGATCATGGTTGCTGTGGTTGTGTCGTCACCATGCAGACCTACACCTGGGCGCAGTCAAGTGCCTACAGTGGTCACCCGATGGCTACGCACTCGCCATGTCCTGGCACGGCTTTGGCTTGGCCGTGTGGAGCTGTTTCGGATCTTTGCTATATGCATCGGTTACCAACGATCACAAGTATGTCTGCAAGCTCAGAAGGAGCTGACGTTTTAGATTTGCTACTTGTAGGCCGTTGCACTCAATGAGAGTGAAGGTCACCCTGGTTACTTGTTGGTGGACTCTACTTTGGTTGACATGTCGCCTTTGTACTTCAAGTTGTAGTGAGATTGCTGTGCACTATGAACAGCTTTCAGCCTCTGATTCGCCTTTGTGCGTCATGTGTTGCTTTCACAGACTCCTGCCTTCCTGGCCGATGCATTGCCAGCTTGAGATATATTCATTGGTGAGTACAGGAACTCTGTGTGTGTGTGTGTGTGTGTGTGTGTGTGTGTGTGTGTATGTGTGCGTGCGTGGGTGTGTGGGTGTGCGTGCGTGCGTGTGTGCACATGTGTGTGTGTGCACATGTGTGTGTGTGCACATGTGTGTGTGTGTGGGGGGGATTAGGCAGTTATCTGGTGCTAGTCTTGATCTGTCTCATTCAGATCTTGTCCGCTATCGTTGCTATAAGGGAAAATCTGTGAGTGCACATCCAGTGCACTTGCATATTTGTGTGCTTCTCTTGCGACGGGCGTATCCATGGTACATGGTGTGGATGTGTGTGGGTGTGCTTACACATAACCACTCCCATGTTTTCCTTGTTGTTATGCTGGTTTATGTTCGGCCTGCGAGGTATCATTGTACTCTCAGACGCGCCAGCACTGGTTGGCACACGTATTATAGCACTTCTTATACAGGGTTCCTCTTTCTCTGTGATGGCGATCGTATGTTATTCCGCAGGCTTGGCTAGCTACTGGTTTCCAGCTGATGTTCTTGGCAAATTCCCTGCATCCAGATGCACCCCAAACGCAAGGTACAGTCAAATTCTGTCTTCACTCTTTTTACCAGACGAGTGCATGAATGATGCAGATGCTACATTCGCATTTGGTAGGTTTTACCCATGTATGCCGGCTCATTGAATAAGTGCAGCTTCATCCAGAATCTCACATGGGGTCTCCTAGATATGGCTTTGTTTCTGTCTCTATATTGTGCTTTGTTTGCCGTATGTATTCATTTTATTGATGTGATGCCTGGCTTCTATCTTTGTCTACCCTACAGGAAGCATCTTTACCATGAAGTTTGTGAAGAGTGCCCTGACATCAAATCCATGTTTTGTAAGCTTTGAATCCGTGTATAAGTTTGCATCAGTGGGACTATTGTTATTAGGCTGAAGCCTGTTTTCGAACTCCACTTTAAATAAAGTCGACAACATCAGAAGTCACCGAATTTCCGTCTCCGAGCCCTAAACTGAGATTTATATTTCGTAGCCTCACTCACCGGCGCAAAGCGCTTCCCTATGTCTTCACATGGGTGTTGCCAGTTTGACTGGCGGTGGCCTATCTCCATAGTAGAGGAAGATCGTGAAGGTGCTCCTCTAAGGCGCACGCCTAAGAACATCGCCCTTCGCTGTCACCAGCTGCCCCGTGGTCCACCTTCATACTCGGGTCACAACACATTGAAGGATTCCTGTCTGTGGTTCTTTTGGTTGCTTTTTATGCATGTTCTATTCTTCTGCTCTTCCTATGCATTGTACATGTATAGCGAAATATGGCTACTGTGTGTGCATGTGCGTGAATGTGGCTGTATGTGCACGTGTGTGTGTGTGTGTGTGTGTGTGTGTGTGTGTGTGTATGTGTGTGTACGTGCGGCATTGTTTTACTCATGTATTCGCTTGTATCTGCAACAGAGCAATCAGAAACATCTCGTTCTCTACGGCGACAACCAGGTTCTGCTGCAGCCCGGCGAGAGTATTCTAAGGAGCCGGGTCATGCCTCCTATGCCCAGCACACGACCTGAATCTTCTACGTCTCGAACCTCTCTGTAAGTATGGGTCGTGTCTGCAGTGACAATAGGCGAAAGCTATTTACTGGAGTATCTACCTCACCAGCGTCGGCAAAACATCGGAATATTCTTGCCATTGAAAACTTTAGGCTTTGTAGAATACGATAGCGTAACTCAACAATTACTGAAAGATCTTTTCTGGGAATGGCTCACTGACTGCAGGTGAATGTGTTTGGAAAGATTGTAAATTTTCATGCTGAGGCATTATGCACAAATGCACCATTGTGTCCACGTACTTAAAAATAAGCGTACCCTGCCTGCAAATGTGATCGCACGCCAACTGTTTGCGTCTGGGTGTCTCTAACTGAACATCATCCAACAACAGGCATGTGTCACTGAAGTAATCCTTTGTGACTGTGCGCATGAGTGTGTGTGTGTGTGTGTGTGTGTGTGTGTGTGTGTGTGTGTGTGTGTGTGTGTGTGTGTGTGTGTGTGTGTGTGTGTGTGTGTGTGTGTGTGTGTGTGTGTGCATATGTGTATGTGTGTGCATTTGTGTGTCTGCCTGTGCGTGATACCAATGTCCTGCTCGCAGAACAAGCTTTGACGATGACTTACGGCGATCAGTCGACCTGCCCATTCCCATCAACCTGGTGATTGGGCCCACGTCGAAACAGGTGTCCGTTTCATCTGTACAGGATGGTGTGCGTGGCAGTGACTTTGCTCACCAGCAACAACAATCCACCCAGCAACCTTGGATCACTCTGCAGGTGAGTGGCATTGCATTTGGCCAAGCAATGAGTCAAGGGAAATGGTTGTTTATGCCTATGGTATGACTACAATTAGACGGTGGCTCCTTGACACTGTTACCGTAAAGTCGCGTATGAAGGCCGGGCTTATTCCTGTAGAAGCCGATGTCAGGTTAGGCCTGTAATCAAATCAGGCTGTGTGCAAACCAGGTATTTCTAGTACAGTCAACTTCGCCAATAACGACATTCGGCGGGGCATCAGAAAAGTGTCCTTATTCGCGAAGTGTCCTTATAACCGAAGTCCCATTTGAATGTATGTGAACCCATATTTTGTATAGTATGACATGCATATCAAAATCAAGCTCTTTTCTTGCTCTATGTCAATGTGTACTTTATTTTCATATTGCAGTTGAAAGGAACTAAAAATTCAATATGCAAGGGAAATTAATTGAAAAAATTAATATTATGCCTTTTTGAGCCATCTACAGGGCCAGAGACATGTACATGTACATGTATGATGATTACTGTACAATCATGTACAACTACATGTACATTGTATACATATAGGTGTGCTGGTAAATCCAACAATTTTGAAGCCAACATAAAAAAGGAAGAAAAAGCCCTCTCCCCCTTGGCTGCATTTTCTTGCATGTGTACCTTTATAATAATTATTAATTATGAATAATATCCATCACCATAGGTTCTGGTACTTCTGCATGACAGGTACATGTACTTGACTGACAGGTACTTGAAATAGCTGTCAAAAGCCCAGAAAGTCGTTATTCAAGCAGTGAATATGACCTCGGGGCACTAAAAGCATGTCGCTATACGCGAATTGTCGTTATTCAGATAGTCGTTATATCCGAAGTTAAATGTATACAGTTAGATGGGACTTTGCTCTGGGCATGGAAATTCGGTCGTTACTCGCGAATTGTCGTTATATCCGCAGTCGTTATTAGCGAAGTTGACTGTATGTACTTGTCAACGCTAAAACCCCGTGCATGTGCCTACGGTCCACCTTGAAAATCAGGCTTGTGTTCAAAACAGGTTTCTTATGTACGAGACGGGTTATTTTACAAGACAGTACGGTGTTTTACTCGCGTGGTGTATGTCCTGTGTGACTCTTATACGTGGGTTGCTGTACTTCTGGACTGTTCTCTTGATCTCCTCATTCTCATCAGGTACCGGAGAAGTATATACAAGCGAACTGGCCACTACGGGTAAGAGCTCTCTGGTTTCCTCCTTTTTACAGTTGTTGCTGACTGAGTAGCTTCTTTTGTGGCAATGCCTACGCGTATAACAGTACTCGTGTGTGCTGCCATGGGTGTACTTGCAGGCGTCTGGACAGTGTATTCTCAGTACTGTGCTAGCGGTTATGGTCTGTCACCTTGATGTTTACTTGCCAACTGAGACTAATGCCATGTACATACCACCAACGTCTGTATCCGTGTGGATGTGATTGTTTGTATGTGGATGTGGATGTGGCTGGGTGTCCGTGTACACATGTGCATGTGTGCAGTATGTTGCAGTGAGTGATTCGGCACGCTATGTTGCCGTGGCTGGACAGTACGGCATAGCGCACTGTAATGTAGCAACGCAGCGTTGGAAAGTCTTCGGCAATGTCTCACAGGCAAGTTATCTTTTACAATCTTACTACAATGCCTTTCGTATAGCAACACACTGCGTACGGTAAGGAGCATGTGTATATGCGCACTTTGCTATTGCCTCCAATGTCGCAAGTTGATATTGCGATGTTGTAAGTTCATGGCAGTTCCCACTTGTATCTCAGCATCCCTGAGTGGTTATCTTCTTGCTAGCCCCATGAAGAAGCCGTACAGTTACTGTAACACACTGAATTGGCTTTATACATGTATTGTCTGCTCTGTCCATTGGTGTGCACGTCTGTCTGTCTGTCTGTCTATATGAAAAAAAGTACCTGGATCATTGCTCAGAAGGACAGAAGTAATCATGACTGAGTGACATTTCGACCATACTGGTCTTCTTGAGAAGGAAACGTCGCCAACTACCTCCCAGCTGTCTGTATGCTTGCCTGTGTGTGTCGGCGTGTCCATATGTTTACTGATCTTGATCCGTGTGCCCATGTGTCTGCACAGGAGACGAATATCACTGTGTGTGGTGGTCTGGCATGGTGGAAGGACATGATAGTGGTACCATGTCACAACTACAACGATGACAGTGATGAGGTGTGCACTGACTTTCATCTATTGTTTGTGGGTGGGTGGGCGGGCGGGTGTGGGTCCGTGGGTGGGTGTTCGCAATCCTTGCTATCGTTGTTTTGTTTGTTTGTAGCTTCGTGTAGCTGCTCCCTGTTGTAACATGTACCAGAGGGCTTGAAGGTAGTACGTCACAACCCCAAAAAGGTAGTAAAATTACTGATTTGATTTCCACTTAGGTCAAACTCTAGTATGGATGGATGCATGTTTCAAGGGCTTTGTCCAATGTGTGAGTACAGTAGGTACAGGGTCTGAACTGGGTAGCCTCTTAGGGCCAGTAATCATTGGGGTGACACATGTGCCGGTACAGACTGGACTGGGCGCTCCTGGCTGTGGACCCACTACCGGTAATGAACAACCACACCAGCATGTGACATAGAGGCCTACCCACTACATACTGTACAGTTGCCATGGTCAGAGTGGATGCAATGTGATGCAGAAGTTGTTATTTATTGACTTGTGACATCATCACTTTCAAGCCCCATTGGCTTTTTCCTCCTCAAAATCTCTCTCTCCCTATTGTGTGCTGGCAGATTCGGTTCTATCCCCAATCATCCAATCTCGACAACAGTAATGTAGCTCTGACATTACGGGTACCGTGCGTAATTCACCTCATCAACCTGCTAAGCAACTGCCTGTCGGTGGTGACGCGCGACAAGAAGCTGCACCTGTTTGGCCTGCGCCTGGACAAGAACGGCCCCAGCGGTGAGCTGATGCGCTTCCGCCGTAGCAACCTAGCTAGTGGGGAGCACGTGGTAAAGAGTGGTAGTAATATAACCATCACCAGTGAGCCTGGTGGCGATATGCTGGTCAGTGGCCGGGCGCCACGCTCACCGAAGAAGAGCGGTGGTTCAGGTCCTATGTCCAGCGTCATGTGTACAACCAAGCTGGCAGTGTGCAATCCAATGGGAGGAGGTGAGGATGGGCGAGAGAGGAACGACGGACAGTACTGCTATGGTGCATGTAGGCTGTCCTAGCGTCAATGTGGCGTTCAGATACTAGTATGCATGCTGATGCATGCCTTGGATCACGTGTGGCCATTGTCACTGCCATGTTTGGCTACGGCTTGTCCTCGTAGCACAGCCGCACTGCCCATGTCACAGTCACGTCCGCCTCCTCATCCTCCTTCTCATCCTCTTCTTGCTCCACATCCCATCTCCTCCTCGCCACTGCCAGCTTGCTTCTGTCACATGAACTGGTCAGATGTCCGGCTCATTTTGCACGGTCAGATGCATTTGTAGTGTTGCTCTAGATTATTTGTACCACTGTCGCACTGTCTACTGGTGCCGAAACCTATACATGACCCTAATAGCTATGCATGATGTACTGACAGAAATATGTAGATTGGCTCGTGTACCCATGCATGATGTACCTAGACCTTTTGCTTGCACGCCCATGATATCAAGAGTCCATAACCCAAGAGTATGCAACTGTGATTATGGGTGCATGCGTGGCGCGCTGCCTTCATTACGTAACTTGCCTTCATCACGCTCTGAAAGCATGCATTCAAACTCTCAATTTCTCGCACGAGCCCATCCGTTTTTGCTCGATTCGTTCCAGTACCTACACAATCTCTGAATTCTGGCGCGTGAACTCCAGTTCCGTACGAAAGTTCATTTCAAACTAGAGGGAAAGTGCGGTGTTTGATTTTCCGCAGTGCGCGGACTGCAGCTGAATGATGTAATGAAGGCAGCGCGCCGCGCGGTTGGCCCATAGAAAAGAGATCACAGTTGCATACTCTTGGGTTATGGACTCTTGATGATATGTATTACTAGTCTACTACGGGTAAAACAATGCTATAAAATACTGATAAGCGCGGGTCTCAATCTGTATAAAGGTCATGCACATGACACCACCGTATGCTTTAGTGGCAACCCAGAGGTTGTTGTGGCACTCTGTACAAACACCCCGACAGTGATAGAATTGCATATGCACCTTTATCGGCGTTGCGTAGCCTTGAGTCTGAATTGAACGCAATTGCATACACTTGTAAGAAATACTTTGATTCGATGTATACCCGTTTCTGTAGCTCTCGTCGTTGTAGCCGTTATGGTGGTGATGTGATAGTGATGTGTGTCTGTGTGTGTGTGTGTGTGTGTCCACACAATCCTGCATTAGGATCAGGCATGATTGTGCTGCACAGTATGCCAGAGTTATCGTTAGCGCAGTTCGTTCCGTCTATAGTACATCTCATCGCGCTGTTTCCCACCGAGATGTCAATGGAAGCGTCATCGGGTATGCTATTCTTTGTTGGTGGTTTTCTCTGAATTCACTCGTGCAAACTGCCTTGAATTGCTCAACACCATGCAATGTTCACATGTGCTTTGACTCTGTATATTTGGTAGATCTTCTCTAGCATACATAAGGGGCCGTCCGTAATTATCGAACGTTTTTCACCAAACAAATTATTTTAGTTTAGACCCAACCCCTCCCTCCCCCTCAGAACGTATAAAAAGGTTGACATATGCATGCATAATACAACAAAAGTTGCAGGTGTGCAACTGCTCCTGCGACCATGGACATGTATCAATATTTTCTGAAACGAAATTGGTCAACTCCCTCCCACCCCATAACGAAATTATTTCGTTTTGTAAAAAAAAGTTCGATATTTATGGACGACCCCTAAGCAAAGGCAGAATCTCTTGGTGATGTTGTGCACAGTGCACACAGCTAGCAGATTGCAGTTTTTTTTAAATTTTACTTAATTTTTAGTGCGTACAGCAAAGACCTACGGTAGTTTGATGTGGCTCTGACTTCCATGAGTGTGCAATCTTTGGCAGCTTTGTGCTGTAATATCTTACCACACTGTTCTCTGCCTTTGTATTGCCATGTGCTTCTCAGCCGACAGTGATAACAGTGCGAATCCGAAGGCGGAGGGAACGTTACCGAAGTCGCTGGTTGCGAATGTGTCCGGCCGAGTGCTGGTGCTGTCGCGTGACCTCGCATCTGCACCCTCCTCTCAACCGTCAACATCACAGTCAGCAAGCACTGTAAGTGATATCAGTGTTTAGCTTGTGCTGTGACCCGATGAGTAGCATCTCATGCAGCCTTACCTGTTGGCCTGCATGTAAAGACGATTTACTTAGGGGTATTGGGAAACTATTACTTGTATAATAACATATTATGCCACTCAGAATGATGGCATTCACACCCGTCTTGACTGCTTTTATGTCCATTCTTTTATGGGGTTTTTGCTCTCTACTATGTTGTACTGTAGGTACCGTACTGCCGGCCAGTTGCCCTGGCCTCGTCTGTAGAAATGATCTGGTCTGCTGCACACTCTACATCATGCCGCTACCTGCAGCAGGCGCTGTGGTTGGGCTGCGGTGCAAGCGGGATGAAGGTGAGCACGGCCTGGGTGATGTGTTACCCTTACATACTGAGCATTTCTTGTCAGCAACTTTCAGTGTTAGTTTCAGGCTGTAGAGCAGGCGTGTTGCATCAGTGTATCCCTGATGAAAATGAACGGCTATCTTTGCACCGCCTTGGCTGTTGAAACCCTTGCCGAGCTTGAGGGAGTGTATACATGTATTACACATGGATTACAAATGTGCATGACTTGTTGGTGTCATTGTGTGCGGCCACTGAAGCATTCTTGATTGCTGTACTTCTTCAGTGTGAGACGTTTCTTCATGAAGGTGTGTCCCTCTACTACAGCTCTTTCTTTCTCTTTCTCTCTCTCTCTCTATCTATCTATCTATCTCTATCTCTCTCTTTCTCTCGCTCTCTCTCTCTCTCTTTCTCTCTCTCTATCTCTCTCTCTCTCTCTCTCTCTCTCTCTCTCTCTCTCTCTCTCTCTCTTTCTCTCGCTCTCTTTCTCTCTCTTTCCCTCTCTCTCTCTCTCTCTCTCTCTCTCTCTCTCTCTCTCTCTCTCTCTCTCTCTCTCTCTCTCTCTCTCTCTCTCTCTGTGCGTGTGTGTCTCTCTCTCTCCCTCTCTCTCTCTCTCTCTCTCTCTCTCCCTCCCTCTCTCTCTCTTTCTCTCTCTCTCTCTCTCTCTCTCTCTCTCTCTCTCTCTCTCTCTCTCTCTCTCTCTCTTTCTCTCTTCCATTTTCTTGTACCCTGCTCCAGTTGCGGTTTTTTTGTGCCTGTTCTTTGTGTTGTGCATTAGGTGTGGCTACCTCTCTTCCCAACTAGTGACGACCCGCAGCCATCGTTTCTTTCTAAGCGCATCATGCTCACATTCCCACTTCGTATTTATCCATTAGGTATGCGTTTAAGAGTGTGTGGGTGTGTACTACTGTGGGGGGGGGGGGGGATGTCTGCAAATGAAATGCGACTGGGTAGCAACTGCCCCCTTATTATGAGCAATATGCTAACTGGTGATTTAGATGCAAAGTATAAGTTTGTCGTATTTGTGCAAAGCTAGTTAACAGCGTCATCCAATATTGAAGCAAACGAGCGTGGCTTCCAAATGAGCCTAAGTCTGCTGCAAGGGTTTATAGCATTTGTACTTTAAAAGTATGCGTAAACATGTTTGGCTTGTTTTGTTGCTACTCTCTGCCTACGTCAGCGATCTGCTTTGAGGATGCGGTGGTCATTGGTGTAGCGCAATCCTTCAAGGAGATTGTTGTCAACTCCGACTGCTCCTCTTCCAGTCAGCTGTTTCCTTTCGCAACGACAGAGCGCACAGTAAGTTGTTGTAGCTCCACTCGGCTGTCGAGTCACGCTGTAAAACCTTTTCCCGTATTGTGCTCAACCTGAAATTGAGCACCGGTGCATCAAATCAGATACTGTACACCAGCATCTTCCAACAAGATCTAATCAAACACTTATGCAGTACTTTGTATGAACTTTGCTGGAGTCATATCTGTTACGCGTGCCTAAGCCTCCCTAGTGGCATTGGGTCAACCTCCATGATCAATGGTGGGGTCAAAAGCAATCATTTGACATACAGAAAGCCAATATTGAGGGTGAAGTCATGTCAATAGAGCTTAGTCCAATGATTTACTTATGCCTAATATTCTGTTCTTGTGTTGCCTCTGGTCTTGTTACTTTTGTTTGACTGCATCAGGTTCAAATATATCTTCATCATATTTTACGTTCATTACTTCGTCGCAAGTAAGTCTTCCTAGCTTGCTTTCAGTTTATATTGCTGCTGTTGTGGTAGATATGGCCAGTGACTGCCTGCATGTAACGTTCTAGTGACACTTGTAGGACGCAAAGAAGGATTTAGTCCTGCTCTGATGTGTTAGTTGCAGGAAAACCGACATTTACACTAGTGCTGGTCATGAAATCCAATCTTGCGAGTCACCTAGTGCCGGGTGCCGTGCAGCCCCGGCCGGGCCCGCGGCCGCTTGGCTGTGCACTGATGCTGGGCTTTCAGTGTTTCACCTATTCACGAGATCATACTTCATTGAGCAGCACTGTAGTATGTTGACGTACTAGCAAGGAAGTTGTGATCCTTGATTGTAACTGGACGTGAGCCAATTCCTGAAGCGCTGAAGTGAAATGATACAACCTGGCATCGTTTTTGTGTTGCTTTTGGTTTTTCTGTTTTTGTTTTGTGTTTTTTTGCTTGTAATCCCATGTATTCATGATTATTTTCTATGTTGTGGTTTTGTGTGATATGTAGCACGGTAGTACATTGTGAAGAAATTGCACAGAGCTGCAGTTCATTACCGTACTTTGCACACGTGCTTGAGCTAATGCTTCACGAGGTGCTCGAGGAAGAGGCAGTCAAGCGACCGCAGGGTGAGTTGGTGACGGTGGCAACTTTTTGTCTCGTTCTCTGTGCGAATGTGTATGCCCCTCATCAGTTTTGATTGCCATTCTACCAATGGCAGGTCTTGTTTCTCTGTGCTTTAATAGTCGTTTCTACAATGACAGGGCTTGCTGTGTTGTGCTTTGATTGTCGTTTGTGAACAGATGCACTACTGCCAGCCATCATTGCATTCCTGAAGCTGTTTCCACAGTACCTAGAGGTGGTGGGTAGGTGTGCTCGCAAGACTGAAGTCGCACTATGGAGGCATCTCTTCCAGTACGTCGGCAGTCCGGAGGAGCTATTCGCTGTAAGTCGGCATGTTGTTGTGCGCTGCTTGACGACGATATTGCTAGTACAGTGCTGTTGAATGCAATCCGACCAAGCAAGTCAATGCCACCCGTGCTGTGCAGTGCTAGACCTGCCAGCGCTGGGACATAAACTGGTGCAGGGTGCTGTCGTAAAAGTTGGTGAGAATATCAAAAATGACACCCTTGATTTTTTTGTTCACAAGTCACTGCAAAGTTTCTTTCCACTGGACTCGCAGCCAAAAATTTCGAGGGCTTCATTTTCGCCTACTTTTAAGTTTTTATGAAAGCTCTAATGTTCGTTTTCGCTGAAAGGTTGGTGGGGAAATCTTGCTCTACTTGGTGGTGGGAAGGCAAGCTGGCCGGCCTTATTAAAAAACCTATTGTTTGGATATAACTTGAGACATAGGGTCCAAAGGAAATGGACTCACACATACACAATTGGTATCGTCTTGGCATACCAGTAGTCGAAACATGTGTATTATCTTTGTTGCAGGAATGCCTGGCTCACAACCAACTGGAAATGGCTGCCTCCTATCTCATCATCATTCAGAGTATTGAAGCACCGAAAGTCAGCCGACAGGTATGTGCCCTTGCTACATGTGTTTCCCTGTTCAAGCTATGGAGTTTGAGGCTGGGATGGTGATTCGTGCCAGTGTGCGTGTGTGTTTTGTGTGTCTGTGTGTCTGTGTTTTGTGCGTGTTGTGTGTGTGTGTGTTTTTGCATGAGTGTGTGTGTGTGCGTGCGTGTATGTGTGTGGGGTGTGTGTGGGGGGGGGGGGGGGGGATGTGCATGTGTGAGTGCCCATGCGGTTGCTTGCTTTGTTGAGCATGCAGTGCTCACATTAAACTGTCCAACATCTTACAAATCCTGGGTACCAAACATCTTGCACTGTAATAATTATTCTTACATTCTATGGATATATAGGCGTCTGGTGTGCATGTCTGGTATTTAGTATTTACCCCTGGGCAACCAGGATGAATTTGATTGTGAAGTGTGGAGTGCCTTTTGGTACTCATGTGCTTGAATTGTTCATACACATTTGTACATGGCTTGAATCACTCAATCTGAGTTTCAACTTTTCTTGTCCTCCCTCCTTTATCTATTTGTGGATTGTGTGGTGTGTACAGCACGCAACACGCCTACTGAATTCATCGCTGGAGCAGAGGCTGTGGCCGGTGAGTGTGCAATGTGTCAACAACGATGTGTGTGCGTATGTGTGTGTACATGGGTGTGAGTGCATGTGTGTGAGTGCATGTTTGTTTGGGGACGTGCGTGTGTTTCTAGTATTTCCTCCGGCTGTGTACTGCCGGCATGTAGTTGTAGTACTAGACTGTAGTACACTGTTGCTCATTTGATAGCACAAGTACACAGCATAGGTAATACGTATGCTAACGTTCTGCCATCACTGTACTCCTGTCATGTCTACTGCAGCTGGCCAAGGATTTAGTTCGCTTCCTCAGGACAATAGGTAGGGCAGGCACACAAGTGTCGTTTGGTTGACGTTCTTGGGCTGTGCTTGTGATGTATCGTACTTGTGCGATTAGTGCCCTGTCTTGAATAGCGAGGCTAATGAAAAAATTTATAGCCCCCTGCTTGAATAGTGTCCCGGGCTTGTGATCAAGCACACGTGCATGTTTGGTGTTGTTTTGCTCGTGTTCTTGTCATGTCGTTGCTCTGGTGATGTGGCCAAAATCGCAGTTCTTGATGCTGGATGCTGGATGGCGTAAATAATTGTACCAGCATTGAAAAATAGTGCCTTCTCTTGAATACTAGTAGTGCCCTGTCTGTGATAGACTGGAAAATAATATTGCCCCCGGGGGCACTAATCGTGCAAGTGTGGTATATGTACAGTGCACTGCTCAATGGATCATGCCGCTTCATCTCCGATGAATTTGGCCTCTTCATTATTGAATGGGTTTGCAATTTCAGCCGAGCCTTGACGATTTACCAAGGATTTCTCCTGCCTTTACCTGTCTTCCTGGCACAAGTGCCACATCAACCAGGGCAACTTACACCCTGTTCTTGTTGTTGCTCTTGTTTTCATTCTTGTCGTCTCATCATGGAGCAGCAGCATCATCAGAGCCTGCAACACCGACAGCGTCCGTACCGCCCGTAAGCATTGCAACATCACCGGTGACCGCTGAACGCCGACCTCTGGGCAGGATGTCCTCTGCTGACTCTACTGGCAAGGACGAACCAGAGATGAACTTTGTCCGGTAAGGAGAAGTTGGGTCACTATCTAAACCTAGCTGACAGTAGCTGTACTATACTGTATCACACTGTTTGAGCGTGCCTGTGTATTCTTTGTGGATCTTTCATTGTTTTCACGTGCAAGTACATGTTCTTCAGTATACTTATCACCCATTGTCTCTGTGCGACACTCACCTGTTTTGAGCCGCCGCCTGTATGAAACAGTGTCCCATTGTTTAACGTGATCTCTATTTCGCAAGCACGTCCTTGCTAGATCAGTTGCTTTTTCCCCGCTCCATGTGTAGTGTTGTGGTGCGCCGTAAATGATTGCAGCATTTTATTTTCTGTGTGCTTACATGTGTGTGTGTTTGTATGTGTGTGTGTGTGTGTGTGCATGCGCGTGCACGTGGGTGCGGATGCGGGTGTTTGCATTGCGACACTTGGTCTTTTGTACAGCCCTGTGTTCACCACTGGCGATATCCAGTCTTCAAGAGAGGAGGTGAGCATTTGTCTGATCAATGCTGGCCGAATAGTGAGAAAAGCCACTTCAAGCTGTGTTGTGTGAGACACTGGGCAGTGCTAGATGCCATAACTGGTGTCTAGCCCTGCCCAGCCTCTCATGTACAAATAATAAATTATAATAGTGGTGATCAGTTCCTCAGCCTTGCAAGCTGTTGAATGGTGCAGTGCCAACGCAGTACTATTAATGGATGACAGGGAATGAAAAGGAGAAATGCCAGTGACTTTGTGGAAAGCGGATACTCCTTCCTTACCCACTGGCCCTGGCTATGGTGTGTTGTCTAGAATGCACCTCAAGTACAAGTGTTTGTCTGTTTATGTGTATATCCTCTGTGTGTGTGTGTGTGTGTGTGTGTGTGTGTGTGTGTGTGTGTGCGTGTGCGTGTGCGTGCTAAAATGCTTGCCTGACTGCACAGTACTTCATTGACGTGATTTTGGCACGGCATGCTCGCAAGATGCTGGCGGAGGGAAACCTGCGGGACTTGGGTAGCTTCGTTGCCTATCTGGACTTTCCCTTGAAATCGTGGCTAACGAAGGAAAGGTATGCTATTATCGGCACATGAACAATTTTGTGTAAGCTTCACGTGGTGGTCTGTCATCTAGTTTGTGAGCAATAGTTTTGTCCCACGGTGTGGCAAGAGTTGGCTCGGTAGGATGGGCTTCGGGAAATACTTCAAAGTAGTTATGGTCGAATTGAAAACCCATCGGCGTATGCTGCACGGCTGAAACTCGCTGTGCATTGACCACTTATTGTGATGCGCAGTACGAAATGTCCATGCTACAGTATACCGGTGTTTTCCTCACTCCGAAGCCAAGCAAGTATCTCGCCTGTTTTTTTGGCTTATCCCTGCACTTCTTAATGTGCACTATCCCTGCGCTGCTGCATAATGCCTACATTATTTTGCAGGTTGTTTTTTAGGTTGTTTTTTAAAAATGTCTTGTACCTGTCGACATGTCCCCTCCGGTCAGCACTGGTAGTTCTTGTTGGGTATTGGAAATAGCGCTTGCCTATCTTTGTGCACGCGTAGCTATTGACCAGCAGTGGTATCAATGAGAGCAGTTGGATGATGGTATCGTTGGTTGAATTTTCACTGTTGCGGTTCGTGATTGTCTGTCTGTTTGCGCCTTGGGGATGCTTTTCTTTTCTTCCACGGCCTTTGCAGGTATCGAGTCGGGAAGGTTGAGAACTTCATGGCCTGCTTCCAGATGATTCACACTGACTTTGAATGGCCACTTCCCAACAGTGAGTGCAACTATCAGACGTGTATTTTTACAACAAGTAAACTAACTGAAGGACTACTGTTGACGATTCTCTGTAGTGTAACTATAATAATTGATGGCGGAATGTGTGTTTCTACATGCTTGAATAGGCTTGCAGTGCTATGCACACTGGCTAAAGATAGATGTGTACAGGTGCTGTATGCACCATGTGTTATGCCATGCTTGTATAGGCTTGCAGTGCTCCTAAAAAAAGAGAGGTGAATGTAGGAGTATCCAGGTGCTATGTGTCATGTGTTATTTGTCTGTACGTGTGTGCTTGTGCATCTGCCATGTTTTAGCTCCTGTTGAGTTCTCTGCGGTACGGCGCTCGGCTGCTGATGTCCAGTTGCTATCTCCACGCTTGTCATGCGGCTCTACAAGCAGTACGACTGCATCGGACTCGGCAAACGCCGCCTCTGCAAGCGCAGCTGCTGCCTCCATGTCGCCTCCAGACCAGTTCAAGACCAATCCGCCGTGGAGTAGTCTTGTGGCGTTGTCGTCAGCACTGCGTGACAACATCAGCATCAAAAGTGCCTCATCGCTGGATGCACTGAGTGATTTTGGTGGCGATGATGACACAATGGATGAAAGCGTGCTGGCAGAGATGAATGAGTCGCGTAAGGGCTCTCATCAGTCCGAACAAGAACTGAGGTGAGCCCATGCTGCAAATTGCAATACATGTGTTCTATTTTCTTGATCTTGTACAGATTTTATGTGCCACACACACACACACACACACACACACACACACTCACACACACACACACACACACACACACACACACACACACACACACGTACAGACGCAGACACGCACACGCACACACATGTCGAGCCTCTGCCTCGCCGGCGTAGTCTCCTTTGCGTAACATTTCGTTTCTTCTGTGTTTGGACTGTTCAGATACATGATGACGGTGATGCTGTCAGCAGGCTGCTTCGACTGGGCAATTCTCATAGCCGTGGTGTTGCGTGATAGCAGTCGAGTAAATACTGTACTACATGTGGCACGTGATGTGGCCACAAGCTTGACGGAATTCTCCGAGCGCAAGGAAGCGGCCTCAATGGCGGAGCGCATTCTTGTCGGCTTGGATTTGCTCTGCAAGTGGGCCCAGGATCGCTGGTGAGCGTCAGTTGAGTTGGGAATGTAGGCATGCTTTCAAGCTGTGCCAATCTGCTGATAAGAGGCAGTGACCTAGTTAGGAGAGAGTCATGGCTGCTCGCTAAAACGGGCCTGAAAGGAATGCTAGAGGCACGGATGATGCTTTCCAGCTGCCATGATGTGGAGCTAGTGCTCACAGTACCATTGCCTTGCACTGGACTTACTGTAGTGCTGGGTACTTTGAGTAGTATTAGCGCAAGCATTCGAGTACTACATGTCCTTGCAATCAGTTTCTGGGATTCCTTCTGCAGTACTACTACTTGATGTGCTTAGCGCAACCGCCATCACTACTGTTGAAGTCATGATGCTGTGAATTTTGCTTTTTTGCGTGTGCACTCTGTTCTGCTGCAGTGAGTTCTTCCTGCCCTTCTTGAACAGTGTCACGGACCAGTGGTCCTCCATCGTCCAGGCTCAAGTGGACGTTATGGAGAACCAAACGACGCCGACACAGGATGGCTGTGTGTTTGCCATCCCCTCGAGTTCTTCAACTGATGGTGCGCCTGCCGATGGTACTGCGCCGGGAAGTGATGAAGCTGCGACTGCGCGTCGTGATTCTTCAGTAAGTTTCATTGTCTGTGTGACAGATATTCTTGTTCATATTGAGCAGGCGAATTCTATGCTCGGACCTGCACATGCTGTGGTAGGGAGCATTTGGCTGCACGGCTGTTCTAATAGGTATGGGATGTTTGGCAATGCCTTTATGGACTGGTCATGTTTGAATGAGGGCGTATGCCGCTCGGTTTTGACCAACTGTTCTGTGTGTTGCTGCTGTTGCTTCCAGACGCTACGGACGCCGTCTTCGGGCTCTCGTGGAAGCGCATCTTCCGATGGTGGAGGTTGCGTCATATCTTGAAGGGAATGAAACGACACGCTTTCTTGTCACCGCAGTGCCCGACCCTGTTCTACTGTTCTGTTTTGCACCTGACTGCTAGCTGTTAGCTGTGCACGTGTGTGTGCGTGCGTCCTTCGGGTCTTGTCAAAGTCATCGCCAACTGCCAGATGAGGTACACAAACAGACACACACACTCTCTCTGTCACACATACACACTGTCTGGTAAGATGTGATATGCACAACTCTGAGCTTGCCAGGTGTCTCCTGAGAAGGGTCAGGGTACCTTTAGAGCGAGCAACCTCTTCAGTTGGTATGTTGTTGGGAACTGGAAGCTGATATTTATTTTTAGGCGCCAGTGGCAACTTGCCTTGGTCTCTCTCTCTCTATCTTTCTCTCTATCTCCTAAATATTTCCCTTTTATTATTCAACCTTCGCTTAGAATGTACCACTAGTACCTCCCTATCAAACTAGGGTTTAGCTGCACTTGCTTTCACTCATAGTTGTACCCTGTAAGGTATGTCGCCCTAACATGGCTTCAGTGTGTTCATGGCCGTCAGTGAATCTGTCCCCGGCCTGCAACCGTCAAGTCAAGATGCACTGCGCGCGCACACACACACAGACACGCCTAGTTGTTCGTCTGTGTGCCGCCAGGACTGCTCTTCTCCACCTAGCTCTAGTCATGTGATACCATAATTTGAAACTGCCAATGTTATAGTCTCACTTGTGTGGCAGCCTGCTGTCGATTACACGACACCAACAGCAACACATCCATCGATCAGCCATTCATCATCATCATCTTCATCATCAGCAACATCATCAGCAACATCGTATTCCACGAATATCATTATTATTTTACATTTCCTTGAATACATACATCATCATGATCATATCATCATCCATTGCCAAACGAATGAAAGTCATGAAAGTCAGCAGTCATGATAATGTTATCCTGCCACGTAACTACATGTACAGTACGTATCGTTAAAAGCAGGAGTGCTTGATAAACGAATTTTGATTCTGAAGTTATTTCCAATATCCTATGCATGATGGGCCCAGAGGCGGGAAGATCATCACACACGTAACCCAGTAATCATGGTAATAGTGCATGTGGCTGTTCTGCGTATAGTCCCGTAGGCTTGTCCGGTGGCGCTGTGTTACCTCGGTTGCCTGACCACGATAGTTGCACTTGCAGCACTATAACGCAACGCGGGTCGGATTATTGTTTTGCGTATGTACAGGGCACAGATGCTACTACTATGGGCAAGAGTTCATACCCCCCCCCGGGTTATGAACTCTTGCTATGGGCGATATCAAGAGTACATAAAGTTTATGTACTCTTGGCGATATGTTTTGCACTACTGTACGCTGGCGTGTTTTGCTACCCAGTCCATTGCTCTTAGGACCGACATATTCTATGTCGCAGCTGCTGCTTTCTCCTCTTGCAAATGAATTCCAGTTTCATGATTAGGGCAGCGTCATGCACCGATCCACAGCCCAGTATGCTCAGGATGCGGTGCTAGCCGACTCACAATGTCTATGTCTGCATTTCATTGAGTTGTGCCGCGTGCCGGTATATGTTGCTGTGACAGCAGCAGCAGCAGCAGAAGGAAGAGTCCATGGTTAACACCAACATTTGATACAGTACTTCAGTGGTGTGTCTTGCGCACACACACACACACACACGCACGCGCACACACACACCCAAACACACACACACACACACACACACACATATACACACACCCAAACACACACACACACACACACACACACACCATTATTTCCTCCACACCTCTTCCACGTGCAAATGTCGACTACAGCTCGACCCCAGGGGCGCTGCAATTGCTCGGACTCAGATAGAGACAGTGCAAGCACACTACAAGACTCACTTGATTATGATTGTACTATAATTGTAGTACTCTCCGGGAATACTCAATAATGCTGACACTGGTTATGGTTGACAATGAAGACGAATGGGCAAATATCAACAAGGTAAGCCTAAAAACATTTCAGAAATGGAAAATATCTGGCAAAAGTCAGACCACTAAAAAACCATGAAAATATATAGAATAAAATTGTATGCTGCCTACAGGGTGGAGGGAATACAAAACAGCAATAGCATCAGCATGTGCGGAAGCGACAGGTAGCGAACGCAACACAGTGTGTTTCATAATATTATTAGGTCGGTGATCAGTGTGGCTCTTGACACAGCCCTCTAGAACGGTGGAATGGCATGAATTGGCATTTGTGACTGTATACGGCTGGCTGAAGATAAAGTCAGTACTACTGCTCCGTCACAGGTTAGGAGGAAGAGAACAGAACATTAAATAGAATTTTATAAATCGCATACGATTATGAGAATGGAATTTTTTTGAAATATATTGACACGGGTTCTTGATGTATTCCTAGTTTTGTGCTTCGGCGGTCATAGTCGATGTGTTTGTGGCACTAGTGGCAACATGGCTGCGTATCGTCAGCGCAGCTCTGATACCGGTTTCTACAGCCGCCTGCACGCTGCTGGGCTGACGATGCGTCGCCTCTCCGGCGAATAGCAAGCGCTCGCCGTACACGGGCTCGGACAGGCATGGGCGCAGCGCTACACCACCCACGGCTGGTGCGCTGTAGCCGCCGAGGACGTGCGGATGTCTCGACCAGTTGCACACCAGAGCGGACTGAAAACAGCCACTGGCAGCCTTATCCTGCCTTGTACATGTTCTGAACACACAGATAAACAAGTACAAGCAATTGGTTGAGGACTACATAAAGTATCACTGCCTAGAGTTTGAGATACAGGGCAGAATGAGGTTGGGTCGTGAGCCCAGCACACAGCTTTGTCAGCAATAAAGCTGCGAGGTACGTCCAAACCACGAGAGATCAGCAGCAAATCATTTTAAATACTGATAGCCATGTACAGTGGAGCATAGGCTATCTAAACCCTTTGGGGCACGCACATGCTGTTCAGCAGGGGTCCGGATAGGGGAATTATTCAGATAATGTGAGAGTCACAGATACACATGCAGTATCTCTTAAACTGTCACCAACAAATCCTATAATGGATTTGCTTTCTGGCTAAAGGATTTTGATAAACAACCCGTTACAAACCTATACAAATTGATGAAATAAGTTTCATGAGGTGTTTGGAACTGTTTTCGATGCACTCCTATAAGTCAAGCGATAATACTGGCACTCTTGAAAACTTCTGAAGAGAGCCAACTGATGCTGCCCTAACACCTTACAATACAATTTAGAATTTAGGTACAGAACAGCGGTGTGCGTTGCATTCTCACCTGAAAGCGTCGTCGAGCTGTTTCAACACCTTCCGCACCAATGTCGGAGCTTCCAACTTGCTTGCCGCCTCTGCTACCTCTGCCGTAGCAAACCCACACAGCAACTGTACATCACGATCCTCATCACTATCCACATCGCTCTCAACCAGACAAGTAAAGCCATTCAGTCCTTGGACATCGGAGCGTTTCACCTTCTCCACGAAACCATCTTTGTTAGTTAGATCCAGTAAGTCGGCGTAGGGAAAATCGAGGGACGGTGTGTCGTTGAGCTGGGTGCTCAGCTTCGACCGACGGTTGCACCAGTATTGGCTGAGAACACCCGTGTTGCAAACCCAGTTGGTCAGCGTGTCCGGCCAGAAGTGACGTGTGAATCGCATGCATACCTTGACAGCCGAATACATCGGCAGTGAGTCGACGGCGTGCTGCACGCGATCGGGCAATGGCGGACGGAAGCTGATGGTGCGCTTCTGCAGCACGGTCAGTGGTACAGTGACCACAACGTGATCGCACTCCAGACGCTCCACCTTGTTACCTGCTGCGCGCCGCAAGTGCACCACCATGCCTGCTGGGCGACAGCACAAGAAACATGCACAATCACACAGACTGCAGAATGCCCGCATCGTGCGAAACATACAGACTCAGCGTGCATTGAACCATTCTACAGGACTGTACGAGCCTACAAACCTGGCACACACAAGATAGATAGATAGATTTTGGACTTTGGAGTGGCCGACCCGAGACAGGACGCAGAGAGCATGATGCCTCAGGGAAAAAACCCCACAGAAACATACACGTATACTGCTCAGCTAAAGGGAGTTTGAAGCAGAACACTGCAGGGATGAATTTATCCTGTATCGCATCGCAGTTTGCGATGCAAAATCAATCTACTGCTACTCAAAAGTCAACATGACTCGCAGAAAACTGCGATTCATACAGACTATCCATGCCTAGCCTGCGCTGTCAAGTAACATGCATACAGTGCAGTGTATGTGGTGCAGGCACTCAATCTGCGTGCACATGCATGATTCAGTCGTTTTTTTTTTGCAAATGGGCCTTCAGGCATCACTCTCAAGAAGGACAATGTGGTAAACACCCAACCTTCAAAGAAAAATGCTAATCAAAATCAAAGAGTGCTACACAATTGTGATTTTGTATGGCAGAAGCTGCTATGCAAAAATATGACAATAAATTCATCCCTGCTGGATGACAGGGCCTGAGGGGAACATGCTGATATCCTGTGCTACACCACCGCACTGCAGAGAAACATGATGATAATCACACATTCCAGTGACTCACCAGGGTGGTCTGCTTCAGACTCAGCCACCTCCACGGCGAACACGGGCGAAGAGACCTGTATTCTCCCGCCACCTTTATGAATTGTCGTTAGATAGTGCTTTAGCAAGACGTAATACGAGCCTACAAACCTGGCACACACAAGATAGATAGATAGAGAGATAGAGAGAGAGAGAAAGTATCAAGTCAAGCAGGATTCGTAAATTGCAATATGTGTAAATGTGTTTCAACCTGGCACCAACAGGTTTTCCCATGCAAAGTACGAAAAATATTCCGCCAAAGTGCATTTACTTTGAATACTGGTGCTGTTGCAAAGCAGAGCAGGTCATATTTACAAGCTGATGCAGTTCACTGAACCAGCGAATATTTGATGCAGTTTAAAAGAACTACTAGTATGTGGCAGAGAGGTGCAGGTGAGAAAGAACAACTCTCAATAATGAGTCAATATCCTACCTGGAGTCAATCTCTCCATACGGCCAGTCCTCGCAGAAGTCGGCTAGTCCAAAGTCATTCCAACAACCGCCGTCGGTCTGCGCTATAACACACTTCAGTATGGATCTTGCGCCTTCACTCACGCCAAGCTCATCACACTTATCGGCGATGGCGCAGTCTTCGGCCTCTTCAAACTCACTGTCCAAGTCACAACTTGATGTGCATTCGCCCGGGCATTGCCGCTGTATTCGCCGCTTGATTGTCTGGTTAGCACGCCAGCCGCACTCCTGGATCTCTTCCCATGCCTTGAGCGCTTCGGCCATGACCTCGTGTCTGGTGTCCCACAGAGGTACGAGCTCGTTGTCGAGGAACACGCCGTAGTCATCACGTTTTCTTATTACATTTCGTCCAATCTGTGCAGCCGGGGTCGGGGATAGATAGGATTAAGCATGCAAAAACACAGAACACGTCATCAAATACAAATGTGGCAATGCACCCAGCTACCCAGATATATACAGGCAAAGGCAGAGAACTATTACAGTCATGGCTTGAGACGATGCAGCACAGGTGACTACATGTATACACCGCCATATACAAACACACAGACACATACACCTCCACCTCCATATACATATGTCATGTACATACAGTATACATACTTCAAGTACATACATACACCTACACACACCCACACACACAGGCATACACAATGTATACACAGTTGCGTGCAGTGTATCGATATATACAAGGACTTCGGCAACACACAAACGGTCCCATACATGTAACGATATTCATACAGTATTAACCAGAAACATCAACACAAGCAGCACATGTTGTAGAAATTCGACAAGTACCAACAAACTACACAGATAATTATGACCCTGGGCAGTGAACAGTAAGAACACACAGCAAGAGCACACACGTACAACGACTACGAAGCTCGTATACCACACTGGTGACTACAAGCTCACAGCACACTGTAACAGGAAACTATTGATCTTTGCCGCACACTGTCATTCCCGAGCTTTGCCTTGAGTGAAATGAGGCTAGCATGTAGCCTCATCGTAACAAGCCCTCGCCCCACCCTTTCTTCGATTCCAAAGCCATTCCAGAGGTTCTTTTCACAGGACAGTACATGTACTGCAAGTACCGTATTTTACCGGTTATAAGTCGACCCCCCTATCTGGAGGTCTCAATTCTGCGTTTTAAAGTTTTCACCCAAAGAAGCACTACTAACCACCTCCTGCTAATAACACATCAACAAATCATGTAAACATTCCTCATTGGAGGATATAACGTCCCAATCCTTGAAAAAGGCCAATAAACTGGGAAAAATGTGTAAACATGGTGCACTCGTGCATGCAGTGCAGGTCATTTTTTTGTAAGATTCTGATAGTTCCCGGTTATAAGTCGAATCCCGGTTGTAAGTCGACCCCCACCCTTTCTCCTTCTATTTTAAGCCGTAAAAGGTCGACTTACAACCGGAAAAATACGGTACATTTTTTTCACAATCACCATAACAGACGTTTTGCTAGCCCATTCATTTAGCACTCACTTTCCCTTTATAACGGCAGTGTTCTACGCTAGACATCAGTGCCATCCGCCCGTGCCTTCATTTTTGCACACTGATTTTGGGGTATTGATTTCACCTAGCTACTTTACTGTATAACTCCATGCCCAACCTACGTACATGCTAGCAAGAAGGATTATTTAGCACTCTTTGTAGTCGTATTATTAAATTAAAGGAGTTGTGTTTTTTTTCTTTTCTTTGTCGAACCGGAAAAAAGTCTGTATAATTATAGTGTTCGCGACAAAAGCAGGCTCCCCGTCCGAGGAGGAAAAGAAGAAGAAAAGCGCATACGCACTACGAAGTCAAGCGACACATCCGTACAGCTCGGAATCATGTGTCATGGCAAGAGGCAGATGGAGCTACGGTGCTGGCAGTGGAGGTGCAGTGGGACGACGGGGAGGTGACGATGGAATTGACCAGTGACATTGGCTTGCACAGGCACTCTCATGGATTTGTGCACATTTAGTGGCATTAGAGTGTTAGGATTAGAGTGGCCAGTTGACAGGACATCATATCCCACCTGATAATTAACGGCACAGCCGTTTTTTCCCTACAAAAGAGGAAAGTTGGCAACAACAAGGAGCAGAGACCAGCAGAGGTTAGAACGTCCGTACATGTGTAACTAGTACACTGATCATAGCAAGAGAAAGAGCAAGAGCTTGCTAGTCCACACATGGTTTGGCTAACTAGTAACTACCGTTGTGAAATAGCGCTTTCACACACACACTCATGGCATGTGCTTGTACAGTAAATCGTGTCAAGGCGGCCATCTGTCCTAGAGAACCACTGCAACCAGGACTAAGGGATCTTATTTTCAGTCAAGTGACCCTGGCCTGGACAAGGGGACGACCTGTACACGGTGGCCGCATTTGGAAGGTCCCTTGCTTGGTCCCTTGCTTGGTCCCTTGCTTGGTCCCTTGCTTGGTCCCTTGCTTGGTCCCTTGCTTGGTCCCTTGCTTGGTCCCTTGCTTGGTCCCTTGCTTGGTCCCTTGCTTGGTCCCTTGCTTGGTCCCTTGCTTGGTCCCTTGCTTAGTCCCTTGCTTAGTCCCTTGCTTGGTCCCTTGCTTGGTCCCTTGCTTAGTCCCTTGCTTAGTCCCTTGCTTGGTCCCTTGCTTGGTCCCTTGCTTAGTCCCTTGCTTGGTCCCTTGCTTGGTCCCTTGCTTGGTCCCTTGCTTGGTCCCTTGCTTGGTCCCTTGCTTGGTCCCTTGCTTGGTCCCTTGCTTGGTCCCTTGCTTGGTCCCTTGCTTAGTCCCTTGCTTGGTCCCTTGCTTGGTCCCTTGCTTGGTCCCTTGCTTGGTCCCTTGCTTGGTCCCTTGCTTGGTCCCTTGCTTGGTCCCTTGCTTGGTCCCTTGCTTGGTCCCTTGCTTGGTCCCTTGCTTGGTCCCTTGCTTGGTCCCTTGCTTGGTCCCTTGCTTGGTCCCTTGCTTGGTCCCTTGCTTGGTCCCTTGCTTGGTCCCTTGCTTGGTCCCTTGCTTGGTCCCTTGCTTGGTCCCTTGCTTGGTCCCTTGCTTGGTCCCTTGCTTGGTCCCTTGCTTGGTCCCTTGCTTGGTCCCTTGCTTGGTCCCTTGCTTGGTCCCTTGCTTGGTCCCTTGCTTGGTCCCTTGCTTGGTCCCTTGCTTGGTCCCTTGCTTGGTCCCTTGCTTGGTCCCTTGCTTGGTCCCTTGCTTGGTCCCTTGCTTGGTCCCTTGCTTGGTCCCTTGCTTGGTCCCTTGCTTGGTCCCTTGCTTGGTCCCTTGCTTGGTCCCTTGCTTGGTCCCTTGCTTGGTCCCTTGCTTGGTCCCTTGCTTGGTCCCTTGCTTGGTCCCTTGCTTGGTCCCTTGCTTGGTCGGCTTTGACAGGTTTTACTGTACATGTAGATACGCACATGTCGTCTGATTTCTAATTGGTTGTAACATCTGCACCAGTCATAGCCATCAACCAAATAGGCAGGTGCGAAAGCGAACACAGAAGTTGGGCAGGGGCGACATGAAAGCTGTGCAGTGCAGCGCAGTGCAGGGTTACGTACCGCCAGTGTTTCCCAGTCGTGTTCCTTCGCCATTGTCATTAGGATGGAGTTCTCTCCGTGAATGAACTCGCCACCCATGTCGATAGGTCCAATGTCACTCCATTGGTGATCCACGCGCACTCGACCACCTGTTGTTGGAAAGCCAGACAAGGGGGCAGCACAAACAAATCGATGCAACAACTGAACATGGCTTACTCTGCACCCCACACCGGGATGTGCAACCTCCATACGGGTTCCTGTGCAAGTCCTTGGATTTCCAAAAGGACCAGGACAATGCCAGAATCGTGTGCTGATAAGAGTTATTGCCACAGGACACAACCCACCTGTAGCACATGTCAGCTGCTGGTCTGGAAGCCTACGATATTGCAGGCTGCTGCCGCCAAAGCCACAAGCTGCTTCAATACATGTGTGGTGGAAAACTGAAAAGTGCACTGCAATCCACAAGACCGGTGTACAGGCACAAGACCGGTCGGTGTACAGTCACAAGACCCGTGCACAGTATGTATATGCAGCATGCAGGGAAGGCACCGGACGGACAGGTGCTAACCTTTGAACTACTAATTAATAGGACAATTGATCACCAACTCGACAGCATGGAAGAGTGTGTGGAAGATACCCTGCACAGCTGCGTGTTCTATTGCAGCCCACATTCAATACACACTACCAATTTACCACCCTAGTACACATTACATATAAACAGTTAATGGTTGCCAGGGAAGAGATTAGCAATGCTGTGTGGAGCACTGGGGCAGGGCCGATTCATACCCGCTCGCATACAGCGTCGCTTGAGTCAGCAGGTTAAGACCACGCTCATGATCGCAGGTTGTATAGACCATGGATTACGTAACATTTCCAAATCTGGGGTTGAAACGCACATCGTTTCGGGTACTATGATCTCCCTGGCATAGATGCACGTCTTGTGTATCGCTGTGAGGCTATTAGACACTATAAGTTACACTGCAGGTGGCGGATAATCATGTAGTACCCATACAACCAACACTTCTTTCTTTGGGCCTCAATATCTGAGGAGGGCATAGCAAAGTAGTAATATTATTGATCTACATTCTTGACTAATTTGAGGGAAAGACACAAACGGGAAAAGTCTGAAGAAAAAATTGACTGTCACCACCAGGACTCGAACCAGGATCTACATTCATAAATTTCTTTTCCAGACCTCAAAGTAAAAGGTATCTGGGTCCACTGGGCAACAGTTTATTCTAAATCTCTCCAGGTTTTTTCGAAGTGATGCATAATGGTTGTCGAACATATTCACTTTGTGATACACAGACAGACAGACACATACACACACACACAGACGCACACACCGATGGGTGCACGTTCCGAGCTACGGATTCGCCGAGCTGTGGTCGCATCCTCATGGACAGCAAAACATTAAGTTAACGTACTGTACTGTAGGACTGTATCATGACTGTACATGACATTGTATCAAACTCAGCACACAACGTCGACAAACAATTTCAGATCTTGAGTAAGTTGAGAAAAGTTCTTAAAGGGGAAGTTAAGGCTAAAATCAAAATTTCACCAGTTGTAGTCTTCGGGGTGCTGAGTCGAATGGTCTTGGTCCGAGAAAGCTGAGACGCTCCCTTCCTACTTGAATCCCAATCGAACTCGCGCACTTCCACCGAAACTGGGTGACTGCGCCCTACTAGATGGGGATTTGTATGCAAAATGTCACTAAAAGCGCCTTTCGTTCTTATAAAAGCACGGATGACCGCGATTGGCCCATATGTTGGGCCAAGGTTCAACTCGAGTTCACCTCGAGTGACAGGACTACACCCAAAAAAGGTCAAACAGGCTAGTAAGTTGTACCCTGCAGGCACGGTGACCAGGTGACTGGTGTACGCAGGAGCACGTGACTGCTTGTTCAATCATGTTCGATTGGGAATAAAGGAGGAACGCTGCATCGCAGCCTTTTCGGACCAAAACCAGTCGACTCAGCGTCCAAAAGACTACAACATATGGGCCAATCGCGGTCATCCGTGCTTTTATAAGAACGAAATGGCGCTTTTAGTGACATTTTGCATACAAATCCCCATCTAGTAGGGCGCAGTCACCCAGTTTCGGTGGAAGTGCGCGAGTTCGATTGGGATTCAAGTAGGAAGGGAGCGTCTCAGCTTCCTCGGACCACGACCATTCGCCTCAGCACCCCGAAGACTACAACTGGTGAAATTTTGATTTTAGCCTTAACTTCCTCTTTAAGATTTTCAAAATCTTTTAGAACCCCAATACAAGAGTCATTCAGTTTCCCCATTTGTCATGATGACCTGCACGCATGTGACAGCCAAGCGTCATAAAATCTTTCCCAAAACTACAAAGGGGAAAACGTATAACCACACTCGTAAGTAGTCATGGTTGAGCAGAACTGGCAGGCCAAGTCTGCAATGCAGGAGACACTCACCCACATACGAGGAAGCCTCCACGATCGTCACATCGAAGTTAGCAGCGGAATCACTCTCTTCTACAAGTTTTGCCGCCGTGGCAAGGCCAGACATACCAGCGCCCACCACTACGACTCGTGTCGGAGGCATCCTTGACCTTCTGGACCTGGCTTCAAAATCTTTAATCCTTTCCAAGTTACAGATGTGTGAAGTTTGGCAAGAGAAGCAAGGAACACCTTGCTGAAGTAACAAAAAAGTTTTTGGTCTTACTGCTTGAATAGCTCCAATTATAGTTTCTGGAGTGCCACCAACGCATTTAGCCACGGCCGCAGCATAGAGCGAGCTGCGAATTACGGAAGTGCTTTTCACTCAGCCTAAACATTTGGTTGCACCCATTCGGGGCCGATGCACTTCAACTTTTCAAGAGCAGCTGACACCTCGTGCACAGGGAACATGTACTGTTGAATCAACTCAATCAAACTCAAGTCTTTGGCAGGGAACCATAGTCCATACCGAACACATGTGTCGGAGCTGCCTGATCAAAAGCCGGCCGACTTTCTCATCGGCGGAGGTGTAATGACGCACCATTACAAACAAAGTTTACCTGACGAACTGTAGTTTGGCACACGGCCAGTGCAGTGGCCAGGTGATCCATGGCTTGGCTTGCACAGTTACTACACACTTGCAGCTTGGCCGAAAGGCTTCAAACTCAAACTTCAAAGCAGTGTTTTTTTTGTGTTATTGTGTAGATCTACAGTGCATGCAAAGCATGATGCCCCTACAATGACTATGTAGGCCGGCCATGGGGGTGTGCGAGAGGTGTGTTTTGATCGTCTACTACTAGTACTAGTACTATACAGTATGTCTTTTGCACCAGTCTTCACCGCGCTATATACCCAGATGCAGAGGAACACCCGAAAACGCGTAAACTGTCTCCCTCGACTCACCCTGCCACTGAAACTTGGCGCTTGCCTTTCGACTTCGTCTGCATGGAAAGAAGAAGGACAACATGTTACGAGTTAAGACTAACTGTCCACCAACGTAACCAGATCTTATACAGTGTGACTGTCGCACTCGCTGACTGTAAAGATCTGGTTACGTTTATAAAATTGTTTGTTATTATTTTGATTACCAAGAGATAATCTTGACTCTACTACAAATATTGTAAGTGACTGTTTTGAAAAGCTAGTAGATAGCTCTCGAGCTCCGGCAAGCTACTTGTAATTGTAGGCTGTATCACTGTCAGTTTACGCACCATGCGTACATACCTACACTGTACTACAGCGTGCAAGCGTGACCATGGTGATCGACGAGCCATATTTGTTTTTGTTTTTGCGTGAGGTATTTTTAAGAACACGAAACGTATTACAGTATTATTATTAAAGAAAAAGCGGCCCAAAACTAGGCCCTAGCCCTAGGCCCTAGGCCCTGCCGGCTATCAGTATGTGGACTTACGGGGGTCGCCATGGCAAATAATAATAAAAAAACAATGAAAATCAATCACAGACAGGAAGCTATCTCAGGGCAAGTTTATGAGATCAGATGACACGGTCATTGACCGCTACGGAGCCAATGATTCCGCTACTCGGTTGCGCCGAGCACGTTGATCCACAGATCGACCACGGTGGCCTTGGAGGCTGGCGTTAGCTGAACGCACCAGCGAGAAGGAGAGTTTGGATGGGATCCAGGGCCAGGCCATCGTAACAGAGAAGGGCTCCCGCAGGCTTCCGCTTGTCGGACAGGACTCCAAGCCGTTTCAGGAATGCTGACGCAGCTTTTCCGCAACCTCCGGTGGCACTGAAGACGAGGGGCAAGAAGGAGGCCTGCTCAACCTCTCGCACCCAGTCCTCATATGCCCGCCTCTTCTCTTGCTCATGCCTGGAGTAGGTCGACACGACTCGAGGGAAGAGGCTTGGTTCGAACGAGCATGTGGCCCAGGTTGAACACCCGGACATCGCCTGAGGAATGTCCGCTCGAACTACTACCCCAAACCCCGACGCTGCTACGTCCAGGCGGGCTCCATTGGCATTGGTGCATATGGCTGACCGGTACCGAAGTTGTTCTCCACTCAATGGTTGTAAAGGAGGTCACGTCGATGGCAACCTCGCGAAGCATTGCGGCGGTGACGTCACGAATCTCATTGTGGCGTAGAGCAGGATAGCCGCCGGTGGGACATGGCATACACTGTTACACAGCATCAAAGTTCTTGCCACACACATACACGACGTAGGGAGGCAGAGCGGAGTCCAGTCATACCGAAGGCATAACGCATCCCGGAAGGCACCTTTGTGGAGGGTGAATCCATGCTGGCCGGGAGTGGGTGACAGGTGAGCCACTGAGCTGGAAGCATCTCTTTCCTCAGCAAACTCGACAGTCCGCTATGTGGTGACTTTGGCCTCGACATATTGCTGGCAGTATGCTGTTGTGCCAAGGACTGCCCCGAGGTGGCGGCACTGAGCCGTCGCTGCGGATCTCGTTACTAGTACTTCAAGTATCAGTGTCCTGAAAGAGGTCGATGGCAAGGTCCATGTACGTGTATGTGGCCAGGCTTCACAAGCAGAATGGACTTGGAGGCGTTGATGACGTAGCCATAATGCCAGTCCATGGTCTTCCAAGGTGGCCCACCAATGCCCGCTACGCAGCTTCGCAGGCTGTGGAGCCATCTGCATACCAGCACTGTAGGGCATCGCTGGACGCAGCACGGCGGATGAGTGGCCGTGACTGGCAGGGTGCCAAGAGCATAATATATCGGCATCGCAAGGGGATCGCCCTGTGTCATGCCTTCATGCGACATGATGACCTGGCCACCCACAAACAGATGAGAGGGCAATCGAGCGGTACATGTTCAGCACAGCGGAAGCAAACTCTGGGCAGAGGTGCCTGATGTTGCAGATGACGGTACGCTGATCTGTTGCGCCGAATAAAGGCATTGCTCGCATCGGCAAACAGCATGCCTTCCACGTCGTCGTCGTTGGTGAATGCCTCCCGCATGGCATGGATGGCTGCTTCCAATCCAGATTCCTGGCCTCCACAAAGCTGCAAGCAGCCAACAGCTTGCTCAATGGCAGGTCCGACGACTTTCAGGATGGCTTTGCCGATGATGCGTCTGACTACCTCACCAATCCCTACGAACACCCTGTTGCTTGTCGAGAGGGATCAAGTGGCTGGCAGCATAGACCTACGCATCCAGGCTCTCACTGTCTCAGGATCCACATCAGCAGTACATAATTCCCAGTACATACCCCCCTATTGCCTAGCTCTTGATCCGGGTCTACGTATAATATAATCTTTATCAAGTTTCAGGATTACCCAAAGGCTGACGCCTATCGGGGGGTCGGATCTCGTATGATACCAAGAGTACATAACCCCGGGCCGCGGGGTTAACGGGCTATCATGGTTATCAAGAGTACATAACGGTTTATATACTCTTGTGGTTATGTCACATGATTAGGTCTACTCTTGATAATAGACATGATAATTATATGGTTAGCATTTTACCGTTCACGCTATTTCGACGGTCGGCCTACACCGTTTTTTGTGTGTGAAGACATGGCATTTTACAGTTCACGCGCTAGATCCAACTGCACTCGTACCTCAAACCCAAAATACCGTCGGTTTGGTACCGTTTCGACGATAGAAAGCTCTTTTTAGCCGGAGAACGAAACGGTAAGATTCTAACCAGGGAGTAGTACAATATTGTACTACTCCCTGATTCTAACTAGCCGCGCCGCCAAGGGGGTCGGATTTCAGTTGCCAGCACTGTAGTAAAACCAAGAGTACATAACCCCCTGGGGGGTTATGTAAAACGTTTTTTACACGAGAACGAAACGGAACGAAAACGATTGAAAAACACTTTGAAGCAGGGAGTAGTAAAATACAGTGTATTTTACTACTCCCTGCTTTGAAGGCCGTTTTTCGTTTGAAACGTTTTTGGTGTAAACGCTCCTATCAAAATCTGTGGAAGCGTATTCTTTTGAAAACGTTTTTCAATCGTTGTCGTGTAAACGATCGTATACGTACCGGTATACGATCGAGGCCTCAGAAGCCGAACTGCTAAAAATAACCGTGTCTCGAAAACACATCAAAAACATACACGCCGCGCCGACCGTCGAAAATAGCGTGAACGGTAAAAATACTTATTGCATGTCACGTGAGGGTTGCCTGTACTACAGCCAATGAGCGCTCTTGCTCAGCGGTCTGTATTTCTCGGTATTGCCCGGCAAGTTATTGCCCGCTCAGTTACATGTACGCGCATGCGGACTGTCATTCTTGTACTTTGTGGTTCGTGATCAGATCAAGTGTCTACTGTTCGGAGTTTCAAATTTGAAACACAAAACAGCAACTAACTTGATCTGACTACAAACTACAAAGCACGAGAATGACAGACCACACGCGCGCGCATGTAACTGAGCTGACAATAACTTACTTGTTCCAGCCACCTGAACCAGCCGCCTCAGCAGGTGAATGCAACCTTGACATCGATATCGATGCGTTGGTGAGCAGCCGACGAATTTACTTGACGAACTGAATGCGTTTGAGACGAAGTTGTGGAGCCCATCCCAGTTTCAGTTCCTGTTCCAGGACTTCCTACACTCAGTGCTCAATCACGAACAACAACACCATCGATATCGTAAAGAAATAGAGAATTTCAAAACCACAAACGACGTTTACCACTGAACAAGTGTGTCGGGAGACTGAGAAAGTCGGAAAGGTTTCTCTCCATTTTCTGGAATGTTTGGGTCAAGCATGCAATAAATGATTTACTGCGCCTCGTACGCACTCGTACACGGGCAATACCGGCTTGATACATGACCTCACGGCTGGCGCCGTTCGGTCATGTATCAGCCGGTATTGCCCTTGTACTCGTTTGTACTCGTGCAGTAAATCATACAAAAGAAGATGAATGCGACGAGCCATGGCGACGTCATACACCAATGCTTTATGACTGTTTTGTAGACCAACCGAACTACGATCGTAGATCTACGACTCCGAGCTCGAGGTCTAGACGTCTCTTATCATGCAAGGCTTTTTTGCTGCTTCGAAATCCTTTCTTCTTGCTTTTTGTTTTTTACAAACTTTGTGCATACGCATGACTGTGTTCTCAGTAAGTTAGTTGTGGACCTACCCGAGTACTAGTACAGTAGGAACAACACCTTTCGTTTTGAAAGTGTTTGACGATGGGCCGTGGACGTCGAGAGCCTGCTCCAGCAGGCCGGAGGAGGCAAGTTCTGCAAATAGGTTCGCTGAGTCGTCATCAGCCAAGAGGTACATTCCATTTTATTTTGGTGTCGGTTCTTTTGTATACACTGACTTGGTGTTTGGGGACAGTCAGGTTCTGCTAGACACGCATCTAGTGTATAGTTTTCTGCATTCAACTACCTGTGCTATTACTGGATGAAAACTCATTTGCTTGTCGGTGTGTCCGTTTGCCTAGAGCGAGTGACCACTCAAGTCTCGTATTGTAGACTGTAGTAGACAAAACTTTCGAAAAATCAAACGCGGACCGTAATATTTGCTTTTCGCTCCGTAAGCTGCTTTCTGTCGCCGTTGCCTTTCAGTAGTTTGAGAGTTACCGTCCTTGTAGTCGTGTACGGCGAAGGCGTTGTGTTCCGCTTTGGTGTACATGACGTGGCAGCTGCGTTGATTTCCAGGGTCACAGGCCACCACATTTCACTCTTGGAGTTCCAATAAAATTAATACATGACCTCTATTGTGTGTCACTCTATGTACTTGCTATCATAGAAAACAATCACCGTGATTTTGGAGGCGAATCGTCAGCGACTGTCGTGCAGGCAACCCAGAAGCCAGGTACATCTTTCGCCTGCTCTTGACTGGTGTTTCTGTTATCCTGGCGTTTTAGGGATATGTTGTTGAACGTGTGTGTGTGTGAGTCCGAGTATGTGTGTGTGTGTGTGTGTGTGTGTGTGTGTGTGTGTGTGTGTGTGTGTGTGTGTGTGTGTGTGTGTGTGTGTGTGTATGTGTTTGGTGACACTCAATTAATTACAATTTTGCTATTCTGTACAAGCTGACAGCTGACATCAATCCATCAATCGGCACTCTGTAGTATATTGTGCACTTTCAGTTTATGGTTGGAGAGGTATTGTAGCACTTTTGCAGGATTGTTGTACCCTCACAGTATTGCTTGCGATCACCATGCCCAGTGCAATGGGGGTGTTGTCATCACTTTGTTGCAAGTTCTTCATGCCTCTGTAGTACCATCTGAAGTAGTTCAATGAGGCATGTGCACTTGCACCGTACACTATGCTATGGCATGGTTCAACCCCCCCCCCCCCCCCCCCCCAGTACTGCTAGTAGTGGAGACATTGCCACAGCAGTGTAGTATACCATGGTGCATGCACACAGTTCTTCTTAGTCACCACATGTACATACTTGTATACCTGCATGTAGGTAGAATACCTTAAAAAAAAACATGCATTGTTGGAGATGAGACTTGAGTTGAGGCCAACACTACTGCACCAGGTTATGAGACCATCCTCTATGCATCGGTCGAAGAGCGGTCATTTTGGACATTGCCTTTTCTCCTTCTCAATCTCTGCCCATGCGGCACCCTATATTCCTTGTACTTGTGTGCACATACAGTAGCATCAGCAGCTCAAGGCCGAGGTTTCAGTCTACTGGGTGCCTACGATGGCAGTGGCAGTGAGGATGATGATGATACCAATGGTAGGTTTCTGTAAGGGTTGGTGATGATGATGTGGTGTGTGTGTGTGGGGGGGGATTGATATGCACAGCGCCCTTAGTGCTTTGTTTGGCAATATCCGAGCCTAAGTTTAGAAATTAAGTGTGTGTGTGTTCAATGATAGTGCTTGTACTGTTGCCCACCTTTAACGTGGCTCCAGTACGTGTTTGGTATTGTCATAAGTGTGCTGCGATTTGGAGGAGCAGTGCCCTGTCCACCGGATCTCTGGCAGGCACGATTCACATGGTTCGGGCTAGGTGGTGTAGCATGGGCCAGCCATAATGCTGTTGGCTCTCCTTCATCAAGACATGCTACTGTACCCTGTCTCCCCCACCAGGACCAGCAGTGCTGCCTTTAAATCAATACAGTATCAACAGTTCAGGCCCGACTGGGCTACACCTACCTAGCCCTACCTAGACAGGGTACTGCTTGTCGCAATCAGGAGAGCCCACGGCACTGTGGCCGGTGTGTGCTGCACCCCCTGTGTGCTGCACCCCCTGTGGCACTGGACACAGGTGACCATGCACAACTGTACAGTGGTATAGGTGTAATGAAAAAAAATTATGTGTGGGTGGGCTGACAAGCACAGCTGTTCACCAGGTCCCCTCAGGAATGTAGCATACAGCTTGCAAATAACTTTCCTCATCAAAATTGGTTAGCGTCCAGGTCTTGGGGAGAAGCAAGTTAAGGAGTTAATTATTTGAGGTGTCTGGACAGTCTTCCATGGCAATGGCCTGACTGACATAATCTATTTCCTGGCTAATGATGATGCTGATAACTTTTCTTAGTACTGGGGTTGCGTGTTTACTGCGGTGCAGCATCTCACCACATGCAACAATTTAACCTCTCCCCCCCCCCTCCTCTCTCTCCCTCTCTCTCTCTCTCTCTCTCTCTCTCTCTCTCTCTCTCTCTCTCTCTCTCTCTCTCTCTCTCTCTCTCTCTCTCTCTCTCTCTCTCTCTCTCTCTCTCTCTCTCTCTCTCTCTCTCTCTCTCTCTCTCTCTCTCTCTCTCTCTCTCTCTCTCTCTCTCTCTCTCTCTCTCTCTCTCTCTCTCTCTCTCTCTCTCTCTCTCTCTCTCTCTCTCTGAATCAAATAGGTCACACCATGTTCTAGTTTGGTGATGATTGTTGGTCTTTTCCTTTTCTTTCTTTTTTCTCTGTAGGTAATGGGCAGATTGATAACCAAGTCAAGGACTTCCTCAAGGTGTGTAGCTCTCTGTCTTTATCCACATGAACCTGTATGCCTGTGTGTGTGTGTGTGCCTGTGTGTGTGTGTGTGTGTGAGGTGTGCGTGTGTGTCGATTCCCGACGATTATGGTCACACACGTCTTTCTTCTCTTTCTCAGACTCCTCCTGACTTTTCTTTCATTCTCCTGGGTGGTTACCAACAGCCAGTGCATGCCGGAGTATGTGGTGTGATGTGTGTGCGGGAAAAAATATATGAAAAAGACCAAAAAGTAGGGATTCACTAGCCGGAAAAAGCCACTTCATAGCTGTGTGGTGTAGACCAGGCTGAATAGTGGCGGTCAATTCTTCAGCCTTGCAAGCTGTTGAATAGTGCAATCCCAGCACCAGCGGCTATGGCTTCTGCTGTAGCATCGCTATCATCGCCTCCGGCGATGGGCGTCCAATGGTGTGTGCATGTGTGTGTTTGTATGTGCTACATGTACTACAATGTACACTGTAGTATATCAGGGAAGTAACATGCAGTGTGCTCCGCTCACAGTTGCAACGTACCTTTCCTCACTCCTGGCTCTTCCCTTGCCGAGATATGCATCACTGCTGTGCACCTCCTTCTTTCCCACTCCTTTTGGTAGTATTGTGTTTCTATTTGAAGGTAAAAGAATATTTTTGCCTGGTGATCACGCAAGCATGAAACTGTGAGTTGCAATACAATTCTGTTCCACCTTGTATTTGGAGTTAATTCATTTACTTTTGGTTTTGTTTCCATGTAGGAGCTTCAAGTCGACGAGCCAGACCCCAAGCCCACCGGTGATGCAACTTCTGCGGAAGCGCCAGGAAGCGTCCAGCCTGCTGCGGAATCCACGCCTGTGTGGCATGAATGCTTGGACCCCAACTCAGGTCATGTCTACTACTGGAACACCATCACTAACGAGGTGTCCTGGACTCTGCCAGAAGACTTCAACTCGGCCATGACATCGTCTGCAGCAACATCAACAACACCAGCAGCTACAGCTACCAGCTCGGCGTACAGTGCACCATCAGGCTATGGTGAAGAAGAAAGTGGTAGTGCGCATGGTGCAGGCAATAATGAAGAGGCGATGGAAGATGATGACTCCGACTGTAACATTGAGAACTATGATGATGATGACACTGAGGTACCAGCAAAGAGCACTGAACCCAGTCAAATGCAGCTGGCATACCCCACGGTCTCAACAGGACTCGTGCCCGATGACGAACCTGCCGTGGATTCACCAACACTTGCAGCGGGCTGCGATGAGGACATTAACTTTGAGCACCACAGCAGTAATGAAGAGGAGGATAGTGCAGCCGCTGGACGTAGCAGCATCACTAGTGCAAGCACAAGTCCAACAAGTCAGAAGAGAAGCGAAGCCGCTTCACCAGAGGCTGATGCCGGTGATGCACGCACACTTTCGTGTGCCTCTGTTGACAGTGCACCTTCCTCGTGCACGTCATCTCGTCCACAGTCTCCCGCACGGCAATTCTTGAAACCCCTCCAGGCAACGACAGCTGACACCGACAGAAGGTCTCCGACTGCTCCACTGGATTCGCCTGCCGTGAGTCCATCTGATGTTTGTATGGATGCCAAGCATGTGATTGCTGCCGACACTGGTCTTGATGAGAAGGAGACCGTAGCAGAGTCTCCTGTAGAGTCTGCTGTAGAGTCTGCTGCGCCAACAGGTCTAGATGACATCATGTTTGCCAACGTGCCTGCTGCCAGCTTCAAACCGGTCACCACTGGTTCCGGGCGCAATAGTCCCTCAGCCAGCGAGAATCGGCCAGACAAACTGCAGGCGAAGATGCAGTCAACCACCCTTGCCCTCAAACCACGTTCTCTCAGCCGCACCGACACGAAAAAGACCCCTCCTGTCAAAGAGGAGCTGAGTCGAGATGAGAAAACAGTTGCCTCAGTAGACTGCAACAAGCCTGCTGGCGATGTTAGTGCTGTAGATATCTTCGCTGAGGACACCGGTAGCACCGAGGATCAGGCAAACAGTGCTCCTTCTCTTAGTCTGCCACCTTCTCCAGCCCAAGCTACGCCCAAGGCAGGCTCTAGTGTTGGACAAGACGACCTTGGAGACTTCGACATTGATGCTGCGCTGGATGAGTGCCTCGAAAATGCTCTCAACAAGCCGGACAAGCGACCCCATGATGACGGGGTGGCTGATGAAGAAGAAACGGATATCGGTGAAGCAGAGTCTAACAGCTTGCAGCCAACGTCTAAGCGTGCAAAGTTACCATCGGCTGATGTTCCTGAGAACACGATTTCACCCATGCATTTGTCGCCAGCAAGGCCTGAGGATATGGAAGTGGCTGCTGAGTCGGATGTTGACATGGACCTGTCGGCTCCTGAGCGAAGTAGTAAGTTTAAAGTCACTCGTATTGGTAATTGGTACCCATGCATAGGACTATCTCTGTATTGTTTTCATGGCCAACTCTTCCACACTGGGTTTCAGCTGTGTTCTTTGTTGTTTGAAATACAGAAGTCAAGCAATCTGTTGTTCATTGATTTTGTTCTAGATGCATACGACAAACTCAGGCGAAGTGACTTATTGTGTGTGTGTGTGTGCGCGCGCGCTTGCGTGGCCTTCTGCACGTCACTCTTTCTACTTTCTTCCAGCCTCTACATTGGCACCAACAGCAGATACTGGCAATCAGTCATCAGATGCTATTGGGGTAAGTTGATTGCAACGAAAATTGAACTTTGAAGTTTGACCAGTTGTCACTTCTACTGAGAAATCATTTTTAGTCATACGTTGCTCACCTGACTTTGTGCATGGCAGTGAATTTTACAAGTATTGATATGTTAGGGTGCTCTGTAAGAAGACCTTGCTTTTGTGGGCACTGCTCCATTTATAATTCAAGCGCATGTGTGATGTGTGGTCGGGTACTACTGAGCAACATCCGTGCATTCAGGCCTAGCTGTGTAGTATACCCTTCAGCAGCTGCTCTTAGTCTTGACTATTTGCCAGTGTTGAGTATTGCAGTATGCCGATAGGCAATGATCAAGATATTGAGAGTGATAGTATGCTTTATTGTGCCCTGTGTGGGTATTTTATTCTTCATTCAAGGATCAACTACTTGTCCTGAGTAACGAGCTATCTACGAAACTGAACTCGCTCAACATCACTACTGCGGAAATGAGTAACCTTCACCTGGCCCTTGTCCGTGCTGAGGTAGTTAATGTGTGTAGTTGATGTGTCTGTGTCTGTGTGCGTGTCTATGTGTGTGAGAGAGAGAGAGTGTGTGTGTGTGCTTGTGTCTGTCCGTCTGCCTGCCTGCCTGCCTGCCTGTCTTTTTTTATTGGCATATTGGATGGAGGTACTAGTAGGTCTATTCTAACCTACACGGCTCCCTTCTCAAAGGCAAAACACGACTTATGCTGGCCATGACTGGAATGTTTCACTCACACTGTGTCCTTGTATTGTTTTGCCTTGTACGTTGCAGACTCGACTTGCAGACTGGCAGGCAGGCGCTCTGGATGGATCGTACGCCGTGCGCATGCTGCAATCGTCGGTCACCGAGCTGCACAACTACGAGCAAGCGTGTGCACCGCAGGGCTGGCAGTGCTTGTGGGACAGGTGGGTACCCGTGTAGCTAGGTATGACGTTTTTCTTTTCTTCTGTGGAGCTTGTTTCTCTCTCTCTCTCTCTCTCTCTCTCTCTCTCTCTCTCTCTCTCTCTCTCTCTCTCTCTCTCTCTCTCTCTCTCTCTCTCTCTCTCTCTCTCTCTCTCTCAAAGCAGTGATTGATTCGTGGGCAACGCTCCTTTTGTGTTGTGCTGCCAATGTCATCCTGGAGTTTGGGGGATGGAAAGGGGGGGGGGGGGGGATTGGGGTCACGTCAGTTTGATGAGGTACAGTATGCTGTTTGGTGAGTATTTTTTATGCTCTTGCTGATGATTTTTTGTGCCCTGGCTGGTGCTCGTGTTTTTCGGTGAGAGAGTGGTTGGGCGGGCGGTTAACTGAGTGTGATCACAGTTTGTCTTCTCAGATTTGTCATAATGAACCCGAGGCACGCAGTATAAGATTGCTGAGGGAGCGCTGTTGTCTTGTAAAGTTAGAAGACTGCATTCATAGCTTGGTGCTTTGCATTTTTGCGTCAGTAGACGTGTCTGGCAAGTAGTAAAATGAGTTCATTTTGACTGGGCGAGCTTGTCCAAACACACCGGAACTCGCTGTGCCACCAGTGACTATATGGGCAGTTTGTGGGCATTGGGTATCGTATTTCCCCGAATAGAAGCCACACCTTACCTTCAAGGGCAAAGAAGTTGATGTGACTGCAATCAAACATGACTTGCTTCTTGTGTGAATAATATATTGACACTATATGACTGAGATGTGAAAGTGTGGTGCGACTTGTAATTGGGAAAATTCGGTAGTGGCTAATCTGGCTGTTCATCGCCAGCGTATGCTGATTGTGAAAACCAATTGTGCCAAGATTGTATATACTATTATTCTAGCAGGACTCGATCTCGATGCCACCTTGCAAGTGCAGCGTGAACAGGCTACTGCCCAGTTGTCTGACGGACTGTGACCTCGTGCAAGCGTTACAGTCTGTGACCACCAAGCACCTTCTGGTATAGAAAGCAGTGTGTGAGTATACTGTGCAAGCCCTCTGGGTCTCCTGATGGCTTGCGGCTGCTCTTTCTCTTTCCCATGGGTCTGTGTCTGTGTACCCGTTCTTTCTCTCGGTCTTCCTGCCTCAGCTCTCTCTCTTTCTCTTTCTTTCTTCAGCTCTTCTGTAGTTAGATTTAAACTCCTATTTGGAAAAAAGAGGACATTTCTTCTGTGAATCTGATCGTGGTGTATTCCGTGTATGCGGGGTTCATGTGCGATGTGTGCGTGCGACTTTTTGGTTAATATAATGTAGTGCTTCAAGTCGCTACTATTATCACGATACATCAACGGGAGTGACGCGGTGGGACTATCCTGCTGACGGAAGCAAGCTAGCAGAGGAGCAACATGCCTTTGGTGAGTGTGTGCTGCTACATGTGTAATCCTCTCTCTCTCTCTCTCTCTCTCTCTCTCTCTCTCTCTCTCAGCACTGCTTTTTATCTCACAATGTTCCAGGGGTGGACACATCCAGTTGGGCAAAAGCAGCGTGCATACAATCTCCCGCTGGCGGCAGGCCAGTCCGTGGTGCGTAGAAGTTGCTCAGATGTACCAAATCCGTGATTGAAATGGATGACAGCAAGATGCACAGCAATGCTGAACACTGAAGCTCCGGAAAGCTCAGTTTGAGAGCTAATGCCTAGTAGTCACCCTTCCACCGGTAGCTCTGTGTGTGTTTCCGTCACACTATCTCTTACTGTGTGTGTGTTGATGTGGGGTTATTACTTGCGGTGTGTATGCTACTGCAGCGAGCATGCCTGGACTTCACCAAGCCACCGCGGCAATGTTTGCTGGTGCCATGGCTTCCACCTATCCAGGATATGCATATACTGGATACCAACCTGTGGCATATGGTATGGCACCTACATCAGCTCATGTTGCACCATTGCCTGACTCTAGCAAGCAAGTAACATACTCCGCTCCGCCACTTCCTACGGAGGAACCGCCGCCACCACCTCCTGGTGTTGACCAACCTCCACCCCCGGTCAATCCGCTGCCTCCTCCACCACCGCCACCAGATGATAGTAAGCAGGCCACCCCAGCTGGATCGCCACCGCCACCAGCCAGGTACAGCTTCAAGTCTGCTGCTGCTTCTACGGATATCTTTTCTGTTGGCATCGTTGGTGCTTGTGCCATTCCTTTCTTGAACCTTTTTGTACGGTCAACCTTGCGAATATTGTCCCTTGATTGTGCATGAACCAGTGTCATTATTCATGAGGTTGAAAGTATGCAGTTGAATGCTCACTAAAATGTAGATTTTAAGATTGTGTGGTAATTCATGAGCTTGACTGTATTGCACATGTTGTTGTAGAAATAGGATGTTCTTTCTTGAAGAGAGTATCGATTGACCTATCTGGCATGTACATGTAATCCACTTTGTTTCATTCCCCAACTTACTTGCCCTCCCTATTCTGCTCTCTCCAGTGAGGCGCAGTCACCCAGCCAGCCACCACCACCACCGCTGCCCGAAGATGAAGAGGAAGCACCTGCCGTTGATACTGGGTGAGGATTGGAGCAGTGGGAATTTTACCCGAATGCTAACTTAGGTCAACTTCTGGCCTTGCAAGTTGCATGCTCTATGTTCCTGTTCTTACTTGTTTGTTTCTACATGCAATGCATGCACATGTGTTCAAAGAGTCAACTGGTTGTAGCATCTCTCATGTAGAGTCACCTTATTTTAGTAGAACTTTTCAGGGTCTTTTTCGCAACGATTTCCATGCACCTCCTACTTTGATCACACCTAGACCAAAGACGGCAACAAGTGCTGTTGTCATTCAAGCCGCCGCTGCCATCACAAGGCGTCAGCCATCCGCGGAAGAAGCGCCAGAGCCGAGTGTGGACGACGCTGCCATCAAGGTACGATAATTATAGATATATTATAGTGAGGATATATTATAGTGTGTGTGTGTGTGTGTGTGTGTGTGTGTGTGTGTTTGAGTGTGCGTGTGCTGCGGCGGCGGCGTTGTCTCTGGGCAAATGGCTGGTATCAAACATTCTTGTGGCGGCCCTGCAGCCAACCCTGACACGTTGGTGTGTGTCTCTACTTGTCGAATTGTGATAATGCCACTGTGTACGATGAGATTTTGAAGTCTATCATATGGCTGCCCTCGGAAGTCTCATGCTGTATGCGTGTGTGTGCGTTTGTGTGTGTGTATGTGCGTGTGTGTGTGTGCGTGTGTGTTTGGATGCCTTTCAACTCTCTCAGAGTAATGAATATTTTTACCTTGCTCATTTTTTCTGTGTTTTCAGGCTAGCTTTGAGGATCCCTTGCAGATGCGCATGCGTGCCACTCTGATTGCCAAAGGCATGAGCGAATCGGACATCAACGACTACTTTGTCCAAGACGCGCTAAAGCAGCAGCTCCAGACCGACTCCCTGCCGGGCAGTCCCAAAGCTACCAGCAAACCGAAGAAAGACAAGAAAAAGAAAGAGAAGGTATGAGTTGTGCATGCATGTCGCACCTGTCCACTGGCTGCTTGTGTTGTCAATGGCATACGCGTGTGCTGAAAGAGTGTCCTGATTTCCAATATGTCTCTATAGCGGATCTTGGCATACTGGACACAGTGCTGAGTAGGCTGTGGGCTTCATTTCCAGTCATTATTTGTCGTTTTAACCAATGCTGTTATAGTAGCGCAATGTACTGTTGATCCCACACTGCTTCATGTAGTCATGATTTTAATTCTTTTCAGGTACAACTGGGTGTGTACGCATGTGCATGTGTGTGTGTGTGTGTGTGTGTGTGTGTACGTGCGTGTGCGCGTTTATTACTATTTCATGACATCATGTTGTTGGTGGTTGTTCGTTGTCGTTCTTTGCTTTGCACAGGTGAAGGCGCTGGGATCCAGTAGCTTGGTACCGAAGAAAAAGAAGAACATGTCTCAGCTGGTGTCCAAGTGGAGCACTATCCGCCAGCAGGAACGCGAGGAGGAAGAGAAAGGTGATAGTGATGAAGATGACCCGGTCCGTGCACAGGTATGTCTAATACATAGTACTACTAATAGGGATATCAGCGAACGCACTGCGCAGCCCATCTGCGCAGGTCAGCCTGGCCCATCTACGCGCGGCCGACAAGAAAACTCATGAACACTTTCATTTTTTTGCAAAATAAATCGTGCGAAGAAGATGCACGGAATGGCTGAAAACTAGGCTGAGGAAAAGTAGCATTCGGAGACTCTCAAACAAATTCATGGTCCATCGCTTCTGACAATGGCAGCGAAGACATCTGGGAGCTGATTGCAGCAACTCTCTACCAAGCGCGACGCTGGTTACTCACCAGGGCAGAGCGCTTCCATCGCGCAAGAAATGGCTGCGAGCGAGAAATGCAAGTCCGATTTTGGAACGATCCAACCAGGGTAATCCCTTGAAAATTTGCCTGAACACCTCTCATAATGGTGTTTCACGATGTGCAAACTTTCAGAGAAATCGACCGGGGAGAACGTGGTCAGAACGTGGGTCCTCCGTATCGCGTATGATTTGAATGGTCGCGGGGACAGAAGAACAGTAATTTTATGACTCCCAGCAGTGCAAACAGACCGCGGCCATGTTTTCTCTGTCGGCCGCGATCACGTTCAAAAAATCGATGACGCAATGGATGCGCAGAGGCCTGCGCAGTGCGTTCGCTGACATCCCTACTACTAATACATCTCAGTATGCATAGCAAGCCCTTTCAAGCATTCATGTCCCATCCATCCTTGGTACAGTCCTAGCCAGGGAAATTTGCCCCATAAGTATACCGCTGCAGGCGGATACCCATCGCAGCTGAATGCAGGATAGCAGTAATTCTCTGGTGCCACACTTCTGCATTGGCAGAAATATGTTGAGAATTGTAGTCACGGTCATAGCAACCAGTCCTTATACTCGAATGTCTTCCACTGTTGTTCTCACATTGTGCTGTTTGTGATAAAACCTTCGTGTCGAGTAGAGCATGGTGCATTCACGTGCCTGGTCGTAGTGCAAGGGCCATGCAGTGCATGGCACTGTTTATTGGTGGTGGTGGGGTGGGGGGAGTGATTTGTCACTGACCGCCACTGTAGTGTCTGACAATGTGGTTTTGTCTGGACATTCATCATAATTATTCACGATATGTAGAGACTGAATTTGACATGCTCTCAGTAAACATTGGGCCCGTGGGTGGCGGAGCTGGTTATGATAGTTATGATTGTGTTGTGCGGCTACGCATCATCTGCTTCATCAAAGCCCACAAACTACTTGCATAGCTTCTCCACCAGTGTTTGGCTAGAAAGTCTGAAAATGAATTCAGTGTCGAACGTGCCTTCTCTGCTTTGTCTTTCCTTTTTCCCACAGCAACGGAAGATTCAGGAATGGAAGGCTTCTCAGATGACCGCGTATGTTGGAGTGTTTCTCTCTGTCGTCTGTCTGTCTCTCTCTCTCTCTCTCTCTCTCTCTCTCTCTCTCTCTCTCTCTCTCTCTCTCTCTCTCTCTCTCTCTCTCTCTCTCTCTCTCTCTGTCGTCTCTCTCTCTCTCTCTGTCGTCTCTCTCTCTCTCTCTCTCTCTCTCTCTCTCTCTCTCTCTCTCTCTCTCTCTCTCTCTCTCTCTCTCTCAAGAATATCCTGTATTAAATTTGAAAAAGGCCAAACCCCGTCCATATACTCAATAAAGTCGTGCGCACGAACCAGACCTTCTGTACATAAAACATGTTTTGGGGCATGTTCGATTGGTTGGATCAGGATCCAAATCGATTGAGTGGATCCTTTAGATCCACCAAGCTGCCCTTGATCGAATCTGGACTTTTAGTGACTTTGAGGATTTCCATGAGAGAAAGCAACGATTCCTGCATCATCGCTTTTATTCCCACCATTTGTACACGTATCACGTACAGAGTACGACTTTTGGCAAAAAAAAAGAATCTGGTGGATCCGGTCAACCCTGCTCCCGGTAGTAGGGTTGATCGGATCCAAATCTGTTGGATCTGGATCCTGATTCGTTGAAACGAACGTGCACATATCGAGTGGATCCGATAGATCTGGATGCAGATCCAGCAATCGAACATGCCCTTAGCACCTTAGCATTGTCTTTCTCATAATGGCCATTATCTCATAGTTGGTGCTCCTGTTTTTGTTTTTGCTTCCTTTCCGCAGGAGTGGTGCTCATAGCAATCCGAATTTCGAGGAAGTCAGCGGCGATTGGCGTGAGCGAGTCAAGCGCTCAAAACACCAGTAGTGCACGTGCAGGAGAGCAGTCAATATGGAACAAATGCCCTCTTTGTCTGCAACCCTGTTTATCACATACTGCACACCTATTCTGTTGCCTCTGTTGATCTTGCTGCGTACATGTAGCTAGCTAGCTTGCAACCCCTCGAATGTTGTTGCCTTCTTTCTTTTTACTGGACAGCGCACAGCTTAGTTAGTGCATTTGCTGGGATAATTGTGCTTGGGCAGTTATGGATCCAAGTCTTTATCCTCTGTTTTCCCGCGATGGGCCTTTTGTATGATATTTGTCAGTCTTCAAAAGTTCAAATGTTCACTGGTTGATGGAATATGGTACAGTATCATTGCATTTTTAAATGTGTACATTGAGAAATCAACCATTGTCAAATGTTATGTACATGTATTTGTATCGCCTTCGGTGTTGTCATCGCCACGTCCTGCTGCTTTGGCTTGACTATCCTGACAGTCTCCATCCTGCTCCTCATCCCCGTCACTGTCATCACAGTCTGGCAGGCAGTTGACTTCAATAACAGATGAAGTTATGTCATTGCTCACTACGGCACAGCCAGGTGGGTCATCTCTGATCTGTTCGATGGCTACCTTGCCAGAAGGCAGCACAACCAGCACGATGCGACTGAACGCATCTTCGGTGGCACGCTGCAGGGCAGCCTTTTTTGCGTAACCTGCCGACACGATTGGCCCAGCAATACCTGGAAAGGTAGATCGGACAACACCAAAAAAATGGTTTATTTACACCAACATTTTATTACAGTTAGTGTTGATCTGCGAGAATGGTGTTCACATACTTGTCCAAAACTGTCAGCTAGAATGAAAAAGGCACATCGTAACAAACTGTTTTCTCAGTGCAGTACTGTAAACTGCCTAATGTTCGCGACGGATTAATGTTCGCTATTTTCGCGAGAAGAGTGTAACGCGAATATTAACCAGCGTGAAATCAAACTTCAACAGTGGGTGTATTTAGGTGGCCCCGGTGCTTCGCGAACTTTTGCCATCGCAAACTTGCTGGTTCTAAGAAATCGCGAAAATTTAGAGACGCGAATATTGGGCGGTTTACAGTATTTGTTTACAAGAATATCGAAACTGCCACGAATACACGCGCTGCTGTTAGCACTCTTAGTCACAAGTTAGTGACCGCATCAATGTTGCGGTTTTGAATGCAGCTGACATTACAATGTAGGAGCAATGCATTGCTGTCACCATTATGTCACCGGTGCATTCGCGAAAGGCACTTACCATCATCCTTTGGTGGTCTAACGGTGGCCGTACCACAGCCATGGCAGGTGATGTGGTGTTGAGGAAAGGTCAGCTGCATGACGCACGAGTAGCACAGCTGATCCTGGCCAGGCACGAAGGTGGCACTGTCCTCGGCCTCATCAGCCAGGTCTGCCAACAAGTCCAGTGTGGCCGCATCTGGTACTGAAAATGATTCCAGCTGTTGGTCAACATGACAGACCAGGACTTTATTGACTATGGGCACACGGACATACTCAACACTATGGGATGCTGCAGATTGAAAATTAATAGTCTATACCTTGGACATGCATAGCAGAGTCAGCGGAGGACGTTCAGGTTGGTTGTAACTCTGAGTTTCATGCCGCTAGGCAATCATCAGACAACTGATACTCGGGTCTACCCAACAGTATGCTTATAAACACATAGGGCCACAAGGACATGCAGATTGAAATACATGTACAGTAGATATTGGTTATAACGTGCCCTTCTGATTTTTCACATTTTATCACTATAACCGGTATATCACTACTGGCGATTTTCAACTGCGCTCGTCTTACATACACATTATACACGTGTGGGTACTCGATCGCGCTAATGAGTAATGTAGCGTACTGATACATGATGCATGCTGCTGCACCTTCCCCAGTCTAGAGTGAAGAACTTCTTGGCCCAAAGGCATCATCCAGGAAGCATCAGACCAGAATACACTATGAAAACACACATGTGGCTCCAAGTCGAGACGTCAATGCCTCACACTCGAGTGTTGCTATCATTATAGACGATATTTGTTCTGCACAAAGAGATGTTTTGAATGGTGATTCTGTATCCTTATAGCCGATTTATCGCTATATCCGATATATTGGTTATAATGATAATTTGACTGGCTTTTTCTGGTTTTGCTTTTGATATTTTCATTTTGTATCAATATAGCCGGTTTATCACTATGTCCGATGACTTTATAACCGATATCCACTGTAGTCTATACCTTGGAGTGTCCACACAAATTTATAGTGTACTGCTGCTGAGATACATCCGTAACTGCTATGGTGGGGTAAACTACATTTTTACGTATTAAAGTGATCAAAGTCAACCGCAGCTCACCTTGATGATCTTGGAAGACCAGCCGTTGAATCCCAGGTAGTGGTTGGCAAGTTTCCTGCACTCCGAGACGTAGAGATGGACGGAGTTCCGTGCCGGCGCTTGCTGTGATGCACCTCGCTGCACCTGTACGTACGCATCATTACAACCGGGAGTAGTAAAATACCGGTATTTTACTACTCCCTGGTTACAACCAACAAGAGTGTCCAGCTTGCGGCAGCTGCACTGAGGTGGTGCAATGGTGATCCATCACAGTTCCGGACAGCAGTGTTTTCCACGTTTCTCGTGTCCTACAACAGAACACCCTGGCCTACTACCGGCTCACACGTGCACACTACTAAAGTTACTAAGCTAGGACTGGCCTATTCACCATGTTCACATACCCGCAGGACATGCCCATCAACCATCCACTGCTGGTGTAGTGATCGAATAGCTCTGGCAGCAGCTAGTGCCGAGTAGAACGTGACAAAGGCATAGTGACAGAAGGCAGGCTCGTCGCCAGTCTTCGAGCCTTTGTTGACGGATGAATCAGCACCAGTGGAAGAGCTTTCCTCCAGACCTGAATAGTGTGGCAAGATGATCACATAGACCTCAAGAAGTTACATACCTCATTTTCTCTGTGCTGCGCTGATGAGTCCACAAAGGACAAAACAGTTCTGTCCGCAGATTGAGTATTTGACTATTTGTACATACAAAATTAATAACCTGGTCTTTGTGCATAGAATTTGAACGTGGCACTGCAGCCTGGAAAACCTACGTCAAAAATCAGCTCACACATACCGCTAGCACATACAGACGTTCCACGGGACTGCTAAGAGGCAAAACACTTGTCTAGACTGGGCGCAGTGAAGCTCTCGCCAGTCCTTTTCATGCAGGGAACTAGTTCCTGATATCACATTATCAGCTGTGAAGCTGGTCAATCGGCAGGTTTAACAGCCGATCAGAAAGACAGTGCACCTATAATAATTCAAAAATGTCACGGTGTAACTTACTATGTCTAACAGGTTGAATGTCCACCATGCGTGGGCACGCACACACATACACACATGCGCACACACATACACACACACACACACACACAAACTAAGCATCGCCTGCTTCATCGTGCTTGGAGTCTATTCAATGACTCGTCAGAGCAGAGTCCAAGAGAGAACGGCAAGTCTCACCTTGCTCAGGTGCCGGGAAAGCAGATTCTAATACTTGGACTTCATAAATCAGCCCAAACTGGGAGAAGATTGACGACAGCTGTTCCTACAAACCAGACCAGGCACACCCCATCCAGCGGGAAAAAAGGATGATAGAATATTTATAAAGGCACTCGCAGCAGTGACCATGTGTTGCTGCACAGAAACTCTATCATTGACTCTATGCATTTCCACCTAGAATGAATGCAGAAAAAGGCATCATCTACAATGATCGTACCAAGATTACACTGGAGATTGGAGAAGATATGCTATTCATTGCATTGAGCTTCCGCCTAGTTTATCTGTGCTGCACTTCATACATGTCACATGCCTGTTGTCAGGTCGTTGCCAATGGCCAATCAGAGCAGCACCGTACCCATGTCCATTAGGAATGACCCCAGGTATACTAAGTATGCTGGTGCATGTACAGTGCTGCCAAACAGTCCGATTTTTCGGACAGTGTCCGATTTTTGAAGGCGCTTCCGAAAACCGGTCCGATAAAGGAAACGTCCGAAAAGTAGCCAAAAATGTCAGGGATCAGTACTTTCCAATTCAGAAGTCCTGTATTTTCACTTTTCAGCGCAACTGAAGGCACACATCACTGTCATGTGCTTCTAAAAAGGCTAGCGCTTGGCGGTGGAAGTGCAAAGTACGAGGGCATGTACACTGTACAGTGTGTGACCACACTCATGCATTACCAGGATTACAAAATTCAGGCATGGCAACCAATTACTTCGGTGTGCAAGATTGGTTACTTTGACAACGGAGCGAATTTTCATGGTATTTTGGGCGGTATTTTGAATTCTCCGGAAAAAAATTGCTGAGGAGAAAAATTCGCACCATGTGGCCAGCCTTGGCGATGAAGGGTGTCCGATTTTGGGCGAAAATTATTTGGCAGCACTGCATGTACCAGACCATGCCTTTATAATTAATTTCAGGCAGTGACCTGGTACGGTGGCAGCACTCAAGCGCACATAGAACACATGGGACCATTCCTAAGGACACCACCTGCACTCGCACACTCCACACAAAAACGTGCACCGTCCAAAACAATTACATTTTGCTAGCAATGTCGATACAGGAGAAGTAATTTGGTTAACAATGGGACAAGAGAAACACACGCAGCATGTCATGTCTACTACAATGCAGGGATGAATTTATCCTGTATTGCATCGCAGTTTGCGATGCAAATTCGATCTTCTGCTACTCAAAAGTCACCGGGACTCGCAGAAAACTGTGATACATGCAGACTATCCACGCCTAGCCTGCGCTGTCAAGTAACATGCAGACAGTGCAGTGTATGTGGTGCAGGCACTCTCAATCTGCGTGCACATGTATGATTCAGTCTTTTTTTTGCAAATGGGCTTTCAGGCATCACTCTCAAGAAGGACAATGTGGTAAATACCCAACCTTCAAAGAAAAATGCTAATCAGAATCAAAGACTGCTACATACTTGTGATTTTGTATAGCCAAAACTGCTATGCAAAAATATGACAATAAAGTCATCCCTGCAATGCATTACTAAATTGAGATGAACATGTCGACCGGTGAACATACATCACAAAGTACCTGTATCAACTTCCGTACCGCCCAAGAGGCAACATTATCACAAAATGCAAAAGGCATATTACTTGAAGTGCAAGTACTGTAATTTCACAATTTTTCGGTACTTTCGGTGCGTCTGTTTCATACCTAAAATTTCAATATACCGAACAAACACTAACACACATAATCCAATAAGAAACTGCTTCTCTGTACCGAAAATTTCTGTTCACCTAACCTAGCCTGTTGCCCTCATCCGAAAATATTGAGCACCGAAAATTTCTGAAATTAGAGTATATCTGACACAAAGTGTTCTACTACTACATGGAGAAAGCTCCTTCTGAGCTTGCTCGACCCTTCATTCACATGACAACTGATTGGCACCTTCCTCCTCCCTTGACCACGTTTACCGAATTTGTCTACAACTAGGCACGTGGCATGTATGAACTATAACGTAATTCCGCGCATATAGGCCCACGGGTCTATATTAGGATATTAGCCCACCTCCGTTTAAAAGCCCATGGGCTAATAATAAAGTAAATAAACAGACACAAATGCAACTCACGTGTCAAGAAGAATTTTTCACAAAATGGACTCTTCCTACCACGGTACAGCAGTTCAGTGCAGTACCAGTAGAGTATGGTAGGCCCACTATGAGCACGGACTTGTATTTTTCGTGAATCTTCAAAATTCGAATATTGGCCCATGGGCCATGGGCTAAAAAAACGAACATGTTTTACTGGATATTTTATCCCCAAACTGCATTATTTCACATATAAGCCCATGGGCTTATATGCGCGGAATTACGGTAATACATTCATGGTGCATCGTGCATGATGTATGATTGTATGCCCTAGTGCGTAGCCCTCGGGCTACGGTGCACGGCCTCGGGCTACGCACTAGGGCATAAATCAGCCATCATGCCCTCCGTACCATGTATAATTATATACGTCATAATACCAGTACAGACTGTTGGGCGTTACCGGGTTTACCGGGTATTAACGGCCGTCGTGAGTTCCCTTCGGGAACGGACAAGATCGTTTACTTTTTCTTTTCTTTTTTTTACTGTCGGGCGCCGAAGAACGGCCAGGCTAGAATTTCACCAAGCACAGCATACCAATGTATACACGGTGACTCAACCGTGCATAGCCTGTTATACATGAAAAATAAGAACGGTCTAGGCTAGGAGGCTGACTCCCCCCCCCCCCCCCCCCAGCTCTTCGGCGACCGACAGCACTGTACTGATACTCACGAATACCGTATTGTTCCAGAATATAAGCCGCACGTTAACAAACCAGTAATTCACCAAAAAAAGACGGTGCGGTTTATACTACGATGGTCAAATTAACGGTGATAAATAGGGTAGATGTCTGTATTTCGTGATAAAAAATCTGGGTGCGGCTTACTACTCCAGTGCAGCATATAATTTAGAAGGTACGGTACTTAAATCTTCACTAGTTTGAGGGAAAGAGACAAACGGGAAAAGTCTGAAGAAAAAAATTGACTGTCACCACCAGGACACTTAGAAGTTATTTATACCAAGGGATCATAGCCCCTTGCCCCTTGGTACCGGTATCTACTCAGTCTGTTGGCGTTTCTTTCCTTTTCTTTTTCTTAAACTTTCAATAAAATAATTAATTACTAGTATTACAGAAAGTAGCTTGTACTTACATATTTGGCTGAGTCTGTCAGGGTTTTCGGTAAATTAGTGACGAAAACATTCTGGTCATTTCTGTCCGGACGCAGGAATTCTATTACCTCTGCCTGGCCTTCATCGCAACAGGTCGTCATTCCGGTGCCAACTCATTCCACAAGTGTGGCTAATAATAATAATAATATTGTTATGATGTTTTTTGAATTTCTTGCATTTGCAGGACTGTCTCATGCTCAGTGTCTGTAGATCGTAGTAGAAAATTGAGAAGGAATGCTGTGGACACGAGTGACAAGGTACTAGTATTTCTAATTCTTGGTCCATATCCCCCATGCATATAATACATGACTTTTACTTCTATTCATCTTGAGTCGTTTGGCTGACGGTGACCCATTGCCATTGCCATTGGCATAGATGAGATCTACGATGATACGAGGGATCGGATAACCCGAAACGTTACTTTTGTGTGTGGCAGCCGTTGTCACTGTCATGAATCGATAGGCCACTAGCGCATGTGTATGGTCGACACTCGACAGGCTAGGCTAGGCTAGGATGCTGCGCTAGCGCGGCAGGGCGCGAGAGCGTAGATCTACGGCGCGCAAACGCGCAGCAGATCTACGACGTACTAAAACGAGTCAGGCGATGACGCGGTGGAGCGTTGGGAAATGAGCGCCAACGTTCAAACTGAACAAACTAAACCTACTGATGACTCCTTGTCCAAGCTGAATGGCTATGAGTATGACTGTGATCTCGTGTTGTCCTGATTGTGGGAGCTTCAAAGGCTGGTACCATTCCTTGTGCAAGTAATTAGTTGTGGAACCAACTGTCGTAAAATTCAGTATCGGGAAGGATTGAGATTTGGTAGTCGCACGCTTGCCCTTGCAGCGGGCGAAGAAGGTAGATATGAGTACTGCACTTCTAAATCGCTCAGCCTCACCTGACACTAAAAGCCCAAGCCCAAGCCCAAGCCCAAGCCCACGCGTATCCCAGAAAGGGAGCTCAACTTCAAGTAGGTACTTGGAGAGTGGGTCGAGTACTGCGCAGCAAACAGTAGCTGTAGTCCTGACAAGTCCGACACAAGGTCGTCATCATTACCCGGTACGTAAATGCTGAATGCTTTTCATGTGCAGCATTTCGTCCACGATGCATGGGCTGTATGGTATTAGTACCTAATTATACCGTTATGTTTTGTGCAGCTTCCTTGACCATGTTGATTGATTGATGAATATACACTAGGATTTTAATCACTTTGATTTGTACATTGATGTCCCATTCCGTTGTCCGGGGAGATTGGACATGACCATTTACTTGATTTTTTTTGTCATTATTTGAATGTGATCAGGATGACCATCTTGCTGCTGGGCTACGCACACCAGGCGACAATGAATCCAGCAGCAGACCGGGATCTGCGTTGGACAGGACGGGAAGTTTCCACAAATGCCTCGGACTGCAGATTGGAGCGGATCGCTTTGGCTCTCCCCGCTATCCGGCCCAGCTCGACTTCCTCAGAGTCGGTGCAAGTGCGAGGATGGCCGGAGGAGAAGGAGTTGGCTACAGCAGGAGCTTTGACCACAAGGATGCACACAGCCACCGCGGAAGTGGTACCAGGTCAAAGAGTTCCAGTGACCTTTTGTCCGATGACGACGCAGAGGATATCCCAATAGATCGGCTGGGTGAGCGGCGTACTACTCTCTCACAGTTCAATTCCGATAGCATGCACAGCTTCTCGTTTGCTAGCCAGGCCAGAAAGCGAGAATCGTTCGTTGGAGCCGCCCGGTTGCAAACTCGTGGTGAAATGACGCCACCGAATGGCAGTAATGCAACCGCTGAGGATTTCGAGCTGAACGACTTCCTGCCAGATAGGGAAGACGGCCCGCTCTTCCCCACTACATCTCGCAACCCGCACAAGGCACTCCTAACCATTGATCTGCGTGACTCTTCAGTGCTGGTTGCAAATAATGTTGCATGCGACATGTTTGCCTGTACACCGTCGGAGATCGTTGGCGTGCGGTTCCCCGATTTGCTGGCATACTCACTGGACCGGGCACGCCAGAACGACCTCATTGAGTCCAACATTGATGCTGATGGCAAGGTGGTGATGGTCAAGGGCAAAGTGGTAAGTGATATGTATTTTTTTTAATTTGATACACTGAAATCCCTGTATTTCCACCTCCACCCCTCCCCAAATTTAGAGGAGTGCCCCTAATTACCCGAGTGCTTTAAATATCCCGCAGTTAGCATAATACACTGCACTTATAGGTCTTTATCCTGAGGAAAGGTTTGAATAAATTGAATACTAGTACTATGGAATCCCGTGGATAAGCCCATGCCCGTGCATAGGCCCAGGTAAAGACTGCATGCAACGAGGCTTCGGCATACAAGCCCATGGGCTTACTTGAATGTGCGCATCGTTCATTTCCCTCTTTTGTTACCTGAATGTACAGGTAGCTGTATGTAAAGTGTAAAATTAACTGCAGGTATTAACAGTACTTCCTGCGCTTTTATTGATGCATATCTCGATCGATGTATAAGCCCGTGTCCACATATTATAAGCCCATCCAATGGCCCTTTTGAATCAGAGAAGCCAACGGGTTTATCCTCGAGATTCTACAGTATTCGAATTAGCCCGCATTCGTTGTTTAAAAAAATGTAAATGATCGTGTCCGTTCCCAAAGGGAACTCACGACGGCCGCTGATAGAAAGACACAATGGTTCCATGTACAGTCGACTCTAGATGTATTGGAACACCGACATGCTTGAATTTTTGTTCTCTATAGGCACAGTTCTTTATAACAGAGATGCACTCACGCTATTCAAGCAACATGTCAAGCCTGGCATGCTGCCCGTGAATGCATGAGTGCACTTATTTTAATACATGCTCCCCAACAAGACATGGTTCTGTTATACACCAAAATGGTTCGCTACAAAGGGTCAACTTGAAAAAATTGGGGACATGGACAATGGTTCTCTATAGTAATTCGCTGCGTATGAGTTTATAATTGGCCGTCGCAAAAGTCATCCCTGAAACGAACATCGCCCTGGTCATTTGTATGATGTGCTGCTATCCAGGTGGATGTGATCAACAGTCACGGCGGAGTGTTCCCCGTCTCTCTGTGGATGAAGATGCTGACGGTGCAGCCGCAGCCTCGCTGCATTGCCGTGATGGAGCCGGTTGAGCGCAGCAGTGCCGTACTGGCTCTGAACAAAGATGTGAGTGTTGTCGCCGGTGCCAAGGCTGCATACCGGTACATAGGCAGACACCCCGAGTATGCTCACACAGTGCCAATCTACCAGCCACAGTGCAGTGAACAGTACTAGTGTCCGATTGTATTGAGTTTCTATTTGTGAGAGCAGACTTACAAGAAACAACAGTATCATTTATTCATTATAGTTCTACACTGTACAGTGTTCTTGCCTATTGGATTGCCCATCTGCCCGTGCATTTTTGCAGTCAGATTAACCAAAGCCACATGGCCGTAGAAAGTTATGTGACCACTGCCTCTCACGTGCATCTTGCGCCTGTATTTGCGATGGATAATCACTAGGTCTTGTGTGTGTGTTTTGTCAGGGAGTGATTGTTCACACGGACGGCACGGCCAAGGCTATGTTTGGCTATGAGGCGTCTGAACTTGTCGGCCGCACCATGTGCCACATCGTCAATGCATTTCGCCTGCCTGACCCGGACTGTACCACCAGTGAGGACTTTGACAAGGTATGTGGCCTCGTATGTAGTTTGCACTCGATGTGCTCAGTAGTGACTGGTGTACGTGCAGTTACTACGTGCTAATACTATTGTGAATCCCCTATTAAATAGGGGATTCACATAACAGCCAAAATTACTTGTGAGTTCTCAGTTGTGACTATGAGCTACTACCGTTAAGTACTGTTGATCCGCCCCCCCATGCCATGTCGCTTCCCAGCTGGGTTTTCGGCAGGGGGCGGGAATTAGATCAAGGCTGTCAAGTGCAGTACGATGTACAACAACGTGGAGGATCAGACTCGATGTGCTGGATTGTGCACATTTTCATCATGGATTAGCACGTTTTGTGTACAGCAGTGCATGCGCATCGTATTTCGTTGTATACGCCAAAGTCGCTTCACAGGTAGAAAATCGACAGGGGGCGGGAATTAGAGAGGAGGCGGATCAACGGTACTTTACGGTACTAGTACAGGGACTTGTTCACTGAATCTGAAGATCTGAATCATGAATTTTAGGAACTAACGTGTTACTTGGCTGCTCCTAATGTGAAAGCTTGTTAGGAGCAGCCGCCACCTTCAAATAATACCACTGAATTTGCAACATCTTAGTTCGTAATTTCCGCACACAAGATTTTTTAATAAAGCTGATTCTTCAAAGAGAGAAAAATCCTATTAGTAGCAACGGTGGCTCAGTCGACAGGCATATCCAGAGATGGCGGGGACTCTGCTACAGTTGGGTAGGGTTCGGAAGCAGAGTATGTTTACTTTGTACTTTCAATCCATGGAATGAGCGTGCCGTCGCTTCATGTCCAACCATCCAGCGTTGGTGCCAACCTTTGGCAGTGACGACTTTAATTGCAGCTGTCTACCATCTCGGTTGAGCCAACACTACAAATATACTCATACTCATACTCCTGCCCAACCCTGAAGTGATGATAGCGAACACACTATGTTAGACATAGCAATTTGTGCTGGGATTACACCATTCGATCAGCTTGCAAGGCTGATGAAATGATCGCCACTAATTTAGTTCGAGATCACAACAATTTTAGCCTGGTCTACACCACGCGGCTGGTTGAAGTGGCTTTTTCTGGCCAGTGAATCCCTATTTTCATTTTTCATTTTACTACAAACAACACTGACACACTCCCACCTGTATGCAGTCTGAGTCATACAAGGCATTCAACAGCCAGGCACAGACGTGGTCGTAAATAGTTGTGATGTGAGTTCCCTATTACAGGGAGTATCTATCGTTCCTGTTTATGGTGTGACCTTACCGGCTGAAGTTATGTTGTAGATCTTTTCACTAAGAACGCCGCCTTTTCAGGTTTGGAACCGTCTTGTTCTTGGTGTGTTGTTTGTGCAGAAGGGCTTGATGCGTGTCATAATGTGCTCCATAGTAAATCAGTACACGTGTGACTGTGTGTGTGTGTGTGTGTGTGTGTGTGTGTGTGTGTGTGTGTGTGTGTGTGTGTGTGTGTGTGTGTGTGTGTGCTTCTACTGTTTTGTGTGTGTGTGTGTGTGTTTGCCTTCAGGATGTACTGATTCAGGAAGCCACTGCCGGCCTCAAGTCGGGCCAGCGCTGTCCAGTGTCCGTTGCCGTACGTGCTAGGGCGGACACCGCTGGCGGCTCGTCGTTCCCGCACGATCACGCCGTGTTCAAGCATCCGGACTGTGCACTGTGCGTGGTGGTGTGGATCTACGCTAACCTGAGCGGTCTGATGACTGTACGCGAGAATGGTGCTATCCACTCCTGCAACTCGTCGTTCAGCCGTCGACTATTCGGCTACGATGAAAGTGATCTTGTAGGAAAGGTGAGTCATGTCCTTGTTCTTAAAATCCCCCCTCCTTTGTCTTGGCTTTTGCCATGCGACGGTGAAATAAATAAAGTCTGCCCACGCATAGGCAGCCAATTGGATATACCAAACAAAGCAGTCTCTACTTCAACGTTTCATGCAGCTGTGCTATTCTTAGGAGACTAAGCTTTCCCAGAGTGTTCAGGCGACTTTCTCCTACAATGGATATGATGTCTATTAGTACCTTGTCAGGAAAGTACTCAAAGTAGTGCACTATGCTTTATGAGGAATTGGAAAAGATGGTTTGAATGCAGCTTATAGCGTTACCAAGAGTATATAAGCCCCCAAGAGTGTGCAACTCCTGATACCCTTTCTATGGGGTGCGCCGACGGCGAAAACTCGCATCACGTGGTGCAGTGTCGCTGTTGTATGTTTCCAGCCCGTTTTTAGCGAGCAGCGGAGTAATAAACAAGCACTCTCTGACAGAAACTCACACTCTTGGGAGGTTACCGTATTTTACCGGTTGTAAGTCGACCCCGGTTATAGGTCGACCCCCGTATCCGGAGGTCTCAATTCTGTGTTTTAAAGTTTTCACCCAAAGAAGCACTACGAACCCCTCCCTGCTATTAACACATCAACAAATCATGTAAACATTCCTTGTTGGAGGTTATAACATCCCAATCCTTCAAAAGACCAATAAACTGGAAAAATGTGTACACATAGTGCACTCGTGCATGCAGTTCAGGTAATTTTTTGTAAGATTCTGATAGTTCCCGGTTGTAAGTCGAATCCCGGTTGTAAGTCGACCCCCACCCTTTCTCCTTCTATTTTAAGTCGTAAAAGGTCGACTTACAACCGGAAAAATACGGTATACACTCTTGGCGTTACCTGAACTTGATTCTTCAATTGTAACCTCTGTCTAAATAGTAAAAGCACAGGGCAAGCTCACTGAATCCTTGCTTCAGCATCCTTTCCTACACGTGACTACATTGTGTGTGTGTGTGTGTGTGTTTTTCTTGGCTGCACTGCAGGAGATGAGTCTTGTTTTGCCCGACTTGTTCAACATCTTGACCCTGTCCCAGTCACAAATACCCAGCCCATGCGGTTCAGATGACTCCGTTGACGTGCCGCTGCCTCGCCTGGCTGCCGATCTGGCGTCCTCCTGCGATGACTCCGACGTGGACGGTGATGTGTTTTCGGCGAGTGCACCCATGAACAAGCGACTGGAGGCTATGCGACTGCCGGTAACTAGCACCCCGGACGCGGCGCTCACTCCCAATCTGTCGAGCGCGGACATTGACCAGCGTCACTCCACCGCCAGCCCGACACTGCGTTCTAGTGGCACGTCCACGACGGTTGAGAGCATTGGGCCGCTGAGGAGCCTGAGCAGTGGCATGCATGAGCTGGTGGCACCGGGCGGCTATCGCTCGGCGTCCGCCGCTTCGTACCACCAGTCCAGTAGCGCCTCGCCGTTCCAGTCCGAGTTCCTGCGCAACGTGCACAGCGCCAGCGGTGGCGGCCTGGTCATGTCGCCGCGCCTCATCCTGTCGCCCGTCGCTCACCGCCACACACCGGTGTCCAGAACGTCCGGTAGCCGCGGTGCATCTTCGCTGTCTCAGAGCTGGCGTGCAACACAGCAGCAGTGGGCTGACCGCGGACAATTGGATGTGGTGAGTCACAAGCAGTGATCCTGACAGTATTCTTTATTGCCGGTTTGTCTCTTCTTCCTTTGACGTCACTATGTCTATATGAGTGGCAAATCATTATGCTAGTAGCTGTGTGGATTATCCCGGCCATCTACTAGAATTGTTTTAAGTGTTTGGCACTTTAACACCCAGGTTGAATGCAAACGAAATTTAGTTGATGTACAATATTCTTTCTTTTCTGTTCCTTGTGTACTGCCGGCTGCAGAGTAGGATCACTGGTGTGACTCTACCCACGACGGTACGCCATCGAGATGCAACATCGCTGGACGTTCTTGCCCAGGTCAAGACCGTTATACTGGACAACAGCCAGACGCTGTTCTGCGTGTGGATCCAGCGCGACGCCAATGTGGAGGTGGACCCGCTCTGTCGCCTTGATCAGTCCTATCTCAACATTTCCCTTGCCAAGCATGGCTTCGTTGACAGTGACTATGATGATGATTCTGGACCAGTATCAAGGAGTGCCTCGAAAAAGGTCAGTTGGTGTTCTTGCCAACTTCTTGGAAATGTTATTCATGATCATTGGGTCGACCGTCATCTACTTCTTATGTTGTTAGGGGGGGGGGGGGGCTGGTGTAGATTGATCACTGTACTGCTTTGTGCTGCAGCAGTACGGTCTCACCTGTTGGCAATATCTTGTGAATACTCTCAACAGTAAATGTTGTTCTGTGTGTTCTCATATTGCTTTCCCCACAGTCTGTGCCATCCGGAGCAGCACAAGTAGCTGCCCTGCCTGAGGAGCCGGACAGCGATGACTCTGGTGAAGATGAAGACGAGCCGAGCATGGGTGGTAGCAGTCTTGGCGGCGGCCTCCAGCGTGCCACCAATACGGTGGCGTCGTTTGCCAGCACCCTCGGACAATCGTGCATACTTGGCGACGACGAGGAAGCACGGCAGATGTTTGCCGGCGATTACGAGAGCAATTACATGACTCTGAAGTCTATTGGCAAGGGAGCGTTTGGCGAGGTGAAACTGGCCATATCTCGTTTTACAAGTCGCTCCGTGAGTCTTCCGCTAAGCTGGTGCCCATTATTGTGATTTTCGCAGAGAATTAAGTTTCTGTTATTTTTGTCAGCTGTTACCTGTGAAAATGCTGCTTCCCAATTCTATGGCCTTCAATGCCATCACCGCGTTTATCCACATTCCTTACATGATTATGCGCATGTGTGTGTGTATGTGTGTGTAGGTTGTTATCAAGTTCATTCGCAAGACCTCAGTGCTGAAGGAAAGCTGGAAGGACCTGACGGAGGAGGAGTTCAATGCGGTCAGCCTACAGCGATCAGACACTGTCAAACCCCAGCTGCCTGAGCGGCCGTTAGCAGTACCTCTGGAAATCGTCCTACTCAGGCGTCTGGAGCATCCGAATATCGTCAAGGTATGATCAACTGTGTAACTTCATATGCAGTGCTGTTGTTTTGGCAGGGTGGTACAAGTACAGAATATGTCACGTAATGTGTACATGTGCCACTACCTACTCAGCACTGGTTTGCAGCACACACTCTGATCTCTCCCTCTTCCGTTTTTTCTTCCTTGATCAGTGTTTTATATTGACCCTGTACGAGAGGGGTGGTGGTGGTGGGGGGTTAAGGGACATGGGCTTGTATTCTATGCTAGGCGTGTGATTATTTTCCCCTCTCTCCGTGTGTATGTGTGTGTCTTGATGCAGGCAATTGAAGTGTATGAGAATGATGAGTACTACCAGATGGTGATGGAGCGGCACGGCCATGGTATGGATTTGTTTGAGTTCATCGATCAGAACCCCAGAATGGACGAGCCACTCACCAGTTACATCTTCCGGCAGGTAGGTGTGCTGGGGACAGACGGCCTACTCCTAATGTTGCGAGACAGTATCAGCGGCTGCCTGCATGACAGATGTGTATGATTGCCTGTGTGTGTGTGTGTGTGCGCTTGCGTGCGTGCAAGGTTTAATAACATTCGGGGCCCTGCGTACATGGTACTGGTGGTTTGTACAGCTTGTATTGGTCCATTGTAGTGCTCGTACTCATCGCACAATGTGTAGTAGTCGAGGCGTCCCTGAAGGTGCCAGAGTGCTTCTGAATATGAATGGGCACAGGGTGCTTTCACTCCTGATGTGCTCCTGCAGCTAGCTGTAGCTATGGATCTCTTTAGGATGCATACGGCTTTGTCGTACAAGCTCTGCACAATGCATTACATCATTGAAGTCCATTCGTGCTCTCTCCTGTGGCAAGTGTAGGATTTCGCTTGCCACAACCGGTTCATAATTATTGACTATAAATACTCTCTACGGTATTGATGAACACCAACCTTGAAGTGTTGTCCATGTCGGTAGTACTTTGTCTGTGTCATTCGTTTTGGCCTGTCGATTTCCACTCCCGACCAAACCATCTGTCATCCTTGTGGGGACTGAGGAGGATTCTTGGGTCCGTGCGTGCACCTAACGGGTTTGAGGCCAAGTGCGTACGCAATGCATTTTCATCTTTGTCTGATGTGTGTGTCTGTGTGTATTTTAGATTGCCCAAGCTATCCAGTATTTGCATTCCAACGGCATTGTTCACAGGGATGTCAAGGTCAGTGTATTAGTACATGGTTTGTACGAACACAGGGAACGTTTTCAAGGCCCTTCCGAGGCCCATTTTCGACTCATCCCAACCCTCTTCCTCACAAAACATGATCATTACCACACACAAACGCATGCACACACATCACTGCAAGTCTTCCCATTATGAGCTTGCAACTTAGTCAACTTCTCCTTGGCCGCTCGCCGGTGGCTGTTGGACTGGGTGATCGGGGCTAGATCACCGCTTCGTTCCGCATCATCAGCGTACTGGTCTGCACTCTTCTGCAAGGTGGCAATGGTGTGGGCGGGGCAGTTCTTCTCGGCCTCAAACTCCGAAGTCGTACCGGCCTTTCGCTTGCAGCATATGAGAGGGAAAAGCACACCAATAAGTTCTTTAACACCGTTCAAGAAACCCACTCACCTTTCATAAATCACTGTCCTCGTTGCATCCTGCTAAGTGAGAATGGAATAGAACGTCCAAACGAGAATCATTGTCTTCAGACTGGATACGTTCTTCCTCTTCAGACGCGGCAGTACACTGGCGGACAACGCCATCACACTCAGCTCGCAACACGACGGCAGTGCATCCCGCCGGGAAGCGAAGCACGTGATCCCGAGAGCTTGCCGTGATATGGGGAAAAAGCGAAAAGCGATTCACATGGCAGGATGCACGTACAGTACCTGCAGTACAAAACAGGCCATGGAATGCATTTCCAACACACACACACACACACACACACACACACACACACACACACACACACACACACACACTCACGGCACCGGGGCCGTACCGGGATAGCTCGCGGGATACGTTCGCGCCAAAATATGAGTACACGTGACTGAATCTCCATGGTAGCATCACGCACGGGATGAATCCTGCCGTCATGTAAGTCACCTCTTAGAACGTTAAAACTAGGGGTGAAAGTTGGCACTGAGATCCCGAGTTCGAGTACTCTGATTTTCTCCGATCGAATATTCGAGTATTCGAGTATTTTCATCTCCTAAAAATTGTACACCAAGGGCTTTAAAATAACATGATACAACCCTGATTGAACCGAGTAGCAGTCATTTTTCTCGGGTATATTGGTTGGTGGGTCATTTGGGCTCTCTCTACTCGTGAACAAATGTTCACCACACAGCCTGCACATCACCATCTGCCGACTGCTGCCCTGAAACTGCAGATTTCTGTAGTAAATGCATGTAACATGTATGAACGAGTACTCTGATTTATTCCGAGTACGATTATTTTTGAAAAAACCGAGCGAGTACTCGAGTACTCGGTATAATTGTTTCACCCCTAGTTAAAACCTTGTGCCTAAAAGAGATTCATCTCTTACAGCATCTCATGGTTTTTTCCCCAATATAGAGCCGGACCAATACTAAAACCCCATTGTTTACTCTTGTCGTGACCCATCTGAACCAAGCAGGGTGTATAGGTGAATATACCCCGCCCAGAACGGCCGCTGATTGGCTGAAATCGCCCGAATAGCACCGTGCCGTGGGATAGCAGTTTGTCATGCCATTTGTAACTGAAGCACACTCATGCTTTCCTGTTCTGTGACTGTTTTCAACGCACAGGATGAGAATGTCATCATCGACGACGACTTCAACATCAAGCTGATAGACTTTGGATCGGCGGCCTACATGGAGCCCAGTAGGCTGTTTGCAACTTTCTGCGGCACGCTAGAGTTCTGCTCACCTGAAGTTCTGCTGGGCAACAGGTAAGCTTTCCTTTGTGGTGTCTGCTTTGGGAATTCCAACTTCGCCACCATATTGCGCTCTGCTCTGCTCTTCTTGGGAGTTGATCTATCTTACTTTGGTATACCGGTAGTAAACAAGCAACTGTTTGGAAGCCTGCAGGGACACATCAGAAATTGTGGATACATGTCTCACTCGTGATCATGAAATGCGATGGCAATTGGTTTCACAGTCGCTTTGCCGTGTGCCTGTACTTGTTCAGGTACCCTGGTCCCGAGTTCTTTGCTTTGTGCCTGTACTTGTTCAGGTACCCAGGTCCCGAGTTGGAAATGTGGTCACTTGGTGTTACTCTGTACACCCTTGTCTTTGGAGAGAACCCGTTTGTCGAGGCTGAGGACATCCTGACCGGACAGCTTCAGCCACCGTTCCGTGTTTCACCTGGTAAGGAACGAGGTGGTGTTCTTGGGCAGGGGTTGAAAAGTTGTGGCAATTTGAAGCAACATCTTGCTATGTACAGAACCTGGAACTGGTGTCGAAATGTAGACAGGGATAAAATGTAGTCAATGTATGCAGAATTTTCAACGGCCGAATTCTGCTGCTTACCTTCTACTTTGAAGTGCCGTAATTTCCGGTTGTAAGACGAGTGCACCGTGTGTACACATTTTTGCCAGTTTATTGGCCTTTTTCGAGGGTTGGGACGTGATACCCTCCAATAAAGAATGTTTACATGATTTACTGATGTGTTAGTAGCAGGGAGTAGTTTGTAGTGCTTCGTTGGGTGATAACTTTAAAAAACAGAATTGAGACCTCCGGATACGGGGGTCGGTCGACCTATAACCGGGGTCGACTTACAACCGGTAAAATACGGTATATATGGGCGGGCCACGGCCAGCTAAACCATGTCTAGGGGTTAAAAATGTATTCCAGAAAAATGTTGCTTTGCTCGCCAGCTGCTTGGACTAGACCGCCAAATAAGTGGTGTGAGAACGAAGTTCGACAAGATGCTCGCGCCACGGATTGATGAATGAAGCACAGCGTGAACGTGCTCGACAGAAACTATTCTTCATTCCATAATGTCTCAAAAAAATTACGAAACCCCAAAGACATGTTTTAGCTGACTGCGGCCCTTATTACTTCAATTATAGAGATGAAGTTATTCCAGTTTTTGACTATCGGTTCATTGAGCGTTAGTATGGTACTTGGAGCTGTTATGGTATACATTCCAAGCACCCAGTGCATCTGACAGCATAATGGGTAGAGTACGATACTTGGAGCTGTTGTGGTAGACACTTCGAGTGCCCTGTGCATCTGAGCATGCAAAGCACTTCTATCTCCTGTATCTCCTGTGTCCCGAGTGCAGGCCCTACTACTGTATGCCTACATGCGTATAATGTACTCGAATTTCAAATTATTGTATTGATTACACATTGCAATCACAATCTTTCTTGATAAGCTGCTTCTTGTACTGGACTTCAAAGTTCTGGATGATACCAGCGTCCATAGGTTGCAATTTGTATGTGGTGTGGGGGGGGGGGGGCAAGAACTCCAAAGTCGTGTTGGACAAGTCGAAGTCACGCTTGTAGCTGGATGCATTGTCCACCGGTAGCGGAACATGTCGATCCTGTGCGCGCATTCGACTGTTGAACGACTGGAGGCAATTGCTAAACAGCTCGTCTGTCATCCACACCTTGCTGTTGTTACGACACGTGACAAGCTGCTGAACATCCCAGTTCCGGGTAATGCAGTGGGGCGAGCAGATTTTCCAATCACAAACGGCTTTATCTTGTCACCACCGTGTGCATTGGCCCAAACGCCAAGCGTCATGCGTTCTTTGCATTTCTTTGAGCCGCTCACTGGGCTAGTCGCCAGGGTCCGATTGGGCTCTAGTCAGAAGAACTGCCCAGTCTTGTCGAAGTTGTAAATGTCGGCTAGAGCGTACTCCAACAGCGTAGCCCTTAATTTTTCTTGCCCAGAAACAACACCTGTAGCATCCACGCTCGCCGCCTCTCCGTGCCGAACGTACTGCTTAATCCCGTGTTGCTTCTTGAAGCTGGCTAGCCAACCTTTCGAGTACCCGAAATCAGACACGCCGAGCTTCTCCCCGAACTCCTTCGCCTTCGCTTGCAGCATCTCATCGGAAGGAGCACTCGACAGCTCGGTATGCCAAAGAAACAAGGCACGCTCCAAGTCTGTGTGCTTGGCGTGGCGATTCGCTTCGCAGCTAGGCCATTGCCTGGCCTGGATCTAGCTCAAGTTCTAGCAGCTTCTCACTGCAGCGCAGGACATCACCAATGTCGGAGCAGACAATTCGTATGCCATGCTTTGTCCCAATCTCGCCAGCTGTCGGGTTTTGCAAGGCTTTAGGGTGACTCTTGCCGTAAAGACAAAATCATGTCTTTTTTTTATCTCGGCGGTCAGCTCAGTCCGTTGACGCTTCGGCATTTTGACAAGGGAAAAAACGATGCACCGAGGATAGACAGGTCAGGAAGAAGTGACAGAACGGAGTGAAGGCTCGGAAAAGTGCAGACTAGACCATGCACTGATGTAGACTGGCCTGGCCTGGCAAGCTGTGCACCGGTACGGTGCGCAATGTGTGACTGCCGGATTATCAAATCTAAGTTCTGGATAAAAGAGGGACGGCTGTACTACTTCAATATACTAGTACGTGTAGTCATTTCACTCGTACTCAAGTCTTGGGTTAGACGGAGGTGTGACCAACTTACCGCAGGTCCGCACCTCTAAAAGCCATGGCGCTAGATTTGAAATAGCCCTCAATCTCACTGCTTTCCTGGCTATTTTAGATGCGAAATGACCCACCTACTGCGCCATGGCATAAAAGTACTTCAAGTAAAGGTTCACATAAAAATTCCAATCTAAATCTTCCTTTTGCCCTTTCTGCTGGGCTGGAAATTTTGTTAGTATAGTATTTCTTGCTTCATGTTACAAAATATGTTTTTCAAACGCGATCTCATTTAAAAAGCCATGACTGTATAATCGAAAATACTGCCGTGACCCTAAAGGTGTGGACATACATTATTTCTTTCCAGTATGGTGAATGCGCAATATCCTTCCTTTACTTCTCGATTGTGATTGTCTTGGGTAGGAATATAATTCAATATATCCAGGGAGGAGTTGAATGCTGTGGGATGTGCTGGGAATCAATCCCCATAATGTGAGACTAATTTCCTCACTGTTGGTGTGTACATGTACCTTGAATACACCTCTCACTCTCGCAGGCTTACTGAAGATCCTGCTGTGGCTGCTGCATCCTGACCCACAGTCTCGCGCCACTATTGATCAGTTGCTCAACTGTGCATGGATGCGCATGGAAGTGGATATCAGTGCCTATCGCTTTGATGAGGTTGTCGGTGGCGGAGCTGGTAAGTGATATGTTCCTTTAAATTATACTTATAAAAACCTCCATTGAATGTCGTGTAGGGTTAGAAGTTTCTATACTTCATACACACCTGTATAAAAAACCTGGTGGCTATAAAAAACCTGTATAAAAAACCTGCCGGCTATAAAAAACCTGTATAAAAAACCTCTTTTTAGGGGTAGATGAGAACAAGAGAAATAGGTACGAAAATCCAAAACGAAAATCGGTTTTTATAAGTATAATTTAAATAAAATACATACTTCGTCCGCGTGTTTACTCGAATTATAAAAAACCTCCACAAAACCCTCGGCTTCGCCTCGGGTTTTGTGTCGGTTTTTTATTTCTCGTAAACACCTCGGACTCAGTATGTATTTTATAAATACAAGTACTTTGGTAGGCAGTCCTTCGTGTACTGGGTCTTGCGCATAGCATGCTTCTCTCTTTCCTTCGTGTACTGGGTCTTGCGCATAGCATGCTTCTCTCTTTCCTTCGTGTACTGGGTCTTGCGCATAGCATGCTTCTCTCTTTCCTTCGTGTACTGGGTCTTGCGCATAGCATGCTTCTCTCTTTCCTTCGTGTACTGGGTCTTGCGCATAGCATGCTTCTCTCTTTCCTTCGTGTACTGGGTCTTGCGCATAGCATGCTTCTCTCTTTCCTTCGTGTACTGGGTCTTGCGCATAGCATGCTTCTCTCTTTCCTTCGTGTACTGGGTCTTGCGCATAGCATGCTTCTCTCTTTCCTTCGTGTACTGGGTCTTGCGCATAGCATGCTTCTCTCTTTCCTTCGTGTACTGGGTCTTGCGCATAGCATGCTTCTCTCTTTCCTTCGTGTACTGGGTCTTGCGCATAGCATGCTTCTCTCTTTCCTTCGTGTACTGGGTCTTGCGCATAGCATGCTTCTCTCTTTCCTTCGTGTACTGGGTCTTGCGCATAGCATGCTTCTCTCTTTCCTTCGTGTACTGGGTCTTGCGCATAGCATGCTTCTCTCTTTCCTTCGTGTACTGGGTCTTGCGCATAGCATGCTTCTCTCTTTCCTTCGTGTACTGGGTCTTGCGCATAGCATGCTTCTCTCTTTCCTTCGTGTACTGGGTCTTGCGCATAGCATGCTTCTCTCTTTCCTTCGTGTACTGGGTCTTGCGCATAGCATGCTTCTCTCTTTCCTTCGTGTACTGGGTCTTGCGCATAGCATGCTTCTCTCTTTCCTTCGTGTACTGGGTCTTGCGCATAGCATGCTTCTCTCTTTCCTTCGTGTACTGGGTCTTGCGCATAGCATGCTTCTCTCTTTCCTTCGTGTACTGGGTCTTGCGCATAGCATGCTTCTCTCTTTCCTTCGTGTACTGGGTCTTGCGCATAGCATGCTTCTCTCTTTCCTTCGTGTACTGGGTCTTGCGCATAGCATGCTTCTCTCTTTCCTTCGTGTACTGGGTCTTGCGCATAGCATGCTTCTCTCTTTCCTTCGTGTACTGGGTCTTGCGCATAGCATGCTTCTCTCTTTCCTTCGTGTACTGGGTCTTGCGCATAGCATGCTTCTCTCTTTCCTTCGTGTACTGGGTCTTGCGCATAGCATGCTTCTCTCTTTCCTTCGTGTACTGGGTCTTGCGCATAGCATGCTTCTCTCTTTCCTTCGTGTACTGGGTCTTGCGCATAGCATGCTTCTCTCTTTCCTTCGTGTACTGGGTCTTGCGCATAGCATGCTTCTCTCTTTCCTTCGTGTACTGGGTCTTGCGCATAGCATGCTTCTCTCTTTCCTTCGTGTACTGGGTCTTGCGCATAGCATGCTTCTCTCTTTCCTTCGTGTACTGGGTCTTGCGCATAGCATGCTTCTCTCTTTCCTTCGTGTACTGGGTCTTGCGCATAGCATGCTTCTCTCTTTCCTTCGTGTACTGGGTCTTGCGCATAGCATGCTTCTCTCTTTCCTTCGTGTACTGGGTCTTGCGCATAGCATGCTTCTCTCTTTCCTTCGTGTACTGGGTCTTGCGCATAGCATGCTTCTCTCTTTCCTTCGTGTACTGGGTCTTGCGCATAGCATGCTTCTCTCTTTCCTTCGTGTACTGGGTCTTGCGCATAGCATGCTTCTCTCTTTCCTTCGTGTACTGGGTCTTGCGCATAGCATGCTTCTCTCTTTCCTTCGTGTACTGGGTCTTGCGCATAGCATGCTTCTCTCTTTCCTTCGTGTACTGGGTCTTGCGCATAGCATGCTTCTCTCTTTCCTTCGTGTACTGGGTCTTGCGCATAGCATGCTTCTCTCTTTCCTTCGTGTACTGGGTCTTGCGCATAGCATGCTTCTCTCTTTCCTTCGTGTACTGGGTCTTGCGCATAGCATGCTTCTCTCTTTCCTTCGTGTACTGGGTCTTGCGCATAGCATGCTTCTCTCTTTCCTTCGTGTACTGGGTCTTGCGCATAGCATGCTTCTCTCTTTCCTTCGTGTACTGGGTCTTGCGCATAGCATGCTTCTCTCTTTCCTTCGTGTACTGGGTCTTGCGCATAGCATGCTTCTCTCTTTCCTTCGTGTACTGGGTCTTGCGCATAGCATGCTTCTCTCTTTCCTTCGTGTACTGGGTCTTGCGCATAGCATGCTTCTCTCTTTCCTTCGTGTACTGGGTCTTGCGCATAGCATGCTTCTCTCTTTCCTTCGTGTACTGGGTCTTGCGCATAGCATGCTTCTCTCTTTCCTTCGTGTACTGGGTCTTGCGCATAGCATGCTTCTCTCTTTCCTTCGTGTACTGGGTCTTGCGCATAGCATGCTTCTCTCTTTCCTTCGTGTACTGGGTCTTGCGCATAGCATGCTTCTCTCTTTCCTTCGTGTACTGGGTCTTGCGCATAGCATGCTTCTCTCTTTCCTTCGTGTACTGGGTCTTGCGCATAGCATGCTTCTCTCTTTCCTTCGTGTACTGGGTCTTGCGCATAGCATGCTTCTCTCTTTCCTTCGTGTACTGGGTCTTGCGCATAGCATGCTTCTCTCTTTCCTTCGTGTACTGGGTCTTGCGCATAGCATGCTTCTCTCTTTCCTTCGTGTACTGGGTCTTGCGCATAGCATGCTTCTCTCTTTCCTTCGTGTACTGGGTCTTGCGCATAGCATGCTTCTCTCTTTCCTTCGTGTACTGGGTCTTGCGCATAGCATGCTTCTCTCTTTCCTTCGTCTACATGTTCTTTCTCCCGGAGTTTTGTAGTGTCAGATCGCTGCTTTTTGTTCATCTGTTTCTTGACCGGGTGTAAATGTGCCAGGTGGTTTGTGCTCAGCTGCCTTGCACCAGACTAGCCATGCACCTACATGTATTTGTATTTACAGTTTTGTTGTGTTCTCTGCGGTGTGCTAGAAATGTCCTGTCACCAAATTTCAATGCCCATTTTTCAACTGGATTGTGTGTTCAATAGAACATTACTAAGTTTCAACAACAACACGAGTGAGCGCATTGCTGTATCAGGGTCCGCACCACTCCTTGAATTCCTTGAAAGTCCTTGAATGTCAAAGCCGGATTTGAAAGTGCTTGAATATCCTTGAATTTTCGTGTGGGTGCTTGAATTTTTGAAAAAAGTGTGTTTTTCCTTGAATTTGGGTTTGAATGCGGTAGATCTACTCACGTTCATGCAGTAGGTCTACGCGCACTGCTGGGTACCCGTAACCGGTACCGTAGTCCGTAGATCTAGTACCAAGAGTGGATCCACTCTTGGTAGTACTGAGTAGCAGCTAGTACATGTGCAGAGAACGTGTGTCGCAACGGCGAACTAAACCAACTTTTCGCTACAAAAGTGGGAGTCGAGTCGGACTTTGACCGTCGATCATCGCCACTTTCTTCTTCATCATTTCATTCTCGGAGGACTTTGTGGGGCGCATGGTTTTGCCTGTCATAATAGTAAGTAGTGCCGTAGTGAAGCATTTTGCAATCATGCCAGATGGCAAGTGTGTTTTTCAGGAGCAATGGCTACAGAAGACCGAGTTTCGTAGATGGTTGGCGTCTGTCCCCGGCAACAAGCGACAAGCCAAATGCACTCTGTGCAAAAAGGTGGTCGATATTGCCGCGATGGGCGAGTCAGCCCTTCGAAGCCACGCGAAAGGCGGCAAGCACAAAGACCTGGCGGAGCAGAACGTGGTCACCGTGAACCAGTTCTTCGTTTCCACCCAGCCGTCTCCGTCAGACTCAGCAACGATAGCAGCATCTGTTCCAGTCGCCCACCAACTAATGTCCTTGAATGTCCTTGAAAAAATGGGGTTTGGGGCCCTTGAAAACCCTTGAATAATATTTTCATGACTTGGTGCGAACCCTGTGTATGTAAGGAGTGCGGGTGTAGATATTGCATGTGCTTAGTCGGGTTTTATTTTGCGTTCCTGTTGCTAGGTGCTATGTCTGGTGTTTCAAGTGGCGCAATCGGTCATGTCGAGGCCAGCATCTCCGAAAGCATGATGAATAGTCGCAACGGAACATCTGCCGCGCGTGCTGGCTCGACGTATGCCCACTCGCATAGTCTCAGTGGTACGGTGTAATCCCGATAGCCACTCCTACCTCTAAATCTTGTCTGATAGTCTTGTCTTTGCCACCCAGTAATTTATACTGCCCCTCTGGCAGCAACGAGCTGCTTTGCACAGCTGTCTACTCTTTGGCTGTAGTCACCTTGGCCTGCCTTATCTTTCCTTCAGCCTGCTGTTCATTGTATTGTTTAGGAGCCGCCCGTATTGTTGGTGCACATAATAATGGTGCACATGCTCCACTAGTATTGCCCTTATAATTCTCTAGTATAATATACCAACATGCTCTTCTGCTTCTTGTCCTCTCATCAACAATAGCCGCCGTCTTCACCCTAGATGCTAATGCTGATACTGTTTTTTTAGTTTAGCCTGCCTGCATTGTTTTCTCCATGTGCATGTCTTTCAGTGCTGTGCACCTCAACTTGCACAAATCATCATCTGTGTTTGCGTAACACCCAAGTTGATAGGGTGCCGAGCTGACTTAGGGGTCGTCGCAAAAGTTTTCTGTCGTCCCTGAAACGAACATCGTTCATTTCGTACTCGGACCCCCTCCCCTCCCTCTGAAACGAACACAGCTTGCTATGCTGGACGACGAAAATCGCATGCATGTACATGTCATATGTACAGTGTCGGTCGACTTGTGATTTTGGCTCGCACCCCCTCCCCCCCAAATGAATCATGTTCGTTTCAGGGACGACAAAAAACTTTTGCGACGACCCCTTAGCTCCTCTTCTTCTTTTCTTTTTGAAATAGAACTTTACTTGCTGGCATGGCTGGAACATGGCCGCTTTATGTATTCATGTATTGTTTTGCAACTGGAACTTCTTTTTTATGCGCCGAGTTTTTTTACTGGATGATCTTTTCTATCTTTCTCACTCTCCTCACTCTATCTGCGGACTCTCTGCTTGGACTTAGATTGGATCTAAATTTTTATAGGTTTTGCCAATTTTGCCTCGTCTCTAGCCCTCACCTGCAAGGATACAATAGGACTTCTTCTTGTGCACCAGTGTTTCAATATGCCCTACAGACTTTGTAGACTTGGTACATCGTAACATGTACTGTTCTTATAATCGTAGCCTCAACATGGCACACGTGTCACGGTGACCGTGCTCTCCCCCAAGCATGCACCCAGCTCTTCTCTAATGATAATAATTATGATTCTAACCCTAAGGTTACAGGAGTCAACAGCGTACACGTATACCTAGTTACCTTTCCTGGTGTTTGTGATCTGGTTCTCGTAGATTTCCAGACGGCGGAGCAAAGATTGTTGTGCTAGGATATGCTGAGCACAAATATACTGCTATGGCAGACCCCTCCCCCCCCCCCCCCCTGCGTATGACTATACGTGTAAGGTGTTTCCTGGTGTGTACAGCCATGCACCCTAATTCACCACTCTCTTGTGAGTCCAGAAGCCCGAATATCTATCCCCCGTGAATTCCGCGGAATCCAGTAGAGACTTTCGATGTGTTTTCACAGCCAAACCAACCTGCTTAACGCTTGTGACTTTCAACATCAACTTGCAGTGTATTGTGGAGTTTTCAATTCTTTTGGACCAGGATTTCGCATATTTTTGGTTCGGAATTTATGGGGACAACAAACTTCGGTGGGGTTGCGGAAATTCAATCTGTTTTTTCGCTCATTTTCCTTGCAGAATTGCCGCAGAATATACAAGGATTTGCAGAATTAGCGCAGAATTTACTGTTTTCAGCCGCAGAATTCTGCACGGAATTTCTGATATTCTGCCGCGGAATTCACGGGGGACAGGAATATGCTTTGCTGACAGGTGGCTGTCTTGCCACGGAGAATCTGTGCTGGAGAGACTAGTGATCATAAATCATTCCAGTCCAGCCAGCTATGTAATAATATACTCAAGAAAAAGTCTTCTGCCCGAGAGAAACTGTTATAATTCTTGTCGCCATATCCGCCAGTCATTCCCATATACAGTCAACCTTGTTAATAAAGGCCTCGTGTATAGCGTTAGCAACAAAGACCTAGTGGCCATTTAACTGCGTACTTTCAACCAGGGAGTAGTGGTATTGTACTACTCCCTGCTTTCAACCTTACGAATACGTTATAACGACACTTTTCTTATGCACGCCAAGGGTCGTTAGACGCAAGGTTGACTGTACTTCCTTCAAGCTCACTCTCGCCGCTATATATGCGCGCTAGGCGCTGCATCTGCCACCGTCGTATCTCGGGCATGGTGGTGGCCTGGCGCAAGCTAAACTTCCTAAGCTGGTTGTGTGTCTCAACACAATTGTATAGCCGGTTGAAACGTGGATGCGCGGACTTTACTTTTATAATACTTGGATGTATTCAACAAACATGAAACACTTTACGAACTTAGTCGTTGGAACAACCAACTTCATGAAACACTTTAGCATCAAGAATTCAACAACCATATTTAAAACGAAAAACTGTATAGCTCCTCATAATAAACAAAATAGGAAAGGATCATAAAATTTGGAATAGGGTCTAGACAATAATCAATATTCAGTCCGGTAGAATTTGTATTGTTCAGGTCTTTAAACTGAGGATGCAGATGTAGGTATGGATGAACGCGGGTATACAACGACACACATTGTCCACACTTCAAATGCACCAGCTAATCTTTTACATGTGTACCAACATGGCTTTCGCCTTCATAGCACAGGCCATGAGGCAGAGAATGGTGCCGGTAGAGACAGACAGAGACGGTGTGTGTGTGTGTGTGTGTGTGTGTGTGTGTGTGTGTGTGTGTGTGTGTGTGTGTGTGTGTGAGAGAGAGAGAGAGAGAGAGAGAGAGAGAGAGAGAGAGAGAGAGAGAGAGAGAGAGAGAGAGAGAGAGAGAGAGAGAGAGAGAGAGAGAGAGAGAGAGAGAGAGAGAGAGAGAGAGAGAGAGAGAGCCTGGAAACTCCAACACAGCATCACACGATCATTTCATGGCTGCTGTTCTGTCCACCACAGTTCACTCATTGCATGGCTGGGTCACTGCAAAGGTTTGCCTCCATGCAGCGGAGTAGCAAGTCGGTACATGTACACAGTCCTTGCAGCCTAATCACACTGCAGTCCTCCATCGCGCTACTCCAGCGTAGCATAGTGACCCAACATAGTCAGCACCTTGGCCTGGCTAGTCTCACGTATTTCACCAGCCATAAACATTTCGTCTACGCACGCATAGACCTTGTAGAAGTTGAACACTAAGTCCAGCTCGCAGACATTCTGGAAGTGCTCGTTCAGTACCTCGACGAAGTTGTGTATTGCCTCCAAATAGGAGAGGTTATTGTCGAACGTGTCCACGCAGATGCAGAAGTACAGGCCGGCGTAGCGGCGGTAGACGATCTTGTACTGACGGAACTCGACGAAGTTCGTGTGGCGGGCGTCGCGCACCGTCACCAGCGCATGCACCTCCTCGATTAGCTTCTGCTTCTCGTGCGCCTCCAGCGGTATAAACCACTTAGCCATGCGCGTCTTACCAGCGCGATTCTGAATCAGGATAAAACGAATCATGATCGCAGATCGTCCTAGATCAGCGCTGCTTTCTGCGGTGAATAACTAAGTAAGCTCAACGGATTGGAATCGAGGCCGCTTCACAGACAACCCTACACCAACGAGCAACGGAAAGAAGAGAGCTCAGTACAATTTTTCCTCCGGCTGCGGATCATGCAAGGCTTCAAAACTTCCTTGAACTGCGTTTGGACGGACGTAGACCTGGTAGACGGGTTGGCAGTGCGCAGACAGACGTGGGATGGCGCTTGGCTACTGCACTCAGTCACTGGAGTCTGTGCCTGCATACTGTATGCATGTCTGTATACAATGTACGTAGATCATAGACATAGTGCAGTCATGCAGATGCGGATGGCACTGGCCGCAGCGCCGCCAGGGCTTTGTTTGAGGCGGTCTAGTAATTACGGTAGTATTATAAGTAATATTACAAAGGGGTCCTCCACAAAATATCAATATTTTTTTAGAGAAGATTATTGGTTCGCTTGGGGGGGGGGCACTGTTCGTCTCGTCCTCTCTGCTCTCTAACAGTAACAGTCTAAGATTAATGTCGATTCAGCTTGTCTTATATAGCTTATTGATTGCGGTAATCTCTACATTGTAAATATTTATTATTATTTTGGACTAGTACTGTGCAAAATACACCATCATGACATGATGGTGTATTTTGCACAGTGTCATCACTACATTGTAGTGATGACCTACATAAGTGAAAGGCAACCCCAACAGCCATGGCAAGCCGGTTCACGGCTGTCAAGAAGCGGCAACTAAGTTACTTAGAAAGATGGCGTCGGTTCGAGATGGCATGGTAACCGCGCACGTGCCGTGGCTCGTGACTTGCTCATGTATGCACGCAAATGCAAGTCACAAACTCACAAAGATCGTCTTTGCATTTGGAGAAAATATCTTCGACTCTCTTTGGAGGTTGGCGAGGTTTGCCTAATCTTTACTTGATTGCGATGCCGGTACGTCCTCTCAATAATTAGAACAAAGAGAGCTAATGATCGCTTCATTGCTGAGCAGAAGTAACAATCAACTCTCCTCATGTCCTCAGTGCCAAAGGCAGACGACTGCAATTCCACAACGCTCATTTCACGATGATGGAAACAATCGTGTACTAGTACACACTTGGACCATTTGGTCATCCCTGTTCTAGCCGCTAGTCCGTCCAGCAAGCAGATATTGACTATTACGATAAGGACACCTGCGTGAACGAGGGCTCGCCCAGCAAATTCAATTCAAGACGTTACTCCAGTCAAGAATTAGGGTCTTTACTCGAGAACTTCACAAATACAGGTCAAGGCACCCCACAAAACTGATAGATGGCACGAACGAAAGACAAATAGGCTAGACAAAGTGTCCCAAGTGATTGAAAACAGCAGATCTACCAAATAAGACAGCTACATGTGCCTAAACAACGATTCCCATACAGTAGAGAGTAGTATCAGGCAGAATGAAAGCCTTGGAAGTGCACAAATACAGCCACGACCGCCACAAAAATTGGACGACCGCCACAAAAAAATTCTCATTGCTCTACCTCCTTGAAGGGTGAAAGTTACCAGTTATCCTATAGCGATGTCAGTTTATGCCTGTTGGAACCCCCCACAGCCCGCACGAAATACCTTTCAAATAATTCCAGGATGCAATTGCAGCTCCAGACAGGAGGAAGAAGAACACCGTGAAAAATAACGGCAACGATGCCCAAACTCTCGGGAAACGGCTGAAGTCTTCCTGAAGATGTTAACATTGAATAGCCATCGATTACCAGCGTGGTTTGGTGACTTTAGAACTGTTTTGAGACTTAGAACGAAGCGATATCTCAAATTTGATGGAATTGTTACCTGTCAAATGCGTGGGCGAGCAGGCCAGCTGACTGGTTATGCATGAACATGCATGAGCATGCATTGATTTTTCATGGTTCACGTGCAGAAAACTAAGTAATTAGTTGCCGCGATCCAAGTGCAGCTAACAGCCGAGAGATGAGAGACTGTGGCAATGTTGTAGTCAACGACAACGCTGCAGCAGGCGCTAGCATGCTTGATAATGACATGATAGCAGTATACGGCTAGGCTGTCAAGAAGCGGCAACTACTTAGAAAGATGGCGTCGGTTCGAGATGGCATGGTAACCGCGCACGTGCCGTGGTCCGTGACTTGCTCATGTATGCACGCAAATGCAAGTCACAAACTCACAAAGATCGTCTTTGCATTTGGAGAAAATATCTTCGACTCTCTTTGGAGGTTGGCGAGGTTTGCCTAATCTTTACTTGATTGCGATGTCGGTATGTCCTCTCAATAATTAGAACAAAGAGAGCTGATGATCGCTTCATTGCTGAGCAGAAGTAACAATCAACTCTCCTCATGTCCTCAGTGCCAAAGGCAGACGACTGCAATTCCACAACGCTCGTTTCACGATGATGGAAACAATAATCGTGTACTAGTACACACTTGGACCATTTGGTCATCCCTGTTCTAGCCGCTAGTCCGTCCAGCAAGCAGATATTGACTATTACGATAAGGACAACTGCGTGAACGAGGGCTCGCCCAGCAAATCCAATTCAAGACGTGACTCCAGTCAAGAATTAGGGTCTTTACTCGAGAACTTCACAAATACAGGTCAAGGCACCCCACAAAACTGATAGATGGCACGAACGAAAGACAAAATAGGCTAGACAAAGTGTCCCAAGTGATTGAAAACAGCAGATCTACCAAATAAGACAGCTACATGTGCCTAAACAACGATTCCCATACAGTAGAAAGTAGTATCAGGCAGAATGAACGCCTTGGAAGTGCACAAATACAGCCACGACCGCCACAAAAATTGGACGACCGCCACAAAAAAATTCTCATTGCTCTACCTCCTTGAAGGGTGAAAGTTACTAGTTATCCTATAGCGATGTCAGTTTATGCCTGTTGGAACCCCCCACAGCCCGCACGAAATACCTTTCAAATAATTCCAGGATGCAATTGCAGCTCCTGACAGGAGGAAGAAGAACACCGTGAAAAATAACGGCAACGATGCCCAAACTCTCGGGAAACGGCTGAAGTCTTCCTGAAGATGTTAACATTGAATAGCCATCGATTACCAGCGTGGTTTGGTGACTTTAGAACTGTTTTGAGACTTAGAACGAAGCGATATCTCAAATTTGATGGAATTGTTACCTGTCAAATGCGTGGGCGAGCAGGCCAGCTGACTGGTTATGCATGAACATGCATGAGCATGCATTGATTTTTCATGGTTCACGTGCAGAAAACTAAGTTGCCGCGATCCAAGTGCAGCTAACAGCCGCATATATAGCTAGCTAGTACAGTCCAGATCTAGTCAGACCGAGTTCCATCATAAAAGAAGTAAAGCACGTACAAATATTCATACTGAGTCTAGTCTGTAACATGACTCGTACGAGTCGTAGTAACTCGGGTCCGGTCGTTGTGTCAACGTTCGATAGTTTTTGCGAAGTCACATCGTGACTAACCAATACTAGTTAGTGTATGATTATACTACAGTGTAGTAGTAGCTGATATCTCTGCAAATGTGCAGCGACAATTCCCGTCGACATGGTCATGCCGGCTCAGCACTATGTAGACTGAGCTGAGACAGTGAGAGTCGTTTGATGTTGCAATCAGCCATCATGTGACGATGTGGAGTCATGCTCAGTCTAACCGCTCAGGCCATGATTGATGAATGAGGTAGAGATATAGTACAATAATCAATATACCTGCAGGTGATGCTACATACATAGTCATCAGGTCATTGTCAATGATTATGTGCGCCTGGCCTGGGTTTTGCTATAAAATCACATGTAGGTCAAAGTCGACTGTCATATCGAAAAGTGTAGCCGCTGTTGATTTTGTGACGATTCGGTATAACTAATACTTACTGTAAGGATCCACAGGTACTAGTACTAGGCGGTGCAAAGCCAAAGGCAAAGGTCTACTGAACAGTCAGTAGTGACCTGTACTGTATACATGTAGTGGAGTGTAGTACTTCATTGTAGTAAGTGGCAGATCTACTGATCAAGTCACGTATAGCTAGCTATAAGAGGTGCGTGGCTAAATATAGAACATAACAAGTAACATGGCGGCTGCTACACACTGTCTTCATGGCATTCTGAAGCGCTTTGGACTGGACCATTTCCACGTCGAGTACAACGTCTACTTCTCTAACCATCTTCTCCATGCCGTAGTCGCCCTGCACAAGCTGGGAGCTAGCGAGGAGCGACTAGAGCAGTACGCCAGGGAGATCTCGCAGCAGTTCGAGCCGACACATCCATCCGAAGGTCAGTTAAGTGGAGATGAGTGGAGATCACTGCTGGGCAAGCGGGAGCGTTTCCCAGATCTGTGCCAGTTCTTCCGCCAGGAAGTTGCTCAGCGTGGTGTTAGCGGCGCTATTGGCCACTACATGCCATCGTTACTGAACGGTGGAATTGCCTGTGCGGCCTTTCATCCCATCATTCACCTTGGCTATGCTTTGCTGGGTGAAAGTGACCAAGACGTGGGCGATGGCCTGGCTTATGTTGTCTTCGAACACCGCTCACCGGCTAGTGATGCTGCTGATCATGCTATCCATCAACGTATGGGCTGCGCAATGTCCACGGTAGAAGGGAAAGCGTCGACTGCTGTCCCGCAACAAGCCGCGGTGCAGTTCACCCGGCTTGATCATGCTCTGTTCAACCTCTTGCAGAAACTGAGAAAAGATGAACGTCTGCAGAAGCTCCTGCCCATCCTGTACGAGCGTGTGGATGCACGTGGACTGGATGTCCTGGCTGCGGAGACTGGATTTGGCTTGTTCTCGAATCGTCTGTTCATTATTCAAGACAATGCTACTGAGCTTATCAACGGGCACATGGAGGAATCAGGCCTCTTAGCAAGCATCACCACGGAAGAACGGCTTGACAGTCTCTTTAGGGCAGTCATGCAGGTAGCTGTGGGGACGTATGCGTCCACCGAGGTCCCAGACGATTTCTTTTTGCTGCATGGCGTCACGTCAGCCTACGCTCTTCATCAGGTGCTGCCACACTTGCCCAGCCTGGCCGATCGGGTCAACGCCGTCGCCGTGTTCTGCCGTGATCTTCTCACAGCGTTCGTTCTCCGCGACATGCCTGTGCTGGTTGGCTGGACTCCGGACGAGTCGGATCTACCCAGCTGGGACGAGATCAAGGAGAGAGCTACTGCGGACGAAGACGAGCACCTT